CTGCGCCGGCGCTATATAAATGCATTTGAATTTAAAAAAAAGAAACGATAGATTGGGTAAGTATTGCGCTGCAATCGCGGTTCGAGACTGCTCAAAATCGTTGCTCTGGACTTCGCGGTGGCGGATTTCGCCGACAGGCGGGTCGAGAGAGCTCTCGGTCGACTTCGAGCTAGGTAGATGAGGTGAAGTAGATGTTCGTTTGTTGGTATATTTTCATGAGGGCAAAAGAGGAGCGTAGACAGGTGTCGCAAAACACAATGAGGACCGCCATCTTGTGGTGCGATGGGAGAGAAATGGCAGGCGCCGCGGAGTAGCATTCCGGAGACAATCGGCAAGAATTCAACTTCCGACCGCCGACGCGGAACTCAGGCCACCTTACCGTCATTTGACATGGTCGACCTGCTCAGGAGACCTCACCATTGCGCCCACCCAAACATGGTCTCCTATATAAACCTGCTCGTCTCTCACACCTCTCTTCTTCCCAATTCTCTCCCTGCTTGATCGCCCCATTCACCTACCTCTCGTACCAGCTCTTATCACCACTTGCTTTGCCAAGTCTCTCCCCGTCAACGCCAGTAATTATGGCCGAAGTCGAAGCCCCTGCCTCCCTCGAGATCAACGATGCGCTGTTCTGCCAGCACTTCAAGGAGGTTGTGCGTATGATTCCCTGTCCTATGAGTCCTTTTAACCATCGGTGCTGACGAGTAGTTGAATGTTCCTCCTGCAGTGCACGGACTGTGGCGTTGACACCAGGGAGGAGAACGACGCTTTCTTCGGGGTAAATGTATCCTATATCAGGCTCCATCTGATATACTCACACGACCCATTTCTTCATAACCATAGTTTGACCCTATAGACCGTGAAGGTCTCGAGGCCCCTGCTGCCACCGTCACCAAGGACGGAACGTACCAATGCAAGAAGCATGGATCTCCTTGTGCGTCTCCTTCTATTATATACCGTAGAGTACGAGTTACAGGTCTAAAATGCTTCGTCATTCAGCGTGCAACCAGTGTTACGGATGGAAGAAGCAGATCACCAGGGCTAGGACCGCGGCAAAGAAGGCTGGCAAGAAAGCCTAAGACCGGCAGGCTTTTCTCGCCACCCGAATGAACGGAGGAAATGATTCGAACACATTGAACTTGTCGAACTTCTATGTATTTGTACTTGCTGTCCATCTTGGAGTGTACCATACCATATTTCCGAAACCACATAACATCGTATCTCATGTAGTCCGTGAGTTTACAGACCATCTGACGGATGTGTCCTGATTACATTCAGTGTTCGGTCCTTTAGCCAAGTATTATAATACTGTGGCGGACTAGGATCCTGGACAGATGGGCTTTCTCGCTCATTTAATCAATGTCCTGTCTATGACTTGTAAACTAAGTGACACATTTAGGTAGTCCGACATCTATTAAGTATATTTACAACTATTTATAGAGCTTGATGCAGTAAACCATCGTCAATGAATATTTTGCGACGACGAGTGGGGAAAGTGGCAAAACAGGGAAGCTGGACGCGCGCCGAAAGGGCCCGGCTATTGCCGAATGAGTGGCGAAAAATATGTCAAAAGGCGCCACACCCCCTTGCCCCCCGATTTCGTACACATAATCGTTAGACGACCAGCAGCAAGAAGTACCCATAGCGTTTTAAGATAGATCATTCTATCTGTGTAAATATTTGTGGGGTGCTGCACGACTTTATGCGCTCAGATTTCATTCGGATGTTTGAGAGGTGCAAAATTGGTCATTTCTATAAAACCGTGCCGTCTAGAAGCCAAACGGTCTGTTAAAAACAAGCAGACCTTGGCAGAGGAATTATTTTGTCGGGTCTACAAGACCATAAACTTTTTGTATGAGGAAGATCATGGATGCTGGAGCTAGAGCCTCACGAAGTGGGAGCCTCTTGTGGCGCCTTAGCCAGAGGATCCCCTCAACAAAAGATGTCCCATGCAAAAGTAGGCAACCATGGTCTGCCAGAATAATTTAGAATCACTTATGGCATGTCCTCATTTATACCACACATAGATTTCCACGAGCATGTACGCTGATATTAAAGGCGAGTCGAGGCGTGCATGTCGGTCGAGCTCCCTGCATGTGGCAAAATGGCCACACAAACCCCATCCCCGACAACATTTCACCATCTTCTACAAAATACTCACAAGGATCACACAAAATATTTTTACATATTGCACGGGAAGATGTAGCCCTACAGGTTATCTAGAGTGATGAAGGCACGAATATGTGTGCTTAAAATTCCAGAAAAGTTTGTCCAGCTTCTATGTCCGTCCAGCTTCCTAGTCTGCCACAGTATGTTGTTATTCAACATGGCCGCCTGGCGAAATGGCATCGCGTCTGACTACGATGAGTAGGCTAATCAGGAGATTGCAGGTTCGACCCCTGCGGTGGTCATTTTGATTTAACGGCTATCTACTAGCATTGGCTGACCAGCCTCGCACGTTGTATTTTTGCGAGCGAACTAACAAATACACTCGTTGAGACAGCCAACCCAACATCTTTCTCCCCGGGTAATGTTCATGCTCACTGGGCTCTCTGCAAAATTACGTCTATACCTCATACATAACAGTGACACTGCGAAACGACCTCATACAGCCAAGAAACACCCATTACATCCACGATATTCTATGGTGCCTCATTCATAGCCACTGTTGTCTCTGTTTTTTCCACCGCCTCAATCGCCATGCTCTCTTCCTTCTCCTGCACGACATTGGCCGTGGTGGGAGTTGCTACTCCAGAAGGAGCGGCTGATGCCTGTTTCGCTTTGAGCTTGGCTGCGGCTTCGCGGCCGGCGAAGGTAATATCTTCATGGAAGACACGGAGACTCAGGGCACTAATATTAAAAGGGTGTAGCATCGTGTTCAGTACATGTTCATGGTGAGGTGAAGATAAAACACACCTCTTCGCCTTCTTGTCGATCATCAACGAAACCGAGGCTGCTGATTTCCACACGGGCAGAACGAGGTCATGCGGGAGGCTACAGAAAAAAAGAATCACTCAGCAATGAAGCCTGGAAAGAAGTCATGTGGATAATCTGCTCACTTTGCACCGCCATCATCTTCTGTACCCTTCTTGAAGAGTACGACATGGCTACCCATTGCTGCAAACGAACAAGACGACCATCAGTCTGTATTCAACGAACAAACGAGATCAAAGTCATGGAATAGCACAAACTTTTACTCGACATTAAGCTCTTGAATGGCTCCCCGAACCTGTCCAATAACGGGTAATACTCTTCCACAAGCGTCCTCAACGCACCCATTTGAGCCTCTATGATGCTCTCTTCCCGAATATACGGCACCACAACTGGCAGTCCCTCGCTCAACAACCTGAACGGCGTCACTATCGCCTCAGGTTCTGCTGCGCCCGTTTCAGCCACAGCTAAATCATCGGGCATGGCGACGTCGGGAGCAGTAGACGCAGAGCCAGATAGCGCAGCCTGCTTTCCGCGTCCAAAGCCGCCTTCCTGTTTTGTGAAGATTTTGGTCCCGGCATTCATGAGCCTCATCTTCTTGAAGTCATTGTGTTGAACGACGGCGTGGACAATATCGTTGGTGAGGTATAGCGAGCGAGCTGGTTCGCCAGCAGGATTGCGTACGAGAATATTGGATGAAGGGAAGTCAGGTGTGAGGGAGAGCTGACGGCTATGAGACCAGGAGAGAGCTATAAGCATCGGCTTCAGTGTGGGAAAAATGGCGGACATACATGCAGCCAAGCACAATTGGGTCATCGTGCGGAATGAAGTTATAAGGCATCTCCTTGAACCCATTATCGCCAGTGCCACGCTTGCCCTTCCTCTCGGTGGCCTGGTCTACGGATTTTGATGGTTCGCCTGTGGATAGTGCCGGTGTGTGGTCCGCTGGGGAGTTTGGAGTCTGCGTGGTGATATCGTCTAAGAAGAGATCATGAACAGAGCCTCGCGATAATGTGGGTGGTTTGACAAACCTTCATCCATAGGCGAGATAGGTGCGACCGAAGGAAGGACAGCGTGCGCGGGCTCGTAAGCAGCAGCTCTCGCACTATCCTCAATCTTAGCTTTCTTTGCTTCTGGTGCTTCAGCGCTTTCCTCTACGACACCGATGGCCTCTTCGGCGACCCTCTTTCCCTCTCTGAATCACGAATATTATGAGAACCAAATTCGCAAAATCAATAGCAGTCACTGACTTTGTGCGCTTCTTCTTTTCTCCACCTTCTGAGGTGGTACTTGTTGGAGTTTCCGACTTTTTCTTCTGAAGCACGGCGACGAAGAACCCGCCTGTGTCCTGCAAATGAGGATATATACGCATACTACATCCCGTCATAAACATCATCCATAATCGATAAGTTGGGATAACAGAGTAATATGAGGGCATGGTTGGGTACTTACCAACGCTCAAGGTGTAATTCCGCAACGCCCTCCGTGGGGGGCCAGTGACTTCGTCCAACTCTTTGAACGCTCTTGTTACCATCAAGACTCTCGACGTATGCCTCATAAGTCTCGAAGAACTTGAGATTTTTGTCCGTCGTCGGTGTCCAAGTCTGGAGACCAGGTCGGCGGATGAGCGTGGGTAGTGAGTCAGAGACATCGACGAGCTCGAAGTCTGTGCATGGGGGTATGGATATCAGCGAACAATGCAACAGGAAGAGTACCACCCAGCCTTGAGATTGTACTTGCCAGGATTAGCTCTCAGGGCTTCGGCGACGACAGCCTCATTTTCCACAGGGTTCAGAGAGCAGGTAGAGTATACGAGGCGTCCGTCTGGATGCAGCATACGCATCGCGCGTTGAAGAATGCGAAGCTGTAGGCTAAGTGAAAGCAAAAGCGGGATGAGACGTGAACGACGCTAATATCGAGGAAATATCTTACCTATGCAAACCATTTCCATCCATCGGATTCCAATGCTTCCAGATCGCAACATTTTTCCTCATCGTCCCGTCTCCACTGCAGGGAACATCACACAATATCCTATCAAACAAGAGCGTACTCCCTTCTTTTTCCTTCCCCGATATCTTCGGGGCCAAATCTGAGTTAGAGTCAAAACCGTGCGGCAAACGGATGATGGGGAAGATGGATGCATCGGCGTTTGTGACAATGAATGCTGGGCTGGGAAGACGGGCGGACTGGTGGATGAGGAGGTGTGTTCGCTTGTAATCACTGTCGTTCGCTACGAGGAGGCCGGGCGGAACGCAAGCTGATGAGGGATCTGGCGAAGAATGAAGAGCTTCAAGGAGTTGGGCTGTCTGTTATGGTGATATAAATCACCTCAATGGACAAACAGCGACGAGTGGTTGGTACCTTTGAGCCAGGTGCGGCGCACATGTCGAGGACTTTATGATAGGGTTGGACATCAAGGAACAGGGGAGGGAGCATAGACACTGCTTCCTGGCGAGAAATGTTGCCCTGTCAAGAACACGGTCTATTAGCGAAACATATATTATCAATAGAGTGCAACATCGGTGGCAAGGGCAAAGGCAAAAATCGAGTTATCGATCAAAGAACAGTCGTGTAGTGCCAAGAATGGATAAAAAACAAAGGAATAATGGCACGTACAACCTCAGTCTCGAAAACGAGGAAAGAGTGGAACTTCTTGAATTCAGGTGACTTTCGAAGTACTTTCTTTTCGACATTCAGCTGCCATGCAAGTCCATGCGGATACCTAAAATGTTAGCATTAGCATCTGATGCAGGTATGAGAAGGTGAGTATAGTGCGAGGGGTCAGGGGCGATTGAGCCGCGGATAGGGCGAGCATGCCAACAGCGGTGAATTCTGGTTCGGGTGTAAAAAGACGTACACTGCGGGAAATAATGACGATAAAATCTCACTCACCATGAAAGAGAAACAGGAGGGGCCACAGGTTGACCTTCAAATACTACGGAACCAAGCTGTGGGACATAGGCATTCTCTATGGCGTCCTTGAGTACTTGAGCTGTTCTGCAGGTTGACAAATAACGCCGTACGCTCAATGAGCCTCAGCACCGGTGAGATATGAAAAGGGACGCACAATCTAGTTCCAGCTATCCGAAACGTCGTCGGTAATGGCTCCCTTAGACGTTCAATGAACTGGGTCCATTCCTCTCTTCCTGCACCGTCATCGTCTGCTCTCTGAATAATCTTTTGTGCCTTGTAGTATGCTTCGAATTTCGGATTCTGCATGTCTGACTTTTCGAGGAGGTCCGTACGACCATCATCGTTCCGAACATCACCGCCCCCATATGCCTTTGGTTCTGAGGTGTCTTTACGATTGTTCTTTCCACCCTTGAATTTCTACCCAGTATGCGCATCTGTGTCAGACTGTGTTATGAAAACTCTGAGCCAACATGACGCACTTTTCCGCCTCGGCCCATGGTTACAAGTCGCTGATGGCTGATATAGACAAGTGGCCCACAGGAAAATAGTGGCAGAGTATAATCAGTCTAGCAGAGGAGCGCGTTTTAGCCGTCAATCTTCTGAAAATTAGCAAGTGAAGGATTCCAGATGATGTGCGATCCTGTTTAGATCTGTCAAGATGAGCTTCGCAAGATCTTATCTTATCTCTCAGCTTTTAGTTCGTGCCACATGAAAGCTGGGCCACATTTGTGGTGGTGGTACTTGCACTGCCGATCTGCTCGAGCAGAAAACAACTTGGAACTTCGAGAATTTTACTCTTGTATTCATTTTATTTGATATCTGTACTTTCAAGACTCAGACTAAAGCATGAACGCAAAATAAGGATTGCATTCCATCAAACACGTACAACAGATAAGTAGTCCAGAACAGAGACTTCACGCCATGAGCACCCAGCATGATATCGTACAAAAAGGCCGCTGGAACTGCCAGAAGCCTGTCAAACCGTCAAAGTCCAGCCACATACAATATGAAACAGGAGCATATTCCAAAACTGAGCCCTAAAACCCGGCTACGACCTCGCTATCTTCATCAACGTATATAGCAGCGCTAACTTTGCACTCCCACTAGACTTTTTCTCTGCGCAAGTCAAGACAGCTGATGGGGACCGATTTCAAGCGCGGCCTCGACTGTCACCTCGCCCCTGAGAGTCTGATCAGAGGCATTGCATTAGCGCCAATCCGGAGTAGTCACGGTAAGACTTCAGAGCTACTGACCGCCATGCCTGCGGCGAGCGAGGCGACCCCTGCTTTCGCCGCGTTCTCCAGAATCTCCGTGCTTGCGGCGGGCAAGGCGGTCGTGGCTATTGCCGCGCTCCTGGGAGTCTAAGGAGGAGCTCAGGTAAGTTGGTGTTGATTATACAATGACTGTTATAAACTGACCACCGTGACGACGAGCAGCGAGGCGCCCCCTGCTTTCACCGCGCTCCTGGGAATCTCCGTGCTTGCGGCGAGCAAGACGTTCATGACTATTTTCGCGTTCCTGGGAGTCTGATAGTGGTCATTGGATGAGATGGAGTCTGCCTTCAGTGAGTGTGGCACTACTGACCGCCGTGACGACGACGAGCGAGGCGGCCCCTGCTCTCACCGCGCTCTTGAGAGTCACCGTGCTTCCGACGGGTCAAACGGTCGTGACTATCGCCGCGCTCTTGAGAATCTAGACGCAAAACTATCTGAGACGTAATCGTGGTCTATGGCTATAGGAAGACTGACCACCGTGCCTACGACGAGCAAGACGGCCCCTGCTTTCGCCTCGCTCTTGAGAGTCGCCGTGCCTGCGACGAGTTAAGCGGTCACGGCTGTTGCCTCGCTCCTGAGAGTCTGTATCGGGTTTTGTTGAGCTGAGTGTCAAAGTCGCGAGGAAACAGAAACACCGACCACCATGCCTGCGACGAGTGAGGCGGTCGTGACTGTCTCCGCGCTCCTGAGAGTCTATTGGAGGTCAATAGATGAGCGACTGTCGTCATCTGGTACGCCGTAGAAGTACTGACCGCCGTGCCTGCGGCGGGCGAGACGCTCACGGCTGTCGCCTCTTTCCTGCGAGTCTAGGCAGTAGATGTAGTGTTAGAAAAAAAAGACAGTAAAAAGCAGAAGAGTGCACAGACCTCCGTGCCTGCGAGGAGCCAATCGCTCTCGGCTGTCACCACGCTCTTGAGAGTCACCGTGCCTACGGCGAGCGAGACGTTCACGGCTGTCGCCCCGTTCTTGAGAGTCTGTAAGATTTGATCAATGAGGTTATATCCTCCAACGATGCCGTGAAAACACTGACCGCCATGTCTGCGACGCGCAAGGCGATCACGGCTCTCACCGCGCTCTTGAGAATCACCATGCCTGCGACGAGTCAGACGGTCACGGCTATTGCCTCGTTCTTGAGAGTCTGAAACATCCAATCAATTGACTTCAGCCTACTTCATGAAATTTTCTACAGTCACTCACCGCCGTGCCTGCGACGCGCAAGGCGGTCGCGGCTATCACCGCGTTCCTGCGAGTCTAAAGGACAGTCTGAGTATAAAATTCGAGGGCGCAGAAATAAGTATAATCACCACCGTGTCTGCGACGTGCCAAACGTTCGCGACTATCACCACGTTCTCGAGAGTCTGTGGATTTAACACTCGTCAGTATGGCACAATGTGACCGTCAAGCGACTCTAAGTGGAGGCTCACCGCCATGCTTTCTGGCTACGAGACGCTCGCGGCTGTCACCTCCGGGAGAGTCTGGACGTTATGTGTGAGCACACGACAGGCTTCCAATAGACTCTTAAGTGCCTTACCACCATGCCTGCGACTAGCAAGTCTGTCCCTGCTACCACTTCGGCCGCGACCTTCTAAAAGCGCATGATAGGTCAAAGAAAACCGTTCGGCAGCGAATACTTGGAACTTACCGTCGTTGCCGTCTCCGTGGCGGCGAGCCTCGAGGATGTCGCTTGAAATGCCAACGTCATTGATCAGGCCGCCGGGACCTTCACGGAGAGCAACCGAGGTGACACCCGAGACGGGGATGGAGGCTACCGGGGTGAGCTCGGCAGCGAGCAAGCAGGCAAGGGTGACGAAAGTGGCAAGAGAGCGCATATTGAATTTGTAGTATCAAGAAGAGAGATGAGGAAGGCTTTGTTTGAGGCTGAAGATAGTACTAGAGCTGACCGGTGAATGGCTGGAGAGACTGGAGAACAGCGAAGGTAGAGGTTCGAATGGCTTTTATACTTGATGAACATGGTTCAGAGGGTAGCAAGATGGTGCATGCCTGTGCAAAAAGTAAAAGGCAGCTATGCGCAGCAGAGGAGGAGGAGAATTGCTCACAGTTCAAATCTCACCAAGGGAAAAGTCGTGCGACCCATCACCATGCGAGGGTACGCTGTATTTGGCCTGTGGAACAAAAGCCTTGGCAGCTAAGGTTTGGGTCCATCAGGACCTGTACATTGGAACCAGAGAAAGCAAAAAAAAACGGAGATCAAGAACGCACTTCTTATTCTGGAGTCTACCGAAAGAAATGGAGCCCGAAGCTATGGCAGACCTCGTAGCGAAGTCTTTCCGGTAGGCGAAATTCACCGTGATATGGTGTAGACACCTCTCTCACGACCAATCACTTAGCATTATGCAAGATCCTGAAGTGGGCACAGGCAAGCTGTCGCGCCCTACTTGCCAATAGCACCCTTGCACAAGCATCCGCAGCGCTGAAAAGTGTAAGTCATTATTGCTGCTGACCAAGGTAAGGCAAGACAAGAAAGATTATTTTGGGCTGGCTGCGCATGCGGACTCCCGTCTACCGTTAGCCACTTCCGGGAACATGCTTCCTCTTAAAAGTCTTTGAGCGGGAGAAATCCGCTATGACGGGGCGAACATTTCACAGGAATGCGAAAAGGTTGGACATGATGGAATGATCTTCAAGTAGGAGTAGGTGAAACGCGCAGCGAGAAAGTCTTGGCTCCTACCTGCACGAAGGAGTAAAACGACCCCATTCGTGCATCAAAGCAGGCGCGCAGTCAGTAGGGAGCCATGTTGGGGGAGGGGGGGCGGACCCGGAAAAGGTGCTCACGATGAATGCTCACCAAAGTAGTTTAGCATAGACTATGAACCATTGACACTACGCGCGACGGGGAGAAACGAATGATCATTCATAGCCTTTAGAGTGGTCTCAAACACAGACGAGCTTCGGCAGCTTTGTGGGAGAGGTTTTCATAGCCAAACGAGCCCTGGGTATATGCGCATGGGGTAGGCTCAAGGTGCCTAGATCCCTACGAATAGTCACCCAGTGGTTTCCCATACTATGCGCAGTAGCAGGGCATATACACAGCGATGTGCATTTGGGGTCCCAACCAGGCTGCGAGCTCTGGCGGAGCGACGCTCTACTAAGTATTCAATCGTATTATGATATCTGAGGTTTCGAAGACCTTTATATGAGATGAAGATGCCATATAAGTCCACGCACATATGTAAAGTCCATGAGAAACGTCGGGTCTTCTGCGAGAATAGGCGCATATGGCTTGACACTGTAATAAGCAGGCCAGGTGCGACGAATGCTGGTATGACATAAGAATGTGAGAAATGGTCACTGACCACGCAGGAGAATTGGAGCAAACAGGCTTACCGCATACACCCTACCACGCTAGCTAAGTTACTCTGCGGTGACCTGGTACGTAGCGTCATTCTGGCACGTACCATTCTCATTATCCTTCATCCAAAATCTCCAGCTTTGTCCACCTTGTCCCGTGATGACATACCGGCGGAAGAACCCTAGCATGGAGCACGACGCATACATGATACGCACCATCCTGAACGTATAGCAAACATCGCTACTTGAACACTGAGGTCACATAATATCCTGCTCTTGAAGTTGCTGGCACATTTGAGTCAGATACTCAGCCTGGGATTCATAGATGAGAAGTGATGAGCTCCGCATCCAATTTGAACCAAACCATAGTCTCTGTTTGGTTTGAAGAGACTTTTGAGGGAGGCGGATATGCTGAACAATCCGTATAGCGGAAGGTTTGAAAGTGAGCGACTAGCGAATCCCGATTGGTTGTTTCCTTTATGATGGTCGGAGTTTCGGTTTCTCCCGATAATCCTGTTTCAGTGGCACACCGACATGATACGGACACAGTACCTGTTTCCAGATAATCCCCATGAAACGACCATAAATCAACTCTCTACTTCTCATATTTGAAGGAACGAGACACCGCAGGGGACCCAAACAACATGAGACCATCAAACGCGTGTGGCACAATCACACGGCGCGATGGCATCCGAGAGACTCGAGACTTGGGGCGGATTCATGACCGTTGGAGGGAGCTAGTCGGTGGCGAGAGTTTACCAAGGTACGTCAATTCATAGAGTATCGTGGTCACGGTGGATTAGATGGTATACTGGTGGGCATAGCCGCATACGCAGGCATTTGGACAGGTCACATCAGATGTGTACGTCGCGTCACAAGGATTTGGAGGATTCTGCGGCAGTCATAACGGATCGAAAGCTTTCTATGATTCTACAAGTAAGAAGCTCTGAGCAAGAGGTATATGATGCATTTGCATCGAGGATGCACCAGCGAGTGCACCAGAAGGAAGGGGTCGCCTCTGGTAGCTCAGGATGGGTCCTGACTATGTACTCCAAATGACGGACTCGACGAGTATGACCCTCCTGGATATGTGACTGCTATCTAAAGCGAGTTATAGTCTCTGGTCTGACGCACGCTGTGCTTTGTGTATCTGGGAGCGCCTCGTTATAGTTGGTTCCCGTATCGGGTTCCGCGCCTGCCCCCGTGTCCAATAAGAAGCTCGAAAGCGCTCTTTAGGTTACCTTGGACTCAGTAAGGAACTGGGAACTTCTCTGTACTTATGTGTATCAGACTACGACAGCTGTACTCACTACCTGCCACACCTGTTGTAAAATTAGGTACAGTGGCGGCTCGAGTGGTCTTCCCGGATACCTTTATGAAAAGACCTACCCTTTTTCCGGGGACGTCAATAGCTGTACATGTACCAGCGTTACACACTACTTCAAGTCAGACGTGGCGTATGAGGAACCTAAGCGATTCACTTCGTCCCGACCTTCAATCATCACCATGCTTGACAACATCACCTTGGTCGTCTCGCGTTGGGAGAGGGAAGATATGTCATTGGAGGCCATCAACTTACTTGGAACGATTTTGGCGGGCGTTGGATATGGTGCGCCACTTGTCATTACATCGTCAGAGCCATGGTATTAAGGATGCAAAAATACTACAGGAATGGCCGTCGTGCTCTTTTTTATCTCTCTCGGGGCTTTCTGGAAGAGGCAACCGAGGATGAGGCCGTTCAAGGTCATATCCTGGGCACTGTGGCTCCTGATTTTGGCCACAGTTTGCTTAGCATTTCAAATCCAATGGACTTTAACTGCAGACGTTACCAACCGAGACTATCCCGGAGGCTCGAACCGATTCATTCAGAATAATCCGGGGAACTGGGTGAATGTCATGGTGAATACCTTGTGAGTGGTGTTTCCTCGCATCGAGATACGGTCTACTAAATGATTTACAAAGGTATGTCATCCTGACATGGACCTCAGATCTTACCATCGTGCGTTTAAGACTTGGAATGTCATCTCGTATATCTGACTAAATGAACGTTATAGCTCTACCGTTTCTGGAACGTCTGGCAAACAAGACGCTGTGTAATGATTGCACCCTGTCTCCTCCTTCTTACCACAATAAGTGTGTTTGTAACCATTAGTAGTAATAATGCCAATGCTTATACATGCTGAATGCAGTCACCGGCTCCTTTTCACTATACAAGCTCGCTACTCCTGGGGATACCATTACCGCGAAGGACAAAGCGGATTGGTCCATCGTCTACCGCACCATTTCACTCTCCTTCAACGTCATCCTCACATGCGCTATCATCCTCCGCATATACCTGGTCTCTCGAGACGTTCGCAAACACCGATTCCCGCGAACGCCATGGCTACAAGAACCTTACTTTCACGTCATCACTATGCTCACTGAGTCGGCCTCGTTGGAGACTGCAGTCGGGTTGGTGTACATCATCACCGTCGGCCTGAACAGTCCACTACAGAATGCGTTCCTACCTATCTTGGGCCAAGTCCAGGTGCGTCTCCCGCATCTATTGTTCGTCTCATAATACTCCGTCTGACGGGATACAGGTCATTTCGCCCATGCTGATCATATATCGTGTGACAAGCGGTCGAGCCTGGAAAAAGGACACGGTTCAGGTCGCACTGTCTGGCCCAGAATTTTGCCTGCCTACTACGACGAAGGAAGACAAAACATCGGGGTCACCAGACATTCCTGATCGCTCTACGGCCTCGTTATCCCCCTTCTTTCCCTCAATCAACGAGCGAAGGTCGTCGGAGAAGTGGAGGGCTGGTTTCGGTGTAGAACGCTGGACAAATAGGGATCAGTCTATCCACGAGGTCAAGAGGCATTCACGCTCATTATCGGCAGACCAATATAGTATGACAAGGACTTCCAATGCTCAGCCTACGGTTACAGTCAGCCTGGCACCGATCGGCGTGCCCTCTTCGCCATATCCTGACAATGGTTCTTCAATATCCATCGCCGGTGATGATGGCAGTGACCGTTGGCTTTCTTCCCCGCTGTACTCCGAATCGTTCCAATGTCACCCACCTGCGGAGTATCGAACGGTGCATCCTCACGCCTCACTAGGAATTGACACCAGCTGCCTGACTGTATTTGAAGGAGCCGAACCCTCGAACAGCCCGTCATGCGGCGAATCATCCCGCTCCAGTGGGTCTCAGCACCCGTTACTCCCAAAGCGTTCTTTCCAGTCATCCTTCGGTAGCGAACTAACCCCTACACCTTCATCGATCGCCTTTCCTTCTGCCGCCTTAATCGAGAAGACTTCAAGCGCCAAGTTGCCTCCACCACATCCCTCTAGTCTTCGAAATGTCAGGTCCTGGGAAGGGCTTACAAGGCAAGCTGGTGGAACACGGGGGAGAGCTTACAGTGTGGACTCCCAGAATCGAAAGGTGACGAGACAGACATGGCCTGCATCATGCGGGTCGTAGCAGAGGCTAGGAGGGAGGCAATGGGTTGACATATCCGCCGTTTCTTTCAAGTTTCTTTCACATGCATACTACTTGGTCTTCCCCACTTCCATTTGCACGTTGTATCATAATACTTTGACCGCTTCAACAATTCTGTATCCTCCATAATGCCCCATAGACGTACTGTATCTACTATATAATGGGAAAGCAGTCTCTAGACAAGCCACGTGCGAGAGCCCTTTTTGGAAGCTCCTATATTCGGTAATGTCGACATACTGCTCTCATGTAGATAACGTGTGGCCCTAATCACCGCTCTGCAGTTGTTCTTGCACGCTCTAAGTACCATGTAGGATTGCAATTGGTTAACGTTGTAGTGCGTGAATCTGTTTCGTCTGAAATCTTATGTGGGAGAGCAGTGTCCCACGGTCTGAAATGGCAACTGCCGTTTATGGCCGTTCTGCGACGGTGGCACTGTGTGGCGACTTTCTGTCTCTTTCTCGAGCTCACCGCAGTACAGTCAATTACCCCGTGGTGGGCCAGTACCCCGTAATGGGTCACCTTCCAAATGCGGGCGCTCGACACCTCATATGGTGGAGTTGTGCTCCCATTCAAAGCTTTGGAGCATGATATCATAGCATTCTTGGCCTTTCGATGCCAGCCCTCACCGTAAACAGTAGGTGACCCATTACGGGTACTGGCCCACCACGGGGTAATTGACTGTAACATATGAACCAACGGGGAGCAAGACCCAAATGAGTTTACGTCTAACCAGTTAACGGGGAGCGAGATCGAAAAGATTCTACGTGCACGCTGGCTTGATACATCTTTTATTGGCGTTCAAGTGAGTGATCACACCAAGATCACACTGGTGAGATTGCACACATGCTGTGATATTTGGTCTCTGTGGAGTCTACTCCTCATAAGACGACGGGAAGCCACCGATACTTCCTGATACCTCAAAGAATCGCAATACTTCCAGCCACAAAATTCCAGTGTCACGGTCCCGATGATGTTAGATCAATGTCACGAGGAAATGGGCCACATCGAAGGAGACATTGTCATTGGCTTTATGTGGGACTTTCGTGCCAGTGGGCTTTAAATTTCAGTTGAAGTGGTCATCGAAGTACAACGGTCAATATCTGTGCGCGAGCACGGGTAACTGCTAGTTTGCCTTGAGATCGAGCCACTTGCCGAGGAAATGTTCATGAGAGTCTGGATCACCTGATTTCGTTTGTCTCAGAATTGAGACTCCGCCGAAGTGCAAGTCGCGACGACGGTTTGGCGGAGTCGACTGTGACGACTGGCGATGAGCCAGTATTATCCCCTTCACGTCTTCGACCAGACCGCCACACAGGCCCTTCCATCCCATCATGCCCATGGCGTCCACTTTGTCGCGCCCGACGTCATAGACGGCAGCGATGAGCCCCGCGTCTGTTCTGTCAAAGGTTGCAGCAGTATCTTGCCAGCCTACTATGCCCTCAAGATGTGTGAGGACTGTAGGAGCAAGCACCGATTTTATGCGAGCACGAAGAGAGCGAAGAGAAGGAAGGAGAAGGAGGCTGTGTATGCTGACGGTTGGTTCAATCCACTGCTCCTGGCTGGAGGCCTCTACAGCTACAAACTAAGATATCGTGCTTTTGCGTTAGGTTTCATAAATCAGGATGTACTTGTACAGGACTCAGCTGGGGCTCTTAATCAGTCCGAGGTGAGTCTTTCTTCTTCCAAACGCGATTTTCTTTCGTGCAAAGAGTTCTCACCAGTCTACGTTCCCTTTGTTCCATCTTACGTTCAATGAGTCCAATCCCGTATAGGATAACTGAAACTAATCTGTAGACATCTTCAATGCGAGACTCAATCGACCCGCCTATGGCCAATCTTATCTCTCAATTCCCTCTACAGACGGATATCAACACCAACACCAACACTGAGATGTGGGCCACTCAGGTTGACCCCCGACTACTCAGTACTTCCTCTTCCGAGCTTGCAGCAGCCCTCGCATCATCATCCCATCCATCTGCTACTTCTTCCGTCCCAGCTCCAATCTCTTCTCTACCTCTCTTTGAGACACACTCTCAAACACATAATACTTCTCCAGTTCTGGTTCCATGCCCAAGCTCCCAATCCAACCCGTCGCCCGCCTCCATACATGGTCAACTCGTCATGTCAACCTCAACTCCCGTGAACACTACTGCGTCTGTTCCTGCTCGATACTGCAGTGTGAAGGGATGCAAGGCGATCATCCCGAACGGATACTTCTACAAGATGTGTGGATCTTGCAGGGAAAGGTAGCTTTGCATTGGTACACACAACGGAATTCTTTGCTGATCGGCCATAAAATTTGATCTGATAAAAGGTACAAAGCGTACGGGAAGACGAAGAGAGATAAGTGGAAGAGAGAAAGGGAGGAAGCTTTGAAGACCTTGGACAATTTGAAGCAAGAGGAGGACGAGAGACGGAAAGCCGCCGGGTTGACTGTATGTTCAATTCCTCCCAACACTCAAAAATCAGACCTCTTACGCCCCATTATCCCTGGCTCTGTAATCTCAGCCCATGGCAGATTTGTCGGTGACCGAGCGTCGCGAATTCGAAGATACGATTCTTTCGCGATTACCACCGCCAGGCCCGCAGACATGGCCCCCGACGTCACTTGCAACGCTTCCCGTGCGCATGTGCACGGTGTCGCATTGTCACGCTATCCTATCTTCAGGTTACGAATTTAGAAGATGCGAACAGCATAGAAGGCAGAACCGTCATCATAATCAATTGAAACGCGTGAGGGAGAAGGAGGTGAAGAGCGTTCCGATCTTCTTGAACGGGGAGTGGAGGAAGGCCGAGGTTCCCTTTGGAAGGGACGGTGACGATGAGGTTGAGGACGAGGGACAGAGTGGGAATGAAGGAGAAGGGGCCACCAATGAGAAGATGATGGATAGGTCTACGGATCAGGTGGCGAGTACATCCGCAGCCTCAGGTGTGGACGCAGAGGTACATCCATTATCCTCTTTATTCTTCTCCAGCCTTTTGTCTCACAGACCTCTTCGACCTTAGTCAGATCCGAATCCTACGGTTGATCCCTCATTACCTCCAGCAGCCCGTGGAATACGACGTGCCAATCACCACTGTTCCGTCAAACCTTGTCATAACTTGCTCAACCCGAACGTACCCTTCAAGATGTGTGAGGTCCACAGGCTGAAGGATGCTGAGTCCAGAAAGCGCAAGGCGGAGAGGAAGGAGAAGAAGAAAGTCCCCGAGGCAAAGACGAAGAAGGATGAGGACACACTGGTGCAAGGTTCTGGTAGGACAGGCAGAACTGCTGAAGGTAATTTACGGCCCGGTGAAACTCTTCAGGGCGATGAACATGTATGTGCAGGCAATGTCCCCTCCCAGGAGGAATCCGTAGACGACGAAGATGAGGCATCCGTATCCAGAGCCTTGATCCCTTCGGGCGATGAGGCCGGGAGCTGCAGTCCTTCTGCGAGGTCGACTCCGAGCACCCCTGAGTTCTCTTCAGCTCATCAGCACCAAACCCGAATCATCTTCATGGATCCACTCGTCCCACCGTCGTTTAGCGAATCCCAACCAGATTCTCCACGTACCCTCAACTCCAAACAAGACTCTTCTATCCCCGCCCCAGATTCTACATCTTTCAGCGACGCGTCTCAAGTTCCTCCCTCCGATCCACGAGAAGCTCCTTTCGCCACAGTCTCCCCTTCTGTCACCATGCGGGGTCCACTCGTCCCGAGAGCCACCAAGTTTATTCATTCGCCTCTGGCCAGTATCGGTCGTGTACGGTCTGACGAAGCCGCCTTTAAAGCTGCGACGGAGGCGAGGGAAGCGGAGGTGGCTGCGAGGGTCACAGCGAGTCTCGCCCGGTTCCTCCCTCATGTCCCTTTGAATCGCGACTATACTCCTGGACCCACAGGAGCCTCTGCCTCTGCCTTGCAGATGAAAGACCTCCTCACGCCAGCGTTGCCGAACGCATCGTCGCAGGCACCATCCACTGTCGCTCCCGAGCCGGACGCCACTCCAATTTTGAATGCCGTTTCCTCTGCGCCTCCAACGCCCCCTACTTCTACGCAGTCCAGCGGAAGGACGACCGATCCTACTACCAACACAACGCCTGTTCCTGCTCCTGATGCTCCCATGCCAGTCGAGCAAGTCAAGAGAAGAAAGAGAGCCCCCAACTCGGACCCAGCAGGACAATCCGCTTCGACTACCCAAACAGAGTCGAAGTCGATCAAAGACCAGAAGAAGCCATCCGCATCTCCACGTCAGCATACGCCAATCAAGGCTACCCCACCCCCACAGTTCCCAGATCCTACCTCCCTGCCTCCAGGCTACCCCGCATACTACGTCCCCGCGCCATACGGTACCTCACCTTACTACGGCCAGCCACCTCCGCCAGGAATGTACGCAACTCAACTGATGCCATATCCATATCCACCTCATATGTCCGAGGCTTCGTCCTTTGTTTCGGCCCCACCCAACTGTTATGGAGAGCTCATGGCACCGCCTGCATACTTGCCACCCCCTTCCGGAGGATATGGAGCCGTGCAGGCTGGTTTGGCGGGGTATATGTATGCACCCGGGGGAGGTTGGCAGCAGTATGGGCATACGATGCACCAAACGGCGCTGTACAACGGGTATCAGCCATCGGGAATGGTAGAAGACGTGCACGGCAGTGAGTCAACGAAGGTAGTGGAGGATGGAAAGGTGCGTTATAATTCACTTCCTGCTCTACTTCCGGGGAGCGTAGTCTCATTTTTGGAATGGGCAGATCAAGACGAAGAGATCGGCAAAGAGGAAAAGGAACGACGAAGTTGTGGAGGTCACTCACGCATCTGCCAGTAGTGCTGCTGCCATGGTACCTCCGTCCATGAACTCTCCTCAACAGGATGCGGCTGTTTCGACATCTCTGTCTATCGACACTCCCGGGCACACCTCTGCCTCCGACCAGCAGACCGCCCCGCCGGTGAGTATTTACCGACTTATTGCGCCTCGAAGTCACTAACGATCGCTGGACGCTTCTTCTAGCGACCATGCGCAAACACGACATGTCATCGTCACATCCCCAGCTCCACACCTGGTACGCTATGCGAGAAGTGCAAGTCCAAGATCAAGAAGAGGCTGGAAAGAACGAAGCAGAGGCTGAAGCTCGAACCCAGGAAGAGCATCGCCCCGAACGAGGGCTCCACTAGCACTACCCATTAGACAGCTTCGGCTGCCCTCTAATATACTCTGTCGATATGTATATCACTATAATCGTATCTTAACAATATATTGATCGCGCATAGCTTGGATTATCTCAAATCTCAGTGCTTGATTAGCTCTCAACCGAAGCCCCAGCGGCAGCGAGCGATTTATGGAGAATGATATTCCTGCTGTCTCGAGACAAAAAAACACAATGTGGCGCGCCTCATATATCGGTGTACCGAAAGACTTAGGGCCGTTGCTCAAGAGATCGGGTGCAGACGCTATCTGGAAGTCCAAGTATCCCATGTGGGTTTATTTTTGTGTAAGATGTACAGAGTAGAGGGTCCAGCAAAACGAAGCGGTGTAATAATGGAAGTGCAGCGTGATTAGGATGTATCGTGTTGAATAAGAGACCGGACAAAAAGAGACGATGAATGCAGCAACGAGCAACGATAATAGATAAAAAATGAGGAAACATAGACAAGTATAAAGTACACACGTTCTTTTAGAGCGACCCACGTTCGTTGTCGCCTGAATCGACCAAGAAAGCGTATCCATACGACCAAGGAATATGAACAGGAATGTCTGAGCAGAGAAGCTCAGCTCATGTCCATAGCCTCATCCACATTCGCAGTCGTCTCATCGCCTTGCTCGCTCTCCAAATCGCTGAGGCTAAATATGTCTTCCGCACAGTGCTCGAGCTCCTCCCACTGCGCACACTCCTCAGCGTATGCAGCCAGCGCCTCAGCATCTTCATCTTCGAAGGCTTCGAGATCTGGCTCAGCGTAGGTCGACGGCGCGTAGGAAGCAACAGCAGATTGAGGAGCTTCTTCTGTTGTTTTCATATTAGTATATATTTGAGGCTGTACTACTTTGAGTGACAAATGAAGTGGACATGAGACATACGTAGTTCTTGTTCCCAGTTCTCCATGTCTGGATCCCAGGAAGAGCCGACGTCGTCTTGGAAGGATACACGGTAGGTATGCTGCCTCTTGTGGTTTGTGTTAGCCATGATGCGCCTGAAGAGCTGGAACGAACATAGAATCAGCTATTTGTGCGTCCAGATGTCACCACGCATCGTCTCGGACGAGACCATAGCGACGCGCAATCTAGTGGCGGTCATTTACCGCAACCTGCATAGAACAACATACCTCGTCATTCAAGGCTTCATCCGCATCCTCCAATTCGTCCTCATCTTCATCCATACCCACGTCGCCATCAATATCTGGCTCCGATGAGCTCTCCCATTTCCTCCCCTTATGGACCTTCGCCTCTCTGGCCTTGATGGCCCTCTCCACACATCGCTTCTTAAACTTATCCCTCAACAAGCTATTTCCATCCTCTCTCTTCGCTCCCAACTCCTCACCGAAGAGCATGCCTAGGGGCTCCTTACCCTTCTTCGAAGAGTATGCCGCGCTGGCCCTCCGTCGGCTCTCTGAAGGCTGGGCATACCGCGAAGCATTGGACGAAAGTTGAACGCGCGATGACGATGACGAGGCTCTCTTTGAATTATTGAATGCGGGAGTGAATTGGCCACTCTTACGCGCCTGAACGGCGGATGTGGGTGACGATCCTGGAGACGCGGAGAGTGGGGACGATGTGTGGGGGTAAAAGTCATGGGGTGAGGGTGTGCGCGGGTAGGACGGTGTTTGGGGTAGTATTGAGTGCATCTCTTTCAATTACGACGATAGAAAGAAGACTGCAGACGATGAGTAGATGAAAGTAAAGGAAGAGAATGAAGGACCAAGGTCTCGCGCCACATTTGTTTGGCGCGTGACGCGTCAATCAACAAAGCGCGTGACCGTCACGCGTCGCGTCATCTAGAGTCACGCCATTTCTTCTCAGCCTTTTCTTTCCTCTTTGCCACCGGCGGTTGTCGTCAACTCCTTCTTGCATGGTAGACCTTGGATTCCTAGCCTTAACCTCACCCATCTGCCGTCATGGCATACAGATGGACAGTTGCGTTCAAACAGGCTATCGCATTGTCGAAAAAGTTGATAACTCCCCCTTCTCTCCAACTGTGCCTCTTCCTCACGCTGGACTTGCGCTGGGCTATTCTCTCTGCTACACTTGTTGCCAGGGCTACAACGGACCCATTGAATACTTGTCATTATGCCACTCAGCCACTCTTGTGCATCGTGTGGAGCATCGACCCATCACGATATTTCGGGCGGCCCTCGTCCTCTGTCGTTGACCCATATGCACGTAAAACCTATCTGACAGGATCATGGCGACATGTCCGCGGACATCCTGCGATATACTCTACGTTCACCTGATGGAAACTTCCCAATGTCCATCTCCGTATGTTTCTGTTCTCCAGCTCTTTCTCCATCTCGTCTGTCCCTCGTCATGTACAGAGCTACCTGGACGCCATCTGGACGCCACCTACCATCGACCTCTTCTCGGCTAGGCATTGAAACACCCAAACCTCCTTCCCTCCGTTTCGTGCTTCTGACCATTTTCTAGCTTTTCGCTTCCCGGTATATACACTAGACTTATGGGATACCGACGGTGGCGTTCCCCTGTGGCTATCCCTAGCCGACTACTTCCAAATGCCTTAGAGCCAACCTTCTCTCCTCCATTACTCCCTTCACAGTGCGACTGACTGCAGCCTTACCAATGTTCGGGTTATGCGGCCACAATGGGAACAGGGGGGACTCTCAATAACTCGGGCATCCTACTTTGCTCGGAGACTTTTCTGCTTTGACAGCGTACCCCCATGCTGTGTGGTGTATCAGTGGCGCGAGCGCGAGTGCTTCTGTTCTTGATACATCTAGTCACGTCCTCTCTGTGGTTCGATTGACTCTGTACATGCAGGGACCTCGCCCCTACTTTTAGTCTGACTGCTTGCGCGATCTCCCGCTGCGTTGCTACAGGGTCTTTTACTCAACTATCGGCGGGAGGTAGCAACTGTCAAGGCCAGGCGGGGGATAAGACTGCCCGACGTTGGCTACCAAGCCGGCATCATCGCTCACTCCATCGACGGCCATGATTTTCCGACCGCCAGGAATTCTTTTTGTACGATCATCCAACTCCTCGCACATGAAGTCCCCCTCGCTATTCTTTTCAATGAAGCCCGTCGTACGTATGCGGAACCCTACCATGAGCCGTGCTAGCGCCCAACTGCAGGCGCAGATACTATCTTGGTCGGCGCTCGGCGGTAGACAAGTTTTTGTGTTTGTTTTCTAAATTTGTATGGACTCGACTACTTGGGGAGATATTAGCCTTCGTCATTTCTCCATGCCCGTATGGATCGGCATCCCCTGGCGTACTAACCTCAGCAGTTCTCGGCCGGCTCTTTCTTCGCTGTTTCTCCATTTGTGTCTTAGATCGACGGACTATATTCGTTTATGACAGGGCTGTTAGTAGGATTGTCTACAGCGTAGTTCGTGGCTGAACCTTATGCCAGGATTGTTCTACGATAGGCTATGTGGTTTGTCGATGTGCCTCAGCCAAAATAATAATAATATGTCGCAGTACGAATGTTTGTGTGCTCGTAGTCTCCGAAAACAAGTATAACCAGTGGCCTCCTGAACTGTTCTTCAACCGGCGGCAAATACAGATGCGGCGAATATCATTTGCTCCCGCGAACGCTCTGAGGTCAAGACAGCCACTATCGGGGTTATCTACCTCGCTCTCTTCCTTACTTCCACATATTGAGTTCAGAGCTCTGTAGTAAAGTGGTCTCACTTTCCCTGTCGCCGGTGACACAACCCTGCTAATGAAGGCTGCTAAAATCGGTCATCTGGACTGCAGTTTTAGGCAATATCAACTCCACCAACCATGGCGGCCGTTGTTTCCATTCTGTGGCGCAGTAAGGGCTTACCCAGTAGCCTGATACCGGCGCTTTGATATGATGCATATGGCTCGTTGAAAAGTCATCATGATACGCCTCCAAACTTCTTGCGCTCAGCGACGAGCGCCTCTCGAGTCTCCTACTTACGACCACCTCTCCTCAGGCTGCCAGCTGAAAGAAGTCTGCGTGAACATTCGGGGCCGCTCTTGGAATATTATTGTCTCTTTGTGGGTCGTGGGAGTTGGTACGCGCTAGCCGAGTCTTTAGCTCGAATCTTCTTATTCGCGCGCGCATCCGAGGATAACATGGTATGCGTCTGGCTCACGGGACATCCGGTGGCGTTCGTAGCGTTCCTATCTGAGGTATCTGACCTGCCGAGGTGTGAAGGGAGGGCACTGATCTGGATAGTGCAAGCCGCTGGCGTTTGCGGGCGGTCTGAAGCACGGTGGGCTTGATTCCGGGGGCGGTTGATGAAGCCGCCAGGACCGGCTCAATCAGGTACGATATTTCGCGCCTGCCAGATTGGCTGCTCTTGTTCAGTCTTGTTCTCCTTCAAACATGTCCTTCCTCCATATCGCCTAGCGTTGATTGCCGCTGCTACCGCAATCGAGGCCGGTATATATACCCTCTGTTTACGGTAACATACCTTGCTTTCTCGACTGCTTCTCCCGCCCGGACTGTCTCTGCATCATGCCATCCTCTTTTCTCGCTTACAGGCGAGACTGGTGCGTCCCGGGCGTCACCTCATCCAGAACATAGCTGACCTATTCTGTAGCGCAACTTTTCAACAGCGCAGACAGGCCAAGCTCGATGAGCTCGCGCCCATACTTGATGCCCCCCTCACCGAGTCAGAGTCTAAGATCCACTCCCTTTCCCTTTCCGAACTCGTCGACCGACATCAGGCAGGCTCAGTCTCCTCGCAAGATGTTATCTATACGTATGGCAAGAAAGCCTTTGCTGCACACAAGGCCACCAACTGCCTCTCCGATGTTATGATTCACGATCTACTGCCCCCTACGGGCCATGTCGCGCTCAACGGTAACGGCGATGCGTATCGTCCTACGAAGGGGAACGGTTACGCGAACGGCCATGCGGATCTGTCACCCTCACCATCAGTCTCCAGCGTCGATACATTTGCCGAGGATTCAGAGCACCCGCTATCTGGAGTTCCCGTCAGTATCAAGGACGTCATCGACGTCGAGGGTTATCCAACGACTATGGGATACTCTGCCAACGCTCTCACACCTGTTCCCTCTTCTGCACCCATCATCCATCTCCTCCGACGCGCCGGCGCCATCCTGCATGTCAAGACGGCTGTACCCATGGGCCTCTTATCCCTCGAGACTGACTCTGAACTCTTTGGCCGTACTGCAAATCCCATCAACCCAGCGTATTCATCTGGGGCGTCTACGGGAGGCGGAGGTTCGCTTCTCGCGATGGGGGGCAGCGTGATTGAGTTGGGCTCGGACGTCGGAGGAAGCGTGCGCTTACCGGCGGCGTTTTGTGGGATATACGGCATGAAGGCGAGCAATGGAAGATTTCCGTCGACGGGCGTTGCGGTTAGTACGCCGGGGTGCGAGGCTGTCCCGACGGTGGTATCGCCCATGGCACGACGGTTGGAGGACCTAGAGGAGTTTTGGAAAAGGGTGATGGCACTGCGGCCTTGGGAGATCGATCGAACTGTAAGTGACAGTTTCGATGGTTCCTTCAATCTCCGGCGAATAAGCGCTAAATTGATGATAATTATGATGATGGTGGCCAGTGTATACCGATGCCGTGGCGGCCGACGTCGTTTGAGGGGAAGAAGATGCGAGTTGGTGTGCTGTGGAATGACGGTGAGCGTCACACTGCGACGGACATATCCTTGTTTAGAGTGATCACTGAACACATATACAGGTATAATCCCGATGTCGCCTGCAGCACTTCGCTCTATAAATATCGTCATCGAGTCGTTGAAGGCTCGAGGGCATGAAGTTGTAGACTTGTAAGTGTCTTTTTCAGTGGGATATATTCTGTGGAAGTGGGTCATTGAATGGAGAAATGTATACAGTAAACCACCTACGTTCGAAGTCCTCAAGGCAGGTTATCAGCTCGCCTTCGCAGAAGGAGGGGCTCAGATCGCCGCCCCCCTTCGTCCCTTCGAGCGCCTGAACGGTGGTATCAGCTCAGTGATCTCCACCTATCGCCTACCCTACTTCATCAAGAATATTCTGGCCAGCTTCTTGCCACCGAAAGATGCCGAGCTCGTTCGAGCCTTCCACCCGAAGTCCGTATATCGTATGCGGGAGCTGGTCGTCGAGCTAGATAAATTGAAGCAGCAGTGGCATGAGATGTGGCTGGACCAGGGTATCGACCTTGTAATCACTGCACCTTGTTCAGTGCCGGGACTGCCAGCGGGTGGCACGACGAAGGCTGGGCTAGCTACCGCCAGTTACACTTTCTTGTTCAATATCGTACGCATCCTGCATTTGAGCCCTTCGTGCGTCTCCGTTAACGATCCCTGCTTTTTACAGCTTGATCTCCCTGCCGGAATTGTACCAGTAACGACTGTTTCATCGAAACTCGACGCACTACCTTCCTCCTTCAAACTTTCGGACCTTGACCCATCAGCACAAGGTCCATATTCTATGTACGATGCTGACAAGATGCAGGGTCTGCCTGTAGGTGTTCAGATTGTGGGTCGGCGGCTAACAGAAGAGCACGTATTGGCGGGTATGCGGGAGGTGAAGGAGGCCGTAGCGGCCTGGGATGGTAAGGATGTACGAACAGAATGGACACCGACTCTGTCATGACGGTCACGAACGTGGTTTTATTGGTTCTCTTTCCGATTATCGTGCGCCACACAATTCCTCTCTTCTTCTTTCGTCCACTTCGGCCGTCTAATCGGCCTCTTTTTTTGAGAGTTGACTCTCACCCTCTCTTCCGGACCCGTTCTTTCCGTGTACATCACCTATGGTTCTTTCCCTTCGTCAGCTCCACGCCACCGTTTCACGAGGAACATCATGTCTCATCTCACTACTGCACCACCCCCCTCCCCAATCCTTGTCCACCACCATCATCAATATCTATCTATGTCCCTAGGCCTTTTCTTGATATCCCGCATTTAGCTCTTTTTATGGTGCTCGTACACGTCTAATCCAACATCATATTGGGTAATTTGTACTTGGTTTGCTTTATCCCCTAGACGTATGGTATGTAGGCACCCGTGTAAATCCATGACGGTCTCTCTCATTGGAGCCCGTCTCTTTCATGTCCACACCAGCGATTCTTCATCGGAGGTGGCGAAGAGGCGGCGATCCGCCAGACCATGGCGAGGCAAAGGAAGCATTCCATTTCGGAAGGTTACCCTCGAAGCACTTCGAATTTCACTTGCTATCATGAGGTCGGGGATCTTCTAGGGCGAGCATAATATGCGCATTTATTCAAATAGATGAGAATCTTTCAGTTTTGAATAATTTGAATGCCTGAATCAGGGCAGGATGACGTCAGACGGGCTCGGAACTACAAATATTATGCGCAAAGTCAGAACGCTCCCTCGACTTTCCGCGCCACACCAGCAACGACCAGCTCATTCAACCTTCCAATGAGCTTACAGCTCCGAGGCAGGCCCAAGGGCCTCAGGTCCCAGGTCTACACATGCGCTTCAATCTGGTCTTGAGCCAACGTTGACACAAGCTTGCAACATGTCGTGATGCTCATGATTATTCACTGTTCTAAACAACACCACCTCTGTCGACCGTTTATTCCTGAAGCTTGCGGTAAACTCTGCAATGGTCTATGATTGGTCTATGAACTTGTCGGTGATTAAAACCAGTGGGAGACCATACCAAGCCCCACCGTGAACATATTGGTGCCCAAAGGTGGCTTCATCGCCGCGATTGCGTGGGTAGAACAGCTGATAAGCAAGACCAATCGTAGACGCACGCCATGCCCGTGCTCCTATGTTCATCGCGGGTTTGCACTTGCTGTGTACTCCCCTCAGAGGAAGCATGCGTTACGGTGAGTTCTTTCTCCCACTGCAGACAAAGATGATTCTGACGATTGTGGGCTTTCAGGTCGAGTATACACCATCTGGGAGCGGAGACGGTGCTCTAGAAGTGAGTGCACGACATTGTCGTTTTTGAAAGACAGAATTTTGAGCCCAGCAACGTGCATCCGAGCATCGTGCTGTCACAGAATGACAGGGGCTACTACAGATGTCGTACAAAGTGCGAGGTCGGCTGTCATTGTTTACGTTGAGATTAAAGTGCAATACGTCCGTAAGTTGCTCAAAGCGGATTAGACTTGGAAGACCTGCTTGTTCTCTACTGACAGTCGCTCGCCCGGTAATCTGCAGCTCGACATCTGTAACCGACTGTATTCGACGAGGTCACACGTTCCTTGCTAAGTATGCTCCGAGAGCCTGCTGCAAGCTTCTCTCGCAGAGGTCAACGGCAGTAGGTACATGTTATCTGCATGGACCAGCTGCAAGGTAAGCGAAGCGGATAAATTTTCCCATGGTGGAACGGTGACAGTTCTTTACTTTATAAGCCATCTGCTGCAGAAATTCATCCGTGGAAATACCCCCGCTTCGCATCCGCTGTGTTGACATGAACCCCGTTACTCGGCTTTAAACGGTACACCCATGACCGCGAGTGCTGAGGATATAGCGGCGGTGTAAGTTTTATTGAAGTAAGTGTTTTGTGATATGCAGCTAAACTACGTGTTGATTTTTAGGAGGATACAAGCGTACCTTCATCTCGCGCCCGTTGGTGAGTGCAAACATTGTCTTTGACCCGAATCCGTTAAGTAACCCGGCCTTCTACATGTGCAGTGCTCCTCTACTACGGTACAATTCGAATATCCAATACTCCAGGCACCCGAGAATCTGACCGCAGTCTCACAGATCATCTCCTCACACTTCCACGCGAGATTCGAATTGTTTGGCGCCGGGCGCGTTCAAGAGGGTCCATCTGGTTCTTCCTGAACAGATATATACCATTTTGTGCCAACATAGCAGGTTGGCGGAGCTGTCTTCATTTCTCACTTGTATGATGTCTGACAGTCAATCACCCACAGTCGTTGTTTTGGCGTTCACTGATCTGCTTCATACCCAAGAAGTCAGTCTTTCCCCTAACACTGTTGCACAGTCCTTACTGAACTCATGTAATTTTCGTCTTATTAGACGTATGTTCTCTCTCCCATATTATGTTGCTTCGTGTCTCAAACTTCACTACAGATGCGGCGGCTATGGCCTGTTCCGGGAGATCATCCTGCTTCTCAACCAAGTTGTTGTCTGCAGTGAGTAGTTATCTTCCCTCAGATTTCGTTGACTGACCATGGCCACTAGTTCTCTTGATTTTGCGCACCTGCGCACTCTATGGAAACTCTCGCACACTTGTCATCTCGTTCATTATCTTGTCCATCGTATTGCTTGGTGCCGCCGGTGTACGTCTTCCTCATTTCTGTCCCTATTACACACAGTTTCTGAGCCCTTCAAACAGTTTTCTCTGTCTGGACATGGTGCACAAGACGTCGCTGAAGAGCTCAATATCCCGGGGCTGGGATGTTTTTGGTCAACATCATTCTCTGCGTGCGTGCGTTCGAATGAGGGAATCCGCTTTTATGGCTGTTCTTGCTTATATAAATTTGTTTCCTCCATTTTAGCGGCACTCGTACGTCGTCATGGCTTTTCATCGTAAGGTCATCGTTCTGATCTATGACGGCCGACAGATGTGGCTACAGCATGGGAAAGCCAAGTTGTTCTCGATTTAGTCGTTATCGTTCTGACCATGTATAAGTCATGGCGAACAACCCGGCTAGAAGGACGCAAAACGTTTCGCACGGGAAGTCGCTTAGTAGACGTTGTTTACAGAGATGGTAAGTGCTTGTTTGTATCATGAAAAGACCCCTGTTCATTCTAACTTTGCAATCCACAGGCGCAATATATTTCGGGTTCGTCCCCATGCTCCCGTCAATGTGTTGTCTCAGCGATGCGCTGACATATCCACAAATAGTATAATGCTCTTGTTCAACGTCGGCAACATTCTATCTTACTACGTGAGCCATTCGTCTTTGTTTCTCTCGTTGCTTAGTAGCTGACTCGCGCTGCAGCTCTTCCCGGTACGCGTTACTGTTCTTCACATCACAATTGATCCTGACGTCCGCCCTAGCCACTGCTCAAAGGCTCTCTAGCAACCTGTGCAACCTGGTCCGGTTCCCGTCCCTTTTTGTGCAATCCCGCGCTCACAATCACTCCACAGCGTTTCCGTCACCATGATTTCTCGAGTTCTGCTCAACATTTCCGAGGCAGCCTCCCCACCGGAACCGGACGACACAATTTCCTTAGAAACTGTTCTCTCTGTGACCCCCTACACAACGCCTGCGCATAGTAGGACAAATCGACAATCCTTACAAGGGCTCCAGTTTCACACTGCCGGCCAAAGGAGTAGACGAATAGAAAATTCATATGATGATGAAGATACATATCATGGTCAATCGACTGGCGGGCGAGGCTCAGAACACGAGGTCATAGAGGTTGTCAGGCATAATCCAGAGGATCCTGGGTAATCTGCTAAGGAAGTCAGTCCTTCGTTTATTTGTACGAGTATTATATGTGATGATGCAGCCAGACCACCTTTTCTCGACCCAAAACGGACAATCTTGCATACCCAACATTTTCTATATAGTTACCGTTTTGAGCTCGAACACATCCCTCGACGATACGTTCGACCATTCGATTTTTACTGCGCTCTCCGAGCTGACCGCACCATCAGCAAGACAGACCTGAAACAGATACAATTCGTCCGCAACCCTCCTCATCTGTTCTTCATGGTGACCGTCACTGTCTCGCCTCGTTGTGCCCTATCATGTAGCCCCTTCAATGATCTGTGCAACATCGGACGACTTTGAACCTTTCATTTTTTTTATGTATAAGAGCAGCGGCCACTGGATACCACTGTCCAGCAACATTTGATCCTTGAAGTCGCTTATTCACAGCCATGGCTACCGTCGACGAGTTACAGGCAGTGTACGTGGCTGGATATCGTGCCCGCAATGACGCTGCCTAAATAACAGGCTCTCTGCATGCAGTAGGTCCACCAATTACCTTGACGTCGTCTCATTCTTCTCTGGTCTATAGATGATGGTCTCAGAACCGCAACGGTTCTAAGCAATCCCAAGGACCGCACTGCAATGGAGACAAGTTAGTACCCGTAGTAAGCTCGGGAACGGAGAAAAAAGCTCCGGCTCGAGGACGGCTTCGCGTGCGAGATGGATCTCTGTGGGATCTGGAGAAAAAGAATGAATACCGTGCCGTCGAGATCACGGCCCCGATGGGTTCTTCTATCGCGGAGGACTCAGCACTGGCAGCGGGTGTGGGTAGGTGTGAGTATCTATTTAGTGTGAGTATGTGCGGAGATCGTGCGGTTGCGCGCGATAGATAGCATATGGCGGTGGATATGCAGCCTGGAAGGTGTTCTCAGTGGGACTACGGATAGAATGGTGTTGTATGCAGGATGACGGATTCGGACGTCAACTTACTGTAGCTCTGAAGATCCATATAGTATTTTGGGTGCACCATTTACACTCCGCTACTTACGCTGCACGACACCCATATCTGATCCTACTTTCGTATCAGAAGATATCCCAGGCGTAGCTCACTCTTACAGCTATCGGTGGCTGCCCGAGAGCTCACGCTCTCCGGAAATGGTGAGAAGAGAACGGGAAGCCTAGTACTAGGCGGATTGCCACACAAGCTCGAGACGCAACATGGAAGAAACGAAGAAGTCGTTCGTGAGATCAAGCGTAGATAGATAGAAGGATACTGTGTCTTTCAAGGGATTGAATTTCGAAGCCTGCCAGTGGACATGGCGCCACAGTGCTTGGTCGACGTACTTAGGTGGCACCATCGGAAACGGAAGTAAACGCCACTCCGGATCGCTCCGATCAATCAACGAAGATCCTCACTGTGGCCCTCGACCCTCAGAGCAGTCAGGTTTTTGACAAGACCTTCCACCCACTCGACGTTCAACGTCAACATTCAGGCAGTCCAACGGTTTGATGAGCAGACGCGACGAAAAGAGCGGATTATTTCAAAAGAGCGACGGGTGAGTAAGTAGTAAGTACGAAACCCAGGTATTGTAGGACACCGCACGAAATGCGTGGCCAAGAGAGTCAAAAAAAAAAAAGAAAGTCCACGAGATGCAGACAAGAACGACCGAGGACCCAACCGACAGCAAGAACAGCAAGAAAAGCAAACAGACGACACAGATTACCAAAGAAAGTTCAAAAAAGAGAACAACGCAGCACGACGCTCAACAAGGGAAAAGAACAAGTCCCTCGGAATATCGGCAAATGTCCAACTCTGCAACAGCAAGTCGCCGAACCTGTCCCACGGGTCCGTTTCCTTACAACAACGCGAAGATACCACCGACAACGCCGAGAGCAGCAGCAGCCCACATGCCCCTGCCGGACTCGCCCAAGACCATGCCAGCCGCTCCGCTCGAAGAGGTGGTGCTGCTCGAGCTCGAGCCTGAGCTGGTGGCAGTCCCGGGACTGGAGCCAGAGGTGGCGGAGCTGCTGCCGGTGGGGGTCGCAGATGCGGCGGGGAAGGTCGATCCGGCAGCTTTGACTTCGAAGGGCGCAGACGTGGCATAGATCTATTTTTATGTAACTTAGTCAGTGCCAGCCCGTGTATTCCGACTGAGAACAACGGAGACGGGATACGGTGATGAAAACGGAAGGGAATGAGACGTACATCAGTTGAGTTCACGATGTTGGCCAAAAGGATGGTGTAGTTCGTGGCCGGAGTGAGAGCCGCCTGCTGCTGGGTGATGGTATGAGAGCAGTCGGCATTCTGGACAGAGGCGATGATGGCCATGGGAGCCGTAAGGATCGTAGGGTCGCCATTGGCAAGACTGTTGTTGAAGAAACCAAGAGAACGAGGTTGGAAAAACAAGCGCTCGGTTTGAGAAGACGCGAGGAATACAGGGAGAAAGAAGAACATACAGGACTTGGAAGGTCGTCGCGGGCGCGTTGTCGTTACAAGTCCATATGAGGGTATTTTGGGACTGAGCCACTGTATACGTCCGGAGGGCGAATCGTATGTGAGACAGTGCGCGAGGGAAACATCATGAGGATTCGCACAATGTAGAAATAATACTAATTGAACGACGTACCCCACCAGAGGCTGTCTCCGCCGGGACTAGTGATGCTGAAAGCACTGGCGTAACCAGCGAGAGAAGCAATAAGGGTAGCCTTGAGCGTAGAGGCGAACATGTCTGGAACGGCGAAGAGGAAGGAGGGCAAGAAGCGGCACAAAGGAGGTGGGAACGGACGAGTAAAACGGACGAAGCTGAGCACGCTGGGCAAGGTTCGTGACAGATGCCGTGGTATTTTGGGCACTAAAACGCCACCGTATCCAGACATCGAACATACCATATCGGGTCGAGTTTATGACGATACCAATGTGTTCGCCGTCGCTTACGTCGAACAGCCATCTTACCTTGTCGTCACAGAGCTGAGGACGTACCTTGTCCACCGTCGCCGACATCATACGAGCCACAATGCCTCGTCCAACGCCAGGTCTTGCCCATTTCTCCCAGCAGACCTCGCTGCACTCATCCTATCAGACACTCTCCAACGATCTCTCAGCTCAGTCTCTTTCGACTCTCCACTCGCAGCTCGCCACATTCCGCACTCACCTCCAAACGTTCGCGACGACCCATCGTTCCAAAATCCGACAAGACCCCAACTTCAGACATGCGTTCCAGCAGATGTGCGCCTCCATAGGCGTCGACCCTCTCGCCGGTGCCAAGACGAGGGGCGCGATGGGTCTAGGAGGACTCTGGGAAGGGCTCGGACTCGGAGAGTGGATGATTGAGCTGGGCGTGCAAGTCGTGGACGTATGTGTCAGTACGCGAGAGAGAAACGGTGGGTTGATCACCATGGAGGAGCTCATACGCATCATCTCCCGCCTACGCGGACTCTCTCCTCCCTCGTCCGGCTCTTCAGCCAGTGCGGGTGCGATAACAGAGGATGATATCTCGGCTGCCATTCGCACCCTGGAACCGCTCAACGCAGGCTATACCATCATCACCTTACCTCCCTCTCTATCTTCCTCGCTTCCCTCCTCACACAACACGTCCCACAAACTCATCCGCTCCGTGCCGTCCCCACTGGACTCATCCATACTTCCGATCCTATCCCTCGCACATCTCCACAATGGCCGTCTCTCCGTCTCTCTCCTCGTCTCTTCCCAAGGATGGCCCGTCGAGAGAGCTCGAACGGCGCTTGATAACATGCTCCTACGGGACGGGACATGCTGGCTAGATGAACAGGGCGAGGGCGAGTCGGCTGATGGGGAACCTGGTGGGAGAGCGTATTGGGTACCGGCTGCGATGCACTGGGAGGACTGAGGACTATGTGTCTGACTGGGATATCGACCGTGATATGGTGTTCTGTGCGGAGCGCTTCGGTAAGCGCGAGACTGACCGTTGAGGTTATCTTGTCATCGCACCAAGTTGCGGACAGCCCGTTTATGGTGAGTCTGTCATTGTTCCTATCATCCAAAACTTTGCTGGACTGCGGAACGTGTTTAGGAAATATGACTACCCCAATACGCGCTGCGGAGAGCAAGCCCGGAGAAAGACGAGTTAGTTATGTGTACGACTTGTGATCAGAACTCTTAGAGCTGTACCCTTGTATTTCTTGTATCGTTTTTACTGTCAATCCTCTGTGTGGCAGTGATCCAACCTGACTGTCCAGCACTCGCACAGAATTCCACACAAAATCGCCTCAGTGTTCACATGTAGTCATTCAAGACTTGGGCCTTCCGTAGTCTGGCTTCGCACTAAAAGATCGTGAACCAATTCATAGTGCATAATGCTCCCATATGATATTGGCATGTGAAAAAGAGTCGGAGCGCGACATGGCATAATACAGCAGGCACGCCGCATCTTTTGAGCATCATCTCTCCACCCTCGCAACTCCCATCCACGACCTCTCGACGCATCCCATCAAGCCCAAAAAGCGAAATAAGAGAGCGCTTAGAAGGTGGCGGGGCGGTTTGCGACGAAGATCGACTTGGTCTTGGAGACACGGTGGGGGAGGGGGAACTTGAGCTTGGGCTGGAGGAGTTGCTTGATGTACGGCCTGCGGACATCCTCGCTCTTCGCAATCTCGACGACGCGGAGGATCTATAGTGACCGTCGCGAGGGAGTCAGGACAGGAAAAACGATAACAATGCATCGGTGCAGAGAACGTACGTGGATAGACCGGAAGCGGGCACGATGCCTGGCGGCCATGTCCTGGTAGAGGGACTTGACGGCGTCGGCACGGCTGAGCTCACGGAACTCCTTGTACATGTTGTGTGTACCCGAACGGGAGTCATAACGGATCCAGATACCGAAGTTCTTGACCTTGAGGGGCCTCTTCTCCGAGATCTGTAGGAGACAGCCAAACGCAGCAGGACAAAGTAGAGCAAGCGTTTCCGCGAGTCGCATTGTATCGTATCACAGCAAGGATTGTGCGTGTGAGGGACGGCGCGAAGGTATGAATCACCAGAGCCCAATCAAGGGATGGAGTAGGTCAGCAAAAAGCCCTTTCCGCCTGCCTCTTGAGGGCTGCATGGGTACATGTGGGAGAGGAAGAGACGGGTACTAACGATGTTGACGCCAATGATCTCACCATTGGCCTTCTTGACCTTCTTCAACTTCCTGTGTTGTGCATTAGTGACTGAAAGGCTGATTGCTAGCGATGGACGGTGCGCACCTGAGGAAGTACCAGAAGCGAGACTTTGCGACAACATCGTTGACCGCAAATATACGCATCCGGTAGATCTTGGGAGTCGGCTCAGACTCGGTGGGGAGATGCCTCCCGACAACTTGGTATTCCGTCAGGCCCATCTGAGAGTTACGTGCGTTCCAGCAAGGTCGAGGAGAGGAGTGGATCGGGTGTACGAGGAGCAAAGAGAGATACAAGTCAGTACAAGTTCACAGCAGGGCCCAAAAAATTGAAGTCGGTCGGTTCATCCGTCCAGCACTTCGTCCATCCACCCCGTTCCTTCGCTCGCCCTACTCCCTCTCACTGACAATAGACCATCGGTAACAATAAGGACAGCATAGACTCACTGTAGAGGTTTTTGAGGTCGGTTTCTTGAGGTTATCTACGCCGGTGAGCTCGATAGGCAAGGCTTGGTGCGTCGGGCCAGTTGTTTGGGCTCTGTTTGGCCGAGTGTTCGGGGGCACGCGAGATGCAATGATCAATCTTATCAGATAAGACAATGCGTCAGCGACCGCCCACCGCTTCGTTCTTTGACTCTCTTCAGCATTCTTGCGTCAGGATATTCACAAGATCGTCGGATCGTACAAGTGGTAATTTACATGGCATTGATGTGATTGAACAAATTACAGCAGACAACACTTTCGCATTTCAAGAAACCACGAAGTCCTCACCAGATCGCGGACTATCTCTACCTCGTCTAGCCAACGACCATACTCGAGCTCGAGTCCACCACCTCCGTAATCTGCTCTGTTCCCTCCGATCCCTTGGTACCAGGTCGCCGCGAGAAAACAACATCCTTGATGATCTGCGAGATGAGGCCGTGTTGAGCCTCTGCGGTGATCTTCGTGCTGGAGGGTCGAAATACAATCATGAAAGTGGGTGAAGAAGCAGAAATTGATCGTCAGAACGGTGAACCATGTAAATCTAAGAGCAATGACGCGTACATGTCTTTGACGCCTTTCGCTAATTGATTGGTTTCCTCCTTCTTAGCTTCCCTCTAAGATAAAAGATGTCGTGGAGTGATTAATATTGTAAGAACAGAGAAGTCGATTATCTGAGATGTACCTTGGTCGCGGCGTTAGCTTTCTCGTCCTTCGGCAGCTGCGGAATGGGTGCCCGTGTCTGCGATACGCTCCCCGAAGCCTTGGCCAATTTCTCACTGAGATCGACCAGTTGACTAGCGGCGTATGCTCGGTTCTGCGTGATAGGTATATGAGCCACATGGACCCGTATTCGCAATAGAAATCGAAACGCACCGAGATCAATGGGCTCTGGCTCAACGTGTTCACCCAGTATTTGTTCCACAACAGGCCTAGAAGTTCCTCGTCTAGACTGCTCTTGAAGATCTGCACGTCCAATGGGTAGTATTGGTTCGCGTGTACACCGAAGTCTTCGATTTTTGAAAGAGGAATGGATTGATATTCGTCGCCACCTCCCCCAGAGGATGATGGAGGGGTGTAGCCTTCAGGATATGTGCGGAAGGCACCGATATCGACACGACCGGCAGAAACGGTGCGGTTTGGGTCGATCTGGTACAAAGGAAAGTGGCGAGGAAAGTGGTACACGCGGAAGGTAGCGCGAAAACAAGTGAGGTGAGAGGATATTTAGAAAGAACTGTAGGAAGGGCACTTACGACGACAGCGACGAAAGGGTCTGTGAACTTTTGGTTGTTCATCTGTGTGTCCACATCAATTCCGGAAAGCCAACATCCATATCCCGGATGTGAATGGTACCACCCAATCGCGTTCTCTAGTCGTTGCACCTATATCCAGGGTCCGAACGTAGCAGAGAGATTACGAGGGGTCGATATGTGAGGAATGAAATAATGACAAGACAGAGGATATAGCACACCTTCTCACTCTCGGAGATGTACTGCACCATGTACTCGTTCGCCTCATTCTGCGCGTTTACTCGAGTTTCCGTTCCTTGGACGGGCAAAGCGAAAGAGTCGATGATTACAAGGGAGTCGCCCATGACTTTCCCTTGCATGAGACCCATAATCTCATGGGGAACACCCGACCGTGCGTGAATGACCTGCATGTCCATACGACGTGAGTATCTGTATCTCACGAACACGTTTTCGAGGAGAATGTGGATCCGATCACAACCAGGATGAACATCTTCTACGCACCATCTTGATCAAAGCAACAGCAGAGATCTTACATGATTTGAAGTAGTGTGGATCGGTGCTCCAGGGTTGTAGTCGATTGATATCCTTGTTTGCCTGGACATCATATGCGTAGATCTCATCCTGCGGTGAGATCTCCTTTATGTCGTTCACGAGAGAGAATGACTTGAGGGCGGTATCTGAACCTGAGGCTGCTGCCATGTTTGGCACGCGAAGGGTGAGCGAGGCTAAGGAGTGCGTCGCAGCTATTGGGAGGTGATTGATAGCTAGCAAATGGAGACTTTAAGCAGTGAGAAATCCTTCTCAAGTATTTGATATCGTCAAAGAGCAGCAGGAGTACTGGAAAAGTCGACGGTGATGAGTGCCGCAAGAGAGCCCTGTGTAAGATTGAAGTGGCTCTGGTTGACGCGTCGGCGCCGCCACACGCGACACGGCGAAAGCCGGTCAACGCGAGCCAACGCGTTCGCGATTTGGGCGCGTTCTGCATTCGCCAAAACTCTTCCCTAACTCTCCTCTGTTTGTTTGACTATCTTGTTCCTCTGTGATGATCAGTTTCAGTCACGTATGCGCACCTTCATCAAGGCTCTCAGGCTTTGAAGGAGTCCGATCTACTCGTGTCTATGACCGAGAACACAGTGTGCCTCCAACGGCGGATCTCGCAGAATTACAGGACGACGTACAAAACCTGAATATATTATGTCTTTCCGCACCTAACCGCGTGTCCTCATCCAATACGACCTTTTCTGGAACGTACAAGAGCTCGCAGTCTCAAAGCGGATGGCGGTCAATATATGGAGAATCGACACGGACCGTGCGTAGCGGTGTGAACCCGAGCAGTGTCCGCAATACCGATTCTCCATCGTGAAACCAATGATACTCATTCTCACTTCATGATACTTTACAGATGTCTCTAAGTTCGTAATACTGATGCAGCTAAATAGATACATTCCGAACACACGAGCATCAGAGTCACGATAAGGTCGGGATCCTCTGAAACACCGCCTATAAATTGTGTCAGTCAATATACATGCAGTGTGTAGGAAGGTGTTCACCCACACTCTACGATCCCGAATGCTTGGAGATGGGCGACGGCCGTAGCTGCCTCGACCAGTCAACGCCTTGTGGCTCAAAATCACGGTGGGGTGGATGTGGCTCCCCGAGAAACAACTGCGCGCGTAGGTAGAGTGCGCAGTCTCAACATGGGGAGCTCCTACCGTTTGACGGGTAGGTGAGTATGTGGAGAACCGACCTGGGCAGTGGCACACCTGGATAGAAGTGAGTGGCCACGCCTTCTGCATGTCTCCAGAACTCAAGAAACCTATTTCACGCAGTCACAATCTTTTGACAACAAAAGATCGATCGATCCGGGGTGAGTAGTGATTCTATGGCTTCTTCATTGACGAATAACTCACCTTGTAGTTAGTCCGACCAGGACGATTACTCAAGTGGTTATTATCTCAAGAAGCGACATTGACACACATTGCGGGCAAAATCGTCTACCAATACGGAAGCTGGGTAATGGGAGTGTATGCGCAGTGCGAATTGGGAAGAGTGGGCGTCCTCTTTCAGGGCTCCCGGGGTCTACTGCCGCAACCTGTTTATATCTGACCAAAAGGCGCCACGAGCTCGTGTGATCTTGGACAGTCTACGCAGCGTGGAAATACTCTCATTCTACACTCGTCTGGGCCCAGACAGGCGGAAGGTCATTTGATGCTCAGTAGAAACGCAATCATCATGTGTCTAGTGAGTATTCTGGACCTTGGGTTCTTGAAACTCCCACATTCATGGCTAATTTTCCTGCACGAATACCCAATCCGTTGAATTGCTGCAGATCTTATAATACCGTTGATGCTCATGGACGTTCTACTCGATGCGTGGGGTGTTGGCCACGTCTTTGTTCGGAACTCGCTTATTGTGCAGCCCGTCTTGGTCTCAGACTTTCGAAAACTCTTTGCAGTGAAGCGCTCGACACGGCATTGAGTTCACGAATCACGAGATGCTTTGAAATCTTATAACTTACGCCTATGTCTTGGCCGTCTTGACCGCTGCGGTGGCTCTTCCGAAGTTCGATTCTTGAGGCACTCAGGTATTCTTCGAGCAGTATCCCTTCACACTCACTCGCGCCTCTGATCTATCGACAGCATGATTTCATGTGAAACTGGCCGGGCTTTCTCTAGCTATAGTTACCGCCGCCGAACGTCTTCTGCCCGTAGCTTCGCCATATCAGTGGTGTGAGTGACGATTGTACAAGGAGGTCGGACGTAAATACGCGACGGCAGGAGATGTTATTTCCTTCTGGCATGCCCAACGGGTGGTTTCTATTTCCTGAAATTCCTTTTATCGAGGCGTTCTATTTTTCTCCCATGGTTCTGCGTTTTCTCAGCCTCCCGTGAACCTGCCCTGGACACATAAGACGGATAACGCCCGCATGAAATCGGCCAGCGTTTCTACGAAGCTGGCGCAGGACAAACGGCGGACCGGAGACGAACGTTCTCACTCACTTACTCAACCCACCCGACCCTTCCCTTACGTCGAAGGTGAATTAGAGTTTACAGCTAGTCAGTTTCGACCGCCTGGGTACATAAAACCTCAGAAAGGTTGATGTTGGCTGACTTCGCCGCTCTGCGACTGTGCTATTTTCTCCCTCGGCGGCGATCGCCTCCACCTGCAGAAGACGTTGTCGTCCTACCGAGATACTCTCTGCATCGAGCAAAAGCTGCGTCGACTGAAATCGACGAATGGTAATACTCAAGTGGGTAGTCATTTCTCTAAATCTGGGTGGGTGGCTTCAATCCGACGAGGCGCTCACATCATATGCAGAACTGTCTTCAATGACGAGGCGGTGCCTCTCGCAGGCTTCGGTGAGCTGTCTTCTCCTTCGCATGTTTGTTCAATAATATAACTGACTATACGACTCGCTGGTGAAGTTGTTCTGTATTACGGTCTGCCTTCCTGTCGCCTTAAGAACGCCGTGCGCTCCGCTAAGTTCGGTACAATCTAGACTGGGCTCTGACGCTGCCCATGGAGGTAGAGCGTCATTGGTCACGAAACAACTTTAACTGGGTGTCGGTCCTTTTCTTCGCCAACAGGTAGCTCGTATCCCGCTCACAATCCACTCGGTATCATCAGCGCTGACTACGCTACCTGATATCGAAGGTATGGGGCGACTCTTGGGTATCTGCCCGTCATGTTCCAGACGTTCGATCCGTATCAGGAGAAAAACAGCGTAGGCCATCGTCCCATGAATACTCGCTGTTTCTCACTTTACTTCTAGGACCGGTTCGTCGGCCATCAATTGACGGACTCTTTTTTTTGAGATCTGAATCCCTTCTGCAGAATACAAGCTTTGACGACCTATCGCACGGCTCTGGCCGCAACCATACAACTCCTTGCAGCTCGTCAGTGCATCAAACGCCCCTAGACGCTGACTGGTCGCGTCTGACATTTTACAATTCACACCTATCAGTTCTTATGGCGGTCAGGATCTATGCCATGTATGGTTGTAGAAGAGTCATCCTTGTCGTGACCGCATGTTTTGCTGCGGTGGCCATCTGTTTCACCAGCGTGAGTGGTGCCACTTGGTCTCTACTTCACGGACGATAGTTTGGTGGTGACAATCCCGGTAGTGGGTCATCTTGGGCCAGATCTCCACGGATACTGTTTTTTTAACTGAAGAAGTGTAAGCTCTGTTTGTTCCCGCTGCATTCCTAACATACTGAGTGAAAAATCTCCATGCAGGAGACATAGTAAGTCTGCACCAGTGTAAAGGGTTGATCGCAAGCTGAATGAAATCCGCTGTACAGGGGCCGCAGGGGCATGGGCTGCATTTCTACTGTTCGATACAATCGTCTTCATTCTCACCGTGCACAAGGCGTGTCACTTTGGAAGATCTCCCAAACGGAAACTGGTTCAAATAGTATTCAGAGACGGTGCGTACTATCGACTCTGTTCATTCATTCCTGCACCATTGCAAGTTTCTCATTAATTATCACTAGGGATCATGTACTATGCGTGCGCCTGCCGTGCGGTCTCGCATTGTAGCTTATTCTCAATATCTTCATAGTGTTATCGCCATGTTTGGGCTCGCAAATATCATAACCCTCCTCGTATGTTTTACTCCCTGCCCATTTTGTATTATGAACCGCTCTGAATTGACATGGCTCCACAGCGTGCCCCCGTCAGTTGGTCCGCGGAGTTACGCGTACAATCACTCACAAGTTTTGACTTCTAGGCATACGAGCAGGGAATTCTCTCGACTCTTGCCAACATGTATGTCAGTCTCACCACATACCCATCTATTGACCATCAGAATGACCATCCTCGTTCCAGTATATGTGTCACCACCATGAACCGACTCATGCTCAATCTTCGACATCCAGAGCTTACCGAATCCCCAGGAGCGAATACGGCTTGGAGAAACGACGGCACAAGTACCGGATTCTCAACGGAGTATATCACTACCTCCGTAGAGCCTGGCCCCAGCAGGGACATCGAAGAGTATCACCGACGGATGGACCATGTAGCAGTAGAAATCCAGGACGTTTCTCCCATCACTGGTAGTAGTAGAATATAGAGCAATTCATTCCATCGATGTAACAACAAGTGTTTTGATCAGTGAGCATCTCCCTGTACTAGAAGTGCTGGCCTGTGCGATACACCAGGCGCCGTCCAGTTGACCAGGTGGAAACGTTCCTGCCTCCCGCGAACAAACTCCCAGCCTCTCTTCTCATCAACCCAATAAACGTCCTCCTCTTGCATGAATACCAGATCGCCGCCTTTCTCGGGTACGAAGTGGCTCGCGTAAAGCTCGATGCTATAGTAGGTGTTCGGCAAGAGCGGGAGTTCTCCGAGGACGGGGACATGCTCTTGAAGGTTCGTGAATCCTTGAAAAGGTTGACAAGAGAGGCATGTCAGATGGCAGTCGCTTTTGACTCTGATGTCCGGACTTACCCATGACGGTCCCAGCACTATGACCCCAATCCCCGATAGGATGAGAATAGATCTTGCCTTCGATGCCTTCCTCTTGCATCTTCATCAAACTCTTCTTGAGAATATCATCTCCGAGCAACCCCGGCTCCATCATCTCAAGCAGAATATCCTGCATCCTATTGCTCTTCCTCAAGCCCTCCTTCATGGAGTCCGGCACGTCCGTCTCGCCTTGACTCGTACGAAGGACGTATCCCAAGTGCTGTGTATCAGTGTTCAGTCCTAGCGCAGTGATCCCAAAGTCGACGTGCAACATATCGCCTTCTTGAATCGTTGTACCCGTCCCAGACCATCCGGGACCCGTCACTGCAGTCACGACAGAGACACTAGGATGGAACCAGGTCGTCGCGTTCAGCGCTTGATACTTCTCTCGGAACCACCACTCGAGATCCTGCCACATCTCGTTAGCATCTTCGTGTAGACCTTATATAGGCTTCGAACGCACAACAGTGGTCGTGACACCAGGCTCAATCACCCTCTCACTAAAAGCTTCTTCAACCATCGCCCAAACCGATTCCATCATCTTCTTATACCACACTAATTGCCCGGGCACCCTCGCCGCAATAAACTCCACGGGCAACATCGGCACATTGACCGTCCTCTCCATCCACTTCTCCCCCAACTGCACTTTCAACTCCTCCATCTCCCCGACATGCAGCCCTCCCGCGAACGCAATGGTATCGTGCGTGTTTATCGCGATGCGTTGGGGGTCGAAGGAGGAGAGTACGGAGAGCAGTTCGGGCCAGACGGAGCCGGTGTTGTCGACCCAGGTGAGAGGGTTCGGTTGGCCGGCGAGGGAGGAGGTGTTGGTGTGGAAGAGAACGACGGTACGTCTGTGTGGTGCGAACTCGGTCGCTTGTTTCATTGACCACCATACGGTGTCTTCTGCGTACTCTCGCTGGCTCATCTACAGGTGCCATATATTGCCGAGGAAATCAGTCCGCGAGAACATCAGTTGTGTGGATCCTATCGGAAGGCAAGAGCAGGAAAGGCGCACCAGCCACGCATCGACTTCATACTTCTCCAATAATGCGGGGATATTAGCAAGTCGTTCAGCTCTCCATGCATCTTGAAGCCTCGCCCTCTCGCGCAGAGGTGGTAATCTTTGATACTGCGAAGGCTCAGTAGGATGAAGTTGCGCCTGCGTTAGACCGACACCTAGACCATAGGCGAACAGGAGAACACTGCTAGACAGCGTCCTGCAGGTAGGAAGGAGCATATCTGGGGGTTTTCCTCATGTTCGCTGCCCCTATCGATGTTATATGTTCGTTTTGCTCCCGGGCATATCTCTCAGGGACCAGGGTGGGAGTCAATTGCAAGAGGAGATTGTCAAAGATCACGGGCCCGTGTACGTATCGCGTGTTGTCAAAGTTGACAATCATAGCGTCCCGTCGGTAGACGGAAAGAGTGAGGAATATGGTTAATCTGAACGAACCAAGGACGTTGCAAACGTTTTGCGCGAAGGCTCTACCAGGCATTTTTTGGAGAGATAAAGGAGGTATGGCTTTCGGGATGGTGTTTATAGCCGTGCTGGGTCAACGGACGGATAATTTCGATGCAGGCACGGGCAAAAGGTCGCACTGGTTATCAGAAATACCATAAAGAACACGGCGAAGAGCAGGAGGACGCAACAGAAGAAAATAAGTCGGGAACGATCCAACATTCATCCCGCAGACATCCTCGTCACCACCCACCATCCATCCTAAAACACACCAACCCGACCAAATACACTCCTTCGCCCTCTCTGGTTCAATGAGAACAAACAATCACCGCGAGAAAAAGAAAAGACTGTGCCATCTCTGGTAAGGAAAGGGTTCCAACCCGGCTCATCACCAGGACACCCTACGGTGGGGAACACACTCCAGCTAGAGAAGACTGAATCAGATTCCGTCTGGGACCCGCGGTAGGCTCCTGCGCGAGGCAAAAAAAGGTATGCGCAGGGGGACAATAGTGCGAGTCCGGAATGAGTTGGAGAAAAAAAAGGATCGTTTGGGCGAGTGAGTTTTATACGAGAGGACACGTGATGGGAAAGTGGGAATATGTGGCGAGCGGGGTTTTGGGCGATGTGGCGACAGGGGCTAGTGGTTTGGGAACACAAATTGATCAATATTCGATAGGCTCTTGCAACTTTGTATGGCTTGGGAGTTTGCCAAGTGAATCACTGGTGGAGATATGTAGTATGCTATATTTGGAGGCCGTTCAAACAGAATAGGATATCCATAACCTAATGCCTCGTATCCTCTACACCTCTATAGATCGATACTCTAACTCAAGAAAAGATCACCAAGCTCGAACCCAATATGGACATTCTCCCACAAGAACGCAACCACGAAGACACCGCGAAGGAACCAAGAACCGAAAACTATATAAATTTTACTGAATGACTGGCACCGTCTATATCCCAACCCCTCCCACAATCACTGCGTAATCCCCGCCTGCTTCTTCCCCTCCCCGACTGTGCCCTTCGCCGGGACGAACAACCAGCCAATCGCAATCAAAACCCTCATCCCACATCCGATTCCCAACGTGCCTGCGCTGCCCACGCTGGTTTGCAGAATGGCGCGGGAGACGAAACCGCCGAGGAAGAGGGCGATGACGGCGAGGATTTTGTGGTCGCGGGTGATGACCATGCGGCGGATGTCGAAGAGTTTTGGGTCGGCAATGAGTTCGCACCAGACGGTGGTCAGGACAACTAGTGGATATGGGGAGAATCATGGTCAACGTCAGTCAGACGTTTAGTGCGTTCGTAATAGAGCGGACGCGAAGAGTATATAGATGAAACGAAACGGGAGACTTGGCGAGATACGGGGATGGTCGGAAGGTTGACAACATGCATGTCTAAATATACAGCAACAGCGGCGGCAAAATGAACGCACCAGTAGTCGCAAACTGCGTATTCACCCTCTTGCCCATAATGCCCTGCAGTCCAACACTCGCACTCATGAACCCCAACGCCACGAAACTCGCCGCATGCGTCCACGCCGGGTCGCCCCTGCTCGTCCCGACGCTCCCGTCTCCACTCTTCCACAACGAGACGGCGGCGGCCATGGTGAACAGCGCCTGGATCATCGTCCCAAAGAACAGCCACAGTCGCGATTTGGGACCGGAGCGCATGTTGTCGCCTATACGACCGAGACCGGCGCCGAAGATGAAGGTGAGGAGCGATGTGAGGGCTTGTTGATCTGCGAGGTGGAAGGAGGTGTCGTGCGAGGGGGAGGAAGACGGGAATTCGAAGAGACGGCAGAGGGCGAGGGCGAGCTGGACAGAGTTACCGGTCTGAAAACCACACCAGACGAAGATGGCGGAGAAGGAGATCGCATCACTGGAACCATACATGAGCGTAGTTAGACGGTCAGATCTGTTGCACAAAGAATATATGGAAAGTGGGATACGTACATGTAGCCGGTCATGAAGCAGAACGCGGCAAGAGGATATGTCGACTGAGATGGGTCGACATCGAGCTCGAGATAGTTGAGCAGACGAGCGGGTACGAGTCTGTCCAAAATGCTTGGTTGCTCGCGAATGGAGGCCAAGGCGGGCTGAGGGAGAGCCTCGTTAGCCTCCTTGGAGCTGGACGCTGGTGCCACTTCAGAAGCCATTAGTGTGAGTGTCGACGCAAAGACGATGGCCGAGGGCTAGTAGGGGATAGCTATGTGCATCAAGGACCAGAGAAAAAGAGAGATGTGAGTAGTTCGCCATAGATGGCGGACAGCGGAGATCGTCGGAAGGACTGACCAGCAAGAGCAACGGATAACGGAAGGCCGGGTCGACGTCCGTGCGACTTCAAAAAACACAAGTCCACCGCAGAGGATTTCACAAGAGTCGGGGCGAGGGGGCGCTCTGACACGGAAAAAAATTCAAATGCCAGAGGGCGGGAGGTTATATAGATATGGCGCCAGCGCCAGTGAATATCGCGACAATATTCTGGTCCAAGATTTTCCAAGCAACTGTCATGCATTCCTCCCTCCGTGAACACCGCGGGCGGCTCAGACGGATGCTTGGCAGGTTCTTGCATCAGGGAAGGAAGAGGACGCCTGAGAGTCCCGACGCTCCCAGTGCGGAAAACCATTGTCTCACACCTCTTGGTCTGCCGTTATCAGGCTTGGATTGCTCCGGCAGGGAAGTCGGTTTCCCCCATAAAAATGTAATCCACGAGTATGAGGAGTACACCGGACGGGAGTCGAACCCGTGCCGCTTGCTTGGAAGGCAAGCATGATACCGTTTCACCACCGGTGTCTGCATACTGTTCACTTATGCCGTCTCTATCATTTTGGGTGACTCCTTCCTAATGCTCATGCTCATGAACGAATCATCATACAAGCTTTCACAGGCTTTCACCCAAGAGCTCTCCGAGCCAAGCATCCCATCTAAGGATTCTCAGCACCAGGGTGCAAGGGACGCTCCAGACCGAAGAATGTGCACAACTTCGACCTGAAAGATGAGTCTCAGTCTGTCTCGGCGTGGGTTTCCCCCCTAGTAGTAGCAACTTCCAGAGTGCCCGTCTCGAAGTTCCACCGGCTGTGAGTCCGCATGAGACAATATTTTGAATCTTTCATATCGCGGCCGGCGGACCCTCACTGAACTGCCGCGAGAGCGAGGCTACAGAGAACAGAATTAATGTCGAGGCTCGAGAGCGAGTTAGGACAGATTATTCCATTGTGATATGAAACTTGATACTACACTTGCATATCGGTGGCAGAAAATATCCTAGACAAGAAACGGAGAAACATCATGGTGGGGATATGATGACTTAACGATGAACGATAGATATATGTCCAATACGACGGGAAGAGAACGAGAACAAGGCGAACAGCATGGAAGATCATATGGTGAAGGACGTACGAAGGTAAGACAAGGAAGTCAAGCAGAACAGAGAGCTGAAAACTGACAAACGAGAACGAAACTCCGCCACGCACGCATACGGTAGTATCCATACCACCTCAAAACGACGCGTGCCGATGTCTGAAAACGCTAACGTTAATTCTATAGGTCAGTAGTACCTACCCACTATGAGGTGAGTTAGGCCTTTGGGCAATGGAACGAGTCGGATGCCGCCCAGGGCTTTACATACTACTGGCAGGAAGTATCCTAGACAAGAAACGGAGAGACACCATGGTGGGGATATGATGACCTGACGTTGAATGATAAATATGACAATTGGGATGAGATGAGAACGAGAATGAGAATGAGGCGGAAAGCATGGAAGATATCGCTGGCAGAACAGACTCAGCTGAAACTGATAGACGAGGACGAGACTCCGCTACGAACGGATACCGTAGTATCCATACCACCTCAAAACGACGCGTGCTGATGTCTGAAAACGCTAGCCTTACTTCTGCAGGGCAATACTTATATGGTCTCCAAGTACTTAGTGCTGAGTATAGGCCCGCATAGAATGATATGGAGAGAATTTGTGCCAGGGTGGAAAGTCACAGACAAAGCTCGAGGAGGTTGTAGTTGGAGAACAGCTTGCAATTAGAGGAGCTTGAAGCTGGATGAGCGAGAACCATAGAAAAAACTAGAACGGAGACCTCAACCGCAACAATAAAGCGACTAATGAGATCCACCTCAGACCACCATGACAATATTGAGCTGACCGCGCGCTCTGCATAGAGATGCAGAGTCGTCGAGGAGAAGCCAAGGCCGGCGAGATATCCTTGGATTTGTGGCGCATCGTAGCCTGTGAAATACATGGAAGGGATTGCCGTCCTCAGTGGGGATACGTCTGGAACAGGAATATCAGATGGGCAAGAATTGTGATTCAATCTTTGATTGCTACGAAAGTTGAGGAGATCAAGGTGGGGAGGGCAGTATGATAATGGAATGGGAGGTGCTAGTGATCCTACGCAGAATAATTGCGCCAGCCGCCGTCACTCTCCCCCCGAGTAGCAAGCTGGGTCACCAGTCTAGGCTAGCCTAAGACAGAGATGCATTATCCTGCAATTGTATATCCGAGGAAATGGGAATGGTCGCAGGGCGAGTCGGTTGAACTAGTTAAAGTCTGCCGTACCAGAGGGCGGTCATGCCAGAATATCATCCGCAGACATCTCAGACAACGGTCATGAGGAGCGCCACGGTCAACTAGAGCCGCTCCAGAGAATCCTGGAAGAGAGAGAGAGCACGATACAGCTGTATCAGAAATCAAGCAAAGAAACATTCTTGATGAGGCTGCTCAAGTCAAACGTCGAGTGTTTTACGATTTGTTAGAAGGAAAAGGCTAGAAAGATGATCAAATCGCCGGTTCCGGAGACAGCCGGGTCGCCACAGACCGCACAGTCCGAGGCTCCGAGCTGTTTCACCCAACCTTGTCTCAAGACTGTCTCGTTCTCTCTGTGTTCCGCCAGCGACGCCTCGGTTTCTTCTCTCTGCTCGGCTGGGTAACTAGAACGAAACTCAGACAACAACTGGACAATGGCCATTCTCTACTGGGCGCTTGTGACCGGCGTGCATTGCCTCCGGATCTCTCTCTGTGCTCAAGAGTTGCAATCTCGAGGTTGACCGATGCCCAACTTGCCGCGATCGAGTCCCACTGGGGATATGTGACTTGCGAAGGGTGACAGAACTTTAATTAGTGAGCTCCAAGCCGGGAAGGGTAGATGGACGTCCACAGTTGGGAGAGAGAAGCTTCTGCGGAGATGCAGTCAACATGATTCGCCATTGTGGCTGAAGCCGGTGTGTTAGTCTGTTCCGCTCGTCCCGCCCAAAACAACGCTAATTGTGAGCAGGTCCTGTGTAGACTCTGTGTTATTGCTGTGTTGTCTTATGTGTACAATTGAGCAACGAAGAGGATTCAAGCTCAAGCTCGACCATTTTGACATTAACAATGCGAGCACTCTGGGCCTTGGTGATTAATTGCTGTCCACGCGTGCCATGATGACGACGCCCGGAGCTGAAAGAGGTGTGTTTATTTCCCAACGTGCGCGGCCAATGAGGGCTTGGACGTCGGGGCGATGCATTCTGGAGCGACGAGCGTCGGAGCTGGTCCTGAATTTCTTTCCTCCTCCGCTGCCCGAGTGCGTTCAGCTCGTCGTGTCTACAGTCTGAGCCTGTTGCAGCCGAACAATAGACGGAGGAGGATGGAGCCGCGTCCGGATCTGCTGTTTAATGAACTGCTTGATGGTCGGCACGGCAGAGAGGATCGGCGACGAGAGCAGGCCACGCGAACGCGACAGGAAGAGAGGGGACAGTGCGCCGGATGAGGAAGAGAGACTGCCTGAAGGAGCGGTGATCCGTATATGGAGCGAAGGGACGGCAGCTTGCACGGAAGACGAGTCGCGCTTCGTGCGATGCCGCCCCACGCTGAACATGGTCCCCCGCCAGTGTATATAAGCCTCCCGGCCTCGTGCAACGTCCCCCGGCCGTCCATCTCGCTCGTCCCCCCCGCCACGGTCTACGCTCCAAGTTCTACCCTTCGGATAGCAATCCATCCCAGCCCGCCACTGCGCGCCACACTCGAACCAGCACTTCGCTACCGCCAGCTACACGCTCAGCCCAGCTTGCATCCTCTATCTGGAACCCCCTTGTCTATTGAGCATCGTCTAGCATGCAGTCTCCAACGCCCACCGTCGGCGTCGACTCGTCTCACCCGCCCATTCCCGTTTCCCATCCGCGCACCTCTTCTCGTTCGCCGACGCAAAGAAACAACGCCGTTCAGCCTCCCATCTCCCCACCCAGGGCCTCGAAGGCGAACGGCAACCTTCTCGCTACCCCGGGCTCCCAGCTCACGCCGTCGTCCCCGACGCCGACGCCCACCGCCCCTAACACGCCCATTCATGCCGCTGTTGCCAAGGCGCCGCTCACGCCACCGGACTCAACCCTGCGTGTGGCGCCCGCCGCCCCCGCTAACACCAACAACAACGCCTTTACCACTCCTACCGACGGTGCGACGGGAACTCCCAACGTATTCTTTGCGTCGTCGAACAGCAACGAAAATTCGTCTCTGCAGTCTAACCACACTCTGGCGACCGCCCAGTCTGAGAGTGGCCTTTCCGCTGCGTCGAGCACTGACGACTCTTTCAAGACCCCAAATGTCTATATCAATGGCTTGCCTCCTAACTTCCCCGAGGAACAGCTCTACGCCATGACTAAGGAGTTCGGCGGTGTCATTAGTGTGCGCACGTTTACGAGGCATGTCAGTGATCGCCCGTCGTAAGTCCTCACCGCGTCCGTCTTGATCGCTCAAATGCGGAGCTAATGTCCATCATTTTGGGGAACAGCGGCTATGGGTTCGTTCTGTAAGTGTTCGTCGACCTGCGCCCTGCTTTACAAATTACTCATCCTCATTTGCAGGTTCGAGACGGTGGATTCCGCCGAAAGGTGCATCAAAAGTCTGCGTAGTTTCCGCAATCTTCATCCCTCGTTCTCCAAGGTCCGTTTTATTTACTTAACCTCTCCGTGCTGTCGACTGATATCAAGCTTTATGCAGCAAATTCACAAGATACCAGGAACGTCCTACGCTAGTCTTGCGTCGACCAACTCCACTTCGTCTGTTTCTGGAATGTCGTCCTCTGAATCTGCCGACACCTTCAAGGCTCGCATGGAGAGGCTCAAAGATCAGTCGAGTACCAACTTGTACATCGAAGGTCTACCTTTGAGTATCGATGAAGCCGTGAGCGATACACTTGACATTCTATATAATCTTGGCGATTCTGATCGCCTTTCGCCTGCTCTCTTTCTACAGACCTTGTCCGCCCTCGTTGCACCGTTCACGATCAAGAGCAGCAGGTTCTTCCAGACTCGCCTCAGCCACCCTCCCAGGATCATCGCCTTCGTGCGGTACGTTACTCCACGCACTCTTTATCGCTGCTTCGGCTAAATTGTTTCTGTGAAGGCTTGACTCCCGCGATGCGTGCGAGGAAGTCATCGAGCGGTTGCACGGCCGCATGGTTCGCGGCTGGAACGACCCCGGCAGCCGCATTTCAGTTCGTTTTGCTGATTCAGCTGAACAACGCGAGCTAAGGGTGTGTTATATATATCCTTTACCCATCCGTTCATCGTACTTATCTGCATATGTTGCACTTTTTCTGAAGCGCGCCGAACGCAGTGGGCGTGAAGACGAGCAGTCGCCTTCCAGACTGACCATGGCACAGGCTGCTCTCTTGAACCTTCGCGGTCAACAGATTCCGGCGCCACAGTTCAGAGGCATCTCCGCCTCCCAGTCCCTCCCCGAGGTGCAGCGTCACGGTGCCCCCAACTCCTTTGCGGGGCCAAATGTGACCAGAGGCAGGACCCCCGCTCACGCTGGCCTCCCACTCCATCCTCTCACCGCCGAGTACCAGAGCCGAATCGACACACGCTCTATGCCTACTTCACTCTCTGCGAACCTTGCCAATCTCGCTCTTAATACTCACTTGCCTTCATCGTTCTCCACTTCGCCGAACCTTCCTTCCTCGATCTCTCTGGGCTCGAACTTTGGCTCTCACGGTCTCCCTTCCTCTATGAGCGGCTCCGTCTTCGGATCCGGCAGCGAAAGTCCAGTTTTCGGCAGTGAGATCGACATATCCATACTCTCTCGGGCTCAAGCCGCTAATCCGAACGGGTTCACGCCGCTGGAGCAGCAGTTGATACTCCAGGCTCAGGCTCATGCTCAAGCCCAGCAGCTTCAAGCCGACAGCGAGGCGAGAAGAGTCAATGCCGCCTTCCCGCGCTCGTCTGGCTCCGCCAATGGAAGCAAGCTCAACGTCTCTGGTGCGAAGGAGTTTGTCCCGAGGGGTCTATTGTCGAGGATGCAGCAATCGCAAGGCCAGTCGCAGGATTCGGCGCTGGGCAACGGCACCGCGTATTCGCTCAACTCGTTGGCTGGTCTCAGTCCCCTCAACATATCTGAAGCCGATTTCCACGCACAGTCCGGTCAGCAGCGTCATCAACGTCCCCAGCAGCAGCAGCAACAGCAACGGAGGATGACGACGAACAGCTCTGCGGGCGTCACGATCTCCGACCCACTCGCGTCGTTCAACGCCAAAGACGCGAGACCTGCCTTCGGTTCTTCCCACGATCGTCGTTCGTCTCAAAGGTCTGACATGGAGGACACTCGCATGTCCAGCTCCCTCGACTACAACAACCGTGTAGATGCTCCTCGCACTCGTACCGGTACCGAATCGGTTCCCTCCACCAACCAGGCTGTCCATGTACGCTCGACCACTCTCCCCGGCACTTTCATGCTCGCATCCGGCGCCAAGAGCCCGAAGCCTACTGTCGCTGGCATGGGCACTCGTGCAAGCGCGGCCGGTGACGGCAACAAGTCGATGTCGGCCGCTATGGAGGGTTCGGGAGCCACGGATTCTCAGGCTGACTCACCTATCCTCATCCCCAGCCCTGCGTTGACGTACAACTCCAGCAACGAGTCCAGTGCCTCCAGGACCCCCAGTACCTTGAGCCCTAGCACTCCATTCTTCGGGTTCAATAGCCCACAACAACAAGCTCGCGACTTCGATGGTCCTCGCAAGGAGGAGACCATGGGCTCTTCCGGTCCTGGCCCGAAGAGAGCTGTTCACGGGGAGGAGCATGCGGAGGGTGAAAACATGTTTTCAGTTGGGAGGGAGACGGCTGTTCGAGACGGTGCTCAATGAAAGAGCTCTTCGCTACTTGTTTATCCACCCACACTCCGGCCAGTGGCTATTGGCTATCATTCGTTTTCCTTGCACAGGCTTGACGCTTTCTTTGGTTCACGTTAATCTCGGACTCACTTCTTCGCATCGCTGTTTGGATTCAGGCTTTCTTCGTTTTCGTCGTCGTCTTCTCCCGTCACTATCGTCGCCGTCGTCCCCTTCCATCATTTCCCACTTCGCGTCGTTTCTCGGCCGTCACCATCGTATTTTCCTACCAGGTTCGTTCGCACTCCCTAGCATTTTTCATAACTTTAAACCCCCGTGGGGTCTAGCATCCCAAGCATTGAGTATACCATCAGTTTACGCTTCGCTACCAGCCTCCCATTGCAGATTCGCATCCTTCTAATAATTTCTACCCCTTTCATACATAGCAGATTATCGTTTCCCAGTCGCTACACCGCTCCGTCGGTTTAGCTCGTTTTCCGTCAGCATTCTTTTCACTGTCTCCGTCTATCCGAATTATAGCAGTTCTAGTACTAGCAGTAGCAAACCACAATTACCTCGCAAAGATACCGTTGATAGAATCCATATACGATAGCTCGTACGACTGTACATAGCAGAGCGTTCAATCCTGTCATTTCGTGGGATCGTGGCGCAGAGCATTTCTTCGAGTTGGGCTTCCTTTTGTACATGTTCCTATGTAAAACGTAGTGTATAAATGAAGTGTTGGTTCGAGGTTTATCATCAGGTGCGACGGTTGAGGCGACATCTTCTGACAATTGTACGTCGGCGAGCTTTGGACTTTGACGGACATACGTGCAGGAGATTGACTATACGTTGTACGATCACAACGATCACAGCTCGACGAAGATATTGATACAAATACACAATTCTATTTCTACATTTCAATTGTTTGGTCCGTAGTACGAGAAAGCGACATCGACGTCAGGCTCACTCAAGCCTTCGCTGCGTAGGCTCTTCGCCCTCCCTGCCACCTGGACCGTACTGGTCGGTACCCTGGCCTTGCTTCTTCCTGTGAGTTTGACCATCGTGGTGAAGCTATCGAATACGAAGCAATGTCAAAATTAGTACGGGATACCAGAGCCATAGATAGATAGAACTGGACTCAAGCAACTGTCAAGGTGAGAAGCACATACCTCAGCGGAAGTCTGACCAGCACCAGGGTGTCCGATCCCGTCATGAAGTTGTCTCGAGTCTGCGCCGTTGAGCGTCTCAGCTGCAGTAGGGCGAGCTGCTCTGGCATTTTCGTTGTAGACGGGGTCGCTGAGAGCGGGGAGACCGCTGCCGGGGAGGGAGTCTCCTGCTTTGGCGGAGGGGTTGATGGATGTACGAGGTTCAAATTCTGGGTTACGGTCTAGTCAAAGAAAGCAAGAAAAAGATGTCAGTAATCGAGGATCATTTACATGAAGGTACGAGTATGATGAATATAAGAAAGGTACGCACAGTTCGCTGAATTTGCACCACCATTCGAAAGCAAAGACGAAGCGGCCTGGTCAAGCTCGCCCATCTGCGCACCAGAGGGCCGCTGCACATTCTTCGCTGGCTGCGACGTCTGCGTAGTCGAAGTACTCGTATTACCCTGCAAACTCTGCCCACCACTCAATTTCTCTCCCGCGCTCGCCGCGACGGACGATTTCTCGTTTGGCGGACGGTCAATGCCCGTCGGTGCGGGTAGGTGCTCTTCAATCTGGCGCTCCTCGCGTCCTTCCCCTGCGGTCTTCCATCCTTTACCGTCATCTTCGGTTTGTGTGGAGGGGTCGGCGACGACGTAGGTGTGGCCCGAGGTGGCTTTTTCGGCGCCGGGGAGGGTGCGGAAGTTGGTAGAGTCGGTGCCGATGATGTCTGTCATGGTGTTCGTTTGGGATATGGGATGTGTGGGTGTTGTGAAAGGTTTTTTGTAGTGGTAAGTTGAGAGAAACTGGTTAGGAAAGAAAAGCGGAGGAGGAGGGATTAAATACCTGTCCTTGACGGACGATGATGCAAGGGTGCCACAAGTGCGTCATCATAGCCAAGTATAAATTCTCCACCTTTCTCGGAAGATCTTCAACTCCACGTCAACAATACAGTATTTCATCGCCTCCAGAGCTCCAGCCGCAAGTCACCGGCGGAAATTTGTGTCACCAAATTCGTCGTCAGACATCGTGGCTGCAATCGTCAGGCCCGTGTGGCGTGAATAGGGGCTAAAGCTCTAAAGGCTAGCCCGGCGTCTGCCGTCGAGTCAGCGGCCGGAGGTCCGCAGCAAGTTGAATGAAAGCGCTCTGCACTAGCGGCGATGTTTGCCCTTGAACCATACATCAGTGCATCCATCATTCTGTCGAGCATAGCCTGCCCTGACCAGGTGCACCGACGACGCTGCCTTACTCTCCACTGCGGCGCAGCTTTGAACGTATAAAGTCCAGAGACACGATCACTTTCGCTTCTGTTGTTTCAACGCACGCAGACAACGAATTCAACCTATCCTCGTCAGCATGCTTGTCATGGATGCCGACCCTCGCGATTTGAAGGACATCAAGCAGGACGATGTCGAAGTCCGGAGAATGAACAACAACGGTCCTTCTGATCAGGTATGCTATCACTGTCATCATCCACTTGATGACTAGATCCACTCACCTTTCACCAGTTACCTCCACCGTATACACCAGGCGTATTCGAACCCACCACAGAGCCCACCGCGGAGCCCACCGTGGAGCCCACTGCGTCTTCATCCACTTCTGACTCCCAACCTGGCCCCTCCGTCAACCGAGACCGTCCACTCCCACCTCCTCCGCCACCATCCATCCCCTTTTCAAACTACCTCCTCATAGACCGTAGGAACGGTAGCATCTCGGGCCAATACCTGATCGATACAACACTACCCGAACCTACAGGCCCTGCTGTCGTATCCAACAATCTCGAACTTCGTAGCCATAACGGCTCCGTGAAAGGCGAGGTATGGATCAGAGGTACACCTGAGAAGAATAAGAAGGCGACCGTCAAGTTCTTGAGCCATAACGGTTCGGTGAACGCGAAAATTGTATGTCGTTTTGGCCGTCGACTGTCGAGTGTTCACGGATGCTCACACGGTTTATTTTTAGCACTCGATGACACCGGCAACACCACTTTCCCTCGACCTCTTCTCCGCAAACGGTTCTATGACCCTTGCCATCCCGCGCTCCTTCCACGGATCAATCACCCTTGCCTCCAAGCATGGAAGCCTGAATATCACCAAAGCCCTACAGGCTCGAGCCATGCTCATCAGAGAAGAGGGAGGCCAGGCCTTGTATCACGTCCAACCTCCTTCGGATCTTGAGGTCTCCGAAGGCTTAGAGCGGGTACCAGGCGAGAGTGATGCGCGTATAGAGTCGAAGAACGGGAGCGTGAAGGTCAGGTTTGAGGATGAGGATTGGGTTGCTTCGGTCGCGGGCGGGGCAGATGGTTACGGCGGTGTCTTTGGGAAGTTCATGAGAGCCTTTACGGGGTGATGCTTGGAATGATGCGGTGTCCATTGCGATGCCTTTCGATGGTTTGAACTTGGTGTTTCTTTTTGGCTGCTTGTCTTCTTCGTGCTCTGTCTATCTGTATGTCTTTGGACTGTACTGTGTAGCATTTTGCTTGAATATCCTGGAAGTAGCTGTATTTCCTCGAAATTTACTCTCCCTTCTGCCCTGACCTTTTGTTGCACTGTCTCCAGCTGAAGTTGTTTGATGCGAATGCTAGGTTTTCAATGTCCGACCCCGCCGCCGGAAGCCTAAGCCCTCTGATTCTAACAGAGCCAAACAAAACAAACACGCGAGCCCTTCGCGGAGGAACGAGCTGCCTTGACATGTCTTTTCCGTTCGTTTCGTTTTCTTTTCTTCTTGTTCCTCTGACCAGCTTCACAGTCTCCCAAATTCAAGAGCACGTAACTTCCTCCCTCGCGTTACCGCTCGAACGTTCCAACATTGCCAGCCTGATCGCGAAGACCTTCGCGCCATCTGTGGCAGTAGATTGTAGCGTCCGAGGAGCCCGATATTAGACCGACGTTATCTCGTTCGATGAGCTAGTGTCATCGCTGTCCGGGACGAGGAACATGTCTACCATCGTCCCTGTAACGGCGAACTTCCGTATCGGGCTCATAAAAGCATTTGGAGGCCGAGGTCAGAGTGTTGTCTATCGGGTTTCGGACGGGTTTGTTTCGAACGGATGTCAGGCACGCCCACCCTATGTATTTCGAGACGGTGAGTATACTCGAACATGTTCGCAAACTGAACTGTGCGAGAGCTGTGAGACATATACATCCCACCCGCCGATCGCCGCAAGCCTGTGCGGATCACGTCCGCCGACCCTGCCCAATCAATTCCTTTTCGAAGGAAACATTTCGAATGTTTCCTCGGGTATTACACCAACCAGAGATCTCCTGTATGAGATGATATCTGCTCTTCGATCTTCATCCGGACCGGGACGACTGTGGGTCATCTCTGGTGAAATCGCTAATAGGCAGCGTCCCGTGGCCATGTTCGAGCTGATCGTCTGACCGCTGACCACTCTCATGCCTCGGTCGCGTAACGATATACGCATTCGTCTTAGCGGCGTTAACGCAGTTTGGTCCTTGTGGAAGGAGGCGCCGTTCTGCCTTCTGTCATAAAACACGCTTGGAATCGCTCAGGATGTTCGACCAATTCTTGCTTGACGCCCTCCGTGCACCCGCCCGCACCCACTCCCGAGTTGACGGAGATCGGGTCGTTTGACTCCACGAATAGACACCGTTCTTTGACAAGGCAGATCGGACACTTCGAGGTAAGGTACGAGGTCTTGTGATAGGATGGATGATTTGGGCGAGGACTGGGTATGTTGGCCTTACTCCTCTCCACAAAATCTCTAACACCCTGAACACATTTGCCTTACTTCTCATCGTCAGCCATATGATGTCACTACAATCTCGGCCCCCGATGGATCCATCACCGCAAAGTTCGTCTCGTTTGGGGCCACACTGACAGAGCTATGGGTAAAAGACAAGAACGGGGAGGCAGTAGATGTGGTACCAGGATACGATGATAACGTGAGCTTGAGCTTTTTTTTTCTTTCCTTATGGGCCTACGCGTGTAATAGGAAGACCGACATGTTTTCTAACCCTCCCGAATTACTGCCATGAACCCCTGTGGCGACCACCCATGCAGACCATGCTGATGAAGGATCCTGGACATCCTGTGTTCAACGCAATTGTCGGAAGGTAAGAACACAATTTCCAGCTCTCTTACTACTCCTTTCATAATTGATGCTCGTATGGTTTTTCTGACACTCCTAGATATGCCAATCGCCTCAGTAATGGTGCGGCTTCTTGTTGAAACTGTATGCGCCTGTCCCACATTGTACTCTGTTTATTAATGTCCCGTGTCATCACTAGGAACGTTCTCCGTTCCCATATCCGGAGATTCCTCTACCGTGATGGGTGCCGACGTTTACCATATCGCCACCAACGACGGTAGTGGGTCGTCTCTCCTATCGTGCATTTGTATATTCTCCGAGTCTTACTACATTTTTTTACGTCTGTTTCCTTGTTACCTCAGAGAATACCCTCCATGGCGGTCTATATGGCTGGGACCGTCGAAGCTGGACCATCATTGCGAAGACGGACACGAGTGTGACATACTATCACCTGGACAAGGGCGACGAAGGCTTTCCAGGGAACGTCTTTGCGTATGTGCGTTCTCTTCCTTCCCTTCTTTTGCAGTCCACTGCTGCTTTCATGGGCAGGGTGAGATTGATCACACAATACGTGGTCCGATGATCGTTCTAGGTGACACACTCCGTCGCATCTGGAGAGTTGAAGACAGAAATTCTCGCACAGGCCACGGAGAAGACACCGATCATGCTCACACAGCACATATACTGGTACGTCTCCATCTCCTTTGAGATTCGCCCCTGTACTTCCAGTGACTCAACAGCACGCACCTCTCGTAACAGGAATCTAGATGCATGGCGTACGGACGCTGGAGACCCCAGTAGCGCTAATATCCTGGATCACACCCTTCGCATCAACGGTTCCCGCGTCCTTGAGGTTACTCCAAACGGTCTGCCTACCGGCGCTGTGACGGATGTTGAAGCATCTCCGTTCGATTTTCGGACGGCTATGAAAATAGGAGCAAGATGGGACGAGACGACGAACCTCGGCGGACCTGGTGCGCCCCATATCCTGACTATCATGGTGGTGGATAAAAAACGCTGATGTAGAGCATAAGGAAAGCCAGGGTACAACCATTGCTGGATACACGATGAGAAAGAGGACGAGTCAGCACTTGATGTTTCACTATGGAGCAGGTCATCTGGCATCCGGTACATCTCTCCTCTTCCCACCACCTTCTTGATAGTCTCAGCCTTTCCCTATCCACATCTGTAGTCCTTCCCTGCTCAGTCACGCTCACACTATCCTTCAGACTGGACATAATCTCAGACAGCCCCGCCACCCAATGTTACACCGGTAACTACCTTAACACACCACGCAAAACCGTCCACGGCGGCCCAAAATTCAAGTATTCACCGTATTCAGCTGTTGCGATCGAGCTGCAGGGGTGGGTTGACGCTATCAATCATCCGGAGTGGGGCATTGATCAGTTTTGTAAGTACTATCATCCAAGCTGTCGTATCCCGATCTTGAAGCGCAGGGGTAGTGGTGGTCGAATGGCATATTGATTAGTAGTCCTCTCTGTTTATTTTGCAGATGAGCCGGGAAAGGATTTCAAGTGGTCTACGACGTATAAGTTCTCGGTATTGGAGGGTGGTTCAGATGACGACTAAGTCGTGGTAGCAATACTGTACGGTCATACTAGAGCTCCCCGGGGTTTATAGTTTCACACTATTTATATAGTGACCGATACAGTTCGGTCTCCTTTCCTGACTGATGTTCGGACCCTGGAAGCGATAGAGTTGGGATTGCAATTCGAAACTGAGCGTAGTACATCAGGCTTAATGGTGGAATACATCAAGCAAGCACAGACAAGAATTTGGAGAAATACTTCTCAAGCTGTTCGACACTGACGGCGAAAGCTCCTATCATCCCGTCCGGTCTCACCACTACAAACAAGGGATCGAACTCCCCTACGTCGTATGCACGATATGCGTGGCCACCGTCGTCCCTCACGTACTCGACTCCATCGACCAATTGTGTCGGAATGTCGGCGCCAGAACGAAGAATGACGACCAGAGATGCGACACCGGCCTGAGAATAGGGGTTCAATGCAGACTGCGCATCCTGGACGGTAGCAGCAGAGTATCCTCCGAAGAGGAGGACGTGGTGCTTGGTGCAGTCCCCCGTCAGCCCAAAAAGCCTCGTCGCCTCTCCGAGCGCTCCCCCCTTCCCCACTATATTGATTTGGGTAGCATCCGGCGCACGATCTCCCGCGCGAATCTTGTCGCCCAGCATCCCGTACGGGTCCTTCTCAACTGGCTCCGTGCTCCCAGCCACTTCCGGTGTCCTCCCGTCCAACACGATCGAACTCCAGCGATAATTGACTCCAAGCTGATGTCCTTCTCTAGGGCGGTGCATGGCCTCTTCCAAGCTGCCATCGTGGAAGGTTTCATTATGAAGCTTCGTGGTGTATTTTAGCATCTGTGCAACGACAGGAAGCCTCTCGGACTCGTAGGAGGAGAGGAGCGAGCTTGATGCGAGGCCTTTATGAACCAGGGCCACCTTCCATGCAACGTTGAGCTAGATGTGATTCGGGTCAGCAGTCATAAAGCAGAATCATAACTCTTCATAACTGGGGACGAACCGCATCCATAGCCGCCGTATTTATGCCTTGCCCACCAGCAGGGCTATGACAATGAGCACATTCTGGACGTTGGTCAGCCAACGTAGTCTATCATTAAAACAGAAGTTATTACCTCCTACGAGAAACACACGCCCCACGCTGAACTTGTCAACCATGCGAATATTGGCTCTACGACATCCGGAATGGGTCAGACCGAAGAATCGGTTCAAACGGTAGCTTACGCACCTCCACTCAGAGATCCACGAAGCATTTTGGAGCGTTATATCCGTTGACTTCGTAATGCTATTGAACATGGCTTGAATACCTTCCGTGTCAGTAGGAAGAGGCCTGTCCAAGTCGCCGCCAGCGATGAACTGATATAACGGCGCGGGCTCTGCAGGTTTCATGAAACACCTAGAACAAGATATCGACGAGTGAGTTGTCACCCCAGGAACATAAGTTTGACGGGGACTATTACCCTTTCTCGGAGGCTTTAATATCACCCCACATGTGCCAGAGCTGTGGTATCAAGGATATTGAACAATGCTATTCGCGCGCACCGAGGATTTCAACTGGTTCCTTACCTCGCGGTCGAGGTCCTCACACTCGATGTTCGCCGTAAAGAGTATCTCACCTGGCGTTTCTCCAAGAAAATTGATCCCGAGGATTTTGCGTGTAGTCCCTAATTTTTTGAATGGATGAGGATAATCGTCCTATATATGAGTCAGCTTGTTGCGACGAGCACACATACCTCGACCTCCATCCGCGGAGATTATATATGAAAACTTCTCCTCCACCTCTTTTCCCTCGACTTTGACTTTGGCAAGAACGTATTCGCCCTGTTCCTCCTGCTCAATGCCGATGAGTTCAACCCCATACTCAACATTAACCCCGTTCTTCGTAAGACCAGAGCGAAGTGCAGTCTCTAGTGCTGGCTGGCTCAGGTTGATGGGATGGCGCTAAAATTCAAAGAAACAGTCAGCTTCGAAAAGAGTCACCATATTGCACATGAAGTACATAGGGAATAGTAGGCGAATCTGCGGCCGACTCTGAGAAGGCCATTTCCTTGTCGATGACCTTTCCAGCACCGTGTATGGCCATCCTACCGACAAGGGTAGAAGGAGCCAATACGTCGTCCAATACTCCAAGGGAGGCGAAAATTTCGAGAGTTCGAGGCTATAAAGGTGCTTTCCTATCAATCGACAGTGATGAAAAAAGTGAATGGACAGACGACTGACGGTTATGCCGGTTCCCCTGATGCCGCCATGAGGGGACTCCCTCTTCTCAATAATACGGACGTGGATTCCATTCTTGAGTAACGCAAGTGCTGTGATGAGACCGGAAGGACCTCCCCCGACCTTGGTGCGGTGAAGAGGACGATCAATAGGTACACAGAAAATGGAAAGGACAACGAGAAATTGAGGAGAGAAAGGGTGACTCACGACTAGGACAGAGTGCTGGCTCATGGTTTGAATTTCGAAAGTAAAACGCGATAGCTGTAGTGAGGTAGCAGGGCCCAGTAGGACTTGAGATCACAGAATAGTTTCTTACACCCTTTATATACCAAAGAGCATCCTGACGTTGAAGGCCGGCAGGACTCGGAAGAAGCTTTTGTTGGGCGACTCAGCCGTGAGGCAACGCGGCACGGAGTGCTTAGTCGGCGAACAGGGCATACCTAGAGGTCATGAGAATCCTAAATGATCCTGTGTACACTGGAAGAGCGGTGTACACAAAGTCAAACCTCCTGATAATTATAGCGCAGCTGTCTGTTGATGGCTGGTTAGTAAAAGTGCATTGGCGCCAGCCGTCGTCGGCGAGTCCCTCAAAGTTATAACATCACCATTGAATGGCTGTGCAAACACATGAACGAGCCTTCCTCAGCTCTGCGCCGGAGGTTTTTATGGCCTAGGTCTATACGTATAGGATGTTAAGTTCAGGGCAGTGCCTACTAGATACCTAGTAGTACGGATAACCATCCAATGGTTGAAGGCCATAGACAAAGAGGGCCAACAAGACAGAAATCCGGAGATGCGTCCTGGGGAAGGTCAATTTCATTGAAGTCAGAACCAAGGACGTTGACTGAGATGAGGTGCCTGCAAGGACAGGAAAGGAAAGGCACCTATCTGAGTGGAACTTGAAGGAGAGGGCACCATCTTCTCACGCCAGAGATGCCTGTTCGGCAAGATCTTCATGTGATAATTCAGCCACATTGCTCTCTTCTCAACCACCATCATCTCATCACTGCACCTGCTTTTACTTCACCTTGTCTCGCTCGTCCAAACGCGCTATTTGTACTGGTCCTCTACTTAGTTCATCTGAATATCATGGCGGCTGGTGAAGATCCCATATTTCTAGCTCTTCCTTTGCGCATTCAGTCTCAGATAGACCGAGCTTTCGACAAGGCGACAGGCTCAGCCGTCTCTTCTCATCCACCCTCTTCGTCTTCTGAACCCGTAACGCGCCTCGGTGACGAGGACTCTGCTGGAGGTTTTGTAATCGAGACCACAGTGCCCGCGCCCGGTGGGTTCCTTTTAGATGACACGGACGACGCGCCTGGAGGCTATCTCCCGCCGTCTCCTCCGGCAGGGACAACGACACAGATGGTTTCACGTTCAGAGCCCAATCGAACTGAGACGAAGGCAACCCACATTCCCTTATCGCTCATACCCACCGCCCTCCAAATACTCGATCTGCCTCCCGCGGATGACGATATTCTCTCAGTCTTTCGAAATGCGGCATCGGGATGGGCTGAGCCCGATGGATCCACTGCGAGACGACCTGCGGGGACGACAGCAGATGAAGAAGAAGTTGTCAACAGGAAGGATTGGAGATCAGTTTGTGCAGTACTCTTAGAAGGGGCGGGCGACGATGTTGAGGAGACCGAAGGCCAGACGGAAGAGGATGCTGACGAAGACGAAATGGACGTAGATGTTGACGGCCGTCCGGAAGCTTTCGAGTCCTCGGGAGATGCTTCATCGGATGAATACGTCGAACCCGGTACCAGTTCTCGTACACGTCAGGGTAAGCGCAAACGAACTGCACCAAAAGCCGCATCGTCCAAGAACACTTCCACGACGCGCCGTACTCGCTCGAGAAAGCAACCCTCTCACTCCGGTGATAGCGACGAAGACTATGACGACTCTCGACCTCTTACGGCGCGCCAACAACGGGACTGCCTTCTTGCATTCGCTATGTTCTTCCCGGACATCGATCTGGATAAGGAGGGCGAAGAGGAGAAGCTAAAGAAGAAAAGGATGGGCGTCAGAGAGCTCAAAGCTGTAGCTGAGCTGTTGAGAGAAAAGATCAAGGCGGAAGAGGTGCGATATTCTTTCTGCCTTTAAATAGTCAAATTAACGCGTGTGGACCGTACAGATGATCGAAATGCTGGAGGCTTTCTCGTCATCGCCAGATAAGAAGTTGAATCTGACTGATTTCGAACGGATGATGATCGCCACTCGAATGGCATAGGAGCATTCCGTCGTTCGTCATGTGATGTTCCGTCCAACATTCTGCCTCGTCTGACCTTGACATCATGTTGTACCAGCTGATTGGAAGAATTTGTAATCTCAAGTAATCGAATCGTTGGCATTCGAAGCATGGCCAGAAATCAGCTTGAAGTTGCATGCAACTGACTTGTCATTCTTTTGTTCTTTAGGCTCTTCCATCCGTGCTACATCTCACGTATTACTTCATCTTGAACGATTCACACATCGCAAGGACCTTTCATGGTCGCTGAGCTTCACATTTGCGATTCAAGGTTTCCGAAGTTGCAGTCTCGGTATGCTTCTCGGATCGCTGAATGTTTCCTAGAAGAGGGCACGCATCAGGGCATGCATGCTTTATGAGTCCATATTATCAGGCCAATCCAGGCAGTCTAATCACCGTAAGTACGGGACTGGTGCTCTCGTCTCATGAAACCCTACATTTTCTCATCCGAGTGAAGACATTTCCCTCTTTATTTTCGATTCGGGACACTTGCATGCTTGCTGTCTCTCACCTGGCTTCATCCTCATGCCTGATCTATTGTTCGCTATGCCGCTAGCATTAACTAAAATTTTTGAAGGGTCATACCTTGCCTTTTCCTCCAATGCCTGAGAGTCATTCGTTCCTCGTATAAAGGTAAGCCTTCGCATCCTCGTTTCACTGACTGTGCCTCGTTTCGCCTCTGTCACTCTATCACGGTTCCTACTCAAGAGCATGCCTGCTATCGCATACCCTCCCTTTCCCGACGATGTTCCCACTGTGCCACTCCTAATCATCGACTATGCCCTTATTAAGGCTGGCGATGAGAAGGAGATCGGCAGATTGTGGGAAGCTGCAACCGAACTCGGGTTCTGGTAGTAAGTTGGTTCGTGTCCAATTCAGTTACGCTTCCACACTAACTTGTCCTTGCGGTGTCTCTAGCTTGAAGAATCATGGCGCAGACGAAGAGGTTTCCGAGATGTTCGAGATGGGGGCAGAAACGATGGAACTACCCTTTGAGGAGAAGATGAAGTTCGAACAGGGCGACAACGGACTCTCCGCGGGGTTATACGTTCTGTGTTACCTCAATTGTGTCACGAGCTGATCTTGGTACCAGCTACAAAGCACTAGGCGCAACAGCTACCGATGAAACTGGTACTCTGGACGGCGCCGAGTTCATCAATATCTCTCGGGATGATGCCCTTTCTTACCCTACTCCCACGCACCGTACCTACCCATCCACTGTCAACGCCCGCATGGAATCCACCATCACCCCCTTTGTGCGCAAATCCGTCGATATCAATCTGACTTTGATGAGGGTGTTGAACGACAAGCTTGGACTACCGGAGGGCGCCTTGGAGGGGAAGCACGCACTTGAAGAGCATAGCGGGAGCGAGGCTAGATGCATCAAGAGCCCGACAAATCAGGAGATGTCGGCTGAGAAGGCAGCACTTGGGGCTCATACTGATTTTGGCTCACTCGTAAGTCGCCCTGGTTCTTTGCCGATGCAAACATGTCAGGAACCAGCAGTCAATCATCATCCCTACATAGTCCTTCCTTCACAACCGACTCGGAGGACTTCAAGTCATGCCACCTAGCACCGAGACCTGGAAATACGTGAAGGTACATCCTGGTTTTCTGTAATATCAAACTACACTGACGCCGTCTGGCATTCGCGCCACAATAGCCCCTCCCTGGTCACGCTATCTGTAACCTCGGAGACGCCATGGCCGTCTTCAGTGCCGGCATCCTCCGCTCAAATGTTCACCGTGTCGTGACCCCACCCAAAGCTCAAGCTGCTTTCGACCGCTGGTCAATCGTCTTTTTCTCTCGTCCTGGAAATTCAGTCGTTTTGGAGCCACTGGCTGGAAGCAAGATGATCAAGGAAGCGAGGGAGGCAGCACCTGGCAAGTATGAGACCGGGTCGACCGCCGCGGACTGGTTCGCGAGGCGTACCAGATATCAGAGAATCAAGAATCGCAAGGTGGGTGAAGTCCGTAATTTGAGTCAAAATGTAGCATTCTGACGGTTGTGATTTCTTAGGGACCGGAGACTTGGAAAGCCAGTCGCGGGACGGAGCATCGCGATGATACCGTGAATTTGGCAGCCTAAAGGTTGTGATACTCGCTGGCGGAGTCAAAGTCTCCATATAGAGAACTTCACATCGTCCAGAGTCACAAACATGTCTTTCTCGATGACCTTCGCCAAAATAATATGCTCTCTTCCTCTGAATTTAGCCTGCTAGTCTGCTATTCATGACCAGCCTTACGCACCCGAAGTAACTCAGCAGCCGCGGTAGCACATGACGCTCCACTCCCATCTCGCTCACTATTCCCAGACCGAAATGCTTGGACTCATGAGAATTACCTTCAAATTCCGGATGAGACGACATATATAAGCACGGTCCAGGCGGGGAGCCGCCGCTCTCCTTCGCCTGCTAGAAACCACCTAGCAAACGAGTTGAACGGTTCAAGGCCCTGACATGCCCGGAACCACATTCCCTCCATTTCCAGATGATGTGGCTACCGTCCCGCTCTTGATAATTGACTACGAGCTCATAAAGACTGGTAATGTGAAGGAGATTGACACATTATGGAATGCTGCCACGCAGATTGGCTTCTGGTAGTGCGTTACTCTCCTGCACTGTATGGTCAACACTGCGCTAACCTGTTCTCGTCTTACAGCCTGAAGAACCACGGAGTCGATGAAGAAGTGAACAAAATGTTTGATATGGGCGTTGAGATGATGGACTTACCTCTAGAAGAGAAGATCAAGTATGATAAAGGAGCCGAGACGGGGGTATCAGCAGGGTAATGTTGCCAGTCGATATTCTCCGCTTGTTGATGACGGTACTCATGGCACTCACATTTTCGTGAGCAGGTACAAAGCACTAGGTGCATCTGCGATAGACGAGACAGGGGCTCGCGACCATGCCGAATTCCTGAACATAGCACAAGACGATGCCCTCTCTTATCCCATCCCAGCTCGACGTACTTACCCGGGCCCCGTCAACGCCCGTATGGAATCAACTATTGTTCCTTTCATCCGAAAGTCAGCCGAGATCAATCTCACGTTACTTGGAGTACTTAATGATAGACTCGGCCTACCGGAGGGTACCTTGGGGAATAAACACCTTATCGACCGGCCAAGCGGGAGCGAGGCGAGGTGTATCAAGAGTCCACCAACTCAGGAGATACTTTCTGAGAAGGCTTCGATCGGTGCCCATACCGATTTTGGTTCGTTGGTGAGTTCACTCTTCGTCATGTTGCCTTGCGGCGCGAACTCGTTTAAACATAGGATTGGTATTTCAGTCCTTCCTGCACAACAGGCTCGGAGGGTTACAAGTACTACCACCCGGAACAAATACCTGGAAATACGTGAAGGTGAGAGTTGTGGACATGGCTTCTTACACAAGGTCAGGCTGATACCGCTTCTCGTAGCTCATCCCTGGTCATGCAATCTGTAACATAGGGGACGCCCTCGCAATCTTCAGCGCTGGCATTCTACGCTCGAACGTCCACCGTGTCTTGCCTCCTCCTAAGAGGCAAGCTTCTTTTGACCGATGGTCCCTCGTGTTTTTCACACGTCCAGAGAACTCCGTGATCCTGGAACCCTTGACTGTTAGTCAGATGGTCAAAGACGCGAAGGCATCGGCCCCAGAGGGTAGATATGATACTGGGACCTCAGCGGGAGATTGGTTCAAGAGACGCGTTATGAACCGGAGGATCAAAAACCGCAAGGTAAGAGAGGCATAGCATGACAAAGACCTTGACTCACGTATTTTAGGGACCGGAGACGTGGAAAGAGAGTCAAGGGACTGAGCATACAGGAGGATTGGTCTGAATTTACGGAAGGAAGTTGCCAGTCATAACTGAAGTATTGGCTGCTCATGTATTTGTACGAGGGCATCTATGTAATATTCGAGCAGCAGTTCAGTGTCTCAAACCCCCTAAAGTATATATTAGAGAACGTGACAACACTCATCAATATCAATGTCGAACCGCAAGAAGAACAAAGTCAACCCTTCTCAACAAGATCTACCGCATGCATCTCATTATCCTTTTCACCTTCTATATCACTCGTAGCACCCTCGATAGTAACCACAGGGCCCGTGAACCAGTGTTTTCCTCCATACTTCGGACAGTAATAGTATGATAGCGAACAAAATATCAATCCACCCAACATAAGGCAGGTATAATTCATGTCTGCGACAGTTGGTGTGGGCGTAGTGGGAAAGCAGAAGATGACAAGCATGAAGGTCATCCAGACTACTGCGATGATCGAAATGGGGAGACTCTACGAGAAAGAAGAAACGATGGTACAGTTAGATCCCGCCATCAAACAGGATATGATACGTACAAAAATGCCGAGTGAAAATGGACCAGGCTTGAACTCTTCGCTTCCGAGCCATCTCGCTGCAATGGGGATGAGATAGGCAAGGTACAGTCCCGCAATGCCGAGCGAGAATATAGCCCCAATAGCCACAGGGCCTGCGAAGGAGAGTAACCCGAGGAGGAGAGCGATGCATACGGCGAACCAGACTGCGTTTATTGGCGTCTGTGTGTGGGGATTAATCTGTCGCAAAAGGGAAGAGAAAGGGAGGGCGCCATCCCGCGAAAAGGCGAAGATTTGACGCGAGGCGCAAATACCCTGAGCAAAGTGCATATTTGTTAATCGATGGAACGTGGAGACTATAAAGAGCGTACGTACACCTCCCATACCCACCATGAATCTATAAGGATGTGAAGGTTAGAGAGGTGTACCTTATGAGCAGACTGGGACTACTAACTGTGTGACGACTACTACAGCCCAGACAGCCAAGGTACCTTTTCGACCAAAGCTATTGAACAGGATCTAACAAGATGGTTAGATGTCAACATATTTCTTGATAGTAGATGTGGACTGAAGCGTACTGCGGCCATGGGCTGCCCTATGGGGCTTGTCAGAATTGACTCCATGTCCGTTCCCATGTTGAATGCCAAAACTACGTTGATGCCTAGAGGTTCCCCGAAGTGAACTGGGCCCCGATGGACGCTGGAGAAACCCATGCATACCCCATCCTAAGATACTAGAAAGTATGACCGCCATCATGAGAGCCCAAGGTACAGCAAAGCTTGCATTAGAGGCCTCTTCGCTAATATGCACACTCGCGTCAAAGCCGTCTACAAAAAACAAATCGAGGATAAGCTGATGATGGGGTACAGAGCAAAGGCAGTGATGAATTGCTGACTGATGGTCCACAGAGGGGCGATAAAGCTCAGAACAAATGCGTAGCCATCCGTCCAGCCGTTGACTGTCTAGTAAGATATTAGTAGACACTTTTCAGGGTCCAGTGGTCACGTACAGTTGGTGAAACCACCAAATGCGAATTTTGCTGTGTTCCTGAATTCCTTCGGAGTTGCTACAGGCACACCGACGATGATTGCCAGGCAAAGTCTGGACGGAACAAAATATAACTGAGGGTCAGCAGCGCTCAATAGATGAAATGCAGGGTCTTACAAAACGTTGAAAAAAATGTAGAAATTCTGAAGTCGAGCCACATAAGTCGAGGGCATACCACATACGATGCCATGGAGGAACAGGATCAGGGCGAAAACACCACTGAGCGAGATTATGAAGGAATCTTAGTGAAAGAAGCGTCATAGAGATGCTTAGGTACCCACAAAGTCTGGCCCGAAGTCGGGACGAAGGTCAAGTCGGATCCAATGCTGACGGCGGCCATGACTTGCACAGCACACCCGTAATCTACACCTGTCATCCCAGCAATGTACCCAATCGCATTGGCATCTGCGAGCCGTAAGAAAGGCTACGTTAGCCAAGCTACTAGACATAAAAAAGGGAGAACAAAATACTACTCACAGCCAACAATCCAAGAGAGCACATTCTTGTACCTGGGAGATGAATACATATGCGTCCAATAGTACAATCCACCGGCAGTTGGGGCGGCCGAGCCTAGTTCCGCTAGCGCTAGAGCAATAGTTACTAGAAAGACGGTGCAGACCGTCCACTGGGATCGTACATCGGCATCGTTGCATGAGCGTTTATGCTTCTGCGAAATGAAGCGGGTCTTACACCCCAGATCATAGCTGCTGGCCCTCCATTTGGAATAGCATACACGAGAACGGACCTAGAAAATCGAACGGCTCAACAAGGAGAAGAAAAAGTGCTGAATGCACAAGGACACGACGTACGCAATCGAAGGGAATATCCCGATGAGACTGAATCCGACACCAAACAATTCCCATGTTGAGTAAGCTCGACGAAATTCTTGCCTGTATCCGAGGCTGGCAAGCGCTACTTCGTCGTCGTCCTGAAGATTAGTGGTAGTCCTGGGGAGGTGAGTATGGTGACTAGCGCGTGGCGGGAGTTCGCCTTCGGCGGAAAGCCTCGACATGATGATCTAGGAGGAGATTTTCGATGATAAGGGAGGTGCAGGTATAAGTTCATGATGTCTGTCGTATCGCCTTCGTTTAAATATGGTGATGACAGGAGTGTTATATCGGTGAGATGAAAATGACACCTGACCTTGACACTTGGGGTTTCAAAGAACGATAGAGGCATGATTGTACCATTCATATCGCACTTCCCCGTTAGGAGACTCGCGAGCAATTGCTAGAGAAGAGTGTGAAAGTTGAGACAAACTGGCTGTCATATCGATAATGAATCTTCGCAGGGTTCCCCAAACGCGCCAAAAAGGCAATAATAAGTTTAAAGTTGGGCTAACAGCTGCTTTCACGGATCCAGAAAGGATGCGAACTCTTTGAGATCCACCGAACATATTATTAGTCTGTTCGCTGTTCAGGCCTCCAGGATGGAGCATGCTACACTGAGCAACGAAGCTATTTCGAGACTCCAGAGCAATGAATAGAGCTTGGTTTAGTCTACTCTTCAGTGACTTTCCATATGCAGGTATAAAACTACAGTGATACCTACAAAAACGATACAAACTGTCAACAAAACGTCTCCATCATTGAACTGGGTTACGTGAAAGTAACTCACGACTATGTCAATTCTTACTCATACTTTCTCCTAAACACATCCCTCTGGACACCATCCTCACCCACTTCTTCCACACTCTCGAGTCTATAGCCTCGGCTCCGCGGCAGTACAACTGCGTAGAATATCCATATAGCCCCTCCGACTGCGAAGACTCCGATGGCAACGACAACATGCAACCAGTAAGGGAGACTCTCCTATCGAAGCCTTCATATCAGCGCACGATCCATGAAAAGGAGTCAACGTTTGAAGTCGGTAGAATAGGGCTCACATAAGGTGACAATCCTGGCGCTGGAGGTACCAAAGGCGCGATCGCAAGGAAGACGTTGGAGAGGAAGAAAAACAGTACGACTGGCCACGTCGCACGGAAAGGTGGTGACCAGTCGTACTTCTTTCTTGACCATGGGGTGTAGAGGTACAGCAGACTGAACGAAATAAACGCGTTTACAATGGCGAAGGGGTATGATACCACTATGGACGAAGGGACATTTAGATTGAGTCCGGAGAAGGAGTCCTTCCTAGGGGCGACGTACGGTTCAATACGAAGTTAAAGGCGTCGCCTGGTGGCGGTGCGACAATGACAATGATACACATCAGCCACTGGAGGGCCAATCCTGCTGACGGGGAGTTGAACGGTTTACTGGAAGCGAAGAACCGCGGGAATGGAATGATCCCTCTTCGGCCGAGTTCTTGATTGACTAGGTGGGGTGCCGACATATGTGAGCCTTCCACGAGTGAACTGAATGAATAACTCAAAAGAGACGTACTTCTGCCCAGAGAAAACAAAACAGACAAAACATTTCCAAGAGCGCTCAGTGCCACGAAGACACTGAGGGCCTTCTCTGCTTTTGCCCCGAACATATTGCGGAAATACAGGGCGCTGCAGAACGGTGCTATCAATATAGCAGGAGGCGAGCGGAAACTATTGAACAACATACGCAACAGTTCTACCTGAGTTCAGAATATCTGTCTTCGAGACGGCGGCAAAGTATGCGACGTTGACGAGCATGTAGACGACGGTGATAGATGCCATAGCAATTGGTCCGGCGATCTTGAGGGTCCGAACTGGGTTCTTGACCTCCGAAAGCGAATAGTTCACGTTCGAGTATCCGATGAAAGACCTACGCAAGATGTGGCCACCCAGTAAACAGATCAGTATTTTAGCTACCTCAGAAGTCTGTCAGGAGGTCAGTGCGCACCAAATAACGTTATACAGCCCGCTAACAAACGCATTCGCGTCGCTTCTTGTCCCATCCCACACGTTCGCACGAGCGAAATTGTCCGGCTTAGGGTCTACCTTCACTCGCCCTGCCAGTGCCGCGAAGCCAGAGAATACAATTAATGCAAGGATGACGAGCTTGAAGACTCCGAGGGCGTTCTGCAGCCGTATTCCCCACTTCAAGAAACACGAGTGCATGATGAAGGCGAACGTTACACAGCCAATTCCGATGGCGCGCTGGTTCCATTGTGTGACATCCTTGCCTGCGGCCAGAAGAATATCTGAGGAAGACGAAAGTTATGAGGGAGGGTCTCAGTATCGTATCCGCGAGACAGGAAATGGCGAGAGAGAATTTTGCTTACATTCTCCGAAAACGACAGAGTTTCCCGCTGGCCATGGCATGAGCGCAGCGTACGCGGCATAACAGGCGACAATGGTCATAGGATAGGTGTAGCTGAGGTATGTGAGCTCGCCTCCACTTCGAGGAAGTCCAGTACCCCATTCGACGTAGACAAGGAGACCCGACGTGGCAATAAGTGCGCCGATGAGCCACATAAATAGCGAGAGACCGACAGATCCACTGGTCTCGAGAATGGAAGATGGGGTAGCGAAAATGCTAGTAACGACACGTCGAGATATTTTGATTAGATTTCATCCCCGCATACAGATCATAGACATAGGACGCACCCTGTACCGATAATGCGATTAAAGATGAGGAATATTGCAGACCAAAGACCAATGGTCCTTTTAGATGATGGAACATGGTCGAATGCTTCTCCGTTCGCTTCCCCTGCTGGAGGAATGACAAACGAGTCGTTATTGATAAAAGGAGCATATAGAAAAGCTAAACCAAACGCACCAGAGCCTTCCAATATTTCCGATGTAGCATGTCCATCGGCATGATACGAAAGATCATCCTGTGATGCATCACTAGGATCCTTGGCCAAAGCTCTACCCATGTTGAATCGAAGAAATTCCTGGAGCGCTGGCGGTTACGAAGATGGAGGATGTCCTCTCCCAAGTCGCTTTTTGAGGATTTTGTTCGAACCGCATGCTCCAGCAAAAACGAGCTATGTTTCACGGTCGACGCGAAAAATTGTTCTAATGCGGGGAAATGACGCCATCCGGACCATATGTCTCGAAGTTGCGCAGAGCAGTGTGCTCTCTTGAAGTATAGTAGTTTACAGAATGAGACCGGGCAGAAGAACAGCAAGAATGAACAGGTAGTCGTACATTAGCATGCCAGCGGGGTTGTGATTGAAATTGGCTGAGAAATAGATGTTGGTCTTCGAGGCGACACGTTTAGAGATTCAAAGAGTCAAATTGAAATTATCAGGGGGATCGACCGGAGTATCCCGTAGATGGCGCCATATCTTCGGTACATGCGTTTTGTGGCAATTTTGTGGCGTCGCCGGTGCTTTCTTCTTGGTAAAAGACAAGTACCTCGACAACTAGTCAACCCGATACATAGATGTAGGTCCACAAATAGTTGATTATAGTGGGTTTGAATAGTTCTTAATCAATTTTTTTTTCAATCCTACAGGACTCATATTCTGAAGTCCAGGTCGTCATCAGAGTCTCCGACATCGATCTCCTCTCCATTATCGTCTAGATCCTCCCATGGCGGGAAAAACAAGGGCAATGGCACCTCTACCTCTTCTGCAGAACGTAGTATTTTCCCCCGCAAACGGACCGCCGCGACGTGTGGCGCACAGGAGTAGAGGCGCATCAGGGCTAGAATAGGGCACCAAGAACGTCACACCATAAGTGGGGAACAATGACGAAACGCAAGGCCCGAATGCGAACGCACGATAGAAATTTCCGTTGACACCCTCGCGCGAGAGTTTCGTTGATGATGTGACTTTCCATTCCTGAACCACGTACGAGCACCATGCGGTCAGGGTGTCATGATGCGGGCTAGACAATGATCATCAGGAACTTTGCAAACTCACATACTCCGGCCCACCGCCGGCCACGACTGGTAGGCCCGTAGCAGCAGCGACTGGCATCTTTGCACCGAACGCTATCTTTGCTTCTGCTTCATTTCCGCTGTGAGCGATGAGCACGAATCCTGGGCATTCGTAGACTTCGCCGACAAGAGCCTTCCCTACAGGTTGATGCAATACTGTCAAAACGATGTAGAAGGAGGGTGGGGAGTGAAAGACGTACCTTTCAAGATCGGTAGCTGAAGAACAGCTCGTAATTGCGCTTTATTGAGCAGACCTTTAATCTGTGAGTGTGCGAGAATTATTGCCAGTGACCGTTCACGAGAGAACTTCGCAGAAATGGCGAACTCGATAGAGGCGAGTGGCAAGAAATCACTGTTAACCAACACGGACTTGTCAGCTTTACGGCGCAAAGCACGTAGACCAGGTGAAGTAACTATCGCTCACGCAGACACATCCAGCCCCGCGTCAAACAACCTCACGTGCTCAGTCTGCATTACCACCTTCCTCTCCGTGGAGTAAGTCTGCGGCATGTCCACCTGCAACGGCACAACCTCTATGTCCTTCCCCTTGTCTCTCCCACCCGGACTTAGAGTGCTGCTCAACACCCCACCAGCAACTTCACTGTTTGATTTCAGGCCGCTAGCATGCTTGGAGACACGAACAGTCTGTACGAGATACGGAAGGAACGAAGGGTCGAATATGTTACCCTCCTTGAAGAAGAGACCGGTCTCGCGATCAACCGTGCCATAGTCTCCAGGTGTGATAGGAATAGAGGGTTCGAGGGATGCGTAGAGGCCATTGGCGCGAAATAGAAGGTCAACAAGTTTGCGGGATTCGTGCGTTGTCGAACCGAACATTGCGAGTCGGATGCGGCAAGCCTACGAGGATTGTCTGTCGGTAGACTACAGTGGTTCGCAAAGACGAAGAGAGTTGAGCGCCCAGTTCAGGCTGACTGCGCGGATGTACAGTGGGAATTGATTGTTGATGACAGCTAAAAGCTATCAAAAAACGAAGGCCAGATGAAAGAGGATTGCCGGATGCGCTGAGAGGCAATCGGGGCTGAAAGGGGCTGATTGAGAGATGATAACGATTCCCGGGTGGAAGATTTGCACGTAGAGTTATCCTCGGCCTCAACCATCGTGGAAGAAGGGCAGCGATGCATGGCCTTCGTCAAGCAACGCAGTTGAGTGGCATAGCAATTTATGTACACCTCCAATCCAAAGCGCTGCGCCATGGCGATCTCGGGTGTTGAGTAAATTAAACGCGACGCGTTTGAGAAGTGGGGAAGAAAATAGAAGGATTCAGTGGTGAGAAGAAAATTGGATGGATCGTGCGCCTTTGGCAAGAGTAGTCGGTCGTGGTAGGTCGTGGTCAAGAATCAACATGTATTTTCCGCGAGGGCTACAACAGATATCGCGTACGCGTAAATGCGCGCCACGCCACAAGCGCGACGCGAGGCGCCCCCCGCCACCCGTTCTTCATCTCCGTCCTTGACCTTGACCGCGACCATCAACTGCATCGTTGTGTACAAGCACACATTGGTAGACGTGTACCCAGAGAGACTATTATTGTTGTGTCTATTGGAACATTGCGATATAATCCCACCCAAATCCAGTGAGTGCATATCCTTTCTCACGAATCTAGACGAGTACGCGTCGCCGGAGCGTCTATCGCGTTGCCTTTGCAAACTTGTCAAGTTCTATATTCTTCTGCCTTGGCATGGATATTCAGTGGCCCGTTGGGATCGTCTTGTTGTGATTTGAGAAAGATATTCTAGCGGGATCTGGATATTCGTTTTGCGATGGGCGCCTGTCTCGTGATCATTATCTTTCATTGACTTGCTCCTTCTTCCGTCCCTTAGGGCCACAATATCTTTGTGCAGTTTTCCTCCGCTTTCTAGCACAGACACCGCTCAAATACTGGTCTTAAAGGGGTCACATTGAGGTGAGCTCAGCCTTTCACAAATAACTATCCTGTTTCTGATCTCGTGTATCAACTATGACATCTGCAGTTGAACCAAAAATGTCAGAACAAGGTCTCCCAACGCCTCCACCTGCCTCATCGGATCCTGCACCCTCATCTTCACAACCCTCAGTTCCCAATCCCGAAGCCTCTGCAACCACAGCAGTCCAAGACACCTCCATCCCACCTTCCGCTGAAGCACCAACAACACCCACGGCTCCTTCAAGTCAAGCCAGTGCTCCGCCCAGTTCATCTGCGGCATCAGCCACCTCCGCAGTGTCAGCAGGAACTAGCACGGGCCCGGGAAACTCCAGCTCGTCTCTCCACACCTTTCTCGGCCATATCGTGAACAATGGCAACCTCCAGACGCTGGGGAAGAGTCTGGCGAATCTAGCCCATGGGAGAGATAATGAGCTGTGTGGGTTGACACGTGATGGCCAGGACCCGTTGATAATATTGGGAAACATGGCTGAAAGCACACCGGCGAGTGGATGGACGGTCGGAGTGATGTATATTCTGTGCGTGCTTTCCCCACCATCTATTTACAAGTGTCGTCGTTTCTTGCGCTGACAGTCCTTCCTCCTGTGGATTATGTGGTCTTCGCCGTTCAATTGTTTCTGCTATGATGTCCTGTGGCATACTGATGCAGACCTGCCCGGTTGTGGTACTCTGGGAACGCGCCACCGGTGCCAATGTCGTTTATCGCTGAGTTTTGTCGTCGATTTGACCAGACTCAGGCGAGGTTGGTCGCAGACAGAGGTAGGCTATCCTTTTCACGTCTCAATCTTGTTCACGGTCTATTATCCTGTTTCTTTTTTGGTGTCTATGTGTCCTCTGAAATAACTGATCCTGACTTGTTTCCTATTTTTTCCCAGTAACTCCGTTGGCAAGGGGTATTGTGTATCGAGCAGAAGCTCTTGGAAACGTATGATTTACACTACCGTGTCGATTTCTCTACTCTGCTGATCCGTTTATATGTGCTTGCGCGACATTCTATAGATCAAACTAGCTATCCCACCGCTCCATAACTTGTTGAGCCGCTATGCTCCTTCATTGAGCTACCTCACGACCATTCATCCTATCTTTTTGACAGTGAGTAATCACTCTTACTTCTACATAGCGGATCTCACTGACGCCGATCCCTTTTATCCTCCAAAAAGGCCTGCGTCCAAACCAAATCCTACACTGCCGCCCTCCCCGTCCTCTCCACCCCCATCACCGAAATCTCAAACTCCACCACGCCATCACCCTACTCCCCCGGCTCCGAATCCGCCTCTTCACAAGTCCCGCTCTCCCCAGATCTGACCTACCAAGACCATCTGATCTACCACTACCTCGGAGGTATCGCCCTCGCCGCGCTCAAGAAATTCAAACTAGCCGAGGAGTTCTTCGAGATCTGCGCTAGTGCGCCGGTAGGACTGCCTTCGAGCTCTTCCGGGAGGAATGGCGGTGGGAACAATGGCAGCCAAGGTAATAATGCTGGAGGGGCAAGTGAAGGAGCGAGTGGTAGTGGAAGAGGAGGGGCTGCATCGAGGTTTGGAGCTTCGAGTATGAATGTCATGGCTCCTATGGGCCGTGGAAGTGGTGGTGCGGGAGGAGGTGGAGATGGTGGTGAGGGTAGAGGTGGAGGGAACGGAGAGAGGGGCGAGAGGGGTGGTGAGGCGAGTATGTTGCAGTTGGATGCGATGAAGAAGTTGGTACTAGTCCAACTCATCCTCTACGGCCAGGTCAGTTTTCCCCATTTTAATCACGATCCGCTGCTACTGCGCTTGTCGAGACTATTATTGACGTCCGGTTTTATGGCTTGTGGCATGTGTGGCGCCGACGCGATCCGGGTTTGCTTGAACTGTAACGGTTTGCATTCTTCGATATTTTACGCGCTATAGAGCAAGCCTCCGCCTCGGTACACGTTTCCGACTATCACTAATAGTATCCGCAATTCGGTCTATGGGGCTTTCGCAAAAGTATACCCGGGCCCTTCTCGGCCGCTAATGCAGATTGTCAACAAGGAAGGCGGCGTTTTTGACAGGGTGAGCGTCTTTATCGACTTCGTATTCTCCCCTATTAGGTACTACTTGCACCGATGCGCTTCATTCGCATACGATCTCTACACCTGATCTCTTCGCCCCTGTACAATCGATAACTAACGCCACAATAATTCTTAGGACGAAAATGCAGGCCTCGTCAAACAGGCTCTATCCCGTGCTCCTCGATGGGCCATCAAGAAACTCACAGAGACCTACCTAACGCTGGGTTTGCGCGAGATCGGAGCCGCCGTCGGGGTCGGGATACCTTCTAATGCTACACCTGTAACCGGTGGAGATGGTGGAGAGGGAGAGGGTTCTGGGGCGAGTAAAGAGGTGAAGTGGAAATCGGAGGATGTGGACGTTGAGATCGTGAGGGGCATTGTGCTTGACATGGTGTGTTGATCCTCCTTTCCTTTCGTTCGTTACTTTGACGTGCCTGTCTTGTCCACTTGCTTACGTTTTCTATTGACTTGGTTGATGAAATTATTAGATCGAACACAAGGAAATCAACGCTTCCATCTCAGCAGATGATACGGTCACTTTCGCCGACGATATCCCTCTACAAGTCTCAAAATCGGACGTAGACAGGGCTCTGGCCGAGGCACAGAGGCAGGAGGCGCTCCTCAGAGAAGTAGAGGGCGCATTGGGCAGGAGCCGAGATTGGTTGGCGAAGGTACGTTGGCTTTCTTCTGTCCTCTTTTTCTCGGCTGTTGGCTTCGATGTCTGCTCGGTCGCCCTCGGTCGGTGTCGGGTAGCTGGTACGTCTCACGACTGTACACGGTCATACACGGTCGTACACGGTCTGCATGCCCTAAGTGTCGTGGCTCTTCACGGCGTATGTGGCCAATATCCTGATATGGTTCTTCGTACACGTATTTCCAAAGTCCTGGATACTTGGAACGTGATCCTTGACTACTCTGAGCTCCAATCGGATCCCTTTGACCTCCGCCGAGCTTTACTATCGAACAGGTCGGAGAATTACGAAGTCAGGCCCTTCGTTTCAGAATGCATCTATTGTCGCAACCGTGCTGTTTCCGCTGATCATATCATTCGCCGAGCGCCACCTTTCCTTGACTGGTATTATTATCACTGCGCTATTTTAGGCAATCCGCTTGTTCGTGCGACCCTGTATTCCGTTTTTGAATTTGAGCTCGTGTTGTGTACTTGGCTTCCATGATGCACCTGACCCAAGAGACCGTTGCCTGATCTTGACCTTGCATTTCCATTACTTGTTACTAATCCAACATTTTTCCCCCTGTTTGTTGTATTTATTCAGGCTATGCGAAGTCGAGACGAGCCCGGTGGTTTGAGCACAATGATGAACACCTCGAATATGGGCATGCAGGAGGACGACCTGATGTCCGGTATTATGGGGCCAGGAGGCAGCGGCACATGGGACGACTAGGGGTGGCGTTTTGAAGGGGGAGGGGAGCGCTTACTGGCGAAATATACGAGAAGGCTGACGTGCTCTGGCCGTAAGCAGTATATACTACTGCATCGAGGATGCTTATTCAAGGCTGTCAGAAGAAATGTGTCCGGTCGTTGGGGCGGCGCTTGCTAACCAAAAAGTCGTGTAACAACTCTGTGTTTGTTTTGTTTTCTTGTCATTTCCGTCTCGTCAGTCGCACGTGTCAATTGCAATCATGGTCTCGAATATTCGTCACTGTTTCGCGGGCTTGTGCAGGAGGCCGCAGGCATGAACGAACGTTCTGGATTGAGCGAGGTGCCGGATTAGGATGTTGTTTCTTGCGATGATGTGCTGAGCGTGAGAGCGGAAGTGGCGAAAGCGGAAAGAGGCTTACGCCATCACGGCTGCGTAATAGGGGCAGAAAAAGAATAAGCGCACCTTGTTTGGGATGTGACTGCCAAAGGGGGCGAGATATTCGCAGAAGATCACAGGGCGGCTTTGAGCGCACGATCGCTCTGACTGTTCGTCGCGGGCGACTGTCTATAAGATCAGAGGTGGCGACCACATTCTCTGTCATCGTCACCTGCGCCGCTCCGCCGTGATCTGGATGTGCTTCCCGTCTAAAAAGCAGAAGAATCTGTTATCCGACGACCCCGCTCCCTCCACCGACAAATCTATAAAGCAGGCCCCAACTCAGTCCTCCAAGCCTCAACCTCCCCCCGTCGAACCCACTCCCGCAGCAGCTGCCAGCACAGTCCCCCCTTCAGCCAACACCACCACCTCACCTGCTTCCACCATGAGCTCTCCAAAGGTCGCCATCATCATCTACTCCATGTACGGGCATATCGCCAAGTGTACGTCCTCTTCATCGCTGTCCTGTTGACCCTCTACTTACGCGTTGTGCTCTTCATAGTGGCCGAGGCCATCAAGGGCGGTATCGAGTCCGCTGGCGGTGCTGCCACCATCTACCAGTACGTCTTTCACGTCCAGTTCATAATGTGATTCGTTCTGACCATGGCTCGCAGGGTTGCCGAGACTCTGCCTGAGGAGGTCCTCAAGAAGATGTACGCACCGGCCAAGCCAGACTACCCCGTCCTCGCCCCCGGTGACCTCGCCCAATTCGACGCCTTCCTCTTCGGTATCCCGACCCGTTACGGTAACTTCCCTGCTCAATGGAAGGTACGCCCTCTATTACGCACTGCGCTTTAGCCCCTGTTCTACCCATTGACAGTTTATGTTCTTCAGACTTTCATCGACGGTACCGGTCAGCTCTGGGCTTCCGGTGCCCTCGACGGCAAATCCGCCGGTCTCTTCATCTCCACCGCTGGCGCGGGCGGAGGACAGGAGTCGACCGCCATCGCCGCAATGTCCACCCTCGTCCACCACGGCGTCAAGTACGTTCCTCTCGGTTACAAGCACGCCTTTGGCCAGCTTACCAACCTGAGCGAGGTCCACGGTGGTGAGTACCCCATTATCCATTATCAGACGCCCGCCCCCTATATATATATCGACCAGCATGCCTCCTGCGTTGCTCGTTGGGTGCATATCATGTTGCTGACGCTACATCAATTCACGTTGTGTTTTAGGTTCTCCCTGGGGTTCCGGCACGTTCGCGGGCGCTGACGGATCCCGCCAGCCCTCCCCTCTCGAGCTCGAGATCGCTACCATCCAGGGCAAGACCTTCTGGGAGAAGGTCTCCAAGGTCTAAAAACCTTTCCTTGTTCTTGTGGTCGTACGAGTAGTGTATTCTGAGACGGCGTCGCTGTAAATATTATCATACATACCGAGGAACTAAATCATCAATGCATCAGTGATTGTACGAAATCATATTACTCAGGTGCTCCGGTGTCGTCAGGCCGCCTGAGTATGCCTCAGGACTTCAGGTCCGTTGGACGTCAAACTGAGTCGCGCTCGAACTCACATATGAATGAAACTGTCGCAAAATTATGGAAGAAACGCGACTGGAGCTTGTCTTCGCGAACATTGCATTCCTCGAACTTGACCTTGAGAAGTACAGCGTTACTGTATTATTTTTGCTCGGGAGCTTGAGTTCATTCGTAATAGTGTGGCCTGCACGCCACACTGTCATAGTGCGTGGGAAAGGTGTGCTTAGCAGGATAGGGGCTCGAAGACTCCAGGGGACACAACGGGCATCTTCAACATCAATCTTGTCTGAACAGGTCTGTACCGAGGAAAACAAAGGATTATGAGACTGCAGCGACACGTTAGACCTGTTGAGGCCACCACTTCAACTCTGGCTGCTTTAGAGTGACATCCTCTCCCACTCGGTCTCCTTCCTCACGCACAAAGACATCAGTCCTTCAGGGATTAAACTTCTTCTTCAATTGCCTGCCCTTCTTTCTACATCCCACAACAACAATACGTACACCTATGTACAGGCTACTCTAAATTGGAATTCGACCTACGTACGTACCAATAAAAATAAAAGTAAAAAGTAAGAATCAAGACTTAGAAAAAAGCTAGAGAGACCAAGAGACCAGAGACCGACGGAAAACAACTAGAACACGATACAGATGAGACGGATGGATGGACGGATGGATGAGGGGATGTATGGCTGAGACGGGGGGTATGTATTACATGCAACATAACACGCTCGACGTCCGATGATCATGATGGATGCAACACTTACTTAGCCAGAACGGATACGGATGAGATTATGGATGATGATGATGGATCGAGACAAAGACACAAAAAAAACTTTTGACCAGACTAGAGTCCCTACTCCACACGCTTTCTTTTTGCCCAGCAAAATAGACCAGGAGAGGGAGGTCTGGTGACTGACTGTATTGACAGGTACACCACTACCAGCTCCAACCCTCCGGGAACATGCTCGAGACGTCGAAGCCGGCCGCAGAGGCGGAGACCTCTTCGATTTGGTACGAGTTGAGCAACGTGTTGAAGGACCAGTCTGCCGAGCAATAATCATGAGCATCATATTGTGAGGTGGAGAAGAGGCGGACAAAAAGGCGTGCAAAGAGTGTCGAAGGGTGTCACGAGAACAAGAACTCGATGGTGGATAAGAGAATAAGATGATAAGAGACAGGAGGGAAAGGTACGAAAACGACGAAGTAAAGGAGGAAGACGAAAAAGAAAAACGCACTATTCGCAATATCCGTCGACTGTGGCGCCGGGTTCATAAGATGTGCCAGGTCGAGTGCCTTCGGCGTATTAGGCTTCGGACTAATCCCAGCTGTTTTCCCCGTGAAAGTGCGGTGCGGCCACGTAGTCGTTTCGTGTCGTTATCGGGATATGGATGTTTTGATGTGCCCAATATCAGTGACAAGATGTACAAATGAAGATGCGAAACAGTCAGTACTCGAAGGATACGCGGGACTACGGACATTAGACAACAGGCGACGGAACTGAATGATGGGGTGGCGGAGCGGAGGGTGTGAAGGAAGCATCGGAAAAAGAAGGAAAGAAGTCGGAGACACCGGAAGTAAGGGAAGAAAGAAAGAAGGGCTTGACGGAGTGCAGAGAACTGAAATTCGGACACCGGAGAATCGGACAACGAACGACGGCACGACGGACTCATAAAACTCTGAGAACGGAGCAGGCTCGGAGACAAAGAAAGAGAAGAGAAGAGCAAGCTCGAGAGCCCACGGCGGCGATGACGCAAAGGATTCCCAGAAGAAGCAAGAAAAGAAGGAAGGAGCGGAGACTCACACATCCCATTCCCGGCGATCCTCCTCAACAGCCCCGCATCCGGTAACGAGATAAACGTGTTCGCCTTGTCGGACGTGATCGAAAAGTCGATCTTACTCCAACCGAGACCAGAAGCGCGCTGCTCCAACACCTTTAAAAGGCCGACGACAGGCAAACGTCAGCACCCAGCTCTCGAGGGACGTTGCTCCTGAGCAGGAGAAGATAAGGTCACTCACGCTCATGATATAACTTATGCCTGCCCAATACCCCTGCATCTTCCTCATAGCCTTCAACATGACAGACAAATTCTGCCGCACGAGCCCGCTCAAAAACGCCGCACTCTCTGACCCTGTGCCCTTCATCCCTCCTCCCCCTACACCTCCTCCCCCTCCGTCACCCATGTTCGAGCCACCGTGCGGTCCCCTCCCGTTTACACCTTGACCCATCCCACCACCCGCACCTCCACTTCCCATCCCCAAAAACCCGTCCTCCATTTGCGCCTCCCACACAAACGCGACTCCGGCAATAAATAAACACTGGTTCATGAACGGCGTCACTACATAACTTTGCTGGTCGAACAAATCCGCAAACACGAGGCAGTCCGCGATCTGTCTTGACGAAGCGAGCGAGAGTTTAATGGACCGGGTGAGGTCGGTCGAGAGCGGTGTGTCGTATCCTGAGAGGTTGCGGCCGAGGTTTGGATGGTGAATGAGGGCGAGAATGCCGTGAGCCCAGAGGTGGAGGAAAAGGAAGGAGCCCTAAGGGATAGACTGGATGAGGAGGCTGGTAGCCGAAGACGCTCAACAGGAGAACGTACCCCGTGTTTATGGTGCGCGTATCTCTTGAAGTTATCGACTGACCATCTATCGGACGCAAGTCAGCAGTTGTCTGACTGACTGACGCTTGGGCGAGCATCAAGTTAAGGGAGCAGAGACACTCACTTCAGGGGCTCTGGTAACGACTGCAAGAAACTAACTAGATTGTTCTGCAGCTGCTGTAACTCTTCCGCCCCCGACGACGAAGCACCGACCAACGTTCTCGGATGTCCTCTTCTTCCATTCTACAATACTCTATCAGCCCACGGGTAAGTCGCTCAGCAGTTGGCGAGACTAACCAAAATATTCGAGACACGTCCGCATATTGTGAACAAACAGACGACCCTGCAGAACGGGTTCGGCAACGCAGGCAGCGTCTCGTTCCCGTCGTTCAAGGCCGGTGCCAATTCGCTCTCAGCTGGGAGGGGGACTTCGATGATGTCATCGGTTATGGTCACGGTGCGACCCGTGCCCAACGAGAGCAATCGATCCTGTGAAGGAAAACCAGAAGTCAGTGCATTTGTTCAGCAACAAAAGAAAATGTGAGCATACCATGATGTATAACGACCAAAAGAGGAGGTTTCCGTCGCATACGTCTCCGTCGACATCTTCAGTCGTCTGTAGATATTGTGTAACGGATATAAAAAAAATCAATTTAGAGCTCTTCGTGCACTGCTGCTCTGCATGAGATTTTTACCTTGTGCAGACCGAGGTCAATCGCCATTCGCATCCCAAGACCAGCGAAGTTCCAAAGCCCACTCTCCGAATTCTTTTCACCGAAAAGAAAAGGAAGTCATGAGTTAGTGATCAACAAGCGATCCGAAAAAGGAGGGAAACTGCATACCTCGCCAAATTCAGCCCACGAAAGCAGGAGCAACCCAGCGGCGATATCTCTCGAAGGCAGCCTCATAAGTGGCATTGCCAACGTCCAGGCAGCGTCGATGTACTCTTGCGGTTTACGTGCAGGAGCGGTTGCAAATCTTTATTCAGCCCCGCGTGTCATGAGCGTGGTCCATTTACGCAGCAAAGATAAAGGTATTAGAGGTGTTGAAGAAAGGAGGATAAGGGGTGGAGCCTAACCTTGCGGCGACAGCGTTCATCGCGTTTAGCAAAAAGGCAGACATACTCCCACTATAATTCAAAAACAGGGTGTTAGTATCCGAACGCTAGCAAACAAGAGCACCTTCGCCCCGTGGTCGAAGCCGACATGAAAAGAGACTGAAACTTACTCCGCCAATCGCTCGTTGACCCTCTCTCTTTTGACAAACGGAAAATGCTGAGCAAAATTCTCAAAGAACACGTCCACGAGACTATGATCGAGCGGTTCGGACGCCAATACCGGTCCAGATGGTGCTGATGGATCATTGTTATTCAGTATACGGGCATGGCCATTGATGTCGTTAAAATTGGAGGACGACGGAGAGTGCGGAGAGGGTAGAGAACCTGAGACGGGCAACGGTGGGATGGCTGATGATCGGAGTTTGATGACGATTCTGTTGAAGCCTGGGTGGATTGCGGTTGATCCCGACTACGATATCGAGATGCGGCGATTGACATTTTCTGTCAGGATCAAGAAAACAAAAGAAGCCAAAGCAGCACGATGCTTACGAAGCGATACTAGAGTGTGAACTTGCATGAGCGAACACGGACAATGGACATGGGCTCCCAGCGTGGGAGAATGCGGACGTGAAGGACATACATAGTGCACTTTCAGGACCGAAGACTCTCCTGGATCGCCTTCTAGGAACGCGATCTGCTTGCTCAAAGCCTCTACTACTTCGTTCGTGTCCACGCTTCTCGGAGACGAGTTCGATTGAAACGGGGGTGGGGGCAAATTATTGACATGGAAAGAGGCTGAAGACCCAATCCCACCACCGTCGGGCACGCCTGGATGTGTAGTATATATCGGAGAGGAGAGAGAAGCGACGTTAGCGAGACCGTTGAGCAAGTCCGAGGACGGTTGAGACGGATGCCGCATGGAACCCATATTGAAAAGCGTAGATGTTCCGGCCTGAAACAAGGACGCGGGCGCCGTCGTAGGATAATTGGGTGAGGATCCCGGGACGGAATTTGCGGGTGTTGGGAGCATGAACGGGACATGAGACTGCGAACGAGGATCCTATAACCATACCGGTAAACAACTTTGCACACGAACAATAGGAGGAGGACTTACCAGATCGGCTCTCGACTGTCCGCCATCGGTACTCGCCTGCGCCAGCCTTGCTTTCTTTTCTGAATCTCGCGCCTTCCTCTCCTTCTCCGCAAGCTCAGCCTCTGTCATCTCCTTCCTCGTTCGCTTCCTCTTCCTCTCGCTTGGCCGCACACACTCCGCGTTTGCCTTCACACAGGGGCCGCAGATGGGCATCCTGTCGTCGCACTTGCCCTTTTTGTTTTTACATCTGAAGCAGGCCAACGGTTTCGGTTTAGGTACATTGGGATCGGGGCCGTAATTTGAGTGCGACTGTGGCGCCGAGTCGTTATTATTGCCTGGACTGGAGCTGCTGCCGTTCTGGGATCCGGAACCGTCCGCCTGAGCTTGTCCGTGCGATTGTGATGGTGTGCCGCTGCCGTTGCGATTGGCGGTGGTGGGAGAAGGAGCAGAAGGAGAAGAGGGTGTCGTAAAATGATAGCTTGGGTTGGATGCAGTCGGGGAGTTACCGTACGCGTGCCAGGATCCGGGATGATGCGGGATATTTGGAGAATGCTGCTGTTGTCCATGTCCTTGCTGTTGTTCGCCTTGCTGCTGCTGGTTAGCATTGGATTGCTGCTCGCTAGCATGTGAGCGAAGGGGCGGATATGGCTGGATGTCGATATTTGTCATGGCCGGTGGTACAAGGCGACGGGGCGGACTTTGACTTGGGCGGAGGCTGTCTGGATATGAGCGATTGCTGGTTGAAAGGAGGAGGCAGGGGGAGACGCACTCTCGAAAAGGACTTGTGACCGCAATCAGTGGAAGAATCCCGGGCGTTTGTGGGGGTGGGGACGACGCGGGGAGCGACCTCTCTTCTCCACACTTCCTCTTTTCCCTCAGAATCTCTCCTCTCGGCTGCCCGGAACGGACCAAACACGAGCTCGCTGACTTCATAAACCCAGGCACGGCCCATCGCGGTCCCTCCCGGTCCTGCTCCGGACCGTCGTTCTCGCCCGGTGGCCCTGAGAGTGCCACTGCCAATTTCTTGCCATAGTACAACTACAGTTCTCTATTCGTTTTACTCCCGTACAGGCTACAGCAGTTCGACATACACTTCGTAAAATCGTCTATGGTATGCTTCTCCTTTCTTTCTTCGATGTCATCCATCTTCCCAATAAAATAATCACGATCCCCTACTCCTTCCTGTACTTCTGGTAGTAGTGGATGAGGCCGGTGGTCTGGGCGAGGTAACAAATTAGCCAATGATACAGAGTAGGGTCAGTCAAAAGGAGACATACCGAAGAGTCGTGGCCCTTCACATCGTCCGGCTTCTCGAGCTGCGCCAGGATGTTCTTCGCGAGGACCTTACCGAGCTCAACACCCATTTGGTCTATACATCGAAATTAGCACACGTCCGCGGATAAGAAGTACCACGACCCACCGAAGGAGTTGATGCCCCAGATGACACCCTGCGTGAAGATCTTGTGCTCGTAGAGCGCAATGAGCGAACCGAGAGTGGCCGGCGTAAGGAGAGGGAAGATGATGCTGTTGCTCGGGCGGTTACCCTCGAACACCTTTGACTTGACGAGAGCCTCGGAAGCCTTCGAGCCGACCTCCTGACGGACTTGCTCCTCCGTCTTGCCGAAAGCGAGCGCCTCGGGCTGAGCAAAGAAGTTACTGAGGAGGATGCGGTGATGGAGTGAGTTGCGGATCGGGTTGTGCGTCGTGGCGGGGGCGAGGAAGTCGGTCGGGACGAGCTTGGTGCCTTGGTGGAGGAGCTGATAGAATGAGTGCTGGCCGTTCGTACCAGCAGCTCCCCAGATGATGGGCTAAACAGGGCGAATGTGACATCCAGGTGAGTGTGTGCTGAGCGCCACGATGAATAGGTAGACATACGCCAGTCTGGTAGTTCACACGTTCACCGCCCTTGGTGACGAACTTGCCGTTTGACTCCATGTCGCCCTGCTGGAAGTAGTCCGCGAACTTGTGCAGGTACTGGTCATAAGGCAGGAGTGCATGGGTCTGCGCGCCTATAGATTTGGTCAGTAAATATTCTATGGTAAATCTAAACCAAGGAACCAAGGATCGTACCATAGAAGTCGTTGTACCACAGCCCAATAACCGCCAACAACACTGGCAAGTTGTTCTCCAGCGGCGTCTCCCTGAAGTGCTTGTCCATATCATTCGCACCCTGGAGCAACTCCTGGAAGTTGTTGAAACCAATCACGAGCGCGATCGAAAGCCCGATCGCACTCCAGAGACTGTACCGACCGCCGACCCAATCCCAGAACGGGAACATATTCTCCTTCGAGATCCCGAACCCAGTAACCGCCTTCTCGTTCGTCGAGAGCGCGACGAAGTGCTTCGCGACATGCGCCTTGTCCTTCGCGGTCTGGAGGAACCATTCCTTCGCAGACTCGGCATTCGTAATGGTCTCCTGGGTGGTGAACGTCTTGGAGGCGATGATGAAGAGCGTGCGCTCGGGATCGCACGCGCGCACAGTCTCGGCGAGATGGGTGCCATCGATGTTAGAGACGAAGTGGGCCGTGAGGTCACGCTTCGAGTAATTCTTCAGCGCCTCGGTGACCATTACAGGTCCAAGATCGGAGCCACCGATACCGATGTTGACGATGGTGTTGATCGTCTTTCCAGTATATCCCTTCCACGACCCATCCCTCACCGCATCGGTGAACTCCTGGATATGCTTGAGGACGTCTCCGACCTCATCTACACCAGGCTCCTTGGTGTTCAGCTTCCCGAACCCACGAAGAGCAACGTGCAGTACGGCACGGTCTTCGGAAGTGTTGATGTGCTCTCCGGCGAACATCTTGTCGCGGTATTCCTCGACGCCGGCCTCGCGGACGAGATCGAGGAGGGTTTTGAGGATGGGCTCGGTGACTAGATTCTTGGAGTAGTCAAGGAGGAAAGTGTTGGCGGGGTTAGACGAGGAGACATATTCTTTGGAGAACTTGGAGAATCGAGCTGGGTCGGATGCAAAGAGATCTTTGAGGACGAGCTGGTCTTTCTCGGAGGTGTAGATCTGCTGGAGCTTCTGCCAGGCAGAGTATTCTATACGTCATACCAGTACCAACGCAAAGCATCATTATGAGCAATCTGGATTATTTGCGCAAGAGTTGAGCGAACACACCAGATGCGAGTTTTCCGGACATTGTCTTGATGTCGGCGATGCCTTGCGTATGGGTAGAGATGGAGGACGAAAGGAGGAGACGGCCGTCGGAATAGGGGAAATCTTTATAGCGATCACTTTATCTACCGCCGTGGGAACAAGATGACGCGCACTCGGCTCGATGAGAGTTGTTCCAGCCTCGTCCGAGCCGGTTGCCCACTTTGAATGCACAACCTTTCACAGACGAGCAACGTTTGCAGGTTCAAAACACGCCTACTGGCCATAGCAGGTCTTTAACAGGCCAATCACGTCGGGTTTTACCCTAATAAACTCTCTAGCTGACATACAAAGCAACTGGTTGGCAAGTTGGCTTGCGAATGTTTGCTTCGGCCATACACGGAGCAGGGTATGGGCAACCTTTTCCCGGCCGTTTCTCACCAACGCCTCCCATGTCCTACGACGTCTGTAAACGATGATGTATGAGTGGCGTGCCTACCGATATCATCTCCCAGGCTACAGCACGACACTTTGTAGGAGTACTGCTTGGACAATCCCACACAAAGATCCAAAGTACGATCCCATCCCTAAGCCCCGTACAAACTGAGGGGCGCCGTAGAAGTCGGATCGTATTGTACTTCATCATTTGTTGTGCGACACAAGGAAGGGACGATCAGTTGACTGGAGAATGATGGAAGACAACGACCAGATCCCCGACGGATATTGCAGTGACGATGACCGCCGAGGAGACCCTGCCAGTCAAAGCTGTGATGACCAGAGGTTTCAGCATATCTTTTTCTTGATGACTTACCATGTCGTTCTAAAATGCCGCGAGTAAATTCTCGATGAGGGCTGATCTCTGCGACAACCTAAGTACTTCTCCTTGTACCGTTGTGTTGAAAGTCTTGACCATACGCCACACAGTGCCACAGCGGCGCTTCAGAACTTCGAACCTTCTCGGATCTTGCCGAGGAAGCTTTCTTCTAACCTCCATCTTAAACGCGGTCAAGTCTGGTGAGTCTCCGTATTCAAAGGCTACGTATCGGTTTCCGGACACTGACTTGGATCTGTCGTGGTTTAATCTGCTTGTTTTTCGCTGTATATGCTGTTCAGGCCCCTGTGATCGCATAAAATTCCTGTAGAAGAATCCGACATTTGCGCCACAACGCGAGCCATTGTTCCTGTGTTTATATCGAACATCGAACCGAGCTCTATGGAACGACCAAAATTTACGCCAAAGCATCTGGCTGCAGATGCTGTACTTGACTACCCTCCACTTTCCGGACGGAATGCCCAGCCCTGGATCCCCATCATCACATGTCCTGCAAATTTTCCAATCGAACTCGTAAGTAAGCAACAATTCCCCAGTCGTTAACTTCAACGTCCTGACATGTACATGCTGTATGGTAGTTTGAGATAGCTATATCTCAGCTAATTCATCACCCAGAATATAACTCTACCCTCATCCTCCGATCGGAAGTCGTCGAAGACGTCACGGAAGATTTTCCATCATCCATTCCTTCGCTCGAAGGGTACATCCCTGTAAGAAATATACATCGCAAACTTCTCCCAAGGCGACCTACACGTGACGCAGGACTGGAGCAGCACTGCACACTGTATCTTGCCTCTGACTTGCCATCCGACTCTGATGGTCCTCCCTCGCCAAGTCTCGTCTTGACACCCATCGTTGCACCGGATACCCCACTCCCATATTATCACCCTACAGTATCTCATCTAGCGTTCCGCTACGTTTCTTCCTCCCAATCTCTTCGCATCGAAGCCCTCCCGCTTGCCGGTACTCCGCTTGATTTCTCATCACGCCTCCACCGAACTTGTCTCGCCCTTCTCGAAACGCTTCACCGCTACGGCTGGGGCGCACAAACACAATACAAGAAACGAGTTACACATGACTGTCTGGTGAGCCGGGAGACATACCAGGATTTGTATCTCGTGATGAGGGAAAGGCACAAGCACCTTGTTGGGGAGTGGAAAGAGGTTACGGATCCATTGAAGCATGTTTTTGAGGTTTAGCCATTTTTACACTTTTGCCTTCGAGTGCTGATGTTTCCTCGTCAAGGATATTGGCATCGCCACGTTCTTGATTCTTCTGTGGAAAGAAACCTACGAGCCGTCAAGCGCTCCGAATGAGACCACTACCGGCATCAAGGATGACTACGACACTGAGCCGTGGAAGCAATGGCCCCGTCCACCAGGTGGTTTTGTGGATCTAGGGTACTTTTCCCTCTCCTCCTATATAAATCCATCAATAACATTCCTTTGGACCGCTTTTATCTGCAGCTGTGGCAACGGCCTCCTTACGCACATCCTCATTGCAGAAGGCTATTTTGGTGTCGGCATTGACCTCCGTGCGCGCCTGTCATGGTCGCATTATCCTGCATCTACCCAGGCGGCGTTACACATCGAAGCCCTCGACCCTACCATTTATGCCACCCCTCCCTGCCCTCCGGATTCTTCCACAGTGACCGAAACGCTCACCAAGGACACAGCCTCACGCCTCGAAAGAGGGTGTTTCATCATCGGAAATCACGCGGACGAACTGACGCCTTGGATCCCCGTTCTTTCCACGTTGTGCGACGCCTCAGGATATTTGTCTATACCATGCTGCGCCTGGGTGTTCGACGCCAAGTACGAGCGCTCGAGGGACGTTCCCTATCCTTTACCGCTAAACACCGTCGAGGTTAATTCCGCGACTACGAACGGAGGCACCCTCGATCCACAAACCGAGGCAATCACCTCTGATACAGACGAGCACCCCTCACAACAAGAAATCCTCTCCAAATTTGCAGATTCCCTAAACCTAGGTGGAGACGCAACAAATTCGAATTCAAGCTCGTACTCCATGTATAGAATCTGGCTTGCGTCGTTGAGCGTTCATTGTGGTTGGAAAATAGAGTGCGAGACATTAAGAATTCCAAGCACGAGGAATTGGGCTATCGTTGGTGCGCATCGTTGCCTTGTCCTTCCCTTTGCAATATTCGTTTGCGGACTAACAGACTCGACTGGATGCAGGGAGAACAAGGCTAGAGCACAGTGAAGAGGAAATGGAGGATTATAAGGAGCGAGCGGTAAGTATCGTGGATGATGTTAGGAGAAGAGGAATGTTCAAGACGAGACGACCGGAGGGGAAAGCCGGGGATCATTGATCTTTTTGTCTTAACCGTTTATCACACAGAAAACACTCGCACAGTTTCAACTACTAGCAGTAAGTCGACGATCAAGTATTACCGCAATTCAGAACTGTCCATTTTCACCACCAAGCGTACAACAGGCCAAAGAACACATGCAGGTACCCATAAACTCGAGCCACCAATCCACGAGCCGTAACGTTGGTATAAATGCGCCCTGTGTCCCCGAAATCATCAAGCATACAAGGTCGGCCTGTCTCTCAAAGCATACAGATCCAAGCTCTTCACCCTCTTCGGACCGTTCACTTCACCCGACACACCTTCTTGCTCTCCCTCCTCCGACTTCTCGGATCTCTGGGAAACCGTCGATTCTCTCGCACTGGCGTACGCCTCCAAACTTCCGAAACTCTCCCAGTATCCCTCCTCTATGGTCGGCAACCCGCTCAGGGTCCTCATCTCGCTCCTCCTCGCCTGCGTACTATCTCTAAGGCTGCTAATGTCGTTCATGGAGCATCCGCTGCTTGAAATGAACGATGCGGTGTTAGGCAGAGACCTCATTCGCCTGTGTCCGCTCTTGAACTCGTTCTGTCCTGGCGTGGGCGTAGGCGAGGCGAAGTCACAGGAGGATCTGTCGCCAGAAGTCTCTGACCAGTTCATCTGGAAACCCGCGAATGAGACAGACCCGGTCGAGTGTGGACGAGAGAGGAAGTCAGAGCCGCCGGTCATACGCTTCATGCCGGTCGAAATGAAGCTGTCGTCGGCTGTTGATGCAGAAGAGAGTCGCTTGTCGTCCACCTCTTGTCTGTTGACTGGAGTCAGAAGGATCGCGCTATATTCAGCGGGGACAGGTGGGACAGGTGTCTTCGGAGGCGGGAACGGAGGAAGGTCGCCAGGAGGGCTGGGAGGGTGAGGCATGATGTCCGGCAAAGTCGGCGTTGAGCCTAGACGGCTGTCGAAAGAGTTGGAGAGCATCATCCGACCAACGAAACCAGAGGGGATTGTCGGCTGATCGTAGAAGTGTTCCTCCCGGGCGGACACAGAACGAGAGACACTCGGCATGGTGATGCTCCCATGCACCATGCTCGAACGGCCGTCGTCCCATATCTCCGAATGTTTCTCGCCCCTTGAAGCAGTCTCAGCGAGTGAGCCGTGAGAGGAACCGCCCCCGCGGCGGTTTGTAGTGTTGCTCCGGGCAGCATCCTGCTTTCTGCGTCGGACGGCATTCGAGACGAGTTTCACAATGGTAACGACGATTGCCAAAGCGAGGAGGACTCCGATGATGGTGGTTACTATAGAGAGTCTTTCAGATCTGTCTTCCTCTGTGCTGTGGCCGTATGTAGGACCTAGCGGCATATCCTCGACGCTGGACTGAGTAGCGGTGGCGTCGGATGTCGGGGTCGCAGTCAAGGTCAAGATAGACGGTATCACAGAGGGAATGATCAGCTCTGGGGGATGTTCTTGGCCTTCAACGTGCTGAGCATCTTTCGTAGAGCCTTTGTGAGCAAGGCTAGGATCGACAGTGGTGGTTGGCCTCGGTTGACTTGCTGCGGCTGGGTGGAATCCGTCTGATGTGCGCGAGGCGGCAGCAGTAGTAGCTGTTGAATGGCTGGCGGTGGGATTGGCGGAAGTGATGACCTCTGCTTGAGCCGTCGAAATGGGTTGATGTTTAGACGGCGCAGAAGATGTTGGCTGAACAGACTCAGTAGGAGATGTGAGGGCTGTAGCGGTGTACATTTCGATGTCGTGGAGAACGGATAAGAGGTCCAACGTCAGAGGAAAATGTATTGGCGTGTTTCGAGCAGCAAGATGGTGGCGGCGGTGACGAGAACGGTCCATGTGAGCATGTTTCTGACCAAGAGCAAGTCCTTGTCGAGGCGTGGTCTTGCCGTCGATAGAGCGAGGACTACCTGAGGATGCCAATTTATCGGCGGGAGCTGGCAGAGCGAGAACAAGAACTGAGAGCGACGCGAACAGGAAGAGAAGAGTATAGTTCATGATTGCCGGATAAATGAGTGTGTGCTAGGCTGAGCTAGTGGGCTAGAAATGAAGGATAGTGACGCCGGCGAGGGCGGTGTGAACTCTCGCGACGAACTAGACGTGTGGGTACCAGCGGCGGTCCAGGGAAAGAACTATACCAAAGAGATACCCTCACTGTTTGAGATGAAAGTTCAACTCTTTGAACCGAGATATCGCCACCAGGCGTTCAACCATGCACTTGGGGGGCATTCAGTCCGTTCCGTTGCAATCCGCTGCCAACAGTGATCGACTTCAGCTTCAGCAGATCCGGACCTCCGGCGAGCAGAAGAGTAGAGACTTCGACGGGAGTCTGAAATTTGAAGTTCCGACACACCAAAGTTCAAGCTTGTGACAGAACAAAGACAATTCAGATAGTTGTCGACCACATCGATACATTGCGTGAACACCCAGGAACACCTTCAGAGCCCAATAACAAAGTAAAAGAAACTTAGTAAGTAACAGCCATTAACAAGCCACCAGTGTCCTTCCAGAAGACAACTTAGCCAATGGTTGTAGTATGTGCAGTATTATACCGTGATATAAAGTCCAGAGTCCGACTCGAGTAAGAGAAAAGGATAATGATAAATAGAAAGGAATGTGCCGGGAGTGCTGTGCGAGCGTGATGCATTATATAAATTAGTAACTCGAAGCGCTTTGTGGTCCTGGGACACTACGCGAGCTCGAGAAGAAACGGGAACTGGACAAAACACGAGAAGTGGATGTGCTATGGACACTTGATGATGTGTGGGAACCTGACGAGCTTGACGTCAAGTGGGATAGAGAAGAGCTTGTTGATGGTGCAGCTTGCGAAGTACTGGAGCTGGGAAGCGATTTCTCGTAGATGGGGCAGAGATTCTTCCAGGATTCTGTAGGAAGTCGCGAGTGTTAGCGTCAATCATAAAGGTCCTTATAAAGATACAAAAAGGTACCGGAAGTAGGTTCAATAGCTGGGACGTCTTCAACATCTTCCGCCAAGATAGCTGCAAAGCCAGCTAGAATAACACCACGTTAGTATAGCGATTATGCGTGACGGATAAGGAGTACGCATACCGCCAAGATGCCAGTCAATGTGGCAATGAATGAACCAAGGTCCAGGGTTGTCGGTCTCAAATCGAATGGTGACGAGATCGGTCGGGTCTGACCCGATCATCACTACGTCTCTCCTGACTGGATTTTCGAAGTTGTATGTGCTGTTACCGGCACTCCGAACGACGGAGAAGGAATGCTGGGGGTATAAAAATAGTTTAATTGAAAGCCGGGACGAAAGAAACATGATGCGAACTCACGCCATGCAAATGAATAGGATGGTCGGGCCCTGCATTTGCGACGCCAGGAAGAACGATTTCAACCGATTTACCGGCCTGGATCGGGAAAATAGAGCCTACAGAGGGTCCAGCTTTGATTAGCATCGGGAATCATAACCATCACATTGTTCCGCTTGCCTTTGGGGAGCAATTCTTGAGCGGCTTTTGCACCAGATAGGATCTGAAGCAGGACAGGAACATCGGGGCTTTCATATGGAGTAGCACCGTTGATGCTGAAAGTTCCAGCGTTGAAGTCCTAAGAGGGACGGGTCAGTGTTTTATGGTCACTGGAGTCAGGGAGAGTGCTAGACCCACCAAGACTGCGGCCATATTCAAGTTGATATCAGCTCCTCCAGGGAAGGGCTTGCCAGGCTGGAATACAATAATACGTTAGTATAACACTCATGCTCACGGGGTTATGTATGTGACGCACTGCCTGGGGGTTCTCACGTGCCTGTGGAAGGTATGTCAGAGCTTATTTCCCAATAGTTTATACACAGACGACTTACATGAAGGTTGCTCTCAACGAGCGGAAGGGTACTGTTGACGAGAGGGGTAGTTGGATCTACGCTACGAGCACCTTTGTACCTCATAATGGCAGAGTTCTTGCCGTTCGTGAACGATGGGTCGTTGAGATCAGGCAGTGCGCGCATCCCTGTCAAAATCATTCAGTTATTTGATTCCCGAAGTCGATTGCGAACAGACGACTGACAATAGTTATCGACTTTCTGGTTGGCATTAACAATAACCGAATAACGTTGGCCTGGACGAGTGCTTTAGTAAGAACATAATATCAATATTTTTTAAATCGGAAAGGGATTTTACCAGCGTAGACGGTGATGGAGTCCACAGTCAGAGGGTCGACGTTGCTACCATCAGCTTCTATGACAGTCATCCTGTGCTGGTCGATTGAGAAAACGAAAGACGTGTCGCAGGAAAGACCAATGATACGGAAACGGTATCTGAAAGAAGCTATTAGAAACTCGCCTTTGGACAGAAGCTAACGAAATTTTTTACCGTTTGTTCTGCTGTACGTTGACGACAGCCAAGGGAGAGTTGGGGCCACCAGTATAACGTCCAAGGCCATTGATCAGAGTCGAGTTTGGGGCGCTAAAATTGTTGTGATATGTTCAGTATACTTGATGACCATTCACGGACGCGGGACGCTCACGGTAAACGAGGCGGTTCCGTGGAGACGTAGTGATACCTAATAAAAGCGTAATCAGTAGAGATCGAGTGGTACTATAAGAGCATCTGATGGCTTACCAGTCAGCGAGCGTGATGACAGTGCTCTCTGTTATTTCTCAATCAGTATTTCACACCCCTGTGAGAGTTTATACTAATGACTGACCATCATCGACGTCGTACAGGTGAGCGTATCTGAGGTCATATGAATGTCAGCATGAGAGCCTAACCGCAGAAGTGGGAAACGTACGGGTCTTGGGGATCATACACGATGAACGGCCCACGCAAACCGTCACAATACTGGGCTCCTAAATGGCTATGATACCAGAACGTTCCAGCCTGCGAGCAAAATCAATCCGTTCCCTTGCATCAATGCCTTTTCTTCTCCGTGTAAGCGAACGCAGGCCACTGACCTGATCTGGTACTTGGAAGTCGTACTGGAACGAGTTTCCAGGCAAGATGGGGCATTGCGTGACGAAGGCCGCTCCATCGTAAGCGTTCGACTTGTGCTGGTTGATTCCATGCCAATGCTATTGAACATAGTTAGCGTATTCTACATCGCCCTCGTCAATGGCACCCACGATAGAGGTCGGGGTCAACATAGACGTATCCTTCAAGTCATCGAATACGTTGATCTGAAATTTGTCGCCCTTTCTTCCCTGAATTGTGGGTCCGGGGAAGGTACCACCAGCGACGACGGTGCTGAGAAAATTAGAGCGTCGTATTCAGCGACGATGCGAGGGAGCTCAATAGAACGAGAACACCCACTTTCGTTTATACCCGTCGGGAGATAATTGCGCGTTGACGATGTGAAGGTCAGTGACGGGTCCAATGGTGACGGCGTTGGACCCGATAGATAAATAAGCGATTAAAGGGATGAAGAACGATAGGCGTAACATGATTAAAGAGCAATAAAATGAGATAAAAAGATAGTGTAGAAGACACAAGCCCTAGTGAGACGGAACGATGAGGAGAATCTCACTCTACCGACACGGTCTTTATAGCTTGAGGATGAGTGAGCGCTGGGCGCATTATGAAGTCTGTCATGAGCCTCGTACGCTCAGTGAGACGATTATGTCTCGCCTATGGCCACAGCTGATCGAAGCGAACCTCTGCCTCAAGCCTGGGCTGTCATAGTCGAGCCACAGTGGCATCTGTGCTGAATCAAGGACATGCCCGACCTAGGAACGCCATTGCAGAATGCGTTTGAGCAATTGATGCGATAAGCGGTGTAAATGGAGGCGTACCTGCTCGAGCTTTCAGCGGAAGCCGCTCATGCAAGCATTCCAAGGAATGCTGAGAAATGTTTCACACCGAGACCTCCATGTTATTCAAGCGAATCGTGTTATTTCAACTCGCAAACGACACTTCTCTGGCTCTCATACAAAGATATCATGATCATACATACTGCTAGTACATACTAAGCTGTCAACATCAGGAGACGCGACTCACACAATCGGAAGACATACCACTTACTTTTAGGTCATGTCAATGTCGAGGTACGAGGAATTGTGGGAACAATCCCCTTTGGCATAGGCGACGGAGCAATTCACTGAGATGAGGAGGCGCATCAATGTTGGCATCACTACGAGGAGTAAGGATTTCAATCCAGTGCTGGAAAAGACACCTCCATGTCAGCGCACACAATCACAGCAAACAGGGCGGCGGGAAGCTTGGATAGAGCGGAAAGCCACAGACGCTTTCCGGATTAGCCCTGTGTCAAGTTGTGGGGAGAAGTGCCACATCGACGCTTCAGACTCAGAGTGCTTTTGAATTCGGGTCATTTCGGAAAGCCGATGTAACGCCATCCTGCCCGCCCGGACCGTTGCCTCGCCACGTATCGATGCTTCCTTGTCTCTTTCATGTCGGACTGGGAACTCTACGCTACACACTATGATTTCTCTTGGGGTAGTTCTGTTGCAACTCTTTTTTTTGTCATGACAAAATTACCATCCAGTAAATCCGAAAAATGCTACATACAAATGTCACGATAAAGCCGCCCGATCAAAACTTAGCAGCACGCCAACCCTTGTACCGAAAGTCCTATTGACACCCTTGTCAAGCTCAGAATCTTTTCTCCGTTTGTGATTTTGCGCTATGCTGGTTTGCCTGCCAGACACTAGTGCATGACCTTCGCATACTGGTACTTGGCTCCGTCACTTCGACCCAACATTTCCTTCGGAATTAGGCATTGTCTCCATCAATGGTGTCAGTCGAAACGCCTATGCGCTTTGAAAGTGTCATCACAGCTCCCGAACCCATGTGAAACTCGCTACGGTGAGCTATGCTTAACGGCTCTCCATGTCCACCTTAGGACCATTCTGTTCAAATTCTACTTTGTTTTTCTGCTTCTTCTTCACACTCATAATACGAATTATTCCAGAACTGTACCGCAGACAGAACTGTTGGCGCAAGTGCCATTTAGAAGAGATCATTATTTGTTACGACATCAAGAGACCGGGTCAGTGCTTTTTATACAAAGGGGTAATTGATATTGACGCCTATGGGGTATAGATAGTTCACACCGCACTCAAGTGCCTTGGCGGTCCAGTTTGCTGTCCTATAAGCTCCTGCACGACCTCAGTACATTACTACTGCCAGTGCAACAGCCGCCCTTCGGAACGCCCTAAACCACAAACGCATCGACCGAGGCATTGGTCGGAGGCTCGCTCCCCTCAATATATCTAATTCTCGAGTCATCGCCGCATTTGTGCAGGCGTTAGTCTCATCGCCAGGTGAGGCCCCCGCTCTTATGCTGTGATCCGGGTATCGTCTCCGCATACGGCCCCTCCGTGGCGCTTCTCATGCCCGCTCACCTCCTTCAAGAGCAGGAGTAAACGTTTAAAGGCTTTCTACGTCCTCTACCGACATCATGACACTTTGCAGGATCATATTTGAGTCTAGATTGGCTTCAAGTCCTGTTTCTGACCTCGCCTAGATCAAACCACCGGAGCACGACTTTGAAGGGCATATACTCAGACCGCAAGGAGTCGAATTTCGGGAATTCGTGGAGATAAAGGGCTTGTATAGTGCCTGGTGGTGAGTGATTCCCCTTGTCCAGGGTGGTCGCGTCATACTGCAGGTTTGACATCCCTGATGGCCTTCTTGTGGCTCAATAATATGACTCTTGGTGGTGCGACCGCGTTTCCATCATCTAGAATACGTGCTGACTACCCATTCTCCTATTTCTAGGACACGAAATTATGCGTCCCCTCGCCCGAGATTGATCTAAAGGATGCGGATTTGACGTGTCATGACACCGATAGTGGTGTTGGGACATGATACGGCCATTTCGGCACGCCACAGCACAACAGTGTCATCTGCTTTGTACCTTGATGCTGCCGCCCGTTATGGTTATTTCATTGTAGCCCGACGACGCCCTTGCTGTCGAACAGTCTGTCCACCCGTTTTGCACGACATCACCCGAATTGCCGATCATTGCCGTTTACCATCGCTCATGACATTCGGTCGCGAAGCCCTCGGAGGATGTGGCGAGCCACAATACGGACGATACCCCCACCATATCGAACGATTACTGTGGCGGCAAAAAGAACACTTCGCTGTAGTAAGCATTCTCCATGGCTCAAAATCTGTACCACGAACGCCTTAGCACAGTTCCATCTCTCAAGCCTTGCAGTCGATGATGATCAAGCTCATGTTTTAATAGTCGGATCGCACATCTAGTGCGGGGCGAACGCTGCCGCTATTTCTATCGCGCTTTATGTAATGGCGGTCTCATACCTTCCTTCCCTTCCTCAACGTGGGCTTGACGGAGAGACACAAATTCCCGTGCGGGGCGAAATCTTCCGACATCTCCATCGCAGTATTCATTGCTGCCTCTTGATGTGAGCTTGACGGAAGAATGCATGCCTGTTCCGGGGCGAACGCTGCCGATATTCACTTCGCATTTTAATCGCTGTCTCTTGACGTGGTCTTGACGAGGAACACGCTGATCTGCACTTACACACTGACAGCGCGAGTCACTGGCGGCCCCAGACCGTATTCCGAAATGTGCCTGCCTGGTAAGCCTCGCTGTTTACGAGGTGATCTTCACGCCGCTCTATCACTCTCATCAGCTTACTCTTCATGCCTTAGCAGTGGGATGTTCTCCTTTGCGGTCGGTCGGTTTGTTTCCGTTCAGGAATTTGTATCATTCACCCGGCCATCTTGCAAGTGTTTCCCTTCGCACTCCTGCACATTAACGTGTCGTCCTTCACGGCTTAGGAAAGCTCCTGGACATCGCTGATGTAGAGTACCACGCTACTACGTCACACAGCGATGCATCAAACTATTGTCACCCTTCTGCGCATCATTTTGAGAGATACCGTCGGTCGATCGTTGCTCATTACATCCTTTCCTTTGCATTTGACCTTGATCCGGTCTGGTCTGCGTAATTTACGAAGGTCTAACAGATGTGTTGATGCTGGCAACATAATCACTGATTATGACATGAACAATAAAATATTAAATATACGTCGAAAACAGCGTTCTGGGTAATCTGAGGAAGGAAAAAGTAATGTGTATGATACATAAGACCGGAGGTACAAGATACGGGCGTAACGGTGCATGCCAGTATAGAACGGCTGTGTAGCTCGGAGAGCATGGCGTGAAATCTAGAATAATAACTTGTCAATACGACAAACTAGCAGATGAAATCATTATAAGGGACGGGGACTCACGGTATCTGGCCCGGAGGGTAGTGCGATTGCATTAGCAGCAGCAGCATGGAATGGGGATAATCCAGCAAATTCCGCCCTAGAATTACATGGATGAAGCATGAGGAAGGCCAAACGTTATGTAGCCAAATGAGAACTTACTGGACATGGAACGCACCCGCCTCTTAGCCTCTCAGCTTGACTCTGATCTCCAGTATTTTTCCCTCCAGGCTGGACCATCATGGAAGTTGTCCGAGGTGGCTCGCTCACGACCTGCTCTGTGGCAGGATTTGTTCGTGCACTGTGAGACATAGCAGTGGGTGGGTATGAGATGTTCGTTGAAGAAGGCATGACTACGAAGTAGATGTTCAGGCGCCGGAGAAGATTGTAGAGTTTGTAGGTAGAAAAGCTGGAGACGCCACGGGTTATAAAGGGCGACTTATATACCTCGACATAGGGGAAATCTGACGTCATCATGCATAGCCGCCTCTCATCGCTTTCCACTGGCGCAGTTAGGCAACCTCTCTCCGTTCGCTGCCTTTCCCACCGCTCCAACGCAGCACAATCCTGGGCATTCCAAGTCCTAAAACACAACCTCCCAAGGCGAGCTTGGTGCGTGAAAGTCTGAGGAGCATCAAAGTATGACGAACGGTAGGTGGGCCACAGGATTTCCAATGCGGCGACAGGGCTTCTGGCGATTGCGACTTGTCGCGTCTATCTGAGTATCTCTCTATCTTCCTTACAACCATCATGGCACCAAGCTCATTCTCCCTGCGCATTCAGCACGGTAAATCCACAGCTTTCTGTGAATGTATAGCCATACTCACTATTGGATAGGTATTACCGGAGGCTTCGCCCCTCCCAGGCCCTCTGCGGTTCACGATCTCGCTCTCGATCCATCCTCGGATCCAACCTCCATCTTCCTCTCATCCGCAATACGCGATGATGGAACTCCGTCTCTTCAATCCCACCCTCCGAAGCATGTCAAGGTGTCTGCAGACACCGATGCTCTGATCGATGAACTCCAAACCATCCTTCGTCGTCTCCCTACCGAGAACCCACCTAGCGCAGACATCTATCGCCGTGACATCGGAATATTCTGGCAGGGTGATGGGTTTGAGTGGGTCAATGCCGCCCCGCAGGGTTGTGGCGGGTTCGATAGCAGCGTGAATGTCACGGATGATGATAGGAAGGCATTCGGCAGGGCTGTAGACATCGTCGAAGAACTGGTCAAGAAGGGTGTGGCGAAGGAAGCTTAGGAAGGCAGAGGTTTGAGTAATCACTCATCGAAGCTGAAGCAAGAATTGAAGTCAAGAACTGGATGGAAATTGGACACCTACCATGTATTACTCGTTGCCCCTATCTCGCCTTCTGTAGCAAGAACGCTTGCGCCATTTATCGCTGTTCTGGGTCGGTCTTTCCATATGTTGCATGCTGGTCTTCGTCTTCAATTCAAACAATTGATAGGTCAGAAACCAAGCCTGTTCACAGTGCTGGTTTGGGGAAATGAGATGGTCGTTCTGGTTTGGGGACCATGTTCCCAATTATGACAGATGGCAGCTTTGGAGCCTTTACTTTCAGCAGCATGGCGCAGCTGGTATAGCGCGCAGGGCCCATAACCCTGAGGTCCCTCGATCGAAACGAGGTGCTGCTACTCAGACTTCGCCTTAGAATTTTTTACTTTTCCCCGCCACTACCAGACGTGCTCTGGATAGTTGACACCAAATATCTACAGTTATCGTCGAGGAATTTATTGTTGCCACCAGTCCAGCTCCTCTGAGCCTGACGATGATTTTTGGAAGCGCCACCCGAGTTTTGAGCTGAGCACCCAGCGTACGCCTGTGGGAAGCAAAAAATGTACTAAAGTCCTGGTCTACTCACAGCAGCACACAATAGCCATAGAATCCTCGAATCAAAATTTGATAAATAGCCATGCAGAAACGATATTAGGATGTATAACAACAATCAACTGGCTCAATCGATCTATGTGCAATATAGTCTCCTGTGTCCACGTCAAAAGAGGAGAGAAGATAATGGTCAAGGTGGTAGGGGCAAGGCACCCTGGCCGGTTCTGTCCCTCACCCCTTTCAGAAAAGGCATCAAGTTCGTCCCGCCCGTCCCTTTCACCTTCCCCACTTCCGCCACCTCAGGTTTCTCGCCGCCCATCACAGTCGTCGCGCTGTCAATTGCATTAGGGTATCCGTTTTGGTCAGGACGGCCTGACCTAGCAGCTTCCTCCTCCTGTCGCAGCCTTCGCTCCTGGTTAACGATGTAGAGCGTCGCGATTCTCACATGTCTCGTCCTGAACTCCTTCAGCTTCTCGACAGCTGCGTTATAGGCCTCTACCACCGCCTTCCCGTCTTCCGCCGTGACACCACTATCCGCCACCCATGATCTAAGACCCTTCACCTGCTCTCCCAGCGCTTCCAAAAAGAGTCGATGGGAAAGAGGAAGATAGTCTCGCATGCGCCTCAAAAAATTCCCGTTCGCCTTCTGCACACCCGCGGTAGCCACGGGAGGTGCAGGTCCAGTAGGTCCCGCATAGCCATTCGCCGTCATGACCTTCGCTGCTACGGGCTTCGCGGACTCTTCCGAGTTTGTCTCAGCAGCAGAACAAGACGACTGGCTAGATGGCGTTGAAAGTTCGTGCGTCAAGCCTTCGATACCGAGGAACACGTCCAAGGCTTGGATGATCGAACTCTGTGCCGCCGAACTACCCGCCATCTCTCTCGCCTCCCATAGCCTGCCCGAACCGCCTTTGATCCAGGGATTCTCGTCTACTAGCGCCCGTATCTCCGCTTCGTCGCCGGCTAGCTCAAAGACCCAGCCTTGAGTTGCGGTGCAGCCGACGAACCAAGGTCGGACGATGTCGTAGAAGGTACGAGGATCGCAGTGGTCGCGGACGCCATCGAGGATAATGCCCATGTTGTGAATGTGCGTGGAGAGGGTTCGAAGGAGGGTGGCGAGAGTACGCGCATCTTCATGCGAGGAAGAAGAATCTGAGGACGGAGAGGAAGATATGATGGATATGATAGATTGCATGATCTTGAGTGCGGCGGCGCCCTCCAATTCGATGTTCAGGCTCGTGAGGTAGAAATGGGATTCGTCATGCGTGCCCGTAAACGTCGTTTGAATGAACATGTCCTCGGCCCATACTGGTTCCCCTGCGGCCTTGATGCACAATTCTTCGACGTCGAGTAGGTACGAGCGCATCGAGAAGTTGTATGTCTCTGTGTCTGCGTATGTCAACACCGGCGGAGCATCGAGGGCACGGGAGATTGCCAGAAGAGGTGTGGCGAGGGATGCGGGAATAACGACGTGTGGCGGCTTGTCTGAGGAAGACGATGTTGGTGATGGAAGAGAATGGACGTAAAAGTGCAGGAGGAAGGTGAGGACGTGGCGTGCGCGAGCGAGTACTGACAAAGGTTCCACTGAAATGAGAGGTACGACCGAGACGAGCTCCATCTGGAGAAAGCAATGGGATCAACATCAAGACACATTACTTGGAAGATCCGAATGAAGTGAAGAGAAGCGAAAGTAACGCACATTTCTGAGGTTCTGACGCCATGCTTCGGCACCTGCTGACTGGTCCTGTACGGACAAGGGAAGATCCTGGGCACGAGCTAAAGCGTCCTCCCATTGAGAATATTTGGGAGGCAGTTGAGTGGCTGGAAGAGATGTTTGGGTATGTAGGAATGCATGGCTAAATATATGTGAGAAATCCGCTGCGGCGGGCGTGGCGTCATAACTAGCTGGTGCACCGTCACAGACGCCGTGTTCGAGGATATGTTGGCTAGATGTCATGGGCCCAACTGGCGCTGTTTGGGAGAGATGGAAGTCGTGAGGCATGGTTGGTAAAGGCTAGTGAAAAGAAAAAAAACGGCAGGTCAGCAAGAGCGACGGATGTTTGAGACAGCCGCGAGGCGTACCGCAGGGGGAGATGGAGAGTCGAAGTTGAGGATCGTCGCACCTAGACCTGTTTCATTTTATGGAGGACAGAAACTGCATTGTTCATTATCTACGCGCGCCCCTCGCATCGCAACATAACAGCCGAAGGTCAAGGTCCGGACCCAAAGTAACTGGCCCGGGCAAACGTCATATCGCCTCGTTCCCTGACTGTCGCAACGCTCCTGAACAGTGTGTGCTATAGTCGTATGGGCCTGAAACAAGCTCAAGGTATCATACCTACCGCCTTGAGCTGAACTGCGATTGCATAGTACTGTTGAAGAGCTGCGTCCATGGCGACTTCGCCACGGCTCGCAAACGAGTTCATCCTGAACTCTCCGGGTTCGTGAACTGTTTCCAATGCCGTACAGACATGTAAAAGGGGGCCAATGGTCGTTAGGATGGAGGAAGCTCCGGAATATTAGCATTGTCCAAGATCCGGCCGGGCATGCGGGGACACTTTTCTGTTTGTCAATCATGGCGGCTACCCCACAGTGGGGTGGCTCGGAAAAGTCCGGTGTGGCACAAGAAAGGTCGTGTATCATAGCACCCAAAGCCGACACAAAACGGATATTCGAAGGTAGGTGGTCATTGTGTTGCAACTTCCCCTAGACACGATAAAATATACCGCTTCAGTGCATTCGGTCAAAGAAAGAGAGTTGTAAAACCGAAGAATTACTTACCGGCACATGCCGCTTCGGGGTGAATCTGCATGAACCTCGTCGGGGCCCAGATGTGCTGGCTAGGTTAAGGATGTGAGTTTTCGTTGGAAGTACCCCTAGTAAAAGGTGCGCATCACAAGACAGCGACTTGTACGGTCTTCGAACAGAGCCACCGAAGACAAGGATACAATCACATTTGAAAGGAGAACAATACATAGGCCCTCAACAAACCACACAATCTTCTTTGAGGTTCAAGTTGTACATCGTCTTGTCCACGATCTTCTCTATCTTCTTCCAATCACTTCGACGCTGAATAAATTCGTAAATATCCTACATTATAAACGTTAGTGCGGGCAGGCTTTTTTATGGTACAAGAGCCGACAACGTCAAGATATATATCATACCTCCGGTCTGTACGAGCCCCCATATCTTGTCACATCTCGCACAATCTGTGCCAAGTCCTTTGCGTCTTCTACAATATAGACATGGCCTAGCATCTTTAGGTTTGCGAAGTCCGAGGTCAGAGTGGGGATCTACGAAGCAGAAGTCAGTAAGACAGTGGCAGAAGGGAGGAATCGTTTGGGGTCCCCCCAGCGTACCTTCAGCGATGAGATGAAAGTATGATAGGCGTTTAAATCAGCAATGACTTGGAATCCACCGTTGAGCGAGATAATCTGTCTCTTGAGATGTTTTTGTAGAATTCTGCCAAGTCGAGAGTTAGGTACTTTTTCCGAAGATGGATGGAAGAAGACCTACCCAATCAACCGTACCCCGACTTCCGTCTCGAACACTTCCAAAACCTCGCGGTTAACGTTGCCTTTCAACAATCGGAGATGTTCTTTCAAACATCGGATGGCCTCTGTGCAGCCTTTCGTGGGTCCGAGAAGCAGCGGGTCATCTTCTGGGGGATAATACGTCCTTGGAGGTGTCAGAGTTAAGATGATATGTTCGACCTGGGCAAGAAAGAGGTAAATCTCCGCTTCCACTTCGTAATGATGTTAGCCGTGAGACGATGTACTTGGTTCATGAGCACTTCAATACCGGCATTCAAGCCTTGGGCCACGGAATCGTCGAGCACGTTCTCAAACCGCTTCTTTTCTCTCATGACACCGTTCAGGAAGTCTCCAACATCGACGTGTGGAGTCTAAACTCATGTTAGTACGAAATGATAAGCGATATCGAGAAGGTAGAGAAGTCTGACGTACAAGCTCCTTGTCAAAATAGACCTGGACGATGCTTTGAATAGTATCACCGATATGGACGAGCTCAAAGAATTGTACCAGAGGAGCCACAGCATTTGAGGTTTCGTCACCGCCAGGTAATGGGCCGGAGGCTGGAAGGGAGCCCGAGCCAGGGACGGCTGGTGGCGGTTGGAATGTTCGCATTTGGACGATCGCACTAGCGACAAATGTCATTAAAAATATTCGACGCTGCAAGATGATTATACTGACCTTTCAAAACCGCCCTTGACATGCTGTGCAATAACTCTCAACATCTCTACCGCGACCTCCTCAATCGTGTCGTGTACCCTGTGTCCATATGTACCTGGGTAACCGGCGAACGTCTCCACCCTCTTCAGCGAGTCTCTCGTGGCGTGGATGATTTCAAGGGTGACATCCAGCGAAAGCAGCAACTGAAGGTTGTCATATGTTCGAGCGCGCTTACGAGCTGCATGCGAGCTTGAAAGTGACGCGGTCGATGCACGTGCGGACGTCACAGATGTAGTCCTCGTGTGGTCTGTCGCCGCTGTGTTCGCCGTGCTATCGACAGTGGGCGCCAAAGAAACGCGATCGGCATTGTCCCAGTCACCGTTCTCCTTCTCGCCCCATGCCATGTCGGTCGACTTGCTCTTCTCATCCACACTACCACGCCAATTCTTTTCATCCTTCTCGTCTTTCTCGTCCTCATCTTCAGGTTCGTCAAAAAGAAGTCCGTCATCACCGTCCCCATCTCCTGCCGTACCTCGCTTGTATCCTCCGGCAGGACTTCCCCCGAATGTACCACTTGCCTGCCCACCCCAACGCCTGGGATCAAGCATGCTGATCCCTTGAACGGCAGCGCCGCCAACTGTTCCCCCCATTGCGCCCATAGCACCTCCAACAGCACCACCAGCTGCAACGACAGCACGAGGAACGATAGTGACCGGGAGGAGTAAAACATTGGTGAACGATGATAGAACGGATCGTTTGAGGTTCGCAGGTGAAGACGATGCGATGAATGAAGGTTGTGTCGGTGTATTCCCGGAACTGCCGGGACCTCCGTTCACTGCGAGCGAGGTTGAGGAAGACAACTGGCGTGAGTGAATTGCAGAATTGAGGTCAGGATATCAGCGAGGTACGTTTGGATTGATAAACCGCACCTGTTTGTCCCACTGCCGAATGGTTATTGCGAAAGTTTGCTTGACAGACTCCACCTCTTCATCAAGATACTCGTCCATGTTCAGCTCGAACATTCGGTACCTGTCATCAGGCCAACGAAGTCCCACAAAAAGACACGTTTTAGAACAGGGATTGACAAATTGGAATAATAGTCGTGGCATGCCACTAATCATTATAAGAGGAGCTACATACACGACGTCCTCCGCCTGGGTGACCTGTACACCTGATTTTGTATCCTTTCCCTCCGAGTCTGTCGTCTTACCCTCCAGGGATATTTGCACGATGGTATCAACCATCCGCCATGCTTCCCGAAAAGATGCCGCCGTGGCTTGGAGGAACAAAGCACCGTTCGCCAGCGAGCGAGCATGTGTAAGGAGAGGGGTGATGTATTCGCCTACCTGTGGCGCGTCAATCTGAGGAGAACAAATGTAGAGTGAAAAAAGACATACGACTTCCGAAGCGATGCGGTCAGCAAAAGACAGAAGAACTCCAGAGGCTGGGGGGAATACGCGGACGGCACGCGAGCCATGTTCTCGTAGGGCATCGAGGACATAGTTCATGAAGGCATCCATAGCGTCGAAATTCAGTCCACCCGAAGGCCTACGGTAAGTGAACTTTGGTCAAAGAGTGTCCTATAATGCAGAGGAAACTATACTGCAGGCAGGGGATGGGTACCCAGAAGATATACCTCTTAGGACAAAGTGACATTGTACATCTCATCCTATACCTGCATCATAGCCAAAAAGAAGATGAGACGCACGTAAAATTATTCAGTGGTTTATGAGTCCCACCCATGTAGAATATCTCCCGTTTCTCGGCCCAAACTCGACCTAGTTCCCATTCACCGCTCCCGCTTCCTGCAGCCGCAGCCCGGGGATCCCACACCTCCCAACTCGCTTCCGCAGCTTCTCGCATTGCGGCTTCATCTCCTCTGCCATCAGCGTCATCAAAGGCGGCAAGTAGTGTCGCCTCGAATCTGTCAGCTGCCGCTCTAAGCGCGCTGAAGAGCGTCTCAGTATTGCGCAGAGGTTGTATTCGGGGGGAAAGGAAACATGCGAGCAGGTGCAGCACTTTGGATTGGTAGTGCAGCGAAGGCGCAGGTGCCGGAAATAGCACGGTGAGGATGAGATGTGGCGGTGATAAAAGGGCAGTGGTCAAGGGTTTGAGGAGCGAATGAGCTCGAGTGTAATTACTTCGTGACGAGGGAGCGGAGGGGATGGCGTTGGTTGCCGTCAACGGAAAGCGGGTACTGAGACTGGGTATAGCGGGTGAAGCGAAGGTGCCGCCCACAAAGTCACCCATTTCTTCGGAGGAGAAGAGATCTTGCCCATTTCCTGAGTTGACTCCTGCCCCTGTAGACGTTGGCCCCGACGTAAAGTCACCGAAGTCATCGTCTACCTTGACGGTTGGAGGTTGTGATGCCTGTGCTGCCGTACTGGATTTCCTAGCAGTTTGTTCCAGTTGATCCAAAATGGGCTCAAAACTGTGTCCTTTAACTTCGAGGGCCTTCCAGCGTCCTTCCCAAAGGGAGTCTGAAGCGGCCAAACGAGAGAGCGGACGGGAAACGCGAGCATAAGCAGGGATGTCGGGAACGGGTAGAGACTGTAGAATGAGTAGATGTAGATCTTCTGGCAGACGTCCTATTAGTCTGTACTGTGGTTTTTGGGCCTTTTGAGAGGGATTGTTAGAGGAGTAGAGTCTGACTGGTTCAAGGGCTTTGAACTTGTCCATTCGTGATCGTAGACTGAGAGAGGTATTGTGGCGGCAGCGGCCCGCCGATGTCAAGATCGGTTGTGCGCGGCGCCACGATCGGAGGCACGCACGGCCATTACCGAGATGGGTGGCACAAAATACGCCACATTTCCATTGTCCACGGATTTTGCATTCATGATTACAATTTGACAGGGTATAAAGTACCCAAAATACTGCATTGGACTTTCTAATATGTGCTCAAATATTTTGGGACCTATTTGAGACTCGTAACTATCACCTTCTGTTCAGGGTTGGAGACGGAGCTAGTCAAGAGCAATCAGGTCAAAATCAGGTTCTCCAGGGACCAAATATTTGTTAGAAATGAGCTCACTAGGGCATATATGTAGCGGTTCACATCGTGTTTTGGCGATGTGAACTAAACCGATGACAGGTTCAACACATCGTAAATTTGTCCTGTTGGAGTGTCGAAGCTCAATTCACACTTCAGTGTGAACCCCGACGGGAGAGTGGTCTCTTTCCACCTCTCCCCGTTCGCTGTCACGAATCAAAATGGCACCCACAGTTTGGCATGAGCCTCATGTACTGTAGCATCAAGAAGATGCTCAGTGTCAAAGGTCATCAATAAGGGGGACGAGATACAAGAAGGACCAGACCTGTCTCGAGAATCGAAACTCAGTGTGAACTGAGTATTATATCCGCACCACATCTGACATTTTGAGTTCACACTTTTCGCTGTCAGAATGACGAAAGAAACTGATGTGAACTGCTACATATATGCCCTACTGGGCACAAATCTTGCTGACCACCCTATCAAAAAGCTGAGGTGCCTTCCCTGTGGTGATAGAGCTCTGAGAAGAGCCTCTTATACCAAGCACTAAACAATATGACTTGCTCATGACCTGCTCACAAAAAAATTAGTATGTGTAATGGCTGAATGTGAGGGGTGTCCATGTCCATGGACCATCAGGCTCCTTAGTCCTATACTATGCCACACTTTTACCATTTAGCACAAGATATATTTATGGATATTAAAAAACCTAGGATTTCACGTGGAATGGCCTGAGGAAACTGTCAAACATCCAATTCATAAATCTGTGTCACTAACATTGCATTGGTCTGTGTCCAGCTTTCATCAAGCCTTCCTGTAGGCCACAACACAACATTCTCATGACATTCATTTAAGTTGATAGATGTTATCTGCAGACTGAAAACCAAGAGAGGTTGCAAACTTCAATTTTCAAGTAATAGTTCACTTCCAACAAGTGCCAGATGCAGGCCAAAGGAGGGTGATCAGCCAATCAATGGTTGGCCTACATATTCCCCTTCAAACTGAACTTCACTTGAAATTCTCATTCTCGCTTTTACCAAGCTTTTACATTTCATTCGTATCACCTTGCAACCCAAAAGTCCAGTTTTGACGCTGCAGATAATATCTAATGATAAGGCCCAATGGTCTAGTGGTAAGATACTTGCTTTGGGTTTGTTGTGAACTTAGTCCACAATCCACGTGCAAGGGATCCCCGGTTCGAACCCGGGTTGGGCCCATTTTGTTCCTTTTTACTAATACCCCCATCCAAATCTTGTCAGGAATAGAGCTCCTGGAGGGCTATTGGCCTAGAACACAGACACAGACACAGATATGGGGTGCAGACACAAGGGTAAGGATATGTGCATGGACAATTTTTGGGCTTTCCAAGGCATGAGCCTGAGCCCAAAGCCCTATAGAGAGTCAGGGTGGGCTCAGGTCAGGCTTGGTCGGGCTTGGGCTTCTGAGCCCGGCCCAGCACAACACTACTGGCTGATGGAGGTGTCTCTGACTGTGTTATCACAGGCTGAGTCCTGTTGAGTCTCTGGATGTGTGCTTTGGGGGGAAATGAACCTGAGAGCCCAAAAAAGAAGGTAAGTCAAGATGATGAAAAGCCAAGAAGGGGTGGCATAAGGGGCAGGAAAGGCTGTATATATTTACAGCGGCAAAAGTCACATAAATACCTGCCACTGATGTAAATGACATGCACTCATGGCAGTCTGTCATTGGTGCCATGAGTTTGACTCTATCTACCATTAGCTATTGTATGCACTGTTGGTCATCTTTGTATTTTTTCTGCCCCCAACTTCATTTGTTTGTTTTTATATTATCCATATCTAGAAACAAACCCTTTCAAGTGATACCAACCACTGACCCATATTTTTTTAGGCTCTAACACTGATAAACACGGTACAGTACAGTGGGTGTGCGAAGCTAACGGGAAAAAAAGGCTGGCTAAAGCACCCAGAAAACAGGGTTCCTGCGGAGTCGAACCCACCGATGACGGAGACTGCCGGCTGTGAGCACGTGCGTCTGCCGCCCGCCCATCATGTCCCCGGTTCGAACCCGGGTTGGGCCCATTTTGCTCTATCCCATGTATTTTACCAATGTAGAATAAGCACCCGCAATAATTTTGGAAGCACTTCCAAGGATCCAAGCCTCGAAGACAGCGAGCACACGGAAACGGCGGATGCGAGTGGCGCGCGTCGACTCGGCGTTTCCCGGGAGGAGTTTAAATTAGTTTCGTCTGCTCTCCATCTTTGTTATCAACGGCCAACTTCCTTCCGAACTTCTTTGTAAACCATGGCAAAATTGTCTGTCATTGATCCTGAAGGCATCCACTGCACGATGTGGCGATGCCATGGCAATGCAGTCCCTCTACATCTGTTTCACCTTCCGCCGCAGTGGTCTGGCTCTCAGTTTGAGCTCATGGAGGTCTGATGGCAGGGTCTGCCAACTCTGGATATAGACACCAGTAAGCCATCTTCGCTACATTCATCTCTGACCTTTTTACCGCAGAAAGGTATTGGCTCCCCGCACTCGAAGGAGAGAGCGTCCGACTCTCTATCTGGTGTTCTGTGGGTGATTGTTCTTTCGTCAAGAAGGACATGCACCCATATCGTGAAACCGTGCCGGTCATGCATCGATCATTCTTAAATGTCGGGCCTGATGCTGACCCGTGCTTTGTGTCCCCAATTATACGACCGAATGGTGGTTGTATATGGTCAGAGCCCTCGATGGTGGCTGAAACTACACGACAACTCCGGTAAGTTTTGTTCAATTTGCACATACAGCTATAGAGACGATTGCAGGACTTCGAACGACTGAACAGTCTGGACATCAATGCAGGACAACCTGATCACGCTTGCGTGCTAAAAGCACAAACCACCGGATCGTTTTGAAATCCCGTGCTCTAAACGCCACTGGTAAAAACTGGCAACTTGTATGCAGTAGGTGGGTACATTCAAACCTGCGTGATCTTAACTCTGACCCATACCATCATTGAACAGTTAAAATGGATCTCACATCATACTACCGTGCTTTGTTCTCGTTTGGGGTCCCTGCACGTACAGCGCTGAATCACAACATCAAGGTCGCCTGAAGGGTATAGTCAACGTGAGTTAATTTCTTTTCATCTACTTACGCCCAATTGCACGGGCTTTGTACCCCTTTCTGCGCATGGACAGCATTCGCGACTGGCCTGCGCATGAGGTCTATTTCTGATGGTATTCTTGCGACCAGCCTCGATCATGCACTCCCAGGCTGTTCTGGATATCGCATTATTCTGGCTATCTATCGGTTAGCATCGTATGCAGATCACATCATAAGCCAAAATAGGTGTCGTGGAGCATACATCATCTCGTCGGAGTTCGAGTTGAACGCGAGCTCGCTGAATGAGCTTCCGGCGCAGTATATTGAATCAAAGTTCGCCTTATTATCAGGATTCTGCGTTGTCGTTTCGACGAAAGGGTACGCGCCCTCCGTCAACAGCACGCAGAGTCGTGTATTGCGTGACTCATCCTGCGCTGAGGTATGACCGATCCGCTACACTCTCTGGTACCTTTCGGCTGGGGTAGCCCTTTTTCCATGAGTTGTGTCCGATCATCTCAGTTTCGAAACTCTCAGAAGTTGAGATGATATCTCTAGCGAGGATCAAAAAGATGCGACTTATTTCTAGTTCGCTCCGCCGTCTAATTTGGACTGCGCAGAGATACACGTAGCAGTTGCCTCAAAGTCTGCGTGCACGGTTTTTGATGCGAACTCCAGGTGATTCGGAGACTCAAACTCATCGTGATGCAAACGCATCACCGAACCAGGTGACCGCCTTTGTTTATGCTTGACTTCCACTATTCCCTTAAGCAGTCTTTGGGCAGTCGCGCCTCGGAATGCGAAGAGCGGTCAAAGGCGCCTATCTTTTTCTCCATGCCGACCCGGAATTCGAGGACAGAATTTATTTGACAACTGACAACTGTCATTGGAGACCAGGAGACGTCTCTCACGAAGCTCCTCCTTCGAATGATACGGTGAGCCATAAATCAATAATATGGTAATAATATTTGATTTCGTCCTGCCCCATTCTTCTTGATTATTTCTGGGATCGCGATGCTTCTCTGACGGGGCATACCTATAAGGTAACACTTTCTCTACCACACAACGTGTCTATCGCCGTCGACCGTCGGATGCAGAGGCGTTTCAGGGGTCTCGCTACTTCGAAAGATAGGAGGCTCCCACGTTGGCTTGCATACGAATGAATTAAACTCCTTCATCCTTCCCAGGTCGATTGTCTTATGAGACTGTCATTGCGTTGACAAGGTCCCGCGATGACCGCAGAGCTAGAAGGTTGATATTGTCTCCATGCACGACAGACGATACTTGTCAATCGTACCCTCATTCGTGAATCATACATCGCGCTCGCCCGACGTAATTCTCTAAAATTCTGGGACGAGTACAGACTGCGCCTCGTATAGACATCTCACGGTGCTCCTAATCGTCACCTGTTCTTACCACATCACGTATTCCATTCATTCGTGCTCATACGCGTACACACAGCTCGACGACCCTGCAAAATTCCAGCGCAATAGGGTTTCACCCCCCCAAACAGCGATTGACGACGTCTTTTAACATCGCCGCTGTGGACGGAAGCGAACAGGCATTCATGCTACTATTCAAAACACCGGTCAGACATGAGAGTTTTGAACCGAATGTGGTCTTTTGAGTGGAAGGTGTGCCACGAAAGGATCGGCATCAACAAGGTTTTAAAGCTTGGAGACGGCGTCTTCAGTCTTATTGGCCGGTTGCAGTTTGGAATTTTTGCTGGGAAAGCCGAAGCGCACTGAGCGATCGGATCGACGCATGGGCTCAGGTGGACGTCGATAGAAGATTTGCACGGCAGACCTTTAACTCGCGCAGCCAGTTAAATTTTTGCTATAGCGACTCGGGCTACACAACCATAAATTCTCTACAGCAAGAAGCCGTTACTTCCTCGCTCACGGCGGCCGAAGAACCTCGTCATTTATTGCGCCAGGCTTCGCAAAGATACGTTCTGACGTATCAGGAATTCCGGATTTAGTCTCCAAGTTTTTCCCTCCCTTCCATCGCCCTCTTGCGGCCACTTTGACGCTGGCCACCGTAGGCACCCACCTCCCGCACAAATATCGTTATCCGGTAGGAATATTCAACTATTACCCGGCAGTGAGCACGAGTAGACTTCACTCAGGAGGATCGTTAGGCGGACGGGAGGCTATCCGACTCGGGGATATCTAATATGACGGCAGGGCCTGATATATTCACCATGGCCATTCGGTGTGTCTTCATCCGGTCTCCATAACATCTTGCGCAGACATATCGTGCCCTCCTAAAAAGATCGTGCAGTAAAAGACTCACTCGAAGGCCTCAAGTTATCGAGCCGGCGGGCACAACGACGAAGTTCGTCCTTCAAAACCTGATCCGGCGGCACATAATTGCTCCCGAGGTACCAGGTCCACAGCGGAGTTCAGACATTTGCTCTGCGGAACCTGAAAAGTAGTCCGCGAAAGGTTAATCATACTGGTAGCCTCGTGGCGCTCGATCGCGTCCTACTTACAATTTGAAAGGATCTCTTCCGCTTTACAGTTTCGTCGTCGAATGTTCTTCGGACGAAAGCTTGAAAGCTTGAAGGGTGACTGGTGACAGGTCGGGCTCGTGATAAATGAGCGGGACTTTCCTCGGATAATTTCTCACCTCTTCATGGCGATCAGACTGCAATTTTGACGGAGTCCAGAGGACTGAAGTTGACGGCGGTGGGCCGCAGACATATATACGTATGACCTCCAAAGAGGTTCTCTGGGGCCCCGAAGCACGCATGCCAATCCTCCATGAGGTGGCTGAGCTTCTCTACTGCCGATCCTTCTCGTTAATGTGCTATCACCGGAAAAAGCATCAATCCGCGATCGATGGTGGGGACCCGACGGCAAGAAAAGAAAAGTGAAATACCGAAAGGTGCCTCCAAGATCTATCTCGTATTCCACATCTCGCTAGCCGGTGTCAGGGGCAAGATTCCTTGTGGGACGCCCTATCACAGCTCTCGGTTCCTTCATTGAAGTGTCAGTGAGACCCGGATGATCCGCGCCTGTGTGCTGATGCGCAAATAGTGGTGCAAGTATATCGAGTGCAGCAACGCCGACCGAAGAATCTCCCATAATTTCCACGAGTTTGTGGTTACTAGGCGGTAAAATTCAGCCGCCAGCAGCAAGAAACTACCAATACTTGCGAAGAAGAAGAAATGATACCATGTGTTAACGTGGTCACCTACGACGGTCCACCATTGCGAGGAGAGATTATACAGGCACGGCAGAGTAAGAAGTATATCGATGCTCTGGACGTAATCACAGTCGTGATAATAATATTTAAAGGCGAGCTATTCGTTACAAGAATTTGCGATCATGAAATGGAAGTTGAGGGCACAGAGGAGAACAACGAAAACGGACACAAAGCACGACAAGAAACGTAGACAGCGGGCATCAAGCTTTCAAGGGTCTCTTCTGTATGGTGTCAAACTCAATTCAGCCACGGCCCACACATACAGGCAGAAAAAGAAGTCAACAGTCTAGACGGGGAAAGCGTCAATGAAACACCCAATATACCACGATAGCTGCACGTCACGTCGGAGGGACCCGTTCCCTCTCGGCATGACTGTAACCCTCACCCCTGGGCGGCCGCACGTCATAACCCTGCCATGCACCTGAGGCAGATTCCCAACCCGAACTAGTTCCATGCTGGTAGCCACGGCGCTCCTCATCGCGGTCGCTTTCAGAGATGTGGGACTCGGGGGAAGGGAAGCGAATGAATTGGTACTCGGTCCCCGACGTCGACGAGGAGCTCGACATCGCCGTCGGCGACCATGAGGGAGAGTCCGTAGACGAGTGGGCGCGATAGTGTCGCCGCATGTTAGAGTTCACGTTGAACAACCGGCCACAACCAGGGTATGGACATTTAAAAGCTGCAGGGGTACACAGTCAGCTTTAGTGAGGGGCAGAATACACGAGGGTGATAACTCACGTTTTGCTCCAGTATGTGTGCTGTTCGTAGGTCTATTAGTATCAAATGACACAGGCTAGTAAGTCCGACTCACTTCGCATGGATAGCCAAACTGCTTGGACGATTGAACCGCTTCAAACAGAGAGTACAGACATGCCCTGTGACACGAGGGGCGAATATAAATATAAGGTGAACAGGCCTCGATCAGAAATGAGCTTACTCTTTCCATCGTCTATTGGACGATCGATGCGGTGCGAGCCACTGCTGCGTTCGGCTGGAGCACGAGCTCCCGGGATATAAACCTCATATTCCGAGGAATTTGGCGGGAGGGAAGACGGCGAGTGAGCAGGTGAGCCATCTTCAGAGTCATCCAATTCATCTTCGTATATTTGAGAAGGACCAGGCGCTGGTGAATGATAATATGGAGAGGATGAAACAGAGCCTAACTCCCGGGGAGGTCGGCCAACCCTTGAACCAACCGCAAGAGGCTCAAGTGATTCTCTCGAAGGGGTCGAGCGAAGAACTTCAAACGAGTGCGACGAGCGAGAAGGGTGAGGAGCATATGACCCGTGCATAGATGTTGGAGCTGGAGGTGGTGGGTAAGTGTATGAAGGTTCACGGTGGGTCGAACGTGGAGCCGGATATGATGGTGTCGCATAGACGTCACGGTTTCTGTGTTGCGACGAAACGGGAACATGATCTGGCTCGCGATATAAATGGCGTGATCTTGAGGGCTCAGTCTGGTCCTCGACATGATGTACCATGTGAGGGCGACGTTCACGAGGGATATGGCCGGAGTAGGTCATACGACGGGCACCATCGTGCTATACTGCTGATGAGAACACTGAACATCGAGGAGAAAGAGACAACATACCGAGGACGGTCGATCGTCTACTGCGGGACCTGGAGAGGAACGATGACGATATCCATGTTGCTGTCTAGGGGACTTCTGGTTCAAGAGATGGTCTACAACGAGTCCACGGTCAGCCAATCCAATGGGTTTTCCTGCGGGAAAGAGTACCTGGAAACAATTCCTGGATGCTAGGCAAGGAGACGGGGTGGGAGTGGGAGTGGGAGGACATGATCGCGGAGTAGGGGAGTTCAAAGCGCAGGAAGGGCACGCCAACGAGCTATATAGGCGTCAACAGGCGTCTAATTGGACGGTTTTATAGAGACAAGTCGAGGACCCGGCACGGTATGCTGCAATATGTAATGAACAGAACACGAGGCGTGGGTCAGGAGAAGGATCGGAGAACCCGAAAAAGTACTGGACTTGCTTAAACTTAACCCTGGTCGCAGATCTGGTTTGTTTCGTGGATCGCCGAGAGAGCGGCGAGAAGGGTGGGGAAGAGGGATAACCGCGCGTGCGGTAACTCTGAGAAAGCCGACGAGAGATGTGCGCCTGGGGAGGGGTAAGGAGGTGGAAGCGCAGGAAGGACGGGGAAGGGAAAGGGTGGCTGTTTGTGCGAAGGGAGGGTACTTATCAGCGCTGGCAAGAGTGGCCTAGGGCAGTGGATCCATTCGGAGGATATTGCGAGAAGCCGCAGATCCCCAGGATCCATAGCACCTGGGATTTGCGTTGTTCAGACGCTTCCCAGGGACAATGACATCGGCGGTCACGCTTCTCCATTCGCCACGTCTTCCCTGGGCCCGACCTGCCCGCTATGGCGATCCGATCGCTCTCTTCATTCGGGCGCCGCATAAGCTCGGGGTCCCAATTACGGCGCTTTCACAACGGCCCCGACTCCATGTCCACAGCGCTCTGTAGGTGTACACTCACTGGACGACCCGTGCCTAACCTGGCGTGCACTGGCCCCCACAGCCAAGCTGAGCTCGCGCCCGTGCCGTACCAAGCCGTTGACTCCACTTCTCGTCGCCCACTCCTCGAGGCGGTGGTTAGTGGCCATTGTGCCGAACAAAGAATTCAAACGACGCAAAGTCGGAGCCTGTCGGAGACAATTCGGGGGTGGCGTGGGTCAGGGCGCCAATCGCTGACAAAAGATCTCTTTTTACGTCCTCTTGTCCTCTTTCCGTCGGCTCGGAAGTCAATCCAGAGGCGGCGAATTGAAAGAACAGCGGCTTCCCAGATGGCCTGCGTCCTCTCACTGCTCCTGGACACCTTGCCACTTCTCTCCAGCCGCACACATCAAGCCATCTGCTGTGTCTGAGCCGCTCCATTTCGCAGTCCCGTTTTGGCACGTTATGGGCGTGTAAACCCTCGACAAAGAGTCATTCTCTGTCTATATTCCGCTTGTTTCGGGCGGAGCACGTTGTTCATTCAAACGCCCGTCCACACCAATGTCATCCCACAAGGATCAAGAACAGATCGCAGAGATGTTAGAAGCAGAAACACAGCCGGCAGGTACGTCTCGGAGGAGGGGCAGCCGTTTGTCGAAGCACCTCTGCATTATGTCAGAGATTGTTTGATCCATCGGAGTTCGAAATTATCGTCAAACCTTGAAGCATAGGAGTACGAACGAAGCGTCAAGAACGTATCATCGCGCATCTGGATCCGTGGTGATGATAGTTGGGCCATGTGAAAGACCCTCATAGCTTCACAGGGCGCCAAGCAGTTGACTGCAAGTGCGAATATGAAGAAAGCCCGGTGCGCTCGGGATACGATCATGAGCGGCGTTGCACCATCTTGGATCGTCGTTAGCTTGCTGCCATATGAGGTCGTGATACTGTGGGGTTTTTGCCCATAGGGATGCCTGGCAAACGGCACTGCCAGCGTGCGAATGTATTCATCCAGCTAGTAACAAGGATTGCCCGATCTCGAAAGGCGTAATCATACATGACTAGTGGAGCGAAAAATACGCCTTGAACGACTCTAAACATGTCCAAAGCGGTAGGAAGATCGCCTGTTTTGGCAAGGGCTGTACGGCTCTATGAGTACGACACCAGCAGCGCGAAAACTGCGTGTTCTTGCATGACCTGCCTCATAACACCAGACTACAACTTTGCGAGTTATTTTCACCTGAACTCACCTCTTCGTTCTTCATCCATCCAAAAGCGTATGAGTCGTCGAAGCCATGGAGTCGTCGAAGCCGTGTTCGCGTTGCGAGCAGCGACGGTACGGAGCTGTGCGGACACGCCTCGGAGTCCAAAATACATCGGGATTTTCCGAGCTTTCTGCATGCCGCCGCTGTGCCACAACAACTCACTTGCATGTTCGGCTTCGTTGAACCCCTCTTTTGCCTTCCTCGCCTTGCTTGCTGACTCTGAACTAGGTTATTTCTCAACTGGTTGAAAGTAAAGATCTTGACTGGACATTGAATCTCATATCTCTGGCTCCAGGTCCATCTTACCGCCACCGATAGCTCCAAACGCAGCAAGCCCACTGGACTTCCAACCTCTATCCGTCGATCATTACAACGAACTCACGTCCCGCCGTCATGAAGCACTCGTATACCAGTCTCCTTGAATCGTGGCTTCGACTATCAATGCTCCTTTTTTTGAACTTTGTGGATGTATCATTCTCACTACCGACTACCGCGCAACCCGCTCCTCGAACTCTTAGGTCCTCGCCGGCTCCCCACCATGGAAAGTCACCGTCCTCTTCAATACTAAGCTTAGCCCTTCCGCTGGCTTTGCTTCCTGTTGTAGTCGCTCTCGTTTTTATCCTCAAGTATGTCTACCTCCGTCATCGACACAACGTATCAATCGTGTCTTCTCGAACGACCGAAAAAGCAAAACAATTCATACCATACCACGGCTTCCACTCTTTCTTCTCCGGGATCCTAGGCGATAGAATCTATGCTCTGCACGCTCTTATGACAACACGTTTTCAAGCCTTCTTCGTGGGCTGCCTTAGCTCCCCTGAGCTCGAGACACTGCCGATCGGCGTTCCGAAGACCACAGGGCATCATCCGGTCATGCGTCCCTCTGTCTATGGCTCGTCCAAGGCTTCTGGGAATGCTTCTTCTGGGCTTGACTCTCTGCACAAGGAGAAGACTAACGACCTCGAGTTTGGATACACCAAGGAACGGCCACGCCACGTTTCGGACCTCACTGATGCTCGCACCCGTCTATGGAATCGAACCTCTACTTCCCTGCTCAATCTTCGCCACGAGGCTGCGAGGACCGGAAAGCTGTCGCGGGACAGCTCGAGCGTTCACACAAGACCTTCCTCACTACCCCGAACGCGCACGCGGACGTCCAACCGATCACAATCGAGCCTGTCTTCATCCCAGTCGTTCTGCCTTCCATTACAATACCCTTCAAATATCTACTGGTATCCTCATCCCTCGTCAAGCTCTGTCAGGCTTGTTTCCGATGCCCATCGATCTGGAATAAGTATTCGCTCGACGAATGCCATCTCCTCCACAACCAGCGTTCCCTTCGTTCCCTTCACCGGAGCCTCTGCTGCCACTAATCCACGACCCGACCCACCGTCTCGACAGTCATCTCAGTCCCGAGGCTTGGCCCGTCGCTCGCAGAGGAGTTTATCTTCAATTCCGGAACAAGAATTCAAGCAGGACCTGAGCCCTGCGCTACCTCCTCTTAATTTTGGGGTGTCGCCTCCCCTTCCGCCTTCTCCCGTCCATTATTTCAGTCACGGTGGTGCTTGGAACGATAACAGACAGAGGCTTTCCCATGTTGGAAGTCCGGGCATGAAACCCAAACAAACCAGCATCAACTTCTCCGGTCTGCCTGTAGATTCGAGCGTCCCCGCAAATACTTTATCTCTTGTTCGGGAATCACGCATAGTTACAATCCAACCAAGTTATCCTGGCGGATCGCCTCCATCAAGCCATCTGTCACCCCGGCAGGGATTCAATCGTTCGTCGTCGCTTGCGAGCCCCCAATCTTCCGTCACTATTCCAAGCACCAGACGCCCTCTATCCCAGAACACGCATGGTTTCACTCAGGACCCGACTAAACGCTTCTCAGACTTCTCGGGCGATCCTGTTGTCCTGTCACCGTCCATATCTTATTCTCATCCCGCGCCGCATACTGGTCACGTCACCTTCGAAGCTCCCGTTCAGACGCTCGGGCCAATTGAAGCGCCGCTTGAGCATGGGATGCATTCTCACCGGCGCAACGTAGCGGAGCATGATTCGGGGTCTTTCTGGGATGAAAGCAGGGGGGCTCACACGTTCACTGGTAAATCCGACGATCGCGAGGAATCTATGGATAGGTACGTCAGTCTCTGCTTCTGACTATCGTCCTTCTGTTCTCGAGCAGCATGTCCCAGTCCCCATTGGCGAATCTTCTCCCGACCGAAGTGTGTGTCTTAAGAAACAAGCGCTGATTGTCCCTTGTTTAGGTTTGGAGGTGCAGGCAGGGCGGTGTGAGCCTCGTCCCGTGTAGCGAGCACGCTGACATGCTTGGAAGATACCGGCGTCTGTTTCAGGCCACCTGTACGCCGTCTTCATCGTGGTATTGGGGCGGAGCGTGAACCGTACCTCCTCTCATCGCTGCTGCGCTCAGGGGCTTGTCTTGTTTTTGGCCTCATCATTGCCTTTCTCCTCCTCGTTCTTGGCGACATAGTCTCATGTGCGACCATCATGTTGTAAAGATCCACTCTCTTCCGTGTTGTTCTGTGTCATAAGTCTTCGTTTACCTTTTTCCGTATCATTCGTAGAGTATTATTGTCTCCGCCTGAACCCCACCCAGTACTCCGCTAACTGTTTTCAATCGCCGCAACGTTCACTCACCTTCGTAACAGTTTCTGTTTGGGTCTTCACTTTCTCCCCCAGTCTTTCTATTCTTTGGTCGCCGTGGTCGCTACTGTCCTATTCGCTTTCTTAGAAGAGTCCTTTGCGACACCCCCATTCTCACGTACTTCATTAATTCCCCATACAGTATACCCATCTCAGGTTACCCAGGTCTTTTATTCGCACACTCGTTCACTGGTCTTTCATTCATACCAACGATCGCTCCATACGTTCCTTTCCAGCATTTGCATTCCTATCCATCGAATTCGGAGCCTTGAGCTGCATTCTCAGACTAACTTACGCCCGTGCCACAACGCCGCGAAGTAAAGTGTATGGTTTGCTCGCTAGCGCTGAACCAACCGAGCGCATCATAATTATCATCGATTCATCACATCTAAATCTCTACCACGGCACCGGTTTCCCGCAATCGCGAATATGCACCAAGCAGCCTAGCCAGTCACCGACTCAGGTCGCCCGATGCCTAGCCGATTCTGACTGCAACCATCTTAGTATGATCTTACGATCTTACTGCATGTTGAACGCTGTACGATGAGTGATCATGAAGTTTGAACGATCATCACCATCAGCTGACTCCAAAACTGAGTTCCAACGGTGAGAGGAGTCCGAACGTTTCAAGAACAAAAAACAACGATCCAAGTTCGAGTTAGCCCCGTTGAGAGCCTTCCAACGCGCCTGGGACGACAGGAGGTGCCAATCAGGTTAGCCCCGACCTCTGGTCTGGGGTTATTATTGGTCGCCTGAGGCGATGTCTCAGGTGGCGCTTTAAAGGATGATCCAAATCATTGTGCTTCAACATCTCGAGGCACAATGTAGCGGCGACCGAGCTGAGTCTGAATCGTTCGTTCGTTCGTACGTGGCCGTTTCCTGAACGGTGTGATATGGTCCATGAACACTGTTTCGCGCTTCTCGTTGTCGTATGGTGGATAGCAAAAAAAATTACTCGTTGATGAACCTTGATAAGTAGTCTTGTCCCTTAGGCCAGAATAGCGTATAGGCCCCCGAAGGCGAGACGCGAAAAGATTTCGGGAGAACTGCGTGAGTGATGTATCACGACTATTCACGACGAGCGAACGGGGCAAGCTAGAATGAACTACCGAGGACTTAGCTTCCCCTTACAGGGACAAAGTCTCGGGGATTATTGAGGTCTAGACAATCATTATATTCCCGGCAAAGGTGATGATATTTTGAGCGAATCCAGCCGTGCAGTCTATAATCACAAGCCAAGCTCGTCCTGGTAAGGGAGGGTGTGGATATCTCCAATAGCAACAATGGTAGGGTTGCTCTTGAGCAAGTCACCGGCAAGCTGGTTTGGTGCAGCGGCGTTAGCAAGGTGAGCCCCAGTCGTGAACAATGGACACGAACCTTGGAGATAGCAGCGGCGTCCACAGCCTCAACGGCCTTAACAGTGCTGTCCAGACCAGCCTGTTCGCCGGAGAGGACCTTGGGCCCAAGGAGGCTGACGAATCCTTCCCTCTTCTCCACACCACCAGCGATCGTGAATTTGGCCTTCGCCACGGCCTTGGTGGCATCCTCAGCGCTGACCTTGCTCGCCGTCGACTTGAACGCGTCGACGGCAGCCTTCGAGGCCGCTGAAACGGCCTTAGCGTCGTAGCCCTCGAGGAGGACACCGAAGAGGGTAGCGTCAGAGTATGGCAGGATGACAGTGCTTGCGTGAACGCCGGCAGGGATGGAGGCGGAAAGTGTGGAGGTTCCGGTCGTCCATTTCACGGATGGAGCGGGAGAGATGTGGGCGTTGAGGGCATAGAGAGCGGGCAGTGATGCGGTTCCCGAAGTTCCGAAACCGATGAACACAGTTTGAGGGCCGTGGCCGGCCGTAACTCTCGTCGAGCCACCGTAATACGAAGACTTGCTGGCCGAGGCATCTGCTGTAGATGGGGAGATACCGGCCTTCTTGAAGCCCTTCTCGAACAGCGATGTAAGGGCGTCGGATGAGATGCCGGTTCCAAGAACTGCCAGAGATGAGAGTGATTGGGCGTGGAAAGCCTTGACGTCCTCAGCGGTGATGCTCCCAACAGAGTGTTCGTCGGCGTAGAGCGAGTGGCCCAGACCGGAACGGAAGGCAAAGGCGTGGGCGAGCTCAAGAGCACGTGTCGAATTCGAGTGAGATACGGCGGCGGACTCGGCAAGAACAGCGGGTAGAACGTATTCGGTGAGTTCGTGACGGGTGAATTTTGCACCTGCAATGTAGTCGGCGAGGACATCAACGAAGAACGACCTAAGTAAACAAGACAACGGTCAGTTAATTCATTCAACCGCCTGTACGTGACACCCGTCTCTACAGAGGGCTCTGTTCATAGTTTTGCTGGAAACCATTGCGATACGAAGACATGGTATGAGAAGTAACCCTTTGCACCGAAAGACGGGTTTCTTAGGATCTAGGCCTGTATGAACCACCCTTGGGCAACACTAGGGATTACTATCGGTTCTAAGCATGTGATATTGATGAGGGTAGGTATGGTGCACCATGATTTTATTTTCCACGCGTTTCCGTGAAGATACTGGACGAATAGCGACAAGTAGAAAGAGTCGCGTTCGAAGCATGCCAGGTAATAAGGTTGTGTTGACTGCGTAGCTTCTCGAATTCGACATGACCACGTCCAAATATAGAGAGATGCGAAGACAGAAATATCGAACGTACTCATCGCCTCGGAGGAACTCTGCCGTCAAAGCCAAGTGTTCGCGGGAGAGGGTGGAGGAGAGGAGACCGCCGCGCAATTCGGCCTCGCGAACGGTGCCCAACGCCGAGCGCTTCCCGGTGCTCTATAGTTCATGCCAGAAATAAGGATACAATTTCAAGTATATAATCTAGTAGGACGCACCTTGAACGCGAAGTTGGAAAGGACATGGGCGAGACCAGGCTTCTGCTCGTACCGACTACCGGCCTTCAGCAGGACGGTCACGGTGGAAATTGGCTGGCCATTGTCGACAGTGGCGACCTTGACACCGCCGGCGGCGTCGACGACCGTGGCGAAGGAGCGCCTGGAGGATTGGCTTGCTAGACGAGCAGCTCTGAGCATCGAGGATATGTGAGGGCGGAAATCCAGCTCTTCGCGTTGGTCCACTCCAATGGGTGAAGCCGGCAGCGGAGTTCCAACGCCAATTCTTGCCTTCCCACGCTTTTCGTCACCATTCATCCAAATCAAGCCTCAGTTTTATGTGCGGAACCAGACACAATCCGGGACGCGTCTTGTGTGTGAACGCGACGCCGACGCGACGCGACTTGGCTTGTAACTTGCTCGGAAACTCTGGTTGTGTAATATCATGCTCTACGCGCTGCCTACCACAGGTCCTATCAACTGGTCCTCAAACCAGCGTAAATCTGTTGCAGACCACCCAAACGTGCTCGTTTCTGGCGTGTTTCAGACCGCATCGGCGTCGACTCTTGCGGACCAGGTTCGCCAACGCTATCTACAGTTTCTCTGGCTACCCGACGTCAGTACCATTTTACTTCACTTGGTTAGTCTTATCGAGGGCGGAATATCTGAATCTTGAAAAGATAGGCTATTGTACCGCTCGTGCAGCTTGTACCGCTTCTTCTGCTGCTCTCACCGAAGACGTCTGCAGAAGAGTCCTCCCATGCCTTGCACGCTGCACTCGACGAGGTCCTCCTGACTGAGAGACTGTCAGCACATAAATATCGACATTCTATCCCTAAATGGGTTGACGAAACCGCTGCCATCACTGCTGATGATGTCGAAGCCGAGATGGCTCGCTTTGCCTTCAACCACTACGCCGTCGATGAGGTCGAAACCTATGATGTCACCCAGGACTTGGACGAAGAAGCCAGTACATTACGATGGATCAAGGAGATGGAAAAGCGAGAGTAAACTGTCCACACGCTTTCATGCTATTCGTTTGCTCATGATGATCGACTCCTCAGGGTTCAACTCCAAATACTACTTCACCTCCTCAAACTTTCTCTCCCGGGACCCACACCTGCCCTCATTAAGAAATCGCTTTCAATTCCTTCTCCTGACCCATCACAATCCGCAAATACTACTCGGCATGACCGACTTCTCATGCCCCACCTATCACTCAAATCGCGTACCGCAATGAGTGGCAAACGCACGCGGCCTCGTCCGTCATCTTCCTCCGAATCTGAAGAGCAGACTCCGCGCCAGATTCTGGAAGACAGACTCGAGGGCCTGATGGACCGTCTTGCAGTATGGCAGATGGCTTTGCCGGTGGATGAGGAAATGGCCCAAAGCACTTCGAAAGTCCAAAGAGAGGAGCAAATCAAGGAAGTGAGGGACTGGACACAGGCATTCTGTGAGGATGTAGTTCGGGTTCAGTACGTTTCCCCCTATCGTACTCCTTCATGATTCATTGGCTTATATTTCCCACCAAAATCAGTTTTTCAGAGAAGCTCCCCGAATCTTACAACCTCCTGCGTTCCAAACTCTTTCGTCTCCCACAATGGTCCTCCGAAGGCGAAGACACCGATGCCGATGAGCCGCCCCCATCCAAAGCCAAATCTCTATCCAGGTCACGGTCTCAAACTCGAGAAGACTCCAACTTCTTCGGCAACAGCGCCGCTCCGAGCAGTTCTGCTCCTCCGCACCTGTCACGCTCAAACTCCCTCGCACGCTCGGACTCTCTTTCTCGCACCGATTCGTTCTCGCGTACCATTTCCCTATCCCGCACAAACTCCAACTCACTGTCCCGCACAAGCTCCCTCGCTCGCACAAAGTCCACCTCGAAGTCCAGCACGCAGAACCTAAACGCCACCGCCACCGCCTCGTCCTCTTCCACTTCCAAACACGACTCGCGATCCCTCTCTCGTTCGCGCTCACGTTCCCTTTCTCTCTCTCTGACCGCCGAGGCTGAGGCACAAGCAAAGGCCCAGGCCGCCTCGAACGCCCGCAAACGACCCCTCCAGCGCGAAATTAGCATGTCCAAGGTCTTCAGGCCTAAATCTGTCGATCCTGTGGAACATGTGTCCAAGCGCATCAAAAGAGAGCAAGACAATCCCCCCTCGCTCGCTGAGCGGCAGAAGGGAAGTAAGGCAGGCGTTGTCCTCGTGGAGGCAACGCCCACGAAGAGCGTACGGCAGGGCAGGGACTTTGGCGGTTCCAGTGCGGGTGTGGGTGGGAGTAAGGCCGATGGGGTTCTAGTGCAGGATTCACCGGTGAAAGGAGGGCGTGGGCGAGGTGGTGGGTCTGGTGGTTCTCGGAGACAGAGCCAAATGTTGGTGGAGGAGGATGACGATGATGACACTGACGAGGAATAGGAGTCGCACTTCATGTTTTCGATATGGACAAAGGGCTGGCAGTTTATTTTATGTTGTAATATACCTGTCGCTGGAGGTTTGGTATTCCTTGGTTGCTCGTTTCCTTTGAATTTTTAACTTGCACTGCTGTTCGACAGAAGGAGTAAATCGTGCGCACGACAAATTCCACGAGTACGTGCTACAGCAGAGCTCGCACAAGGTACATTCACATGGCGACGAACAGACACACTAGGAGCTACATGAGCGGCATACAGCGAGAGTCTAAGCATACCGGGAGGAACATGACCGCATCTCAAACACGAGACCAAAACATATGAACCTACGCCTACACCAAAACGTAGAGGCAATCGTAATGGCGGGAAGAAGTTCAGGTACACTCGGAAACCACATTTCCTCTCCTGCTATAACTCGGCCACTGTCCTGAATCCTTGCCTAATCCAAACGGGGCCAGCGGTGACCCGGTTTGGGCACCCACTCCTGCACGTACATCCGCGTCCTTCTCCACACCGTAACCATAGCTCACCGGCCTGTTATTCTCCATCCAATCCTCCTCAGCCATCCACTTCATAGCAGCATACGTCGAAGGCTCCGCACTATCTCGACAGTCCCAGTCTTTCCTCTTATGCATCTCCACTCCCTCCGTACCCGTCTCGATGTCGCGACCGAACGGCTGTACATCTTCCAAGCCCGCGAGCTTAGGTGCATCTGGGACGATCGATCCCGATGCCTTGAGCTCTTCCTCCCTCAAAATATCCTCCCAGCGTGGACTCGGCTTACGACGCGTGAGAGGTCGCGCGTCGTTACGACCCGGTGAACAAATGCTCGAGTGCCTAGAGCTGTTGCAGGAGTACACGCTTGAAGGACTACTCGTGACAGACGTGGAAGGCAATCGGCGCGAGCTGTGAGAGACGGTGGGAGAGCTGGTATACGTTGTGTTGGAGTAGTCATATTCTGAGATTGACGACACCTGGGATACGAGCGAAGATGCGATGTAAGAGGCTATGGGCGCGTGAGCTGGTTCGAGGATAGGTTCAATAGTGGAGGAAAGGGGCCGTCGAGGGGCATTGGTCGGGTGTGAGACGAAAACGGATTTCTTGCTGGTAGTGCGCGGGCTCTGAGTTTCGCAGGACGGCTGAATAGAATCCACGGCTGGTTTTTCCAAACGAATAGCGTTGTCGAAGCTTGTGGCAGTGGTGGCGGAACCCTTGGCCGGTGGGATGGCAGCGCGTGCGTGGGGACTGGTGGACAATGGTGGAGGCCCGACGTTCTCCTTTTCCGTCTTCGTGCGGCTCGAAATCGGAATTCCATCGCCGAAAGCAGCAAGCCAGTCGTCTTCCTGTTTCTCCTGCTCTTTGGTCATACGCGCTGGTCTCGAGATATCCTTCGCCGTCGGGGCCAAACGTCTGCATTGGCTGTGAGATCTGACAGCTCCGGACCTTGAGAGTTGACCGCGAGAGTTGAGAGACAAAGCGCGTCCAAGAAGAGAACCCTTTCTTTGCAAGCCGCTCTGAGAGGTCTGTGCGTGAGGATCATCGTAGCTGAGGGTCGTGGGCGAGGTCACTTCCTTGTCTGCCTCCTCGATCGGCAGCAGAGACGACCTGACGTGGCCAAGTCCAAGAGACAGCGAGGGTTTACGAGCATCCCTACAGCCTTTGCAATGACAAGGTCTTCGCGTAGCCGCGACCTGCTGCTGATGGTTCAACTTCTGAGCAGGTCCCACCGTAGTCTGAGTATTCAAGATCGAGTTCGTATTCGCCCCATCATGAGAGTTCGTCCTAGCGTGATGAGTCCAAGCCGGTGCCTTAGAGCTAGATGATGACTGTGTTTCCGAGCGAGCCCGAGTCTGAGCTTGAAGAGAGGCCTGCCAAATGTGATGGGGTATATAATGTCCTCCTTGAGTCTGAGAGTTGTCGCTGTTAGAAGATGAAATAGAGGTGCTAGACCGCGGCGAGATAAGAGACGAGATGAGGGACCCGCGGTCGCGTTCGATATCGACGGTACCGGTCTTGTCTGTGTAGGCCGTATAAGCTGTCTCCGTGTCGCTCTCCTCCCCACTTTCAAGTTCTGGACAACTTCGACCCTTCTGCTCCGTACGCAATCCCGCCAGTGTGTTGACTTTCCCAGGCACGGAAAGACTCTCGTTGACAGTGACCGACATTCGTCTCCTCCGGCGAACGCGAGACCATGAGCGGAAAAAGTATACGGAGAGGACGACGAGGATAAGGAAGCCGCAGACGGCGGCGACAATGGGGATGAGGTATCCTTTAGAGGCAATGTCTGTTAATTTGAATGAGTGTTTCAAGTTGGATGTTAGATTGTCGTTGGAGGTAGCAATGTTCGAGGCCGCGCGCCCGTCGACAATGCGCTTCGCCAGGAGCTGGGCGTGCGTGTTGTTGACCATCGTTGACTGGGACATGGCGTCTTGAGAGGAAGGAAGTGGGCGAGCAGTTCGATCTCAACCTTCACCGCAGGATATATTCCCACGCCACAGCCCTGTGAGGGCCACACATCTCACAGCGAATATTTGGGAAGGTACAAAGCATCGAGGAAAAAAGCGCGCGTCAGTCGAGACGAAGAGAATTTCCGATGCATTTAGTACAGAAAGGCTTGACATCGAGGCTACCGCGATACTACTAGAACACTACGTCCTCCGCCCTCGCGGGCGCAAGACCAAGATACACCCCCACAGGACTCTACAGCGTGATCTCGCGAATCCCATCCTTGTCAACAACCTTGACTTTGTAGCTCCCTGGCGAAACGACAAGCCTCTTCGCTACCTCGTCGATCGCTCGTCGGAGGACGTCGAGTCCTTCCTCGAGTGTACCGTCAGGGTTGTGATACCTGTGTTCAAAACGATCAGCATCGACACCTCTATCACGGCAGTGCCACACCAAGAACAGCACCACGGGGTGAGGAAACCCAAAAGCCAATCCTCCAAACAACTCACCTATCCAACAAACTCAACGCGAAGTAACTCCCATACCCATGCGCCGCAAACGGCACACTCGCCATCGTCCCCAGATAATCCAACCAATACAAATGCGGCTCGCCCTCCTCTCCCGCCTGGGTATCGTACCCTCCCAGGAGGAGGTTGACCGAGTACGGGTGCCGGGAGCGGAGGGACTCTGCGAGCGAGCGGCGGACCCAGGACGCGGCGGATTGGGGGCGGAGGGGGTAGACGTTGCGGATTTGGTAGAGACGGAGGTTGCGTTCGACGTATTCTGCGAAGTGGACGGTGTCGCCTGTATAGGGGGTTAGGTTAGGAGGGAGGGGAATGAGATGAGATGAAATGGGTGGATGCACGTCAGTGAATGTTGGGCAAGGTTACGACTGGAGCAATGAAATATTATGAAGGGTTTAGAGAGCAATACACGTACCCGGCTCTCCAGAGTAGGCCATCAGCAAATGTGGTGTGAGCGTCTTAATCTTGTCCTCGTCGACCTTCATCTTCACGATAGATCGTGCGGCGGTCGTATCCGAGGCCATAAGGACGTAACCCTTGCCCGTCAGCGCGAATGAGCACTCCATGATAATTCGTTTAGTTTACTGGCAAGAGATTTCGAGGGTGAAGGAAAGATATGGAGTGATGGAGTGAGAGGAGGGAAACAGGCTGGGAGGGAAAGATGATGTACACCTTAGAGGACCGGACGCGCGTCGCGTCCTTCAGTACGATCACGTGGAGATTCGATCCTACTTTCGGAGTTGAATTGTGGCCCACATACTCATGGTGCCACCCCACCTCCAACGGCTCCTCGTAGAGTACACATCGACGGAGCAAAAAATCCATAACATACAGAGATTCGAAGCTGAAGAACATGTAAAGCATGAAAGAGCGGAGACTCACGCCGAACAACTCACAGCATAGCAGCCCAACCAGGATCACTCACTGGGACTCTGATCCACGACAGAAAATAAAATTAGACTAACTACCTCTCGAACTCGAAAAACGAACGGAAGAAGCTACTGAGTACGGAATACGAACTAAACACCACACAAAAAGATACCAAACTTCAAATGCCAAATGCCAGATGTCAAAAAAAGTCAACGGAAAGACGGCCAAGAGTAAAAGTAAGAAGACAGGATGTATTTAACAAGGAGGGTGATGGTCACTGGGTCCAGGGGGAAACAAGTCTACTGTAGATCCACAGGGTACTGGTACTGTCGAGAGAAGCACGAAAGAAAGAAGAAAAAAACGAAAAACGAAGATGGGGATGGGGACGAAGGTGTGGGTCGAGGGAGGGGATGGGAGGCGGTGGGAGTAAGTTGAGTGAGGTGTGGTGTGGTGCGCAGAGGCGAGGTGAGATGAGATGAGGTACGGCGATTCAGAGGAACAACGAGGTATGTTGAGAAATAAAAGCTCGATTCAAAGAGAAAACAAAACCTGCTCCTGCTCCAGCTGCTGCCATTCCGAACCAGAATCATAACGGGAAACGCGTAAAGACCGTGTGCCAAATAAAATAAGTTGATCGTAGCTATGATGAAAAGACTCGAAATGAAAAAAAGGGGAGAGATCCGAGAGTGAGTTGAAGAAAAGCGTATTACAATCTATCAAAGTAGATGGACGAACCTGACGAACCGAGTCGAAATGGAAAAAAGGGAAGAGGGGGAACAGGCTAACGGTCAACAAACACGAAAAAAAGCGAGGGTATAGGCGTACGAGGGACGAAACAAGTAGGAGCCCTCACCACCACAAAGTTCAAGTTTTTTCTGGAACGAGTCCGAGAAAGTTCGAGACCGAGAACTCAATCGAAAAAAACGAAGAGAGGGAAAAGCATAGCGAGAAGGGACGTCTTGTACAGCGGAGAGGTTACACAGGTTGTTGGCTAAGTAAGGTAGACGAGTAGGTAGACGGTTAGACGGAGGTAGACGGTTAGGCGGATACGTAGGTAGGTAAGAGGGTAGACGGGGATAGGGATAGATAGAACAAAGATGGTATAAACCACGAGGGTCGGGGTCGGGGGTTGACACAAGTGTCTGGATAGAACAAAGGCAAGGGCGCCGAATCAATTCGAAGCGCGACGCACAAAACGAAAACGAATAACGACGGAGGAAAGACAACACGTACGAAACGGGGCGGAAAGGCAAACAAACCGAAACGCAAGACGGAAAAAAACGACGACTATATGGATTTGACAAAGAACAAAAAGAAGAAAAAAGAGGTATGAGCAAACAAAGCCGAAAAAGAGTGGAAAAAATCCGGGTCGTCGCATATCATAGCGACCAAATCTATTGGCTCGCCGCAAGCATCTCACTCTCACCTCCTCCCTCACAGCTCAACTCCGCTGCGAAGCCGGCATCCTCAACCGGCTCTGCGTCCCCCCAACTCCAACACCCCCCGCACTACTCAACAACGCCGTCGGCCCCGAACTCTTCCTATACACCATCCCCGTCCCCGTCCTCGGCTTCTGTATCCCCTGCACGCCCCCTCCCACACCTCCTCCTCCAACTCCGCCAAGCCCAGGACTCCTCGCCGACGCCGGCGCACTCGCGCTCAATCCCCCCGAACTCCTAGGTGAAGATGACGATGACAGCCCCGAACTCCTAGGCGACGACGACGACAGCCCCGAACTCCTCCCACCCAGACTCCCACTCGAAGTCCTCGACACCGGCACCCCACCCCTCTCATTCAGACTCACCGCATTCCCTTCAACGAGCCTCAAAGGCCGCACCGGAACCGGCATCGTCATCGTCCTCGCCCCAGGCCCAGGTAACGGCGGTCTGCCACCACCCAAGGACCTCCTCGGGACGGCGCCATACCCAGACCCAGGCATGGGCGTAGACTGCGAATTGTCCTTCAATGCTGAGGAAGCCATGGATGAGCCCGTGGAGGAGGCGATGGATGAAGTCGAGAGCCCGGTCGTGCTTTTTCGGAGCTTGAGGGATGATTTGCGGGGTGTCATGGTCGGGATCTTCGGGACTGAGGGTACGCCACTTCCGCTGTAGCTTGAAGCACCGGCATAAGACCCACCGCCACCATAACTACTCCCCGTCGACCTCTCATTCGAATACGAGCCCGTCCCACAATTCGCGCCGACGCTCCGCAGGGAGGCTACACTCGACGGACTCCTTAACGATAACGACGCCACGCTGCCCTGCGACTTTAACGTCCTCCCTATCCCTGACACTGCCCCAATACCCGTCCCAGTTCCAGTTCCGGTTCCAGTAGAAGCGATGGACGCATGAATCGACGCCACGCTCGCCTTCTTCCTCGGCTGCAAAGGCAACGGCGGCAACCGCTTATCCCTATCGAACACCGAAAGCGACGAAGGCGACGGCGACTCGAGGACTTGTCCCTCTTGATCTTGATCCGTAGACAAGTCGACAGGATGGGGATGTTCGACGGGCGTGATCGGCGCTCCGAAACTGATCGTCGAGCTCGTCGAACTCGAATCTTTATCCCTATCCCTATCCCTCTGCTCCTCTTCGTGTTCCTGTTCTGCGCCGGTGGTGGTGGTGGTAGTCGTGTTTGTGGTCCCGTCCGAACGCGATCGGAATCGCACAGGAAGCGGATAATGTCCAAGTTCGTGTTCATGTTCCGGGATACTGATCTCGAGCGTACTCTCAGGCAACGAACTCCTCACTTTCAATATCGAGCTCGTTTTCCGTGGTTTCGCGCCCGAACTCTTCGTCCTCGGGCGCGCACTGGGGGAAGAATTGGGCGGAACGTCGGCACCGTAGGAAGATCCGCTGAACGACCTCGAAAGCGGATGAGGCCTCATATTCGGCGAGCTCGCGGGTCGATGATGATAGCCTGACGATGAAGACGCAGAGGCGGGGAGCGAGGAGGTCGATGGGGATCGGTTTAACTTGACGGAGGAGAGTCGTTTCGTGAGCGGTGATGGGGCATCTTCGTCCTCACTAATGCATCCATGGTGAAGTTGAAATATTCAGAACAGTTAAGCTTGTAAAATGGGGTGAGTGAGGGACGCACCTATCACTCCACCCCAACCCAGTAGTCAGCCCAATCCCCCCCTTCAACAACTTCCCATCCCTATGTCTCACCCTCCTGCGCACCGTATCCCTTTCATCCTTATAGATCCCACTCTTCGTCATGACCGACCCCGCGTTCGACGCTAGGCTCAGGGTACTCCCCGGTCGTCCTCCACTGAGCGTACTCCCCGGTCTGCCTCCACTATTGGGACCTGGGCTGAAGCTACCGTTGGGACCGAGGCCGGGAGAGAGGCCGTCGAAGGAGGGCGAGGCGAGGAGGTTTTCCGGGAGGATTTTGGAGTGGGGGGAGAGGAGGCCGTCGCGGAGCATTAGGTTCCTGTTATGTATATACCATGTTCTGTTAGCATCAGCGTACTGTATCCCAAATAATGTGGAGAAAAGAAAGCAACGCACGGCAACGGCGTATGCAAATCCAAACTACTCTCACTCCCATCGCTCGCATTCCCATCCCCATCTCCATCCCCATCTTCCTCTGCCTCACTCACCTCTCCCTCTCCATCAACCTCTCCCATAATACCACTCTTCGGACTCCTACCCCCCGCCAGAGTCAAATCGTCTAGAGTGAACTCATCCCCGCCTCCGCCCCCGCTCCTCCGAATGACAGTCCCATAATCCTCCACAAACGAATCTTCATTCCACTCTCCCTCCCCTCCTGATCCTGATCCCCTCGCCCTTGTCCTCCCCACCACGGATTCCCTCAAATACGGCAACTCACTCCCATTCAACCTAACCTCCACCCCACTCATCCCTGACATCCTCCCCCCTCCCCCTCCTCCTCCCTTTTTCGAACCCGACGCAGACGCAGCCGCATGCACAGAAACACTCCTCCCAACCCCCCCACCCTCAGCCCTCTTCCGCCCCGCCCTCCTCGAACTAGACGCTCGTCTCGCCGAAGCCCCAAGCGAAGACGTCGATCGTCGTCTCGGCCTTGGTGTCCTGTTCAACATATCTTCGATCCCTGGAGACGCGGAACGGGTTTTCTCGTTATCGTCTCCACCTACACCAACGCCCACGCCCACGCCTACGCCCACGCCGACGAGACTGCTCCGCACACTGATACTGATACTGTTCCTCACGGCGTCGCCGATACTGTTCCCACCGAAACTATCGCGGACGGGCGTATGTGGCGCGAACCGTTTCGAGAACGCGGAGGGAGGGGGAGGTTGGCTGGGTGGTGTAGCAGTCGGAGGAAGTGGGAAATGTAAATCGAGACTTGAGCGTGAGGAGTTGGAACCGCTGCCGCCGCTGTTCCTGGGATACGTATACGTCGACGTCGAAGAATTGAGGTTGTTCGAACGCATCGGCGAATAGTTCATCGTATTCTCCTCCTCCTCCTCGCCTTCTTCTTCAGGATCGTCGCTAGGCAGATCAAGCATCGATATCTGCGCAATCGAGTCCTCCGCCCCACCCAGTTCCCCGTCTTCCATTTCCAGTTCCAATTCCGCAGACGTATCTTCGCCCGCGTCCGAGCGCCACGAGGGATGCGGAGACGGCGAGGCACGAGGGATATCGTTCAGGGACAACGCAGTGAGACTGAGACTGAGACTCGCCCTCCCGCCCTCGTCGTCCTCGGGGATCGCACGGTCGAGATACGCGGTCAGCCCGGGCGATTTGGCGCGGTCTGCAGCATTTAAATTGCTCATAAAGTTCGGGTGAGCCGAGAGGGACGGAGCGTAGGATGACGAGATGGATGTGGAGCGGCGAGTACCGATTGCTGAAGATGAGTGGACGGAGTCGGCTAGGGAAGGCGGTCGGGAGGGACTACCGAAAGTGTGAAGCGAGGGGGACGGCGTAGGCGGGGAGACGACTGTCGTGCCCTGTTGTTCGGGGTGATAATGGGCGACGTGGGTGTTGTCCGAGTCGTGGGGCCGGTCTGAGGAGGAGCGAGAGGAGGAGGAGTAGACGGATGCCTTGGAGGTGCGGCGGGACGCGCGGGAGACGTTGATTAGCCTGAGCGTGTCCTGTTCAGAGAGTGGGGAGGGCCCGGGGACGGGCGGGAGAGGGGACGCGGGGGGGAGGGACGGCGGGGGGTTGGTCTCTGAGCCGTTGACGACGGCGAGGGAGGGGCCGGGGAGGAGGGAAGAGGGGATATGGGTGGGGGGAGTGGGGAAGTCGGAGAGGAGGAGGGGCACGGCCGTCTTCGTCGAGCGCTGCTTCGGCGACGAGGGCCCTGTGGTCGACATTCCGGCTAGCGTCCGTCGACGGTGGGGACAAGAGGAAGGAGGGACAGGTCGACGATCCGCTTTGACGACAGCGGCGGGAGAAGGTTTGGGAGGGACCAAGGAGATATTGCTCACTTCCGGCCGCACGGCGTCGGCAAATGCAGGTTCGTTCTCAGACACTCGCTCGTGCTTCCCGTCGTCGTCGCGGCTTGTGCGCGCGATGGACAGCGACGTTGGGCTAGTCGTCGACAAGCACCCGTTTGACGATGGCAGCTGTTAGTCAAATAGAGGGCGCTATCCCCGGATGTGCGCGGCCTCTGCGGATCCTCTTCTTTTTCTTCTCCATTTTGTCAGGGGCTTTCCCCATCCGCACATTGCAGCCTTTCTCGACTGCACCCATCAATCAACGGCGACTCTCTATCCCATCCGTCACTCACACCCACGCCACCACTCTCGACGTCTTCCCTCTTCGCCACACCCCTCCGTCCTTCGTCCGCCACAACGTGCTAGCAGAATCCCTCGACCACGTTCTTTTCATTAATTATCCCCGACTTCCACCCCCACCACTCCGGCGGGGGCTCCACCGATTGCTCGCCACACCTGAGTCTTCCATCATGAACATTCTCTTCTTGGCATCCTATCAATCAATGCTAGCGCACGCACGCGTCCCGGCTGATCTCTCCCAGACGCTAACAAACTAGACGCTACACGAAATCGGTATATCCAACGCCCTTTTTATCCTTAAGTAACCCTATGCCCTCGTACAACGGCTGTCTGCAGGAATCCTTCTTTCGTACCGAGACCCGAATTAAGGCTGATTGGAACAAAAGGCCGACATGAACGTTCGAACATCCAGCATCGAGCATCATCCGAGCAGCTAATCCTACGCGAAGTGATTCGGTACTCGTCGCTCCCCGAAAGACGTCGAGGCCTGGTAGCGTTTGCATCTGGGCCTGACTTTCCGACTCTGACACCTCCACTTACCTGACACTTTTCATTTTTGATTGATCCTTGAACAATGGAAGTCCGTCCAAGTATAGCAATTCCCACGCCCACACCTCCTTCCCACACCTCCTTCCCACATCGACCCGGAGACGAGTTAGGGTTGGGTGATAGGGTGACCGTCGTGAAGGAAACCGATGTCGATGAGTTGCCTAGTATGATGAGGTATGATGCCCGCTGTGGGTGTGTTTACTTCAATGTAATCGTGAGTGTACTACGCCCTTGTCTCGGCGATGTGATGCTAAAAGCACAATCGCCGTATACGCCCGGATGGATTGAACGATAGTGCCAGCCCGCCATCGAATATTCAGGCATTACTACTAGTCAATGCCTAACTCCGTCTTGTGCTCCGTCTGGTCCGAGTTCGATCGGAGTATCGAGGAGCTATGAGTGGTGAGCGACGGGTCTGGCATTTTATGTCACTGATCTCTCTTCTTGTGACTTACAACCAACTTTCCTCCATCTCTGGCGGCCTGCCTCTCGAACACGCAAACGATCCTCTCGGTGCGCGAATGCAAGCAAAGAAAGGATCCCAGTGTCGCATGTATGCATTGCTTCAAGACCCTACTTCAATCCTACACACATGCTCGTTATCATCCTGATCACTGCTCACATTACTCTACCGTTCCTCTTCACGTCCTAACCCATCCCTCCCCAGCCTTCCCAATCGCATCTCCATCCGCATCCTCTTGTTCTCAGCCCATCGCGACGTTCACTTTCCCTCCTACGTACTTTTAACGCCACTGTCACTTCCGTGCCAGTGCCTATTCCTATCCCCCGAGTCCTAGTCCAAGCACAGTGACGGGTGCTATCATATTATATTGGGCCACAGGAACCAACATCGATGTGGCAATTGACATAGACCGGCACCGTGCCTAATAGTACTAACAGGATCACCTCCATCCGAGTCATTGAATTGCCAGAGGGACCTTCCCTCGAAAATCCCACAAAATCCGCATTATAATAGACACACGGACCTATAATTATAGTAAAAACGGGTTTTACGAGCCCATAATACCTACACATTGCACATTGCATATAACACGCAGATGCTCCCTATCCCTCCACTCCCCCATCCACCCCTTCCCAGCATTCCCATTCCCATTCCCGTTCCTACCCTCTTGCTCTACATATATCCCGACTTTTCACTTCTAACGCCACCCCCACCGCTGTCCCTGTCCCTATCCCTATCCCCACGAGTCTGAGTCCAACTGCAAGCACATTGACAGGTAGTTTGAAAGGAGAGTCATTATATAGACCACAGGAACCACCATCGATGTGGTGATTGGCATAGACACTGATGTGGCCACCGTGTCTACTTGATAGGAATACTTACCTCCATGCATCAGTATCGTTGAATTCGTCGGGGAGGATATCCGCAAAATCCGCATTGTGATGGGTATAAGTTAAGTTACATCCGGGGAGCACAACACACAAACAAACAAACAAACAAACAAACAAACAAGCAGATAAGATAAATACCCAAACCAAAACCATCGAACCAATATACACCACCACACAGTCACTCACTCACTCACTCACACCCTCCTCTCAACACTCACCTCCTCCCACTCCTCCTCTTGCCCCCCTCCTCCTGCTCCCAACCTCTCCTCAACAACCCTCGCCCGCCCCACCAACTCCTCCAACGGCCACGCCGAAGAATTCACCTGTCCCTCTCCCTCCGCCACATCCATTTCAATGTCAATCCCATCATCATATTCATAATCCCCGTCCTCGTAAGAATTCCGATATGAATACCCATCCAACCCAACCGGATCTTCAAAATCCCTAATAAGCTCCATCGTCCCCGTACCCAACACTCCCACTCCCGCCCCTAGCCCTGCCCCCAATCCCTCCTTTCTCGTCCTCGGGTTCGTCCTCGAGCTAGGATTCGTCTCCGTCCTCGAGCTCGGATCCGAATATGTCCCTAGGCCCGCCTCCGGATCGAAATACGTCTCCGACGGATCCTCATGTTGCTGCCGTCCTTTCCCCCTTCCTCCCCGCACAGGGTTCGCAGCGAACTGAATCGTGCTCGTCGTCCCCGCCCCTCTTCCTCCTCTCCCTCCACCTCCTCTCCCTTCTCCATCACCCCCTGCTCCACCTCCTGCTCCGGTCCCTGCGCGTCGTTTGCGCCCGTGTGCGGGGACGACGCCGGCGGAGGAGCCGGTGCCAGAAGAGGGGGGTCCGTGGATCATTTGCCGGAGGTCGAGGAGGAAGCGGGAGACGAGGATTGAGGAGAGGCTGGGTGGTGAGATTCGTGTGGTGAGTATGTAGTTGCATAAAGGGAGCGATGAGAGGAGAGGGGTCAGAGGAGAGAGGAGAGAGGAGAGAGCGTACAGGAGTGTGTAGTTGTTAAGGACCGTGCTGTAGACGCCCTATACGATGGGAGGAAAAGTGCGTGAGTGTGACATTTTTATCATGTCGCTCGGGATTAGGATGCGTACCTGTGGTAGCTGTAGAAGAAGGTCAGAATGTGTGGGTATATCATATCGAGGCGAGACGACTCACGAAATAAAGAATGACAGATCCGAGCTGCAACGCCGTGATCACTCTACAATCACATCACAGTCAGAAAGACCGCGAGGTACAGATCCAGAGCAAGACATTACTCACATATAATATATCGCGCCAGACCGCGCCAATAGTCCCGACATCCGCGAACTGCTCAAGTTGCTGAACCCGCCGCTGTCACGTATGATCTGGAAGATCCGCCAGGCGAGCATGCCTGTGTGTGTAAATTTATGTGCATGAGTTGTAGGTTAGAATGCAGTTGTATAGAGACATAGGTGTAGAATGGATAGGGGAGAAGGGAGCGGGGGAACGTACCGGTGGCGAGGATGTCGAAGCATATGAGGGTGATGAACGTGAGCACCGTCGCTGATACATCCCGAACGACTATTAGTTACATCTCCGCATAACACGCCAATAAAAGAGTGCGCATACATCTACGCGAAGAGTCAAGACGGTATGTGGTCAATCCAGTGTCGAAAGCTATCATAAACAACGATGGGGCTGCTCACAATGGGTTAGACGCCTGCGTGCAAGACGCTTCCGTATCTTGAATCTACACCACCATCACCATCACCGTCTCCTCAGCATACCTCCAGAGCAATGAATTCGAAGGGGCAAAACGCACGATATCAAGCACGACCGCCAGGACGCCAATCAGCGACAACAGCACGACACCGAAAATCCCGAAAAAGTCCCGCTGCATCACCGCGTAGACGCGGAGGACGAAGGAAGCTAAATGTAGAGCATGAGTTGTGTGCAGAGATGAGGGAGGAAGAGGAAGGGAGGGGTGTGGAAGGAAGAAAGTAGTCACCTGAGATGGAAATCCGAGTGAGCACGAGCGAGATCGCCCATGTCGCTTTGTCGATCGCGTCGCAGCTAGTAGGTGGTATCAACGTCTCAGCTTTCAAGTTCGTCTAGAATCAGTCTTGATCAAACACACTAAGATGGGCGTCCAAAAAAAACATCGTCAAGCGCCGAATGTAGACAAAGTCCAACCAAAAAAAGCACCTTTGGCGTCGTCGTCGAATAGCACACATTGAACACTTGATACGCCACGACGGGATACCGCGTCATATAATACAGCACGGACGACATCCTGAACTTGCGGTCCCACACGTACTCCTTCTCCCGTCCGAGATTGAGGAGGATATCGTAGGCCAAGAGGGCTGCGCCAAGGGTTCATCAAGCCACTCGTCAGCATATGAACTCTGATCCCAATCGTAAGGCGTAAAGTGGGCGGCTCCACCGTGACTACTCCACAGCACAGAGTCGACGATGAGGGGGAAAGGGAGAGCGGGGATACTCACCGACTCGAGAGATGGCGGCGTAGTGGTTGATCTGCCTGCGGACGAGGAATATGAGCGTAGGTCAGTATCAAAATTTGACCAATGGAGCAGAAAGATATGAAGCGCGCTCACGTCTGCCTCAATTTATGCACCGTCGCGGCCGTATCCACAGCAGCCCGTCCAACCACAGAAACCAACGCCGCAGAAACGAACGGCATCCTCTCAGTATCTCTCCTCGCAGCAGTTCCAAATCACCGGTTAGTAGAACCCAGTAAGAACAGGCTCGCTCCGATCGAGTCGTCACCGAGAAGAGCGTCAAGTGCAAAACAAAGAGGGAAACCGCAAGTCCGAGTAGGTCTTCTTCCCTATGTATGTATCCAACACGAGGCTCAAATTGACCGACGGACGGGGGGACACTGGTGCCTTCGTACCGAGTCCCTAATAGTGTACACCCAAGAGACTGCGGGCGCCAAAACCGTGACCAGCGAGACCAAAGCCAAAGTAGCTAAGTACCAAAAGTACACCTCGCATCCAGCGGACTGGAGGCGATATATATATAGCTGCTGCTCGAGGCTCGTTCGTTCACTGCATGTCGTGCTTCGTGGCGTCCAACGTTCATTGGTTCGAATAAAAGTCCGCCCTGGCACAGCAATGATATCGGTCGAAAGAAGTTCAAGGGACATCCGAAAACTCTTGATCATCACGAAGCACTGTAGTCGACCATGCATAAATATAACCTAGGTACGCTTATATGATTCAAAGCAGAAGCGAATAAACGAGCATAGGACGAGCATGCGGTTCGGTGGATGTGGAGAAATATCGATATGGTCCTGGATGAGTGATGATCATGGTGCGCGTTAGTACCTACCTACTTTTTCCGCCTCGTGATCTGCGCAGACGAGCGGCACCGCTCACAAAACATCAACACTCTTGCAGAGACCGCTGGCACTGGGCAGTGCACTCATAACCAGCAATAAAAATTGACAGAAATAACCCACTGCCACCCGAAAGGTCCTCAAGAGTCGAGGTCAGAAGCCTCGTGTTTGCTACAGAGATAAGCGTCTCTCTCCTTCCTGGACCAGCCTCGGGTCCGAATGTGCACCTACGGAACGTAGAAAGGATTAAGCGCTCGCTGAAAGATACGAAGACTCCACGAACGCTTGAGCACTGGGAAGATTAGTAGGAGGGAGATGCGGAGAATCGTCAGCGAGGATGATTGCATGCACGAATGCTGGCGAGTGTGAGAAAACTCAACTGATCAGACATCAAATAACAAACCCTTCCATCAAATATCGACGACCACAGCTCTGAGCCTGATGATGAACGCGCCGGCGGAGGAACCAGTGCTGTACACAACATAAAGATCGCGGCAAAGAGGCATCCAATGCACAGCGTCATCTGGAGAGACGACGAAGCTCAGATGGACGACGACATTCATATTTCCTATTTCAATTGTAAGGCGTACATACGTATTGGGAGGTTATATTCAAGAAAAAACCTAGACGGGAGACGGAAAACATATTGGAGTCATGCTCACGGACTGGGATAACAGCCAACGCCATGCATGCAGAACAGGACAAGGAGAGAGAGAGAGAGAGGAAACGAGTTCGTAGAAAGCGACCGCGACGACGCCGTAAGTGTAATAAACACGAACGGATAGAGGAGAGCGGACGTAACAGAACGAGGTGCAAAGCAGCGCACCGTGAAAGCTTGCAAGGATCAACCGATGAAAGCAAACGAGGAAGAATAACAATGGTACAACGGAAGGTAAGAGACGAGTGGTCGTGATGAGGAAGAAAAAGTCGTTAGACAGACACAAGAAGATATGTAATAAATCGAGTATATGGACGGAAATATGATGAGACTGCGTGGCGTGGCCAGCGAGCAGTCAGTCGGAATCGAGAGCAGGTGGGAGAGCGAGGGTTAGAGATGAGGTAGCGCAGGGTCGAGTCGTGACAGTAATATGGCAAAACGAATGAAGAAAAGAATAAGTGACAGGTCGAAATATGAAAGGGACAAATCGAGAAAGCAAGTATGAGACAAAGAATGTAAACGACTCCTATCGCCGCAGATGCATAAGACCAACTCGGATGGTCTGGTATCCTGCTCACCGCCTCTCCTTGAAGAGGGAAGCACTCATCTCGCGCACGGCAGAGGAGATCCTGACGGGCATCGGCCGCTTCTGACGGTCGTTGTGGGCAGCAGGCCTCCTGGACGGCACTACAGGCCTGATGGCCGCCCTTCGCTCCCGCTCCTCTTCCTCGAGCTCATCTCTGACGTCGACCTTCTTGGAGCTGGAGGCGACCGGGCTCGATTCCCTGTCCGATGATCTCTCTTGCTCGGACTCGGGGTCATCAGGAGTGCGCGCACGTTTCTTCGGCGATGGAGGCGCAAGAGGAACGGCGGGCCCTTCTTCATCGTCCGAGTCCCAAGCTTCGAGATCAAGCTTGGAATAGACCCCGAACAACCTACGAGGCTTGATATCCTCCGAGGCAACATAATCTTCGTGATCGATGGGCAGCCGAGTACGAGGGTCAGGAGGAGCCTTATACTCCGGATTCTGGAACTCCTGGCGTTTACCACGGCTAGAGAAGGTTAAGCATCGGTCAGGACATCGATAACTGTGCGAGGAGAGAAAAGAACATACAAGACATATGTCAGTGTCGGCATTTGGTTGTACGGTATCTGACGCTTGGGTGGGGGAGCCTCGAGAGAATCCGAGAGGAAGGGGTTGTTGACAGGGTCGCGAACGGGGACCTTGTTCTTGACGCCACTCGGGTCCTTGAGCCTTGCTTGAGTCTTCGCTCGAGGATTGAGGATACTCTTCAGACCCTTGATGGTGGTCGTCTTGCTGCGAGGCTTCGCCGTCTTGGTCTTGGTCGTAGACCGGTGTACACGGGAAGGCGGAGGAGATGCGAGGGAGTAGGCGCCCTCCTTGGCCTGAGCGACGCGGGAGGGGTGCTTTTTCCCGTCCTCCGCATCGGACTCTGCGTTCGAGCTGGACTTGGGCTTCTTCGAGGGCGAGGGTTTGGAGGTGCCAGCACGCGGGTGATTGGAATCGAGCCAGAACGCGTCCTCGGCCTCGCTGGCCCCCTTCACTTGGCTGTTGAGCTCTGTGACGAGGTCGCTCAGACGTCTCTTCTTGAGGGGCCGACGAGTCTCATCCTTGGCTTCTTCGTGCGGCGCCTTGCCCTCGTCTTCTTGCTCCGTTCCCTCGCCCTCTTCGATGATCTTGGCGAGGTTGAGGCGCGGAAGCGCAGCGCGGGTGGGCGTGGCACGAAGGGCGACGACAGGAAGCTCGCCAGCTTCGTCCTCGGAAGATGAGTAGACAGCGGCTTTAGATGTACGCGACTTGCGTCTGACTGTCGGAGGTGGGCTGGGGAGCGACGCGGTGGACGCGCTGCGCTTGAGCTTGCTTCGAGTGTTGGGTGATGCAGGAGGGGTGCTCTGTACTGGCGTGCAGGCGCGGGCGGCGTGTCGCGTTACGGGGGGCATTGTGTGTGATAGTGGTGGTTGAAAGGGCAGAAAGGTGGAGGCTGAGGCAGATAGAGTGCAGAAAAGAAGGAAGAACGCGCTTTGGGTGGATCTGCGCGTGTCCGACAGTCGTCGTTGATGGTGTCGTCCGCCAACAGTCGCTCCCCCAATTCGAACAATGGCGCCGCGCGAGACCGGCGATCGCCGAGACACGCGGCCTGTTTGTTCCCGCGCCTTGTCTCATCATTTTTTCTCTGAACCGTTCATCCTGATAATGGTGCACGTTTGTACTCCTTCATAAGGCTAGATAGTGTAGTGGTTATCACGGAGGATTCTGAAACATTATGGACGGACAGTGATTATTTAACTTGCACACCGACCGGCAGACGAATCGATTCCTTCAACCCAGGTTCGATCCCTGGTCTGGCCTTGTGGCGCGAGACATAATGTCCTTCATTTTTGCGGCCGCAATGTTCGCGCGCACGGACCCAAATCCTGAGCGGGACCAAAAGTTTAAGTGGTCAAATTTCTCGATAAACTACTTGAGGATCGTCGCGACGGATATGTCTGGTGAGGCTGCACGTTTGAACCACAAGGCGCAATTTGCACCAGCCGCCTCCCTGCGATTCAACCGCGCGGCCTTTTAGTAGGGTGTTTCTCTTTTCTTCCCTGTTGATATACTGCCAATACATCCAAGATATTATTACACCAAAACCCAATACAATATATCGACCCGTCATCAGAACAAGTCCTCCAAATTCACATCGTGTTTACTCTCCGAAGCGCGAAACTCAATGGCCGGCAACGATACCGCCTCGATGCGATTCGGTCCTCCCAAATGCGAGCTGTCCGTTCGCTCCGCATTTTCCTCTCGCAGGTTGATCATGAGGCGGCAGATGAGGGTCGTGGAGAGCCTATGCGATGGAGTTGAGCACGGTGAAGTTGAAGGCGGAAGAGTGATGGTCAATGAATGCTTACACGTTACTCAGAACGGTGTTCGTGTCCTTGAGGAGCGGCTGAACATTCATCTTTAGTTTGACTTCTGGATTATTTCTAGCTTAATCTCACCGAAGCATACTGTAAGATCGAGTCTTGTCAGCTACTTGTAGGATGAATCGAACATAATCCAAAATGGACGTACCAGATACATCAATACATTCGACAGATTCGCACAGAAAAGAACTCTGACAATAACACAGAGCTCAGCATGCGCTCGAACACGTCATTGAGGACTGAAGAGGCTCACATAAAGTACAAAGCGCCTGTCCAATACGAAGGATCAGCACCATAATAAACATATCAGGCGATAGTAGCTAGACGACGTACCATCTCGCAAAAGCACCCGCATCAAAGCCTTAGGATAATGCAATCCATTCTCAAACGCTTTAAAAGCCGTCAACGCAAATATAGCAAAGTCGAATACCAAGAGGAGTGCCCACGGCAGGGCCAATCCTGATTGAAGATTGAAGGACGAGGTGTGCTCAGTCTTCCAATCAACTCGAAGGGGAACATTTATCAGGGTGACTCACGACGGCTCCTGAAGGATAAGCTATGAGTAGGTTGAACTTTGAGTCAGGGGAAAGTGGGTAGAGACGTACTGTGCTGCTGGATGTAGAGGATTACAGCCCGGAACGTCAATCCCCAGCAACTCCGGTGGTCCATCAGAAACCCCAGTACAAATCACCCACTGCGCTCATCAAAACAAAGTAAGAGGTCAGCCCAATAGGGTTTCAAAGCGACCATCGAGAAAAAATAAGCGCACGGCAGAAATAGCCACGAGGCCGGTGAGCAGTGTGCAGAGTAGGGCCAATATACTTCGCTTGTGGCCGTAGATGGCAGAGACTCGGTAGATGCACAGGACTTGGGAAATAGGTAGAGTGAGGGGTGGGTAAGTGTTCGAGAATGAACGATCAACAAGAAAAGCTCACCGGCTATGAAGAACTGTACAACTCCCGAATATGGCTGGTGAAATTTGTGTATCACTCGGCAACTAAATTGACCCGCGCATTCAACTATCAGATCGACTTCACGACCGCGAAAACCGTTCAAGTTGGTGTGACTCACAACTATGACGATCATCATCATCCAGCCACAGTCAGATCAGGTCGCGACATAGAAGGGAAGGGATGACGATGATCAGACGGCGGAACACTCACCGTATCATTCACCGGAAACATGAAAACCTCGATAGCCAGGAGGACATGCCCGAAAAGTGTCAAGTACCGAGTGAGGAAGAAGAGTATCGAGGGCCAGGCGGCTTTATTTCGAGGTGCCAGCCAGAAGTGCTGGACCTCGGAGCTGAAGGTGATGATGTAGTCGTAGAAGAGGATCGCTGGGTATGAGGTAGAGTCAAGATCGGAATCAAAGAAGTTGAGGCGCGTCACCCACAGAAGTAGATGGAAGATAGGGTGTAGTTGGTGACCCTGTGGCAGAAGGATGGTCAGATACATAGATAGCAAGCTTGTTCAAGAACGGTACACTATCACTCACAGTTGCGATCTGATACTTGCATCGTCCATGAACGAAGTGGCACCTGTAGCTCCAGGCTCGAAGGCACCGAAAGGTAGAAACGATGGATGCAGTGGTTGGAGCGAACAAAGGATGGGCGCGCTCGGGGCATTTTGAGCGGGAGGTGCGGTCTTTATACGATGGTGTGGGGCCAAGTACGGGTGACAGCTACCATAAGCAGTACGGCAGGCGACGCATCATAGTCACTACCTTGGCGATAACATAAATAAACAAGGATCGCCTCGCTGTCGGCGATGGACCGACGTGATCCAATGCTGAGATCCACTTGACCGGGTACTATATAGGCAGTCCTGCAGTGCCACTTGAGTCCACAGTTCTGAAGAAAGACGTGTGATTGCCAATAGTAACGACTTGACCGTATCCGATACTGCAAGGCACTGAAAGTCCTGGGGCCATTGCTGAAAAACATCAGCAACAAATCGGTGCGCCAACGCGGAGTGGGAAGATTTTCCTATTGGAGGATGTTCTAATGTTGTTTTCTCCCAAAACAAGGAATGCGACCAACAGAGGCGCTGCGGTTTTCATTATGGAACAGTTTGGTAAGTAAGTAAGACGACACTGTTCACGTTCTGTCCATCGGATCAGAGGACGACGTACCTGAACTTCTGCGGGAGTCGCACATATTAACCTGGGTATCATATAGGATCATCCGGGGTAATCCCACGGTGTTATGGAGCGCAGCCATCACTTTTCTCCCCCGTAGCAGAGTAGTTCACTAGTCTACTGTCATGATGCGTACCAATGCAGCGACAAGGATCCTGAGCGTACATTTATAAACAGCTTGGTGAAAGGAAGAGAGGAAACACCGATACTGATGATGATCGACCCACAAAGCGTTATTTAAAATATGGCGCCACAGTCTGAGGAAAGATGTTATGCGGTCTACAGGTGAAGCATAGCGTCAATGAGTAGTGCCAGAGATACATTGGAGTAATACAAGAACACAAAGCTGACCTTGATGAAGACTGTGTGGCCCAAATGGGTAGTCATACCAGCCTTGGACCCAACCGCACGTAATCATACGCTCTGCACCATAACAAACACAAATCAACTCGGCGTCCCGGGAGACCCCTCGGAGAACATGAAACAAGTCGAAATACTCACAGCTTTACGGTGACGCTTTGAAGTCCACGAAGAAGACCACAAAGTTGATCCTACGGCAGCCTTCCGAGACTTTCCGCCCCGGGGATGCCGGCTCAGAACCACTGGACCGAAAGAGGCCTCTCCCGCGTGTGTCCTTAATAACTATCCGGATGTGTCCCCATACGGGATGGTAACGTTGCGACCGTCCCGTAGGCAATAATCGTCCAATTCAATGCCGACTTCGTGCGTGAAAAAGCTGCGAGCGAGGTGAATCCTCTTTATTCTTTTCGTAACGGATATCATGAAGCAAAGCAAAACAAATAAAACAAGAAAGAAAAAAACTGAGATACGCATCATCCAAGCATTCATTCTCTTCTTCATAACCGCTCGTCACATCGCCCACCATAATATCCCCAAGCTGTCGTTCGTTCTCAAGACCCGACGGATCATTCCGAGGCGAAGATCATTGAGGCCCCTTACTGATGCCCAAATCCCTCAACCGTCCGTGCTCGAGCTCATACACCCACCCATGCACCCAAACCTTCTTCCCGTGAGTCCACGCCCCCATCACAGGTGTCGCCTGACACACATTCGCGACCTGAACTTTCACATTCTCCTCCACCAAAATCTTCATCGCCTCTTCCTTCGAAGGCATCGACGCGAGCTTGAGCGACGCAGCGAGCTTAGTGAGCGGTGCAAGCCAGCGCGCGAGAGGGGTCGCTGGTGGCTCGGAAGGCGGGGCAGCGGACGCAGCCATACACGCATGAGCGCCACCGCATGCTGTGTGTCCTACGATAACGACTGTGTGTGGGAGCGCGTAACAACGATGCCAAGGCGCGAATGTATTGCGGTTGTAAATCAGGTTCACGACCCCAAGTGTGAGAGCTAAACCTTAGGAGACGCACCGTGCTCTACCCCAACGTTTTCGACGGCGTAAGACAGGACTGCGAGCGCGCTATCGTCGTCGGCGTGAAATTGGCTGCGATACAGATAATTCAAATATGAGCCACGGGGTTCAACTTCACCGGAATAGACCAGATTAAAATGATGTCAGACATACTTCGCGATATTGCGGTGGACGAAAATATCACCCGGTTTTGACGCCGTGATGACGCTCTCGGGGACGCGAGAGTCAGCGCAGCCAATCCACAGGACCTGTTCGCAAACGTCGAAAAATCATGTCAGAAAATGTGGTCCAAAAATAGCGAAGGAATCGGGAAGGAAAACGCGAGGAAGGGAAAGACGAGAGTGTGTGGAAGTGAGAGATGTGTGCGCTGACGCTGACCTTTGGGGCCTGGCCCTTCGCTGTCTCCGCGAAGAAACTGGGCTCAGCCTGTCCCACCGCCTCCTTCCACTGCTCATTCGACGTGAAAAGCCTTGCTATCGTGGGGTCCATCCTTGTCTGCTGACGACGTTGGTGCTGATGGTACGGGTGAGGAGTCTGATGCTGGGGATGGAATAGACTGGGGATATCGTCCGTATGCCGTGTCCAGTTTCTATTATAATCAGTCGCAGTCGCCTTGGTGGGTGCCGTCGAGCTGTGGTGTCGCGCGCGCTTCTCAGCGTTGCTGGGGTGGTTACGATTTTGAGATTGAGAGAGGGAGTGGTGAAGCGAGGGGGTTGCGTTGGATAAGAAGCGGGCAGCTGGTATAAATAGCGATAGGCCGGGGACAGTATGGTTAGAGCGGTATGCCGAAGGACGGGCTTGAGAAGCTTCTCCTCCTATTGATGATGCGGTAGATGCTGATGGTGGAACCGCGAGAGGCACGGCGGCGGCAGGTGAGGAAGATGAAAGGGCCGTCGCCACAAGCTGTTGCCGCTCTGGTCTGGTCGGAGATGATGGTGGTGGTGGCGAGGACGCGTTGGCGGCGTGGCTGCTGCTGCTGTTTCCTCCCGGGGTTGGGGACGGCGACGGTGGGGAGAAATACGTTGGGTGCACCTGATACGGTCGATATCCGCTGAGAACCCTCCACGGCATCTTGCCAAATTCTCCTTTGACCTAATTGGTGGTTCGGGTTTCGGCCAAGCGCGTTCCACGCGAGTACGACTGCCAATTTTCTTTGGTGGTAAAACAAGTGGGGCAGCGAACCTTGGGGATGTCTGAAAAACTCTTCGAGCTTTGAAGAGCAGAGACGTATGGATCCTGAAGCTGGTATGGGGAAGAAAGGGAGGCGAAAAGACGACAGGCGCCGACTAAGTCGGGAGAGAAGAGAAATATGTCATGGCCGGCACGATATGGCAGAACCCATTACAGAAGCATCCCTGACTCGACATCGCTGCTAGTAGTAGCTTTACACTGAACTTGGAGGGGGCACGAGAACGCTGGGTGGGATGAGCAGATCAACAGTCGTCCCTTCAAAGCGTTCTGCTCGCCAGGTATATAAAGTTCTCTTGAATTTGTAGTGAGTACGGGCGGGCCCGCTTCCCCGTGGGAGACGGAGGAACGGAGGCTTCATTCAACGCGTCCTTTCCATCTCCTCATTGGGCACCTCGATGTCCTCAACGTAGGTTGCTTGACAGCCCCAATAGACTTAGAAAAGGTGGTGTGCGGAGGTCAGAGAGCTTCATCGCAAACTTTTGATCCTCGGTTTTACCTCTATAGAGCGGGTTGTCGTGTTCATTCATCAGACATCATCACGGTCGTAAGACTGCCCACTTTCAGACGCATCAGACGGCATTGTAGATGGAGAGGATAATATGGGTCGACAAGAGATGATAAATCGCTAGGCACGTAGAGAGAGAGAAAGAGAGAATCGGGCAAAGAAGAGGTCGTAATTACAAAGGAGCCTACGTCCGTCTCCGCATCCGCATCATCCATCCCTAAGAACTTCAAAAGAACGCATCCAACCAAAACGCGACGCGGGGTATGCAAGGAAAAACACGGGAGCGGGGTTGGCAGCGTGAAGGTTGTGTAGGAGGCAGGGCAGGTGTGAGGTGTGAGACGTAAAGAAGATGGGGGACGACGCGCGTGGGATTGTATGTATTAGATGTCGGATCGAGGGGAGGCAAGGTGGTGGGACATGAGTAGGGTTCCAGGCAGGCAGAAATGACGAAGGTGGATGTAGAAAGGTGATTAAAGCACGACGCAGTGATGACCCTTCTTCGTGCCCTTGGGCCGGGTCAAGAGCGCTGCACGGGTGGCGTACTGGAACACCTCGCGCACACCCTCACCAGACTTGGCGGAGCACTCGAGATAGTGCTTCGCACCGATCTTCTGAGCGACGGCCATACCCTGAACACATTGAAACGCCACGCGTCAGCGCTAGCGTCAAAGCAGCCGAGGTAGCTGAGAATGGGATTGAATACGAACCTCTTCGGGAGTGACGGGTCTTTGGGAGGTTTTCCTGAGCTCCTCAATCACACGGGGCTCGCGCCTCAGATCCTTCTTGCAGCCGACGAGGATGATGGGCAGACCAGCGCAGAAATGCATGACTTCCGAAATCCACTGGAAACCGAGGACATGAGTCAGCGTGGAGCCCGAGATATGATCAACAATCAAAAGAAACGCGGTGAAGGTACGTGGAACGCCAGGCAGAAGGAAGCCTTTGCATGGACCAGAAGCAGCCAGAAATGATCCGGGTGAAGCGATGGGGGGTGGGCCAATGAGGCTGGATGAACGAGAAACGCACCTTCTCCTGGACGTTGTCGAGCGAATCCGGCGAGTCCACAGCGAAACAGATCAAAATGACGTGCGAGTCTGGGTATGAGAGAGGACGGAGCCTGTCGTAATCTTCCTGACCGGCCGTATCCCATAAGGCGAGTTCGACGTGCTTGCCATCGACCTCAACATCGGCAACGTAGTTCTCGAAAACGGTAGGGACGTAAACCTATTGTGGCAGCAATGAAACCAACGGGCGAGCATAATTTAATAATTGGACCGATTGAAGAGACGAGGAAAGAGGTGTTGAATGAGAGCAGTTGTCGTTAGGTAAAGCTCCGTGTGGGCTCAAATACGAAGACGTACCTCAGGGAACGTGCCCTTGGAGAACACAATCAACAAACAGGTCTACATCACCCAAATAAAACCGTGGCCGAGATTGTCAGCAAGCCAAGTCGGAGGACAAGGAGGAATGCGGGAGCACGGGGGGCGGGTCTTGTTGGGGTTGTTGAGGGTGTGAGGGCTACGTACCTTTCCGCAAGCACCATCACCGACGATAACCAACTTCCTGCGAATCTCAGACATTGGGCAACTGCTGTGGGTAGAAGGAGAGGAAGGTCTGTGGGGCGTTGAGCGAGACGACGACGGGAGACGAGTGCGAAGGGGGCGACGACGTTGGTGGTGACGGGGACGCAACCGGCGCTTGAGGACGTGATACCGGGCGGGCTTCCAAGCGGGCTTTTAATCCTCCACCGCCTCATTCGGCCCCTGCCGTCTCCCTTTTCCTCCCCGCGTGTTCCGCACTGCGCACAGCACGAATTCCAACAGGTGCACAGTCCCTTTGCAGAGCCTCACAATTCCTATCCTCTTTGCTGCAAGACATAGCTTTCACCATGTTTGTCTCCATCGACATAAGCACTGCTTGACCTCGAAACTCCCTCCGTCGATTCCCGTTGATATCGCCTGATTCGAGATTACTATTTCCGTTTATCATCCGCCCTCTTATTCTTCATGGCTATTTTGAGGTCCTGACACAGTGGACACGCCGTGCACTCTGTCTTACTTATGGCCCCAAAAGACCAGCGCTTTCTGCGCGTGTCTTTGTGTATGACATCCCTCGGAGCTTGCTTTTGGCCTGCCGTTCGTTCGTGACTTAGCCACATTCACGGTTCGCCGTCCTTGTTCGACAGCCTGAGCCTGTCTCCTCCGCTATCCCCATCCACATGCGCATGATCCATGCCAAGGACACAAGGGCCACGACCGCCGAGAATCGGGAATGACTGGCTCCGTCCAGCTTCCTCCCTGAGGCCCGAGTTTCATCTGTCGACGAAATACGTGGACCTTGTCCGCAGACTACGTTACCAGTTCATGACTTACATGCATACGTTTGTGCCACACAAGTATTTGCACTACATAAGACCGTTACGAGCGCTATGAGAATTCCTAGGCATAACCTACACCCTGACGGTCATACTTATCAACTCAAGATCCGGTGAAGACCTCTCTCATCTCCCTCTGGCCGACGTCTCAAATCCTACGAAGCGATGATATATATAGAGAGAGGAGAAGTTCTTCGAAATTCTTCGTCGACGTGGTCAGAGTAAATAAAAATGCTTGGCCCGCAACTTCGCAACTTATCGCGGGGATGCGTCGCCGTTCCTCCGTACAACAAACACGAGGTAGAACGATTCACAGAGCCAAACTGCCGGAAATGACTTCTGCAGTAGTCACCGTCGCCACACCGCCGCTCAGGAGGTAGCGCGAACTATACAAAAAGTTTGGCCTACTACACTGACATCTGGATACAACTGATACACTACTAATAATAGAACCAAGAAACAAACCGACAAAGAGACAGAGAGGGAGAAATAGGAGAGACCCAGTGATACAAAGCTGTTTTCGTGAGGTTATACAATAATGTGTGTGATATGCAGATGAGATGCAATAATAAGTGTGGCAATACGTGTACTTATGTATATGTGTATGGAATGTATGTATTTTGTATGTATGTACGCCGATAGACCCAACGTCTAAGTACAGTTACCCCAAAGTCCCGTAAATAGGCCCTGTAAACGTTCGCGGACGAGACGAAGACGGGGGAGAAACCATAAAGCCCTAAGAACACGGTCAACGCAGTCGAAGAAACGAGGAGGAAGACCAAAGATACAAGCGACCATCAACCCTGAAGGAAGGGAGAACAGAGACCAAGAGACGAATTCGCCGAGAATACACCACCCCCATGCATGTCGCAAGCCGAGAGACGGAGAGATAGGTGTCCATGATCACAAACGACAAATGAGATAGGCAGCAAACTGGTTGGACGTGCGATACGAAGGTGTGGATGATACGGTAGCCTCACATCGCCCGGCTGGGACTCGTAACGGCCTGGTGACTCTGCGACCTCGCCATCTCCGGTCTTACTCCCAAACTCGGCTTCCTCGCCACCATGTCCGTCCTTCCGTCGCGCACGGGTGCAGCGCTCCTCACTCTGGCCATTGGCAACTTCAACTTCATCGCGACCGGCGGCTGTGAAGGGTGCGGACCCGGGGACAGCTGCAAAGGCTGGTGCATCGTCATCGGTTGGTGCGCTATTGGGTGCGCAGTGTGGAGCTGTTGTAGGCCCGGACGGTGGGTAGGGCTAGAAGGAGAAGAGGGAGAAGTGGCGGAAGAGGAGGGTTGGCGAGACGGTGCGGGTCGCCATCGATCTTCCCATTCTTTGAGACATCGGACGAAGCCTGCGTTGGGCTTAATGCACGGTCGACGTTGCTTGACGAAGGCCGAGGCGGACTCGTAAGACATGTTATGTTTCCGGATGAGAAAGGCGATAACGATCGCGGCGGAGCGGGAAACACCCTGTGTGCGATCGTACGTGCGTTTACGCGGAGGACGAAAGCGTCGGATGACGGCGAGAGCGGTGCAGCGTGGCGCATGGAAGTGTGGCGAATGGAGCGGGAGTGATGTTTATGTGTAGTGGAGTGGGCAAAACGGATGGAACGCGACGGTTGAGGAAGTTCAGATCATGGAACGGATGGTTCGGGAGAGATGAGTGGGTGAGCGGAGAGTGAAGGTGGAGACAGCCTACCTGCTGACAATGAACGAGCACGTTCTTGCCCCTACGCAAAGCCTTGTCGATGTCCTCGACGACATCCTCGAGGTGAGGGCGGAGGTTCTCGCTCTCCAGGTCGAGAATGTCCATGCGGTAAGTTTCGTATCCCTCCTTTTCCAACGGAGGGAGCCATGGTACGTCAAGCACCTGCACAAGGTGGCGAATGTTGGCTTCCCGTAGATGCGACGAGTCGAGAACGGCAGAGACAGAACCGAGCCATAGTGCTCCGTAGCCTGGTGGTTGAATATATGATTGTGATTGAGATGAAGAAAGTGCAGGTCTCGAAGAGCTGCGTGTTGTTGGAGACGACGGCGAGGACGATCCAGCGGGGAGAATGAGGTGCATTGGGGTGCACATGGCCTGTGCGATATCTGGCGAGACGTTGGAGAAGCTGATCATGGTGGGCGAGATGTAGGAGTGGAGGAGTCGGCTGTGAGCAGACGGTGTTTATAGGGATGCGGTCGGTGGTCTAGGCGGTGGCAAAGAAAGAAACGAGGAGCAGGAGGTTGAGCAGCCGACCGCTCCCTCATTCGTCCAACTCCCAAGATCGACGCCCGATCGCACATTCTCCGAACCCTAACCCACCATCCACCGCTCCCGCAACGGTCAACTGTTCGCAGCCATCGATCCTCCTTCCGCCACCACCTGGACACTCCTCAGCGCCGCAAGCCCGCTAAGTACTCCAGTAAGGCCACCCCTTCCTCCCTACGGACTCTCCATGGATCAATTCGTCCTGTTCACGAGCTCACTCTTTCCTCGAGCCCTGGTCATGTGGACTTCATCTTGCGATCTCTCGAGTCTCATGGGAGGGAACCCCCAATTTTCAGCGTCTGCAACAAACTCGGACCTGGGCCTTAGGGGCAAAGGAACCAACGCGACATTGATAAGAAACATATTCTTATTCTCATCCCACTCTCAAGAAGCCGCAGAAGAGACGATATATATATACGACGGGAGCACTACATCCCATCTTTGGTCCTGACAAACGCACTAACCCAAACCATCTTCCCTCATGTGAGATCCATCTTGACACACAGGACGTTTTTGAGGGGATGCCGGTCTTTCGGAGCGTAGATAGAAGGGGCGTGTGCGTACTCGTGTATAGAAACGAACAGGGGGTAGCAGCATGTTGAGGAGTTCGCAGTCTTGAACATTGCAGTCAATAGCGTTCGTGCTAGAGCAAGTGACGAGTGACGGAGTTGAGAAATGGGTAATGGGATTGAAGTCGTCAGCAATGTATTAACAGGGGCGTAGACAGATCCTCAGCAGTCAATAGAAATTGTATGAGTAGTGGAGATGAAAAAAAGGCTGAAGAGGACAAGCAAATATTCCCTTGGAGATGAGTAACATACCAGGCCTCGTTCCTGTTCACCAACATGAACGTGAGCTGGCATGTGGCACATGAGGATGCGCAGAATCTTGTTATCCTCCCGCAGACGGTTAGCGACAAGAATGAAACCATGATTGAGAAAGTAGACGCCGAGCTCGACACCACTATATGAAAGATTGCGCCGAATGGCGACTACGTTCAGATAAGACGGCGGAACAGAAGAGGTAGGCTTCAGCCGAAAGTTCCAGGGTAGAGAAAGGCTGAGTATGATAGCGGGCGTAGTGGGAAGTAGCCTCAGCATTACCTGAGCTGTTTACCTAGCGCTCGAGGCGAGTTTGCATAGTGAAATCCCCGCGGGCCGTTATAATAAAGCGAAAAGGAAGAAACCGTCGACGGCGACCTGAGCAGAATATTGTCAGAAAGAAAAAGAGAAAGAAGGATTGGACCGGAAGAAGTCGGAGTGGCACAACCCGCCACTCAGCCCGCCACACCTGACGTCCAGGTCTCAACACACAGGGGTAAAAAGGATGCAAAAACGATTAACACATTTTTCTAGTCAATGACAAACATCTAGCCATACACGAGTCACCCAACCATTCCATTCCCAAGATCCATGAAAGAAAAAAAAAACCACACAAAGTTCGGACAATAGCGTCCCATCTCCATTCAAGTTGAGCAACGCCATGGACTCACTCAACAAGAACAGAAACGGTCAGCAAGAGAAGAGAAGAAAGTAGAAGATTATATGAGTCCCGTTCGGAGGGTATTCGATGAGAGGGCGTTATACATATTCGGGTGGGACTGGGCGTGAGGATCAGATAGCGGGTGGAGTGGAGTATCGTGAATTCTAGGGTTTCAAGAGAATAAAGAAGGCCCTCGGTGGGGCTCGTCGAAAGAATTCCGTTTAGAGCCTCTCGCCCCGGCCAATGGTGGTAACCTATAGCAACAAAACGGGTACTACATCAGACATCGGCCGGTCAGTCAGTAGGACGAGGATCGTGACAGACCTTGAAGCCAATCTGCCTCAGCTTTTCGGCGTCGAGGATCATCCTGCCGTCGAAGACGAATGCGGGCTTGTTCATCGTGCTGTAAACGTCTTGCCAGTCGATAGTCGTGAACTCTTTCCACTCGGTGGCGACGACGACAGCCTCGCTGTTCTGAGCAGCCTTGAGCGCAGAGGGAGCGATCTCAACAACGGCCTTGACTGCAACACAAGCAGGTCAGTTTGGGTGATGTTTTTGCGAAAGGGCCCATGGTGAGAACATACTCTTCTCGAGAGCAACATCAGGCATAGCCTCAGAGAGGTCAAGCCAGATCTGAGCCTCGTCCACTTGAGGATCGTAGATGACCACCCGCGCCTTCTCCGACAGGAAATCGCGAATGAGAGTGATGGCAGGCGACTCGCGAGTGTCACCAGTGTCGGCCTTGAACGCGAAGCCCAAGACAGCAATTTTCTATAGTCAGGGATACAAACATCAGTTTCACACAAATATGTACCGAAAAAGAAAGAGAACACTAACCTTGCCAGTGATAGTGTTGAACAACGTATCGACAACAGTCTTGCTGAACCGCCTCTTCTGGTACTCGTTCATGATCACGACCTGCCTCCAGTAAGCCGCCACCTCGGGAAGATGCAGACTCTCGCTGAGGTAGACCAAGTTCAAGATATCTTTCTGGAAGCAAGATCCACCGAAACCGACAGAGGCGCGGAGGAACTTAGGTCCAACACGGCTGTCACGGCCGACGGCGTGAGCGACCTCGTCGATGTTCGCGCCAGTAGCCTCGCAGATGGCTGAAAGCGCGTTGATGGACGATATACGCTGGGCGAGCATGGCGTTGGCAGCGAGCTTAGAAAGCTCGGATGACCAGAGACCGACAGTCAAGATGCGCTCCTTGCTGTGGCACAATAAGCAGCGTTAGGCCATGGTGAGAACAGTGACCTCCAAGGGAAGACTCACGGAACCCAGTTTGCGTAGACCTCTGCCAGGCTGGCGCAAGCATCCTTTCCGTCTTGCGACTGCAGGCTACCAATCAAAACCCTGTCTGGGGCAAAAAGATCGTCGATAGCCGTTCCCTCAGCCAAGAACTCTGGGTTCGACAAGATTTGGAACCTAAATAGAAGGAAAGTAAGAACTCGGGGATCTCCGCTGTGTCTAGGTGAAATGGACGAACTTGACTTCGGGTTCTTTAGAGTTCGCTTCCAAGATAGTGCGCATCGATTCGGCAGTCCTGCAGGGAACAGTGGACTTCTCAACGACGATCTTGGAGGTTTTGGCGACAGCGGCAATCCGGCGGGTAGCAAGTTCGACATAGCTGAAGGAAGAGCCAAGAACGATATTAGCAACGGAGACTTTCAACTAAAAGAATTGAAGACAGTGAGAGGCGATATAGGCCAGGATGCCCTCTATCACAGGTGACACGCCGCCGCCACTGTATGTAAATACGGTGTGCTAGCAAACCCTCGGCAAGGAAGCCACCGCGTGCAACTTCGCGCTATGACATCAAAGCAAATATGTACGCATGCAGACAAAAACCACCGAGTGATCGCAGTCGTCGTGAATACGAAGGACGCTCATAACCCATGGTATAACATCGAGCTGCAGAGCGTGTTCAAAGCGAAGGAAAACGATGCAGTACAGCCGTTCCCAAAATAACTTGGACGACTAAAAAGGCAAGTTGTGGCGGAAACCGAAGCGCGGGTTCCGAGACGCGTCGCGCGAAGACCCTCTTCATTTGTCCGGCACAATAGGCGACAACACCGACAGACGCGACGAAACGATCAAACGATGCATTAGACCCGTACAGAGCCAGCTGCGACCTTTGGACAACATGTGGTGCGATGATCCATCGGTCGGGCTTTGAGACCCATGAGCCTAGTCGAGGCGAGAGCCACTAGCCGACGCGTCGAGGACATCACGGTAATACGTCCCCGAATCTCTCGTCCGCACCGTACGTCACAAGCAACCAACGGAGCACTCCATGGACAGAAGCAAGGCAGCCAAGACTCACTTGAGATCCGCGGCAAAGCCAGCACCGACACCGCTCTTCTTGGTGGGCGTGTTGACACTGACGAAGATAAGGTCGGCCTCGAGGATGCTCTTGTCGACATCCGTGGAGAAGAAGAGGTTGCGACCGCGCGCCTGACGGACGACGTCGACGAGACCGGGCTCATAGATCGGCAGAGCGAAATCCGAGCTGTTCCAAGCATCGATCCGAGCCTGGTTCAAGTCGACGATGGTGACCTGAATGTGGGGACACTTGAGGGCGATGACCGCGCAAGTCGGACCGCCTAAATGAAGGCAAGGAATCGAGTATGATTAAGGCGGCGTTTTGGTAAGAGAACCGAAGAATACGAACCGACATAACCAGCACCAACTACGGCGTGCAGGTGCGGGGTACGACAATGTTAGTCAGATATCTAATCATAGGGTAATGTGGCGAGGGGACTGACTGCAGCAGATTTTCTTAACGGTGACGGGGGCCATTGCGGGTAAAGAGAGGAGGGCAGATGGGCGAGTTATGGGGGCGGGACAGGGTATTTAACGGGAGAGGGAGCAGGGCCGGAGAAGATTGATTTGAAGGGGACGCTGGCCGGTCGATCTCGTCTGTGGCTGCTTCCGAATACAGTCATATCGCACTCGGCTTGGCGTTTTCAACCCGCCCTCACTCCCCCGTCCTCCTATTCACCGCTGTCTCCATTATGCATGTAATGAGAATGGTCTGACTGGTTTCCATCTCGCTATATCTCCTGATTTTTCTCTGATTTTTTCTCCAATGCGTTGGGCACATATCTCATCATCATCGGATAATGAGGCGTGCAATTCATGATCAGCTTTATGTGGCCCAGGCATGGACGATGTGAGTCTAAGGCAATATCCCCCACATGAAGTCATCCTAATACACGCATTCCCTGCTTTCAGAACGATCTGTCCACGGTTGCTCATTTAGTGTCCATTCCGTTTGTGTGGCGCAACTTCGCCACGCAATACTTTAGACTTGCCACTGATCCTGTAGATGAAGCCACATTATATGTGGAATTACCACAAGCTTTGCTGCTTTATCTTGACCTCCTCCCGCGATCACTAATAAGCCCATGGCTTGCACTATAACCCGTCAAAGAGGCATGCTCATATGGCAGCCCTTCTTGTCAAGAGTTCGCCTCGAACTGTCCTTCCTGTGGCTTGTCAGAGCTAAACACTAGCGCCGGAACTTCCAGGATGGATGACTTTAGGACTATGACGTTCATCAGGCCTACGCTGCATATCCTTGTTCTGATCAGACCCGAACAGTCGATTTGGCCCTCCACCTGCCTAATAGCTCTTGGTCTCAAGAGGTGTGTAGCAGTCCGTGGTATTCCGCCACAGCAACCTTCATGATTCAGACAGCAAGCGAAGGTCAAGCGCACACATACGATATGCTATTTTTGTCAATCCTGGGTCTAAAGATCAGATTCCGAGATATTTACGACCTGCAGAATATGACAGCGCCGATGGGCCAGGCGGGAATATTAGGCGCTTCCAAAGACTACGTACTAACCTCTCAGTCTGCAGCGGAATCGCCTGCTCTGCCAGAGTGGATGCGATGGATGAGGCTCACCGCGAACAGATTATGAGCTGAAAGTATCTGACGAAACGAGTAGATGTCGTTTGCGGGCATTTCATCGTCAGCTCACGGGCCACTTCAAGTTTTGCTAAAATACGGCGCTAGGCGTTGAGGAGGTTTGAACTAGTCCTTCTTACTAGGTCTTTTCGGTGTCGGTCAACAATATGATAGAACATGTTTGCGTTTTCGTACACCCTGCACCGATGTTGTCGCCACATCTACGCCACATCTCAATCATTCCGTCGGGCCGTCGGGATTCAGAGAGCATGAAAGGAAGGAAGGAAAAATGAGAACAAAAGTTAGGAAAAGAAATATCCGGGAACGAAACGATGAACACAGAAGTCAGAAGGGGATGTTTCCGATGACATATGCCCTAGGAAAAATTAGGACAACTGAAAAGCTCCGGATCGTGAAGAGGATGGATGCCGGTCCTTTTCTGGTCCTTTCCTCTTCCGAGTCCCCGTGCCGATCCGACGTGTACGTTGCTCACTCAATTCTCATTACGCTCTGCGCTTTGATGTACTTAATGGCCCGGCTTATGTATCCCACTCTTTCGTGTGACCACCACTTGCTTCAGCCGACGACAACTTGGCCGACGACGACGACGACGAGGACAAGGACTGATACCCGACCATGCCTTCCTCACCCATAGGCTACAGCTCGGGGCTGCCCACCCCATCTATGTTCAAGAAGAAACGCTCCCCGTCGTCTCAGTCCTCTGGCATGAGTTCTGCGGCTTCCTATCTGGCGGCCGTAGCTCAAGCTGATGCGCGTGCCAGAGTTCTGAAGGGTTCACCACCGACATCAACACCCGCTCTCTCGTTCTCATCGTCGGCGACAGGCTCTACGGAAGACTCCGTCCTCAGGGAGTTCGACTCTGGTGCGGATGGTCCATTATGCTTCCCTCGCGTCCCACCGAATTCCGAGCAGGTCTTCTCCACCGTGCACTCCGAATTTGGTCATTGCGCGAACGAGGAGTATAGGCATACGTCTGCCCATCCGCCTGGCAAGGATGTTGGGGATCACGTCGAGAACGAGCCTCCGTACTACATCGTCATTACCACGTACTTCAGCTATTTGATCCTCATCTGCTTGGGACACATGCGCGACTTCTTCGGCAAACGGTTGTATACCTCCCACTACAAACACTTGCTTCCTCACGATGTGAGCAACGTTTCTCTCTCATCATATTTCCTTCAGAACAATATTCCGTTCAATGTGGCCATTCATATTTTATATCGGTCCGTCTTACTCACCTGTCTTACGTAGGGATATGCACCGTTGAACTCTGATTTCGACTCATTCTACACCCGCCGACTCAAAACCCGTATGGACGACTGTTTCTCTGCGCCTACCACAGGTGTTCCCGGACGCACAGTCATGCTTCTGGACCGCGTATCGGACGATTACAACCGCACCTTCAAGCTCACGGGCACTCGTACACGCGGTCTCAACATCTCGTCCTACAATTATCTCGGTTTCGCTCAAGCACGCGGCGGATGCGCGGACGCTGTCGAGGACGGAATCAAACGCTACGGTGTTGTAGTTGGAGGGGCTCGGAGGGAAGGCGGTACTTCGGAACTGCACATTCAGGCTGAAGCCCTTGTCGCCCGTTTCGTTGGACAAGAGGATGCGCTCATTAGCTCTATGGGTTTCGCGACCAACTCGACAATCATCCCCGCTTTGGTTTCGAAAGGATGCCTCGTCATCTCGGACGAGCTGAACCACGCCTCTATCCGTGTCGGGGTCCGCATGAGCGGCGCGAACGTTCGTACATACAAGCACAATGACATGAAGCACCTGGAGAACATTCTTCGCGAGGCTATTAGCCAAGGCCAAACCAAGACGCATCGTCCATGGAAGAAGATTCTGATCATTGTGGAGGGCTTGTTCAGCATGGAAGGTACCGTGGTCAATCTCCCGGCTCTCCTGGAACTCAAGAAACGTTACAAGGTAATCCCACTTGACCGTGTTGTAGGCTATTTACTGACATGAATCGTAGTTTTACTTGTTCGTGGACGAAGCTCACTCCATTGGCGCACTTGGTCCGCATGGCCGTGGTGTTGCCGACTACTTCAATATTCCTCCAAAGTCAATCGATATCCACATGGGAACCTTCACGAAATCATTCGGTGCTGCAGGCGGTTACATCGCGGGCAACAAGTCCTTAATTGATCGCCTGCGTCTTCGCGGTCACGGCGGAACGTACGCTGAATCTATGTCACCTCCTGTCATCATCCAGATCATCGCTAGTATGGCGAGTATCATGGGTGTCGCAGCCGCTCCAATCACCTCGAAGCACAGTGCTAGTTCCTCCAGCTCTTCCACCTCCACAGTCCATCTGACACTCGAACAGCACCCCGGCCTCGCGCCCGCCGCAGCCCTACCCGCGTGGATGAACCTCCCGGCCGCTCTCCGCGATGGCTCCGAGGGCCTCAGCCGCCTCCGTCGTCTCAACTTCAACTCACGCTACCTCGCTCGTGGATTGAACAAGCTGGGCATGATCACCTACGGGATCTGCGATTCTCCTGTCGTCCCCCTCCTCCTATTCAACCCCGGAAAAATGGCAGCCTTCCATCGATTCATGCACACGCGCAAGATACCTATCGTCATCGTCGTTGTCACCTATCCCGCGACACCGCTCATGACGTGCAGGGTTCGGTTCTGCGTTTCCGCGTCGCACACGAAGGACGATATCGACGTCGTGCTGGAGGCGTGTGACCAGGCTGGCGATATATTCGACCTGAAGCATTATCCGGGCGAGAGGTGGTCGATGCAAAAGATCAAGGATAATGCTGTCGAGCTGGTCAATATGGAGGAGATTTTAGTATGAGGAGATGTGCCGCGAATGACTATTAGAGAGCAATAAGGATGTTGTCGGTGTGTGCGATAGTTTAATGGATCTACATACCACCATCTAAAGCACCTTACTACTGAACTCATCTTCTTGCGTTGTATATTTTTATCTTATCCTTAACACGACCCGTAGACGATCTGCTTCAGGCGTCTGCCTCTTCCATATACCTATTAATTTACCACCCACTGCAATTGCTACTTGCACTTTTGGCGTTTCGCGGTGTGGCACCACCGGTGTTATGCAATCTTTATGGGCGCTGTGAGCGATATTAATCATCCCCGAGCGCAACGTCGAATACCTGGGACCAGGCAAGGCAACTCATCAAATATTGACGCTGTTTCAGTGCGTTAGTGCACAGTACACTCGTTGCTCTGAGTATGACAATTCCCCTGATCGATCTGGTTTAGACTGCCAGGCGTCATTCTGGTTGTATAAAAGGCGCAGCGGGGTATGACCGCTCATGACCACCCACCCTCCTTGACAACCACCCAGTCAGATATCATGGCCTTGCCACCTGCGCACCAAGGTAAAAGTCAAGCTCATTCCCGCTCTTGATCGAGCCCAGGGTTCTGATTCCACCCGTTTTGTACCGCTTCACAAAAGGGTTTTTCTTCTGCAAAACACTCCACCAAGACACCTACCCCTTCATTGACCCTAAGCATGCAGAGGCCTCCCACAAATCACACTCCGTCTTCGTCACTGGCGCTTCCAAAGGTATCGGACGCAGCATTTCCCTGGCCTTTGCACGCTCCGGTGTCCCCAAGATTGCGATAGGGGCTCGATCATCCCTTGACAGCCTCGAGTCTGAGATCATCCAAGCTGCTTTCGAGGCAGGCCACCCGGCGCCACTGGTTTTGAAGCTGCAAATCGACATTATGCACAAGGAAAGTGTCAAGCGGGCAGCGCAAGATGTCGAAAAAGCGTTCGGAGATGATGGTCTGGATATATTAGTGAATAATGCGGGGTGGCTTGAGACCTTCACGCCGATGAAGGATATTGATGTGGATGACTGGTGGCATACGTGGGAGGTCAATGTCAGGTAGGGTTTTCCACGAAGAGTGCGCTAAATGATTAAACCTGAATGAACTCGCCGCAGAGGACTATTCCTCGTGACCCACGCTTTCCTTCCGATAGTGTTGAAAAGCAGAGATAAAACGGTGATCACTGTCAGTTCGGTGGGAGCGCATGGATTTGAACCGGGGGTGAGAGCACATCAGGCTCATTATTATCCACGCTAACACAGTAGACTGATATTTACTCCCTTTGTGCGACCTTTTATTCAGGCCTCTGCTTATCAAACGACGAAGCTCGCGACTCTTCGTCTCACTGAGTTCATGAATGTAAGCTTATACAATTAGTATGGCTTAATAAAATCAGTACTCAGCTCGAATTGGGTGCAGGTGGACCACGGGGACGAAGGGCTGCTGGCCTACGCCGTTCATCCTGGAATGATAGGGACGGAGATGGGTAAGCGTATGCCTGAGCACCTACACTGGTTATTGAATGATTCGACGGAGCTCCCGGGAGATACGATCGCATTTTTGACGCGGGAGAGGAGGGAGTGGCTAAGGAGTCGATATATCAGTGGTGCGTCTTTTGGATTCGACTGTGTCTGCGCACTCAGATTGGCTCATACGATGCCTTCCGTGCCACAGCAACCTGGGATATGGAGGAGCTTTTGGGAAGAGAGGCAGAGATTGTGGAAGAAGACAAGTTGAAGGTCAGGATGATAATTTAGAATAAATTATGCACCCACATAGTAAAAGCTCGAGTACGGACAATCTCTACAATCGTCGCACCAAGAACCGAATTCTGATAGACGATAGTGCTCTTGAAGATCCGAGGAATGGAAGTGGGTATTGCAAGCTTTCGGTGTGAGGAACAGGATAGGTGACGAGCTATCGAGGACGGGTGAGTGTCAGACGATACTTGTGGCACACCGATTGGGCCCCACTACCTGACCCCAGGCCACCTTTCTCTTCGAATCCGGCCTTCCCTTGGTCATTTTGCTGCTACTGTAGTAGTAAACTCCAGGCACCAATTCCCCATGAGCTCGACCGTTGGAAGCACTTTCTCGGCGGCGATCACCGCATCGATAATAAGGAACTCAAGCCCAACAGGACATAAAGCTATCACAGAAGGAGACAACTAACGCATCATCAGTAGCACGAAGGCAGACGAATAGAGATAAAGTCGATCTTGCCATCATGTGTGGTTATTTGATCGTCGAACGAGACTATGACGAGCGCCCGAAAGCTGTATGTGTGGCGGTAGTTCGAGTCTCCAGCAAGCCTTGTTCGCACAAGTCCCTAGGACGACGTCAGACCTGACTGGGATACCAGGTATGCCATATGGTGAGCTCTAGAGCACGTAGGAGAAGAGCGTTACGAAACAAAGAGGACACATACAAACGATCGCTCCCTTGAGGGTTGAGAGTCGGAGCCGGTGATCCATACAGCTAGAGCTAATTCTGCTTTCCTCACAATAAGGGTAGGTACCGGCCCTTAGATTCGTGCGGATCCAGGAGTAACTTGCGCAGACCGTATGCAATCTTTACATGGTTTCCTCGATCGCTACGCTAACGCCACGAATCATGACAGTATCGAAGCTTTGCAGCTCCTACGTAGTGAGAGAAAGAAGAACGACGCTTATCTTGACCAAACACCATCAGTGCAAGGTCCGAGTCTCGGCGACCAATGCACATTATCCAGTCGACCTCATTCAGGCCGTTGGCAGCAGGTGGCGAGGTTCTGCTGGAGAATGCAACAACTCGACTCATTTCGGTCTCCCACTGAGAAGAGGCACCGATGTGACGCTCATTGATCCGACCGATACCACAAGGACACCGAGGCAAGGAGAGCCCACACGAGTCAGGAAGAAGTCTCAGGAAGACAACGAAGTTTGATATGTACTACGAGTGCTTCAGCACTGTAGACCCAATAATGCGTCATCTGCGAAAACTGCTCAGTGCTGAGCGCTCAGTTGACAGATAAGACTGTAACAGGTCATAGGTAGACACAGGCACCGTTTCAGGTGTAATGTCGTACCCGGATCGCTGACCCAGCAGCATGCAGTGCGAAACGAAGAAATGACCATGGGTACGGTCTTCGATGGATGAGCTGAAGGCGAGGGATGGCTAGATCATGACAGAAGATGTGCAAAGAACAGACAGGTGTGATGCCCATACAGATAGCTCGCTGTGAGACGAGAGCTTGTGCGGCATATCGAACCGCCGATGTCGTTCATGGCGACGATTACTGAATAGTATACGGCATACGGGATAAAATTATAGTCTCGAGATAAGACAATTCTAATCAACGAGGTTCTGCCAAAGCCGGGAAACAGCCTAGTATGCCGTGCTATCAGCCAAAGCACTTACTTTAACATTACGAGCGCGCAAAAGAGCATCGGATAAGTCCTACGTGAGTCCAGAGACGGCGAACTGTGTGAGCAGAAATATCCATGGAAGGGTTTCGTGTGTGTTGGTGACATATACAGGCTATATTCGCTATCATTCGCGGTCATGATGGCAGGGAATGCTTCGACCCCGAGGCACCTGGCTCCGCTGTGCGAGCCTGTCGTGGATGAAGTTCAAGGTTTGAGCATAGCAAATGAGGGGAACCACGTAAAACAGCTGTTCAACAACATCCGATCGAAGGTCATCGTAAGTTGGTAACGTGTGTCTGGTGAAGCTCTATGACGTCCGAAGAAGACCAGAGGCGTATCTGGGTGCATATGGATTGAAGAAGAGAGCGAGGATTGCACCTAGTGAACCTAGGATCTCTGCAATGATGGCTGCGTGAAGTTGGGCTGAAGAGCGCAGGAAGAGCGGAAGGCGAAGACGTGATTTGCTTCCGGAAGTCCATATGAGGAAGGCGGACCGAAGCGGCCAACCGAACCTTCCGTGTTTGGGCTCCAAAGCGTCGATAGCTGCGATACGCAACCCGAGTCAAAGGATTTGAGCGTCATCTTGGTTCTTGTCGTCTGTTTCTTTCGTTCCCTTCCACGTCAGTCTGGCGTATGTATAAAAGCACAGACGAAATGGCGTTCTACGAGGCCATCCGCCACCCCCGTCACTCAGGCTGTCTCGAGCTCTGTGATACTAATCCTTGGCTATAAATTTCCAACGCCCGCTACCCGGTGCCCTCCGTTTGACTCGACTTTTTTCTTCCTCGCCTCGGCATATAAACAGTTTCTGTTGGCCGGGCCTGCGCAAGACAATACAACTTCGTCCCATCTTGGTCGCTGTCCTCCCGATCTCTTTCCCAACCACCGTAGTACTACCCTCGCGCCCACAGGTAGTTGACATAGTTCATGTGCCGACGAATAGCGTATGTTCCCTCCTTCACATTTCACGTTCCATCGCCAGTTCTCATATTCTTCTTTAAAGTGAAGGAACAAAGTGGTCACGATGCGGGGTAGGCTTTACTGACCCTGACGCTCCTCCGCCACCTCTCTGATATACCCTCTTCTGTATGCAGCATTTCCAGCGCCACCTCGTCGTGGCTATCATGGACTGCAACTCAAGTCACTGCGAATGGAGTATCATCCATCCGAAAGGTTGTCGTGAACCCGGTTGCAAAAAAGTGATTACCTAATCTTTGTGGGCTTGTTGATATGTTGATGGACTGACATTCCTCATTGTATTGCTCTGTGGCGTTTCGTCTCTGACGCTTTCCCAGGTATATGGAGCCGACGTGCAAAAGGTTGTCGACACCGTAAACGATGAATGTTACCAATGTCGCGCCATCGCTGCCCGTTCGCCACCCCGCTAAAGACCTCGTCATGAGGTCTTCCCAAACGAACTATTCACCTCACCGGCACCTCTCAAACACTGCATCGCCATCCCATCCATCAACAATCTTCGTCGTCAACGAACTTCCTTCATCTCAACAAGTCTTCATGTAGCCTTTATATCTGCCTCTGCTCTGCACGGACCAGCCTCTCTCTCTCCGGATGTCGTGGATGGATTTGGTCCTTTTCGTTGTCGCTTTCGTTATTGACATATACCCCGTATCCGATATTTTTCGTTCGTTTCGTACTTGCACATGCACATCCATTAGACCGCTATGCTTTCTACCTAGATTAACCGTGTCGGCCATGACGTTCTCAACATCAACATCGCTATGCTCCTCTGTAATGTCACTGTAATGGAATCGGAACTGAAGTATCGTCTTTGCTGTCATGTGTACTGGTGTGGAGTTCAAAACTTGAGTGCCACAACGACTAGTCAGTCCGAAGACCTCTGGACTTTGGAGTCACACAAACGATAAGACGTCGAAGCGTTGGTGACGCAGTTAGGCAGTAGCGATTGCTACATCGAGCGATAAGCACCTGGCCTGGCGTATGATTTTGGCAGCCACAGGCCCAGGAGATACAATAAGGTATCACAACACGGGAGAAAAAGTACGGTCCTAGGACTCTAACGAATTAAGGATAAAATATAAAACAAACGAAGAATAATGGTAGTAATGTACTTAAGAGGTGAAAGTAGCCTGTATGTACGTCTGGTGCAAGCGTCACACAACAGCGAGATCAACCCGTAATCAAAAGTCATCATCTTCAAATCGTCCAGCAGCCGCTCTAGCCTCACTCGATCTCCACCATGTTGACCAACTCTGCGGCATTGTCCTTGATCTTCTGTAACGACCATCGCTCGCCTGAAAGATGCTTCAAGTCCATCTTATCGCCGAGCTCGTCGCAAGCCTCCAGTACGACGTCAATGTCCTCCTTCGTATGTGCCGCGGAGACGCAGAAGCGGACTCTGCACGTCACGAGCGGCGTGGCAGGGTAGGCGACGACCACGACGACGATCGGGATCTTGCGTGAGCGCATGGCACGATGGAAGACGCACATCTTTCCGGTGTTGAACAGTAGGAGAGGGACGATGGGCGAATCGTTGACACCGTAGGTGATGAAGCCTAGCTTGGTCAATCCGCGGGAAAGATAGCGTGAGTTGAAAGCGAGACGACGAAGGCGGCTGCGGCCCTCGGAGCCATCGCGAAGAGCGGGTGGGAGATCCATCCAGGCCGGAAGAGCTGAAGCAGGGGCGGGGCCCGGGTGCTGCTCGAGCGCTTGTTGGACAGTAGAGATCGAGGAGCCAGAAAGGTTGGTGCTATGCTTCGACACAACAGCGGCGGAAACGCCCATAATGCTGGCCATACTAGCCATTATTTGGATGAGCACAGGGGGGGATATGGACTCGGCATACGTTCCGCCGTGACCGCGAAGACGCAGACGATCAATCAATTGCTTGCTGCCTGCGATGTAGCCACCTGCAGCGCCGAATGACTTCGTGAAAGTGCCCATGTGAATGTCGATCGACCGCGAAGGGATATTGAAGTAGTCGGCAACACCACGCCCGTGTGGACCAAGCGCACCGATGGAGTGAGCTTCATCGACGAATAGGTAGAACTGCCATCACATATGAGCATGTAGCTTGGCACAGGGTATCACGACATGGAAATTACCTTGTATCGCTTCTTCAACTCTATCAGAGCCGGTAAGTTAACGAGAGTGCCCTCCATGCTGTAGAGACCCTCCACGATGATCAAGATCTTCTTCCACGGACGATGTGTCTTCGGTTGGCCTTGGCTGATGACCTCCCTCAGAAGCTTCTCCAAGTTCTTCATATTGTTGTGCTTGAACATGCGAACGTTGGCGCCGCTCAACCGGACACCGAAGCGGATGGACGCGTGGTTCAGCTCGTCGGAGATGACGAGGCAGCCTTTCGATACCAAGGCCGGGATGATCGTCGAATTCGTCGCAAAACCCATCGAGCTGATGAGAGCATCGTCTTGTCCGACGAAGCGAGCGACAAGAGCCTCGGCCTGGACGTGAAGTTCGGAGGTACCACCTTCCCGACGAGCTCCACCAACAGCAACGCCGTAGCGACGCATACCATCCTCGACAGCATCAGCGCATCCGCCGCGTGCTTGTGCAAACCCGAGATAATTGTACGATGAGATGTTGAGTCCACGCGTGCGACCGCCGGTGTATTTGAACGTTAGGTTGTAGTCGTCTGATACGCGGTCCAAAAGAGCAACTGTGCGTCCAGGCACACCCGTGGTCGGTGCTGAGAAACAGTCGTCCATGCGAGCTTTCAGCCGACGGGTATAGAAAGAGTCGAAATCCGAGTTTAACGGCGCATATCCCTGCAGGAAAGAATTTTATGAGCACCGATATTTGGTATAGGAGAAAGCAGAGCAATCGCCCGGGGACGTATCCTCGCTCCCATAGAGCCAATAAAATCAGAAAAAAATGAGAAGACACTGACATCATGAGGGGTCAAATGTGTGTAGTAAGAAGCATAGAATCGTTTGCCGAAAAAGTCGCGAAGATGTCCCAAGCAAATGAGAATCAGGTAGCCACAGTACGTGGTGAGGACGATGTAATATGGCGGTTCCTTCTCGATTGGCAGTCCAACCTCGGTACCTTGTCTATGAGCAGACGTATACCTGTACTGTTCGTTCGCGCAGTGGCCGAATTCAGAGTGCACGGTGGAGAAGACCTGCTCGGAGTTAGGAGGTACGCGAGGCAAATTAAGAGGCCCGTTGTCCGCTTCACTGTCGTACTCTTTGAGAACAGTGTCCTCCGAGGAGCCCGTGACGGTCGACGAGAGCGAAAGGGCGGGCGTCGAGGTGGGTGAAGCATTCTGGGATCTGGCGCGTGCATCTGCTTGGGAGACGGCGGCGAGGTAAGAGGCAGCAGACGACATGGGGGAAAGGGAGGATGACGACCGTTTCTTCTTGAACATGGATGGGCTAGGCGGACCTGCGTTATAGGCTATAGGCGAAGGAGAAGGCATGGTCGGGTATCAGTCGTTGTGGTCGCCGTCGTCGTCGAGTTCAGTCTGGAGCGAGGGTTCGACGACAGGGAGAAGACGGACGCCCGACCGAAACATTAGAACCGCGTCGGTAACCGTGAGCGTTCACTGCCGTTTAGGGACATGCTTCTTATCAAACAATTCAGACGATTCTGTGGCACTTTTCGTAGTGGATACGAGTACTTGTAGGAACTTTGCTAGACGCAGTGAGTATTGTACACGATGGGGTATATATTATCGGGACAAGGCAGTAGAATTATATTCCGTGTCCCAAAACACTTCGGGTGAAGGTGAGGCAGCAGAATAGACAAGGGCCACATCTCAACAGGATGATGAGCTTGGAATACGCAACTAACGACCGGCTGTTGTATCGAAACAAGAATGAGATGCCGCAAGTAGTGTGTTGGTGAAAAAAAAAGCCCGGGACTTCTGCCTTTGATGGTATAGAGTAGATATGCAACATCCAAAAACACCTGATTATGGACCAACAAATGCTGGGTTGGCATCAAGCGACACGTTGATACAGTGGAGAGCCCTAGTGTGAGCACATTTCTCTCTCACTCATGAGTAAATCAACCTACCAAAACCAATATATATTTAGAAGGAAGGGCCTGACACCTCTGTTATGCTTATTCCCAAGGTTTCTTAGGGGGTGCCACCATGGACTCGCTTGGAGGAGCATCCTACACGAAAAAGAACTAGATCAGCAAGGTGACATTGTAAGACTCGATCATACGCACGCTGAGTTTGTCTGGTATGTCTTTGTTGTTGGGGATCTGATCCGTCTTTCCGTGTAGAATGAGCTCTCTTAGCTCGTCGAAGGAGAGGATGCGTGTTCCTTCCCCAACCATAGGCGGTGGTGCGTCGGCAGCTACTGCAGATAACGAGGAGTTCGTCGGATGAGCGTTTGTGCGAGATCCTGTATAGGCTGTCTGTAAATTGTTAGTCCTATTTATGAAGGAGAGCATTCCTGACCGTCAATTCGCGCAGCGTCCTCCGCGGAGATCATATGCCCTGTGAGCCTGTGCCGGGTAAGCGCCAGGCTTAGGTCGTGACGAACAGAGAAACATATGAACAAGCAAGAATTTGGGCCTACCTAGCGAAGTAGAATATTCTCGAGCGCCTCAGAATATCTGCCTTCTCATCATCGGATACTGGGTCCTCAGCGGACTCGATGCCACTGAGAATACTGGATAGACCTTCCTTTAAACGTTCCAGTTTACCAGTCATCCGAGTGTGATGTCAGTTTCTCTGACATACCTGATAGAGTGGGTCTGTATCAAAGTCATAGTCTGCGTACAGCCGCACTGGGTCAATGACAGTTCCGCTTTGAGAAGAGTTCGTGGACACAGCTTCTGAGGTCATCGTTCTGAGCAACGACATCCGGTTACGAACTAAGTTGACACCAGCCAAGTTTGGATGAGAGCACACCTCTTATTCGAACAGATGCCAAGTGACCTTTGCTAGCAGAGGTCCGTGGTCCTTGAAAGTTCTTGGTTTGTCTCAAGTTGCCAAGGCCAGATTTCCGGGGAAAGGAAGCTAAAGATTAGATTAGATCGTCGAAATCGGAAACCAGCTGCCTGAATTCGGACCAGTCAGACGAGTCTTTCAGAGCGTCATCCGAATCCCTGAGCCACTTCCTCCCACTCCGTCAACTCTTGTCTATTGTCTCGCATAATACCCCTTGAATTTTGACATTATATCTCATTCTATTTTAATACTCGGCTTGACTGCCTGCTAAATCGCAACCATGTCTGGGATGAACAAGATGCAGGCGGACCGGAATCAGAAGGCCCTTCACGAACTCGCCGCAAAACCTGGAAATAGTGAGTGTGTTGTACCCAATGCTGTTATATCTCTATGTGCCAGCGATGCCGACTTTCAGGACTCATGACGCTCTGGGCGATCTTGTCGCGATTAGTCCATGCAGGCTAGCTGTATCAATGGCCATGAAGGTCGCAAGAAAGACGCGTACCTGTTTGACCAAATATGCGGTCACAGCTGGATTTTTGAATCATGTTCGCTCTACGTATTGTGCGCAACACGATCGTTTGTGTTGCTATGTGTAGTGCTATCTGCCAGCTTCAGTGTTTCAACGGTCTATGTCCTCGTTCTAGTTCGCGATGCTCATACTGGCCTTCGTTCCCCATAGATCTATGTGCCGACTGCAGAACACGGAATCCTCGGTGGTCGTCTTTTAATTTGGGCATCTTTTTATGGTGAGCATGACTCGCTTTATGTTCATCTTATCACGAGCAGGGGAGCGGTACCGTTGCATCCCCTGCGCCCTGCGATGCCCTCGTCTCGACAGCCTATCGAATTACATCCTACGTTGCCGGGCGGTGCGACGCTTTGAAGTACTTCAGGCTCGACATTGCATCGTCGAGTGAACCGAGTGGAAGAGGATTGTGTATCGTCAGCAGCACATCAGTCGCTTGGTCACGCCCTGTGTGGTGTTGGCCAGGTAACCCAATTGTCGTCTTTCCTTTCTAGCATCATGTATTACATGAAACTGTTCATCCCTCTTGAATTATACTTTCTCTCTGTAACTGGCGATTCGAGATCATACAGCTGACATAGATCTCAATTAGCGTCAACTGTGCCAGTATTCATCGGAAGATGGGCACCCACATTAGCAAAGTGTAAGTGGCACATATTCGCAGGACCATGTGCGCAAATCTAACCTCGTCAATATTAGAAAGAGCCTGACATTGGACTCGTGGACGAAGGAGCAAGTCGAAGTCAGTCTTTTCCGATATCGAGCGACGTCTTCCGCTCAACGTGTTTCATCCTATAGCACATGCGTCAAATAGGCAATATCAAGTCGAACCAATTGTTCAACCCGGATGAAGTACGCAACCCACCCCCCACCAACATGGTTGATTCCGAACGCGACTCTGAACTCGAAAAATTCATCCGTGGTAGGTCTTATTCGTTCTCACTTTCATGTCTCATGCTCAAGGCCCATATATTCAGATAAATACGAGTACAAGCGTTTCCAGTCCCGTTCAGCCAGTGTCGCCGCTCTCCTAGGTCCCTCTAGATCCGCTGCCTCTATGGGCTCTTCTTTGCCAGGTTCTTCCGCACCACCAACGTCGTCATTGTCCACTTCGCAGGTTTCTCAGCCAAATCGCTCGCAGACAGCTCCGCTCGCCGCTCCAGGAACGCAATCGTCTATGCCTTCCAGGTCTCCTCAACCGCCACCTGTGCGAGCTTCGACAGTATCTGTCCCTCCCGTCCAGCCACAGCTGCAACCACAGCAGCCACAACAACCACAGCAACCAGCCGGTGGTGTGTGGGGCGACATCGCTGCTCTGCAGTCGGGGCCTAGCATCGGTGGTGTGCAGAATTCCACGCTCCCCTTACAGTACATACCACCGCAATCCCAACCAATGTCAATACCATCCTCGACGAATCCCTTCCCGACTCAGAACGGATCTTACCTTGGCGCAGGCGGGGGCCTTGGGGGCACATCTATCAGCCCCGGTATGGGCATGGGGTCCGGCATGCCCAACGGGCTCGGTACCTCACCCTTCCAGCCGCAGATGCAAATGCCGCAACAGACAGGCTTCATGACGTCGCCCCCCTCTTTCCCATCTGGCGTAGGCAATCCGTTCGCACAAATGGCTGCTCAACCGCAGCAGATGCAGCAATCATTCGGTTCCATGCCCTCGTCCTTTACCAACACTTCTTCTCCCTTCAATCCATCGCCGTCTCCCTTCGCCCCTTCCCAAACACAATCGGCTCCCTTCAATCCACAACAACAGACTCCATCATACATGTCTCAACCCGCTGCGAACCCGTTCTCGCAGATGAACGGTGCCGGCGGTTCTATGCAGATGCATCAGAATGTGCCGCAGATGTCCTTCAACGCCTCGCCTTCGCCGTTTGGCGGCATGAACCAGATGGGAGGTCTGTCAAGCCCCCCTCCTTTCCAACAACAGCAGGTGCAGCAGCAACCAATGTTTGGCGCTCCACAGGGACAAGCGAATGGGGCGGGAGGAGGGCAGAATCCTTTCACGAGCTGGGTGAAGGCGCCACCTTCACAGGGATACCCAGGATCGGCCCAGACGGGACCGTGGGGATCCATGTGAAAAATTGATGGCTTTTTACTTGTGGGAAGATGTAGGACTGTGGTGAAGTAATTCGTTTCTTGTATTGATTTTTTTTGCTATATTCACGGGTCTGTCGCTCAGCTCATGCTCGGCGATATCGTGTCTCGTGTTTCCTGGCGATATAGGGGCAGGTTACAGATACAAGGAATGCCTAATTCTAATACATACCGATGATACCATGTATTACATTCAATCCTCAACGCGTGCGATCTCAGCTGTGTATCGTACAATCAGACATACCCAACCCCTGCTTTTGAACAATCCGGACGGTGTATCGTACAACAATGCAACATACATGGTACACAAACTATCCATGAAGTATACCAAGTATAGGACTGCACATCATTCCATCTAGCCCACGACCATGTTGAGAACAGCTTCTTCTTCTGCATCCGAATCATCCCAACTATGCTCATGTCCACCTTTGACACTCATGGCCAATACAGCATCATCATCTCCAGCAATGTTATCGCACTTTCGTACTTCCGACTGAAGGCGAGATGAGGCCCGTCGGCTAAGACTCTCCAGCAACTCTCTCTTCGTTGACGGTCCCGCCTCACCTTCCTCTCCCTCCAGCTGGCCATGAGTCTCTTCAAATGGCTGTCCTGACTCCGGCGCCCTCCTGGAATTTCCAGGATTCCAACATAACCACCCTTCCGCATCGTATGTTTGCTCTCGTCCGAGTCCTTGGCCGATGCATGCCCACAGATATGATCTCCATTTTCGTCTCTGCCTGCCCTCTTTCAGCTGCGACATCCAGTCTTGAAAGGAACAGAACTGTCAGAAGACCACGTCATTCATTCAGAGGTGCAGTTCGCCGTGACTGACCTAAATCTTCAATTCTCTCATCTTCGTATGGAATCCGATTTGAGTTGCGTGCATCTTTCCAGTACCCCCCTCTCTGTGCGAGATTGTGACCCCACCCACGGTACTCCCGGACCAAGTACCCGTGGATAGGTGGCCACCTCCAATGCGGACCAAGATCCTGGTTGCCCGCCTCCGCATCATACTCGGCGTCGTAAATGGCCTGCAAGAACACCGTTCGAAGACGCCACAGATACGTGTACTCCAAGAGCTGTACCTTCCCGAGCTGCAATTTGGATCTCTCTGGCGGCAGCTCACGCACAGCGCCAGTCTCCGTTCGAAGCGACTCGAAGAATGCGATTTGTTTATTGATCATCATGAGAGGGATGGCGTAAATTTTTGGCATGAGGCATTCGATGCATTCCGTCGTGGGGGGGTCCTCTGCGGTGTCAATGCAGAGAATGACAACCATGGCCCAAGGTCCATCACCGGTTTCCCACACCACCTCACACCGTGGTCCATCTCCGCGTGAGGGAAGACTAATCTTGGTTGGGTATGCAAGCTCAGAAGTAAATCCTGGTCCGTTATATATGAATATGATGGGCATGAAAATAGGAATACAGAGCATTCTTGGGTCTCTGACTGACCTCGCTTGTGGCGGCGGAATTGACCCGAAGAGTCTGAGAAAATGACTTGATAAGGATTTGATAAAGCAGATGTGGATTAGCAGTGCACGGAACACAACTTACTGGGCATGGATTTGTCACCAGTGGATCTCTAAGATGCCAGATGTCTGTGTCCGGAAGATGGCTGTTCAAGATCCTGGCGAATTGCTGTGAAGGTAGAGGACTAATAGAGAGGACTAATGTGGCGGCAACAGGTCTGCTGCTGCCTTCCTCAGGTAAACACCGCGTCCACAATCAAATACGTACTATGTCATCACGATTATCGCCAGGCATATCACTATTTCGTAACCGTTTCGCTCTATGTCTCGACAGCAAGAACCAAATTGTGGCTCTATAGTCAAGCTCGTCATAATTCGCTCGTTGAGGAGCACGTCGTAGGTTGAAACTCCCATAAACATTCTCGAGCAAGAAGATTATGCATAACACAAACATGAATACAAGAAATGAGCTACATAAAATGGCAAGAAGCAAGAACACCCAGAGTATACAACGGTGTTCGCACGATGACAAAAACGAATGTTCAGCACTCCACTCCCAATCAGGTTCTATGAGAGGCGACGGGCGCGCACAAGCAACGCATGACCGAAGAACATGTCGGCATGCACGGCGAAACCGCGACGCATGGAGTGAACACGGCAGGTGCGTCTGTATTTCGAAAGCGAAGTTCGTACGCAGGCTTGAGTTGTGAGGTGATACCTCAAACACGGGACGGTGCTATCCACTCCAAATGCTACCTGCTGGCTGATGCACCTGTGGATAAGGCGACATATTGACCGATTCAAATGGACCAGGCCGATGGTGCGAGACGGGATCACTGACGTGTAAGGAATCAGGATGGGCTGCCCCGAATTGCTGAGGCATCGAAAGACCGGCGAGCATATCCGGATAGAGGCTTGATGTGCTGACGCTCGGTGTATATTGAGATGAAGGAACATGAGCTTGAGGACCTGGACCATACTGAGAGTATCCAGCGTTATCGTAGGCTTGCATAGGTACAGAAGCACTAGGAACGCGTCTATGGTGGTTTAGGACCTGTTGCTGAGATAATAGAGGGCCGTATGGGGTCGAAGGCGTTGAGATGGCGTTCATGGGAAGCGTTTGGGACAGGTGCGTGGAGTGGCGAGATGGCCAGGGGCCTTGGGACGGGGGTGGATTGCTATACATGGTGGTCGAGGGAGGCGAAGAGAGCGGGAATGATCCGGAAGGTTGACGCTGATGATAACGCAACGGGCCCTCATCAGGTGCAGTTGACCAGATGGATTGTTGACCTGAAGCGAACCCGCCCGGACTCGCAGATCCAAACAAAAGACTTAGTGGAGAAGTTGAAGAGACAACATGGGGCGAATGCGTGACTTGTGCGGGGAGGCGCAACGGTTGTGGCGGGTTGCGAACAGGAGGGGCAGACGGTCGACCCATACCCATGACGTTGTTGAGGAGGTCCTGGGCCGTCATGCCTCTTGGCGCTACGCTTGGTGGACTTGTTGATTGTCGATGTGCAGGAGCCATGCCCCCGCTCGCCGTATGTGGAGGAGAAAGCTTGGATGACGGAGTTATGGGGCTTATGGGACTCATTCGGGCGTGGGCGTTGAAATGGGGCGTGGAGACATCGTGGGTCACTCCATCTGCAGGGAAGGGCTCGGACGCTCTTTGGTGATAGTCAGCGACATAAAATAGACAATCGATGGTGGCACGTACCGTGGATCCCATACGATTTCATCGTCGTCCTCGTCGTCCTCTTCTACGTTGAGCACTTGCCGGAATGCGTCGCCAACCGGGTCTGTTGTCTCAGTCCTGGCGTCTTCGTCGAAGTCGCTGGAGCCGGTAGAAGTCGAAGGCGCTTTGGTCACTATCTCCGCGCATTGTTGGTACCGATTGTGGGTGTCATACTGATGCTCTTCGACTTCGTCCGGTGTCGATGGCCTATCCAGCGTCATTGCCTGACTCGAGGGCTGGATAGAAGGACCGTGAATCTCGGCAAGAACCTTCGTATCGTCCCAAATATCTCTGATTCTCATCAACTGCTCTTCATTTGGATGCACCTGCTCAGTAGTAGGACCAGCATCGACAACGGCTCCGTCGTGAACCGCGGCTCGTGTCTTCTGTTCAAATAACATCCCCGTCAACGGAAGAAACCCACGCAACTCTACGTCCTCCTCTAGGGCGAGCCGCATCGGAGGCAAGACATCAGGCGGGAAAGCGGTGCTGATGCTCCTGGAAAACCTGAAATATGTCTCCCAAAAGTTAGCTACACTCTCGGCGATATTCTGGAACGTTTCGCCATCCAAGGAAGAGAGGTAGTCGACGTTGGCTCGCAGCCATTTGCCCGCAATTCGCAGCGCGGGAAGAGTACGGCGGAATGTAGCTGTGAGCCGCATAGCCAACTCATTTTCAGCTTCCGCGATCTTCGCTGATTCGTCGAGTTCTGCTATGCCTTGCTCGAGAAGGATACGATGGAGAGCCAGAATATGCTCCAAGATACGGTATTCAACCGCCAGATCTACAGAGGGAGGGGCAGGGGATGTACTAGTGCGCCGTCCATGCCCTCCAGAACGACGAACTGTACGATGATTCCAGAGTGCGCCCTGAGCCAGAATGAAGACTTTGGTGATGGTATCGATGGGGAGATTGCGGCCGGCGACGAGGTCAGCGAAAGCAGAGACAGTGTGTGAAGCATGCTGAGGTGCAAGTCGATCCATTCTGTCAAGGCATGATTAGCTTAGGCCGGACCAATAAAAAATGTGACTTACTCTTCGGTCCCCAATCTCCAGAGAGCATGGAGGGCGATGAGGTCGTCTTTGAACATCCGGGTTTTCAGCCTTACAGCGATTGAGCCTTCAGCAGCTTCCGCCGCTAGTTTATCCTTCCGGTGGTTCTTCTTCCATCCCTCCAGGAACTTCGTAAGCACGTTGCCCATATTTTCGATTGCTGGATCGTAGGGGATTCGAATACAGAGCGCTCGATAATAATGGAGAAGGCTTTCAAAAGTATCGCGCTGATACGACGCAAGTATTGCGAGTTGATGGGATGCGTTGCCCTCATCGGGAACCAAGTCTCTGGCCCGCTCGTAGCATGCCCTAGCCCTGTCATACGTCCGTACTTGCGGTGATGTCTCCGTCCCGGAAGAAATTGCACCTCCGCGGCGGTTCCGGCCTCCGCGATTCGCTTGGGCGCCGTCATTGCCGGGACGAGGACGTGCAGTCGACTCATTGTGCAGCTCGCGGTATCGCGCTATGTCCCCAAGACAAATGAGGGCTTTGCTGAGAGTAGTCAACATGAATGTATGCTGTGCAGGAGTAGGAGGCGGTAACTCGTCTTCAGGCTCGGGCGGAAATCGGAAATGGCTGGGGCGTCCACCAGTGGCCTCCGCAGGAGTATCGCCAAGGGAGTCGAGATTTTCCGATGCAGAGAGAATACCGAGTGTGATAAGGGATGGTCGTGCTTCAGTCAAGTGAAATTGACGCTGAAGTCGTACGATGAGCTGGGACCAGAACTTTTCCTCTTGGGAGAGGAACTGTTTGAAGCGTTGAAGAAGTTTGCGATGTTCGACGGGGCCATGATTGTGGCGAGGTTGGTTCCGTCCATGGTGCGTTTGCCGTGGGGGCTCGCGTAGGGTGCGTTCCAAGGCGGAGATGCGATTTTTGTAGACAGAGATCAAAGCGTATGAAGTCTGCATCCATAGATGCGTCTGGATATCCTTAGAGTCCTTCGCATATGGATGTGTAAGAAGAAGGAGGAGATACTGTCGCTGCAAACTGTCAAGGTCGGGGACATGTCAGCTACATAGTTATTGTGGCGGCGATCAGAAGGGGAGAGTGATGGGGGATGCTAGCATCGAGCAGGATTCACGTACTTTTTGCGCTGAAATTCAACCTCCCTGTCCCATGGATCCTTAGACTTAGTGGTAAGAAGTTCTTTGAGTCCTTGCTGGAGTGTCTTGGACTCTCTAGCCGGTTGTGAGTATGCGTTGCAGTGAATTGCAGTGCGAGTTCAAAGTACCTGGCGATGATAGTGGCACTTTCTGCCATGTCAGCACCGAGTTTGAGAAAGTTGGCGGTGTATACGGCTACAGAACGTCCATGTTGAAACTAAGGTTGACTGGTAAGAAGGAAAAGGCAGCGTGTATTGAGCAGAGATCGCAGCGTTAACAAGGACCAGGTCGAAGAATGACTGAAAGTCGCCACTCGTCACCTTGTGACCCTTGACCGGCAGGGTATGTTACGCGAGTCACGGAAGAAGTCACAGTGGCGCGGGTGAAAAGTCGGGCCACCCAGGTGGTAGGAAGTCACGTATATGCAAACAAACACAACTAGGATAGACTGGTAATGTCACAGCAAACATAACAAAGCTCAAGCCGGAAACCACTCTAAGGAGCTCCGTCAACTCATCCAAGCACCCCTCGCGACGGATGACCGCCGTCCCCCACTAATCCAAGAACATGATACATGTACAAAAAGCAACTGTAGGCGAGGAGCAGAAACCTCAATCCTCGTCTTCCTCGTCATGATTGTCGGAGCGGAATAGGCGCATGAGGTCATCCATGCCGAGCTTAGCAGACGCTTTGATCTTATCACCGCTCAACGCAGCCGCCGCGAGCTGTCGTTTGTCATCTTGAAGCTTGAGGATACGCTCCTCGACTGTCTTCTCGATAGTCAACTTGTAAATATTGACAGTGCGTTTCTGCCCGTAACGATACGCCCGGTCAAATGCTTGATCCTAAATAAAAGGGTATGTGAGGGCAGTAGAAGGTATGGAAGAAGGCTCGGCACGTACCTCGAGAGCGGGATTCCACCACAAATCTGTGAGGATGACATTATTGCATGATGTGAGGTTCAGCCCTGAAGAAAGTAGGTCAGAAGATGTACCAATCATCAGTTGACTAGACGGAGAACTTACCGACTGAACCGGCTTTGAATGAGATTAAGATGACGTTGACGGATTTGCTAGTCCTGATTTTGTTAAGAACGACATCACGCTCGTCCTTAGACATCGTCCCGTCGTCTACACAGAGCGGAGATAGAGTGGGTATGTATTAAGCGAACCCAAGAAAGGGCGTACTCACATCGAACATATTTGATCCCCGCATCGTCTAAGAATACTTGGATGATGTCCAACATCGATGTAAACTGAGAGAAAACAATGGTCTTCTCGTGCGGGAACTCTTCCTCCCCATCGAAAGTCTTCCGTTCGCGTGCCAAAATCTCCTCCAAGAGCTCCACGATTTTCCGAGTCTTCGCTGACGAAGGAGGAAGCACCCGGTCAGATCGCTTTGATGGAACAGCTCGAGACTGGCGACGAGCACGACGAGCGATCTCGATGCAGTCAGTGCAATGGTCATCATGTTCATTCGTGGTGTTTGAAGAGGTTAATCTGATCGGTCCTTGGTCAGTACATGAGCGGATACAGAACTAATCGACAGAAATCAACACACTCGGCACGACAAAGCTGACATTCTTTGCCAACAGACAAGCCACCCATCTTAGCAGCGAGGGCGTCGGCAAGTTCGTCATCATCGTCAGCGTTGTCTTTCTTGGGGGCCCTAGGTTCCAGAGCGTCCGGGTCGGCTTTGAAGTCCTTGGTAACGAGCGACGGGTGATCACAGGCTCAAAACACAACAAAGCGTCAGATTACCAGCAAATCATGGCTCGGGCTAGAAGGTGTGCAGCTCACCTTGCCGAAGACGGAGCAACAGGAGCAGGGCAGCAGTGTACTTGCGACCAGCGTCGCCGCTCTTCATGAATTTGTTCACGACCTCCTCGATCTTGCCTTCCAAAGCGAGATAGAACTCGCTCTCCTCTTTGTCGAAGTCACACTTGACGACATTGATGTGCTTCTGCGGGAGGTCGATGAGTGCTTTGCCGTTGATCATGTCGGTTTTCTGGCGACGCAGCATGATGGCTTTCAACACAACCTGGGGTGAAAGCCATATGGTCAGCATACGTCTTTTAGAGGCCCCAAGGAAAATATCAACATACATGTAGGCGCTTCATTGCCCGAGTGCCCTTCCCGCTCTTCACCGGCTTAGCAATTTGCTCATTGAAGGTTGGCCAATCGTTCAATGGACGAATGCGTAGAAAATTGAGCAAGGAGTATAGCTCCTCGACGTTGTTCTGCCTGCATACGATAGTGTCAACCTCAGATCGTCCACTTCAGGGAGCATTACAAGAGACGTACAAGGGAGTACCGGTCAGACACCATCGATAGGTACCTTGCAAGGCACAGCACGCTTGTGCATTCTTCGTCTGGCGATTCTTGATATTATGCGCCTCGTCTATCGTCAGGTTAGCACATATGCCATAAATATGGAGGAAGAGCATCAGAGAGGCGCACCAAGAACGATCCTGTGCCAATGGACATGGAATAAGGCGTCCTTCTTGGGCTTGGCTCTAGCAGGTTTCTTCTTAGCCATCGTTTGAGAAGAAAGGTTATCATCATCCGAGTCTAGTTCGTCCTCAGATTCGGCGGCCTTTTTCTTCGAGGCTTTCTTGCTCGAAGGTTCGCCAGAATTGGACGCATAGGCGGCGTATTCGGACGCACAGGTAGCATAAGTGCTGATCACAACGTGCGCGCGGGCAAGAGCACGGGGATCTGTTCATTCTCCCAGCGTTAGAAATATATTTGCTCACAGCGGAGACTGATGGTCAAACCTGAAGTACGAGAAGGACCATGGTGCTCAATGACGGTGACACCGGTCGTCATCTTCTTGATTTCAGACGCCCACTGTGCAGAGACCGCGACTGGGCAGATGACCCTATATATCATAACATGTGTGTGAGCATTAGGCGGAGAGGAGGACGGGCCAATCAGCAAGCATACAAGGTGGTTGGTGCCTCCCCCTCCTTCAGGTCGTCCCTTCGTGGTCTATCAACAATACGGGTAAGCATCTGAATAGTCTTCCCGACACCCATGTCGTCGGCCAAAATTCCGCCATATTTCTTGCCCGTCTCACGCTCCTTCATCCAATTCTTTCCAATGACTTGGTGCGGAAGGAGTGCAATCCCGTCGCGGAAACCCTTAACAATGGCCTCGGACATGTCGATGGCCTCCGCCTCATCTCCTTCTTCTCCCTCCTCGCGGCCATTGAAGGTGCCCTGGAGTAGGTCCTTTAGGTCCTTTTCCGTTTCTTCCGCCGTCTTGCGGATCTCAAACGGGTTCTCTGGAGGCTCTGCGAAGCTCTCCCACATGACATCGCCGGTACGCTTCGGAACCGCGATATGAGTGGGTGGAGGAAGGTCTCGGTTGGATGGAATATGGATGGGATGACCGGTAGTCGGTTTGGGCTTCTGGAATACTGTTTCATCCAGACGCTTGGGGGCCATGTTGGCACTCGATTTCAGGCTGTAATGTTTGAGCAGTATTTAAGCGCCGAGAGCAGGTAATGAAAATGGTTTATTGGTCATGGTTGACTTACGGAGGCGCATATCCGGGTGGTGGCCTGAAACACGCAGTCAGATATTTGCGGTAAGAACAAAGACAACATAGGGGCGTACAGTACTTCCTGGACGTCGTCATCACTCAGTTCGGATGAGATACTGATAATGGAACCGGTAGCTGAAGAGTCCGGTGTAAAACCGCGTGTTTGCCTTTCAAGGGGTCTGGCAGCGATGGGCTTTCGATATCCACCATCTGGGTCTTGAACGAGGATTTGCCGTCTGGAAGGCGTTGATATGAGTACAGCTTAGGTAATCGGAAACATAGGATAAATAACTACAACATTTTCTCCATCTACGAAAGAATGCTAAGTGGGAATGAAGTGAGAGGTAAGAGCCAGGTAGATGAGGAGATGAGGGAAGGAGTCAAAAGGAACGCGTGCCCACCGCGCGCCATATTATTGCTTCATCGCGGTCACGTGCGTCGTGTTCGAGCGCGGCACAGCTCGGCATCTGGCCGCTATTTGTCTGCTCTTGATATGGGCGTCGGCTTTCTCTAGGTGTCTTATTTGAATCGTTTTGAATGTTCACTTCTCGTAGATGCAACATAATAATAAGGTATAATGACGACATATCCGCCGTTGAGCAGCACCAGCATCGGGAATGCCGACTGATGTCGACAGATGTGGTGATGCCTCCGAATTGTCAAATACTTAAACCGCATCGATGATTTTCGACAGACTCAGCCCCTCTCGTCTCCTCCGTCACCTTCACGCACAATGGCAGCCCAAACCTCACCCGTTACTTTCGAAGTTTTCTATGGAGTCAGCTCCCCCTGGGCAACATTCGGTGCACCCCGAGCCCGCGAGATAGCTCGCAAACACAATCTGCCTCTCATTCTGCGCCCTATCCTGCTCATCGAGGCCAACGGCGGTATCCCCCTCCGTACTCGTCCCGTCGCTCGCCAGAACTACCATGCTCTCGAACTTTCACGCTGGGCTGCTCGTCTCAATTTCCCCCTAAACGGCAAACCAAAATTCTACCCTCTCCCGCCACGGGCTATCGAGATATCTGCACAGGCCATCATTCGCTTTCAATTCAAGTATGGCGTAGGAGACGACAGAGTGCTAGACTTTTCGGAACGGGTACAAAGACTGCTGTGGGTTGAAGAGGGCAATATTGGCGACTTGGAGAGTTTGAGGAAAGTTGCGAGGACAGTGAAGGGAATCGACGAAGCAGACGTTCTAGAAATCGTCGTGGATAAGAGGGACGTGGAAGACGATGAGGCAGTGAAGCAATGGAAGAAGAACTTCGAGGATGCAGAAACACTTGGTGAGTATTCATACTGAGTGACATTGTTGGTGTGAAGTCTAACAGTCCTGGTACCCTTAGGCATCTTTGGGACACCGACTTATGCTGTCAACGGAGAGATATTCTGGGGAATGGATCGCCTAGATTTCGTCGACGAGGAGATCACAAAGTTGTTGGCGCATGCGCGAGGCAGCGAATCATCATAAGCCCTCTACTACCGAGGTCGTATGTTGGAGGTGTGAGCAACAGGCCGGGGAAGATCATGAGACGAATGACTTGGGGGAGAGTGAAAAGAGAACGAGAACGCAGCGAACTCGGTCTTCGACGATGTCTCCTAGCATCTGCTACATAACCATGTAAATCGGTGGAAGAGTCGTGTTTTTGGCAGGGACAAGTTAGAGCAGACGTCCACGAGCGCTTGTAGCGAGCTCGAACGCGACGCGTGTGAACGATTGGCGTGATCCGGAATCTTCCGCATACCAGTCCAACATTCTTTTGGTGTGTGGCGGGCATGCCACACTAACCTTCCCGCAACGCCCTCCAAAATGCTCGGAGTGGTGGATCAAATGATGATGATTAAATGGTATTAAACTCGTGTACATACATGAAAGATAGTCAAAAGATGTGTTGGGGCAGAGAGATGGAAAGCTGGCTAGCATGAACAAATATATGACAGTGCGTAAGGACGACGCCGAGGGTCAGGACCCCATTAAACCCAGTGAGACGTAGAATGGCAACTTCGAGGCACGTAGCAATAAACACCGAGAGTCATGGTTGTTAGAACGTGGAAAAATGAAGTGGATGAAAGCATGGACGAGAGCATAACAAAAACAGGTTGCAATCGCCGCCGTTCGTACATAGCGAGGCTTGAGAGTAAGAAGATAGTACATTCAAAAAGGAAAAATGGCGTGGGTAATCGCACGTTTATGAGTTTGTTCATCATTATCATCGATGGTGCGACCTATGACGGAATTAACCTTGGTATGCGAATGATACTGCACCGTACAGCCCATCTTCACGGCCGAGTAACCCATGCCCATGCAGAACCTACAACAAATCCAGAGAATAGGTCAGCATAAAACGTCCATAAACAAGGCACTTGAGCAGAATCTTGAAACAGACGAGAAGCGCGCTCACCTCCATCTTCCTCGCATGCCAACCCACCCCACTGCTCACATTCCCGTTCGCCTCCGCCAACTTCTCCACCATCGTCCTCCACGGGTGTCCCATCTCCAAATCTCGCCTGAATACAGACTCCCCATCCTCTCCGTCCCCACTCGCGATCCATCCACTCGCCGTATCGACATACCACCCCCTTCCACCCTTACTCTTGACGATCTTCCAACTTCCTGCCCCGGCACCCAGCGCCGCCAGAAGGGGCGTAGCAAGCTCAACGACCCTAAGCCTTGTCGGTGCGCTTTTGGGCTTCGACTTCCCAGGTGATGAGAAGAGGTTAGACGAGTACGGAGGGGTGCACAGTGGTCGGATGATGTGCGCGTGAATGTTCATCGAAGCCTGACGAAGTGGTACACGACGCAATGTGGCACCTACGCCGCCCGGTCCGTTCGCCGTGGCCTGGCCAGGACCGGGGACGGGCAAGTCGCCATAGCCCAGCTCGGGTGACGTGCCGAGGAGTGCGAGCACTTCTACGTTCGGAGCTTGTTTCTTGAGAAAGGTCGCTACTGCCTCGAGACTAAGATCCGGGATGGATGAGAGGCCGAGTGATCTGAGACGCGGCTGGGGTGGGATCTTGTCCAGGATCTCACGGTCAAGGAGGGCGCTTGAAAGGTCGAGGTAAACGAGGTTGCTGCTGGTGAAGCATGGCGCGGAGGTGAGCAGTTCGCGAAGCTCATCCTTGGAGAGTGGACAGGGGAATGTTCCGTCGCCGTAGAGGCTCAACTCGGTTATATCGCGTGTTGCAGGAGCATAGACGAGGAAATCGCGAATGCTGGCACCCGTAAGACGGATGCAGCGGCCAAGGGAGAGTGATTTGAGACGGAGAGTGGAGGAGGTCGAAAGTTCTGAGAGTAATTCGGGGGCAATACGCGTACAGGAGAGGTCGAGATGAGTGAGATTGGTGAAGGCGAGGACGAATGGTTGGAGAATCTGTGGTGATATAGATTTGGTACCGCGGAGGTTAAGACGCTGGATACCAGGGAAAGTGAGCGGTTCGACTTTATGCCGTCTTGATGCTCGGGAACGTGTCGACCGCGTACGGTCGAAAGAGGAGTCGCCATCTTCTTCGTCACTGGATGTAGAAGACGCAGAGTCTGATTCGGGTGTGGGAATAAGACAGGTGTTGACGAACTCGGTCAGTGCGTTGACAAAGACAGCACTGACGCAACCGGTGAGGTCAATAGCTTCAAGTTCCTTGCACTCGCGCCGTCGAGCAATATCTTCGGCTTCGGAGTCATTGGGATCATCAAGGACAAGCCCCCGGCCTCGGAGCGGCTGTCCGCGTCCACGAGACGGCTCGCCTCTCAGGAAAAGCTCCTTGAGAACCGGCAAAGTCAGTGCACCGTCCATGTACTCAGTGGCGCCAAACGCAGAGAGATTGGGCGTTTCCTATGGAGCAAAAGGGATGAGCCGGTGCTTCCAAAAACTACGCCTGAGACTTACTTTAAGTAGGGCCTCGAGCCTCGTGCCGGTCACAAACCGGCTGTTGACACCCTCCTCGACGGAGCGACGCATACCAATCGTTCTGAAATGATTGAAGTCGAGATGTCGAACGAATCTGCCAGGACGGGGGTCATGCATAGCCGGAACTAAATTGTGGCGCCGACCACAGACATGAGACAAACCAGATCACGAGGCAGACATCAATTGTCAGTTAATGCCGGTAAGTCAAAGGGAGGTGACAAACGCGGATATAAACATACCGTATATACCGTGCTCCGAACGCCCTACGAGGTCTTGAACGGCAGTGGTAATGGAACGCATAAGGGTCCACCGAGCAGGAGACTTGCTCTTCTGCCTTGGTCTCTTCGGACTCGGCTCACGGGAAGCGGGAGGTGAGAGGAGTTCCGGTGGTATAGAGCTGCCTGGCCCGCTGAGTGACTCGAGGATCCGCTCCTTCATCTTCAAAGTCGCCTCGTCATCCAGTCGTGGATGACCCTCTCCAAGGACGATACCGAAAGGGGTGGCTGCGCTAAGAGCAGCGGCTTGAGCAGCATCTTGAATAGACTTGCCGATAACTCGGGCAGTCTGCTCTGCATTAACTTCTTCATCGTCACCTCCCGCAATTTCTTCGACCAAGGACAACCAACTCCGAGGCAGGCGAACCTCTACACGACGCCACAGCCATGGCTTTGCTGCTTCGTACCAGGCGTGGTTGACAAGGCAAAGGTTGGCGAGGGTGCGGCGAGAAACTGGTTCAGACCAGTTAGCCGCAGGGTAGGAGGAAGGAAATTTTGTGGGTACTTGTGTGTCGAAGTCGGAAAGATAGAGAGGGTCGAGCGAAGTGGACTCGGGCGGCGTGGGTGAGCCTGCCGCAAATATGTGAGCGCAGATAGTAGCAAGAAGCTCTTGGGGGTATGAGGCGACGCAAGATGTGGGCATCAAATAAAATTGAGGTGTGTCTGCGGAGGAGTGGTCGGGGAGAGCAGGAAGAGCGCGATGAAGAAATGCGCGCGAGAAGGTTTTATACGTTCGGCCAGGAACTCGACGTCCCGCCGATCTTATAAACTCTTCGTAATGCAAATTCGCCGCACGTGGCAGCGATCAAAATGCGGGGTAATTGACTCAACTCGGACTCAACGGACCAACACGGCGTCCACAAACAACCTCTGACCTCGTCCACCGTGGTCGCTATTACCCCTCCAAACGCACCTCTCTCGTCTTTTAGTCGGCTCGTTCGAACGCGTCAGTTTATTCTAGGTCCCCGTCCGACTCGGAATGACCCCATCTTTTCGCCAGAAGGACAATGGAACATCCGCGCCTTCTTGCCTTGTTCAATGAATGGCGCAAACATAGGCTTCAAGTGTGTTTTGCAGCTCGAAATATCCTGACCACCATCCACTCACACGTTTCAACCAGCAATTAGAGTTGCGTTGCGCTTTATCCGTGTGCTGGCAGCGGGTGTTCATAGGCCGCGCATGGTACATAACGGCAGACCGCCTACCAAATGGAAGATGGCAAGTGATGCACACTTTATGATCTTCATGACCTCAGGACCGCCCCATCTGACGCACAATGGTTTCATCTTGCCCTTTCATCCCAGAAGTGCCTTTCTGCCCCGGCCAGCTTGCGTGTTCACGCTCACACAGCCATTCACCTAGATCTATTTTTTTTCACACCACTTGTTGCGGGATCAGCGACGGTCACCATAAAGGTAAACAGCACCCTCTAGAGCACCTAGGAGTTCCCTACTTGTACGTCGGTAATCGATCTCGCTCACGCACCTTCTCCTCACGCAGTGGCCCATACATATGTGTCGACAACCGACCCCTGAAAGTTGATGCCACGCATGGAGGGTCTAACCGAGTAGCACCATGTTGCACGTTTGTCGTCAGAATATTGCTCATCCTCGACATCCAAGATTGTACGTTAGTTTCCTGCACATATTTTACACGGTGATTGGGGTACGCTCTCATGAGCTCACACGAGGCTAAAGCAAGTATCTCCGAGGCCCGTGCTAGTCAACTCTCTCCCAACTTCGTCTTTTCTACATGTATTCAATCCCCGGACCGCGTCCTAAAGTATGTGTTCTTCTTACTGTTTTCTAGTGATTCCCACTGGTTGGATTCTCCGCAGGCGTCAACGGTGGTGCCAACTGTCATCATCAATGCCATTGGTGGGTCACGGCACGGACCATGTTGAACCACACGCACCGCCGACGAGGTTTGGACAATGTTGGAGCCAGAACCCACAATGATGCTCTACATAACGGACGAGACAGCTTTGTGTCGACGACTGTCTGTCTTGCCACAGCGTCCGGCCCATATTTTCTTGGCGGTGGTTTTAGGTTGCATACCTATCCTCACTCCGAAAAGATGACGATACGACTAGCCTCCTGGCGTGTTGAGCCGTCCGTTGCTTCCTTGGGCTACTGTTTGTGCGGCCCACTCACTGACGAATCAAGGTCAGCCACATTTGGGTTCTTTCAATGTCGCCATAGGACTCGAGTCGGATAAAATTGTGGCGAAGCTGGGCGGTCTAGAATAGCCTCCTGGGATTTTAGTTTTGGCACACCATCGGCAGGAAAAGACAGAAGGGACGGCCTTCGACCCACTTAGTCTCACTGTCGACCCTCGATTTTATGTCGGTACATACAGACGTCTCGTCAGGCCCATCCAAGAATATAGTTTACCGCACATAAGTGTTATATTTAGATCCCTTCTTTTTCTCGTATTCCAGAGGGCGGTTTCGAGTAAAGCCACCAGGGACAGCACCGGACCATGATCACGATCATCAACACGGAAGATATTCATATGCGTAAAGGTAATGGTATATACATCTGACCAAGATCGATATTAGGTAGGTATACAAGAAGGGTATCAAGAGAATACGTGCCAGTGTATCATCTCTACAGCAACTGGAGAAGTCATTGAAGCAAAGGTAAAGTCATAACATTGACGTCGTACACGTACGACGCCCTCATCGTGAATATAAGTCCATAAATCCAAAAGAAAATAGTCCATCATCGCTATTCCGTCTACCACGACAGCACAGCGACGGTCGTAAACATAGCCCAGGTTATCATTCCGAGGGTGGGGTCGAACGTGGGAGGAGCACCGCTCGAATGGGTCGTAGCGTTTCCACCGATGTATTGCTCGCCCAGGTCATTGATATCGCCTTTCGAGTCCATGAGTGCGTTGTCCTATATAACCGTGCCTCATTGTCAGCTATGGAACATAAACCATGACGGCATGGAGGTTTCGATATGACGAATCTGAGGTCTGAAGGGATTGGTGGAAACATACGGTGTTGACTCCTTGAAGGTTCTCCATGGCTCCGAACCAGGCATATCGTTCGACGAAAGACGAAGAGTCCATGTAGGACTGGGTGGTATTCAAGAATTCTTCTACATCTTCCTGTGAGCACTGAGCATTCTCGTCGTTGAAGTTCTAGATAAAAGTTCGAGACAGCAGTTGCAATTAGCTTCCAGGTCTAAGTACACTGCGCCACCCGCCACCGCCACCCAACTTTCAACCGAAACTCTCACTCACCTGACAAGCCCACTCCGTAACCCACAGATCCAACCCAAACGTATCGTGGAAATCTTCTAGATACTCGATAAAGGCCGTCGCATTCACATCGTACCAATGCAACGCGATGAAGTCCGGAGTACACCCGCCGTTGCATGCGCTCAGCCATTCTTGGAGCCAGGTCTTTCCGGAAGGCGCGCTTGACGGGGCTGGTGATCCGAGTCGCAGGGATGGATTGGCGGATTTGAGGGGTTCGATGTAGGTTTGCCAGAGGGAGGCACCGTCAGAGGGAGTGAGGTTGGATTGGCCAGACTGTTGTGGCCTATGAATGTAAGTTAATAACGCTGTGGCGCCGGAACAATTGAATGGGTGGTGGAAGCTAGAAGGGACGACGAACTCGTTGAATCCAAGGATGGCTTTGACGTCGAGCTCGCTGATGGTCGAGTTGATAGAACTTTGCCAGTCATCTATGTCCTTGGATCCCCAGAACATTGGGACAAACTCAATAGTAGCACCGTCAACTGGGTCAGGGCCCCACGTATAATACCTGTCGTTCAGCGCAGCCCCGTTAATTATTTGGATCCGGACGGCAAGAATGTAGTACGCACCAGGAAACTTTTCCTGTACTCTCATACTGCTTCATATCCACCCATTTCCCATTGGCCCAGGCAAGTCCTGCCTTCGACGAGTTGGTCACGTCTCGCGTTTCGAGATGTGGCGCTCGCAATGTTGGACTTGATGGCCGCGCCTGGGAGAATGGAGGGAAAATGGCAAGAAGGCAAACACAGGACAGGATGGGAGGAATCATGACACAAGCTTGAGATGAATAGGATGAGATACTAATTCTTTAACTTCCAGGTAAGATTAACAAGGTTCGTTGCACGGATAAGATGCAGTTGGTCGTGACTCGGAGTTGTGAGCAGAGCGATACAGCCAGAGATGTGTGGGGAAGCGGGACACCAGCAACAGACGCTACACAGACAGGTTTTATAGACCGAGGATAAGGAGCAGTCGTGCCCAAGCCTTTCGTCATGAACAGGATATTTCAAGTCTTGGAACTGGCGCTGTGGAGCGACTCCATGAGAGTATGTTGCCTTGATACAACGAGGGGGAGGCAGTTCTGCGAGTGCCTTGAGACATTTGTTGATTCTGCTGTTAAGGAGGTCCAAGATCTCAGAATGTATCATGATCGAGATGGTTCGACTATACATGATAGTCTTGGAGCTGGCAGCAGTAAAGGACAGGCAGAAAATCCGGGAAGATCGCCTGTTGCGGTGGCGTCGTAATTTCAAATCTTGCGCAAGGTGGCACCGATTTATTCAGTACGTACTTCACTTTGCCGGTGGCACCCTTTTCCACTGGGAAAAGGTCCCCAAAAAGGCAGGGGAAAAGATTGTCTTTTCCAATGTAATTACATGACAGAAAATACTGTATTTTCAGCCCAGGAAATGGAATAGAAAAGACCGGCTTTTCCGGCACGTTTTTCGCTCTATCGTTCTCTGCAAAAGTCTTCTCTTTTTGTGGAATAAAAGCCTTTGTTTACCACCGGGAAAACACAGTCTCTTCCGAGAGTCAAAGGGCTTGGAAAATGTTGATTTTTCCAATGCCTTTTCAACGACTGAAAAGGAAATATTTTATGAAACAAAAATCTAGCCTTTTCCCGAGCAGAAAGGTGATCTTTTTGTGGGGGAAAATGTCGTGCCCGCGCCCACACAGTGCCCACCCGTGCCCACACCTGAGTGCCCACACCGTGCCCACACCACAAAAAGATCACCTTTCTGCTCAAGAAAATGCTGGATTTTCGTTCTGGAAAACATTACCTTTTGAGTTGTTGAAAAGACCCTGGAAAACATGACTTTTTCAGAGCCTTTTGGTGCTAGGAAAAGATTAAATTTTCCTGAAAGCAAACAACACCCTTTGTTCCACAAAAAGATAAGCTTTTCCTCAGTAACAATGGAGTGGAAAAGTTGCCGGAAAAGGCTATTCTTTCTGTTACATTTTCCGAATTATAAACATATTATTTTCTGGGCCACAAATAAACCCGAAAAGACAGTCTTTTCGGGAGCCTTTTCGGGAACCTTTTCCCAGGGGAAAAGGTTGACACCGGCGAAGTGCTTACGCCACTGAAGTCCTCTTCACCCAACCCATCATCTAGCATTATCTCCTCCCCAGGAGGCTCTGTTCTGTGACTGCTAACATACTTTCCTCAAGGCTACTCTGCTCACGGGAAACTTGGACTGGCTTTCTATAACATTCTGGTTGACGATAATTGCTCCTGTTGACAGAGTCACGTCATCGCGATAAACAAGGTTCTGCATTGTCTGCCTTTGGTCTTCCTGATCCTTTTGTTCTCGGATCGATCGTATAAATATTACACGATAGCCCAGGGCTTCTCTTCTCACTGGTTTACTGCTCTCTTCAACTTGACCTCTACCGCTGGCACCTTCTGGAACATAGCACCCATGGGTCAGCGCCATCAGGTCTTTATCATCGCTCGCGTTCGCTCCAAGGATGGCAAATCCATCCGCTATCGCTGCGTTGCGGCCATGCACCATCAGTGGTGTTATGGCCGTCTCCCTCTGCGCGCCACCCATCGCTTCATATCGCTCGCAAAACAACCTATCAATTCGACCCTCATTCAGATGGACTTGCTTGCCGTCCAGGATCGATGGTCTCCAGTTGCGATCCCGACTGATCACGACAGCCTTTCTTGGGCTCCTTGTGCCTACATATCTTATTTGTTGCACACAGCATGGAACGTAGACCTCGAGGATCCGTCTCTGCCTTATACTAGTGGGACTCGCTTTGACAATGACATACTAAACCCCAACATGCGTAGTGGAGGCGGAGGTGCGTTCATCGCTTGAATGTCTTTATTGAGCGGTCACTGACATCCACGATACTCGGTGGCACACCATCGGTAGACAACAACGATGGTATAACGGTGGGTCAAATATCCACCTTAGTCCTCCTACGGAGGTGCAGGCTGATGAGCGTCCGTAGGTCATTGACATAACCAACCCATCCTCTCCCGCATATTGTTTCGTGTCCACCTATGGCCTCGAGGCCGCCGGCGACGTCCCCCAGTGGACTCCACTCACCGCCTCTCGGTACGTTCGTGGCCTTGAACTTCCTATCAGTGTAACGCTGACTATACGCTCTCACTAGTTACTGCAGGGCATACTACCCTGTGCCATACATAGATCCCATCGAAGACAAAGCGGAAAATGATCCTAAGATGAAAGACCACGCCAATGCCCTCGAGAAGAATGTCCAAGAGACCATAGCCCTTCTTGATGGTGTACCTCTCGTGACCGCCGACATGCTCGCACAAGCGTGGCCGAAAGAATATGCGCCTCCTCGAGCAAAGGCAGGGGACCAGCGCTCTCAGGACGACGACTCCGAGAAGCCTACACACATCGCAGACCTTGTCGAAACTTCCATTGTCCCCGCAATCAAAGTCGTTGTCTTCGATGGTGAAGACTCGACTGCGCTTGAACGGATCCTTGAGCAGCGCGATCGACTCCCCGTCGTCAAAGCAATGTTTTCCAACCTTTTCATGGAGAACGGTGTTCCTGCGGAGGGAATTCCGCTCCTGACGAAGATCCTCGCTGCTAATACCAAGCTTGATTCCGAGGCTACATCATTGGATCTTTCTCATTTGCAGCTAAGCGCCGACCAAGTCGTACAGCTCGTATCACATCTGAAACCAAGAGTCGACTCACTTGACGTATCGCATAACTGTCGTCTCGACATCCCAGCCTTGGAGCGCATCATCACCGACATACCTTCTCTCCGTCGTCTCAATCTGTTCAACTGCCAATCCATCGGACTCGTCGAACTGAACAAACTCCTCAGCTCCCGTCCGACCTTGTTCATGAATCTCTCTTACATTCTCCACGACCTCTTCCTCACACTTTATCCTGTCGTCAGCCTCTCCCCGACCCACTCTTTCTCCATCGACTCGCGCGGCATGTACAACGACAGTCTTACAGTCAGCCTCCCATTCTTTACACTGGAACGTGTCGTCCGTGCCTTCACCGACCTAGTCTCTCCCTATGCGGTCGCCAGGGGCCCCCACCAATCCAGCATCGACTTCCCAGGGAAGAACGTGTATGCCGTCAGCGCTGCCTTATCCCGCGATGATACCACCATTACCGTCGACGGGAAAGAGGAGACTCCGAAGTGGAATGAGAGAAATGTCGTGATTATCCCCAAACATACACGCCGCGTGAACGCTGGCTGGATACTCCTCTTCTATAGCCAGAGCTTTTTCGACGCCGGGTACTACGGCTTCGTCGACCTCAGCGACACTGGTAGCTCTGGAGCGGACGCACAGTCTTCACAAGGCCATACGGAGGAGTCGGAGACGCAGACGTCGACGGACGCTGACCCAAAGCCCGCTCAAAAACCGCCGACTTTGCCTCGCGTTTACGACCTCCGTGAATTTTTGTCTCGATGCATGGAAAAAGACCCGGGAAGGGTGCCTGCGAAGGAGGAAAGCGTGAAGAAGCTCGAAGAGGTGTTGACCAGCATGAAGGAGCGTCGACTGATTCGAATGATGTCAGACGTGCAGGCAGCGCAGCTTACGAACAGAGCGGGATGAACAAAGGAGCATGGAGCTCTGGATCCGTCGGTGTCTGAATGCCTGAAGACGCAGTATGTTTCTAATTCTTGGCAGTTGAAATGTATGATTATGAAGAATTGTGACCGGCTCGTTCGAGGTTCGTCGTGTATGTTTTAATCTTGTCTCCACTCCCTCTACGCAGGCTTGTCTTGTCCAATGGTAAATCTTAGAGAAGTCCAGGCGTAAAGCCGTGGTTGATCATAAATGTCGATTCTGCTCACAACGTTTACTCGATCGTTGACACTTACCAGGGTTCGAGAACGGCATGAACATGGGAGCGGATATGGGACCGGTAATCCGCTCTCCCGATGGAACAGCAATGTCGGTATTGTCGCTTGATGGACTCAAAAAGCAACACCAAGGGGTTTGTGTGCTCAACTTCCACTTGTGCATGGTTGTTCCGAGTCGGTGTAACGGGGCCACAATGTGCCACCATGAAGGTGGTGCTACTCAGCGGAGGGGGCTCCGAGATCTAGAGTTCATGCAGCCTTATCGAACAACTACCACCGCGACCAATACATTCTTAACTCTGGATATCTGGGTCCATAAATACAGCACAGTCCTGGGCTTTGAAGACGGCTGTACGTCGCTCTTGGTCTTTCTGGTCGACTTATTCAGAGCGCTTGCTCATTATGGTCTCTGGGCAAAAGCACCGCGATGCCGTTGGCCACCTCTGATCTCAAAGTGTCTTGATGCACATTTTATCAGGCCCACAACCGTCGGAGGCCGCATTCAGGGTCCCACCACTGGAACAGTATGGGATATGCTACGGGCCAATCCAAGGAAACGTATGGTGCTCAAGCAACACATCAGAATTGTCAATCTTTCATCTCTGAACGACAACTTCAGAGACTCGGAGAGAGGACTTGGTAAACTCGTGACATGTGCAGCTCGCCTCGCAGGGTATATAGGTTGTCGGTATTGCGGTAGGGATCACACCAATTCACGATCCAGTCTCGTATCGACTTCCGCTGCTCGTCCTCGAAATTCATCATGCGCTTTTCTACTCTCTCGCTCCTCTGCGCTATCGCCGGCGTCTCTGCTCAGACCGTCACGCGTGAGCTCATATTTCACTCGTCTTTGTCGCAACTCGTCGACCCCATAACGTGCCTATGTTGATCAGTAGTCTCGCTCCTAATATAGTGACTGCCCTGTCACTCTCACCACTGCCGTGGCCACATCAACTGTAACAAGCACCACCACCTTGCCCGTAACTAGTAAGTCCGCCGCTTTATATGAGTCTACATCACTGAAGGTCTTTCATACCAATTTACATTGTTCTTCCCAGCCGTTGCTTGTGATAAGCGTGCACCGAGGGCCGGCCTCCTCGAGGCTCGCACCGTCACAGAGACCGTCCACACCAACACTTGCACTGGGACTGGTACCTTCACCTTCCACAGTACTACCCAGGTCACCGCGACTGAGACGTATTACGCTTCGACCATCACCGCCTGCTGAGGACACTGATGCACGATGGACGGGAACTGATAAAAGGTCGTTTACATGCCACACAGGCCAAGAGGGTGTGGTCGCACCTCGCTAGCCTGGTTTCGGTCTGTATTGTTGTTCATCATAGGAAATGGATGTCTATGGCGACGATCACGGTGATTTCTTTCGACAGTGCGACTTGTATTAGTGCCTCTGCGCTACTGCCTGCCAAGCAGTTTCATGAGGACATGGCTCCATATACTTTAACGTACACGGAAATATAATTTTGGCCATTAAGGCAATACAAACGCAAACCCTTCCTCAATAGACACTAATATAATGCGTGGAAAGTGACATACGATGTCCCTGTGAGATTCAGAACGACACATCCATCCAAGACTGCCCTATAGCTTAGCCTTGAAAGCCTCGCTCACACCCTCCTTCTCCCTCAACTGAGCCTCCCTGACCCTCTTTGCTCTGATCGCGTTCGCTACACGACTCGCATTCTGTCTCCCCAACTTCTCCGATATCCAGAACCCAGTATCAACAAGCTGGTCCATATTGCCAGCGACTTCGTAGCCCAGACCTATGGAGAACAGTGTTAGTATTAGGACACGAATCAAGAGAGAAGCAAGGACATGCCTCTGAGAGCGTGAATGATGTCTTCTGTGGCGACGTTGCCTGTAGCGCCCGGTGAATAAGGGCATCCTCCAATTCCAGCAACGGAGGCATCAATGGTGCGAATACCCTGAGAGACGGCTTGTACGGCGTTGGCGACACCCATGCCAAACGTGTCATGGAACTAGTGATACCGACCAAATCAACTCTCAATACCCCCAGTAGAGCATATCGAGCAAGATACGCACATGTCCCGCCAATTTCTCCACAGGGTTCTTCTGCAGCACCGTCTCAATCATTTCTCTCACACTCCCGGGCGTGCCCGTCCCCACTGTATCCCCCAGGCTAACCTCGTAGCAGCCCATTTCGAACAACTCCTTCGTCACATCCCTGACCTTCTCATAATCCACCTGGCCGCTATACGGGCACGTAATGACCACACTGACATAACCTCGGACCTTGAGCCCTGCGTCGAGGGCCTGACGAGTGACGGTTGAGAGCCGGGAGAGCGATTCCGCGATTGAGCAGTTGGTGTTCGCATGTGCGAAGGCGTCCGTTGCGGCCGTGAAGATAGCAATTTCGGTAATGGGAGGTGGAGAAGAAGAGGTAGACGAGAGGAGGGAGAGGGCATTTGCGAGACCCTTGGAGTTGGGAATAAGGACTTGATAGGTGACGTCTGGGAGGACCTTCATCCTGCTGACGACTTCTGTTGTGCCACCCATCTGTTTCCGCGAGTACCACCCATAAAAAAATGGACGGGAAGCTCTACACACCAATTATGTGTCTGAGAAAGACAACGTACCTGTGGTACCCATTTCGGACTGACGAAGCTGCCAGCCTCAATGATCTTCGTTCCAGCCGCCCCTAGCCTGTCAATGAGCTCGATCTTCGTCTCTGGAGGTATCACAGACTTCTCGTTCTGCAGTCCATCACGAGGGCCAACCTCAACAACTCGAACAAAGTTATCCGGAAGACTGGTTGACGTGGCGAGAGAGCGCTTGCGAGCAGCAGGAGCGACCGACCTCAGGGGTCGAGAACAGGAGGCGACAGCAGTTCGAAAGTTACGCGTGAGCATCGTGTCTACCGTCGCGAACGATGAAGTCAAGTATTTGGACCAAGAAGAAAGATATGCTGAGAGCTTCGAGGTATTAGAGCGTCAAAGAACTTATATTGTGGTTGAGCATCGCGTACTTATGGGCGTTCAGGCGCGCAACGGTCGACCGATGACTTCGTCGTGCGGGGAAAGCACTCTCACTCATTTGTGGCGTTCACCTTGTCTGTCGGTGAATCCGGCCGACGCCACTTCGGCTTTACGAGTTCACCGCTGTAAAGAGAGATCTGGTGAGGCATCACAGGACAGAAAGACATTCGGCATTCAGATCCGTAGGCTCAGACAAAAGCACGTATAAAAGCATGGTTACAAAGCAGCTAAGTGCTACAGGTCCAACAAGGTACATAAAGAAACAATATGCAAACCGGCACCCTAAGAGCGTGACGAAGGGTACCAGATTTTGAACTCATCAACCATCACAGCCTTGACTTGCGTTCTGAATGAGAGCCACTGCCTGCGGTGAGGTCGCTTGTGATCAATTTGGATGATGGATGCCACAAACAAGACCAGATAGTTTCGGCGACGGTGGCCGGTTCGGTCTGTATCATCTAGGAGCGGAATCAGTCAATATGTACATTACATGAAAAGAGTGATCACGTCGGGAAAGAGGGGTCGAAGAGCCTACCAGATGACCTGCACCGTCGATGACTGACACTGTTTTCAGCTTGTCGCCAGCGTACTTGTGGACAAGAATATCCCAGTCATCTCTGGGACTGCGTGAGGAGCTGGGTGAGTTCAGTCCAAGGGTCTGAAGGAAATCCACGAATCATACATATAATCGTATTTGTTTCCGAAGACAAGGTGCGTCGGCACTGCCTCGCAGAAGGCGGTCATGGTCTGTGTGATAGATGAGTATTGACAGGACGCTGGAAGTCCGAAGACCAGTGTCAACTCACTCTCTGTAAGTTTGTAGCGGAAAATTTTGGGTGCACCACTCTTTCTGATTGTCCAGCAATAATTGTCCCTCTTCGACCATATTTCTGTGCAGAGGTTTCAGGGGGGAGGGGGGGATTTCAATGCGATTACTGTTTAATAGGATGCACACTGACCTGATAGAGTTCCACGTTCCTCTCATCCCAAGCATCTCGAATATTCGCCTCGGGTATACTCATCTTATATTCACCTTTGGCACACGTCACTAGGTTAGTTTCTGAAATTATATACTTTGCGCACCTTTGGAGCTGAGTAGCACAGGTTCGAAAAGAATGGCGGCGCGCCAGTCAATGGTGGGCGAGTAGTTCCGAGTCATGATACTGTATTACATCAGTGGGTGGTAAGGCGGTCGGTGAGCACTACTCAACAGATGTGGAAGCAGCCAACGTCCACTAACATTGATAAAGCAGTCACGGATGTGGCGATGGCTACCAGGTTGTGGCTCTGAAAATCTACTTCCACACCTTTTCCTCGGCCGCTTAAAAGCATGTGAAGAGCTTCACCATACATATCCCACCTGTCTGTTCAATCGAGTTTCAGCATGGGTTCAGTATTCCGAACAATGAACAAGGTTGGAAAGCGATGTGGCGTTCGGAGTCCAGCCTGCCACCTTGCTCAGCGAGCGTCCCATACCGAATTATAAAAGACCTCCTGATCGCCTCTGAATCCTCATATCGAGATATATTGGTGTCCAAAGCTATCGTGAACTCACCAGTGAGACACCCCTTACCGTCGCTCAGCGCTTTCTCATTCAAGAGAACACTATCGCCACAGTCCGGTAGCTCAACGCTCCACGCCTCTCTGATCTTCAATTTCGCGCCTCCAATAGCAATACTATTTGCCGTCCCCAGCAGTCCAAACAGGTCCTCTAGAACGGGCTCCCATTGCTCCTTGTGAAGCCCGACTCCGTGAGTAAGAATAAGAGTGATAGCGCCAGTATCAGCCGGCTCGGCAGAGAGGTCTCGATGAGTGTAGCGTTTGATACACAGCGAGTATGGATATTCTGGGCGAGGGTCAAAAGTGAAAGGCTGGATTTCTAGGTAACTAGACATGATGGAGGCAGAGAAGAAGTCGCAGCAAGGTCATGATACTGCGAGGATCGGGTATGTTCACGGTCCTTGCGAGCGCTCCGAGATGTCCACCGCAACATAGTAGTATAGGCTAAGACCAAGTAGTTAGGCAAAGGGGACCTCGACAAGAGTCAAATATAATAAGATTCCCGTTTGTTTAGTATGAGCAAGTTGTAGTCGCATATCAAAGAGGACTCGTGCCTAATACGGGCACAATTTTGTCGAGAATGTTCTCGCTTTTTCGCGCCGCCTCACGAGACCCGCATCTTGATATCATACGATGATGAGCTCTCCTCAGTCGTCACTTCGCCCAACCCTAACGCCCTGTTTCCTCTGTGCTTGCGACCTTAATTGCTCAATTATTTCGCCCGTTCTCTAGTATATTATAAGCCATGTTCGGATGCTGTGTTGCTGGTCGCCTCCTGCAGACAAACCTACAACAAATCGACGAAACTCACGCAGCTTTCGAGCTCCCAAGCGCCACATCCATAAACCACATCTGCGTCTTTCTCCTCGGAACGGGTATGTCTGCGATACTATTCGTTATTCAAAGGGAAGCTTATCTGAAGTGCACGTCGTTCTAGTACCGTTCCCAGAAGGATATGGAGCGACTGTTCACTTCTACTGGCCTGGAAAAGGGTTTCAACTGCTCGGAATGTGAGTTCATGTTCCAGTTGCATACACATTTTCTCAAAGGAAACTCATGATCGTTGTTGAAGGCTCTCGAACGAGAAGCCATCAGCAATATTCCGCCTTAGGGGCACATTCTCCTCCCAATCCACAACCACCCAAGCACACGCCGCATTCTCTTCCGCACCCACAGAGGACACAGGCGTCACAGCCATCCTTGGATTTTCCGTGGAACCCCTCGATCAGATAGCCATGCACATGTCCATTCTCCCGTCATCCACAGCAGGTTCCGCGTCCGCACCGAATCAACCCTCAAGCCTTGTCAAACCCATAGACCCCACGGTCATTGCGGAGAAGATCGTCAAGCATCTGTTCAACTACGTCTCTGGGTTCATATCTGGAAGTGGGAGCGGCATCGTGGGTCCGGACAGTGTAGTCCCGATGGGTTTGATCGCGAAGTGGTACGAGAGCTTCTTGGGGAAGATCAAAGCGGGTGGGATGGGCTTCTTGGATAGACAGGAGTGATTGACATTGTGGTTTCGTTGGCCCCTTCAAGGACAAAAGTAGCACTTGATGTTCGCCGTCTCTGCCTCCTGTCTGAAATATCGTGATACTTGGCTAATCATTCTTTCCTCGTGTAGGTCGTCCTGTTGTACGATGTGGTACCAAATTGTATGTTCATCTGCCTCCGTCAAAACATGCCTCTGGCAGCATGCCTAAAGCCTAGATCTGTTCTGCATTTCTGCCCTGTTGATTTGCCCCCAGTTAGTGAAGTCTTTCCCTTTGACTTTGCCCGAAGGGATGTAGGCTGGAATCCGATACCGTCGATTGCCGTCTCCGTTCTTGAGCAGAATGGGCGTAGCGACAATCCCACAGTGCCCGATTAATCTGTGGAGTGCAGTCGCTACATACTCGAATGCGTGGTGGATCCCTGCATTAACGTTAACGTTCGCGATCAGGAATCCGAACTTCTCGCTAATCATCAGTTGCGATGATATGGTGGGTGTAATGGCATAAACCCCATTTGTAGCTAATAAACACGACTTCGACTAGAACGAGGAATTCACCACTAACACTCCAGAAGATCGTACTGTCAGTTCCGCACGGTGAACGAGCGCAAATCATATCCGCGCTACACCCGAGCACGGATTTGGAACCCGCGCCATTTCTGACTCGCATAGAACTGCAGAAGTAGGTAATGGTCCTTTTGACAAAGCGACCCCGCGAGCTTCTTCTGACGGCTTTGATTCGCCTTTGTATCAAGTTTGCTGACTTTTTTGGATGACAGCTAGAGAACGGAGTTTCCAAAATTATCGAAGAGGATCCTTCCTTGAATGCTCGATGTTCAACGGTGAACGACGTGAAGGGACGGAGCCGACGGACTGCCATCATAGTGCTCCGCCCGTGCCAGTGCTTGTGTGGTTGCCACATGCGAACGTTGGAATAGTCAAGAAACAGTGAAGAGGAGAAACCGTGTTAATTAGTGCGAATCCACCCCTATGTAGGACCCAAAGATAGTGATCCTCATTGTAAGCCTTTCTCCAGTCATTTCCGGTCGATGAACGCCGATCGACATTATCTTTATTTTACAGCTCATGTAATGTTGCGTGTCTGTCATCTTTGCATAAGTTGACCCAGATTTTGTGCCCCTTTCGTCACGGTGAAGACGACACCATCTCGACATAGGAAGTAATATATGCAACTGCGGATGTCAGGACCCCGGCCCGCACTAATGGGACTCTAGGTAGAGAACGACAGAAAACTGACGATATCGATGCAACTCGGCATCACGTACGGCGAATTTGGTCCCATTTGCCTCACGGTCACGATGTCTTCCAACAGCTAGAGGGATGTATCAGTCGGGTTGATCACGCATGTGGGTGTCTAGCGAACTTACTTTTTACGGCTCAGTCGCTTCTGGCAACGCTTTATCCTAGACTATTCCCAAGCGTATATTGCAATCTCGTACCCCAGAGCCCCAGAACGCTGGTGACAGCAACCCATCTATACCAAAGCTAAGCAGTCAACATGCTTTCCCTACAGGCTGACTAGGTCGATCTCGCGTCATCAGATCTCAATGGCCTGTGAACGGAGGAGAGACTGGAAGGAATAAATCTCTTCCTACTTCACGAGGCTTGTTGCAGGGATGTATTACACCATAGAGCATGCAGTTGCACAGCCGCATTATTCTTCAACGTAACTGACCCCTCCTTATACTCCTCACTGAGGCACGGTCTACCCTTCAAAGACGCTGCAGCTGACCGCTTCGTCTTTGCATTGAACCTCCCGTTCCTCGCACGATTGTTCCACGATAGGTTTATTGAGACTAGCCGAGAGCGTAGTCCCCACACCCGTTGCCTCATCGTGTCGTTACACTCTCGGCGAATCATCTTGTGTTCTCCGAGACTGTGTCCGAGCTTGAAGGCAACACTTCTCACTGACATCTCGTATTACTCCCTGCCTTCTGCTCGTTCACGAGTCCAGGGTCAACATTCGGTTGTGACTTTTTAGACTATGGTTGCGAGCCCTTGCATGATACTCTCGTTCCAGCTGTAGCATCCTCTTCGTACAGGCCTCATGTATGCGACCTTCATTTCTCATGTTAGTGGAGTAAAGCTGCACCCACAATGAAGACCTGTTACACTGGTCTCGCAAACTTTCATTCCTTCGTCTATTTCAAAGACCCCTAATATTACGACGACTCAGGCAAGGCACGAAGGAATGTGGTGCACCGTGAGCTGGTCGGCTCCTTTCATTAATCCGTCCTCCATCGTCTCTGGGGCGAGTAGTACCCGGTTTGGCTTGGATCTCTTCTCTTTCATCTCGACAGTCATAGACCATCGTGCTTACCATGCCTCCTTTCTTTTCAGGCCTTTTCCTTGATTTTTTTCGGTGCATACGTATGCCACATTGTATGAACGAAGAACGGTTTACATCTGTAATGGAATCAGTTCATTCAGACACGCTGAAGTGACAGTGTATTCCTTCCTGGCCTATCGAATGGTTCAGGACTTCCTTACAGGGTTAACGATCTTTAGAGGGAAGCACCTCCAAAGAAGCAAAATTACTCGTCATAGTGGCTGTGTTTTCACAGCGTATCGTCTAGCGCTTTGAATCGTGCGTACTCCCAGGGGTCCCCATCGTATTCGCAATTGGCAGAGCGATATTTTCACAACAGGGGCTCTAGGACCTCTCAGGAGGAGTTAGATGACTTCACAGTCTTTAGGGAGATATTCGTATCCTCAAAGGTAACACATGCCTTCCTGGCGACCTTCCGATACGGTTTCTTAAACATGCCATGTCAGAAACATTCATTGCTGTGCCTTTGAGGATCCTTCCTGTTTCATTCGGCCCGTGCCCGAAGACAGGCGGCTCTCAGGGAAGCCCAAGCGGATTCGTATTCACGGCAAGTCACGGTAGTACGGAAGGCTTATGCCTAGCGCCTCCGAGTACTGTTCGATTTTTACCACAGACATGAAGCTGACATTGCAGGCTGGGGTATTCTGCCACAACATACTGCTCTATAAATCGCTCCTGGTCACCTTTACTCTACTTCGTGCCGTTCCCCGTCAATGACTATGTTCTCGGGATTCTCTCTCCAGCCGCACCTCTGTCTTCAATATCTTTGGATGATATCTTCCCTCCTTTGGTTCGTCCTAGTGATTTTTAAGACCGTACTCGCTTTGGTCTTTCGATATACTAGAACTCTTCCCGAGACGTACTTCTCAGCATCCTCAGTACCGCTACAGGAAATCGTGGAAGCTGATAAGGGTCGAAGCGAGTCATCGGATACTTTGATTTCGTTTCTGAAGTGCAGGATGCCGTCACTATTTCGGCATGACGCAGGCTTCTCTGGAGTATGGTGGTTACCAAAGTGCGTGTGCGATATCGTGTCCCCTGGCCGTGCACTAATTCGTCCTTGCAGCGGTCACGCACACACGATCTATACTTTCTTCAGCCGAGACGATGATGCTATCCTCTACGAGAGGTAAGCTCGACTGGGCTCCAACTCTTCTTGTCTAATTCGGTTATGCTGTGACAGGACCTTGATCAGTGTTCTCGATGGAGGTATGCTCGTTAATGCTTTCAAGCTAGGACTTAGGTTTTGAACAAGATATCCCAGGGACTTTGGCTCTGGATGTCACACCTTCTCTCGCTGCGAAACCTCGTAAACACTTGGAACCTATACTTCTCGTGACACACGGGTTGACTGGTGGCTCGCACGAGTCCTACGTACGAGCAGCTTTGCATAAGTTGACGGCCTCGACCTCCGCAGGGGGGTTATCGTTACGTGCCGTGGTGATGAACTCGAGAGGCTGCAATAGGTCACCAGTGACGAGCGCAATGCTTTACCACGTCAGTATCATACAGCACTACGACCTCGAGGATTGTTTTTCGTCGCTGACGTATACTCATGTAGGCCGGAACCACGGACGACATCCGACACGCCATCTTGTGGATATCACAAAACTTTCCCCTTTCGCCGATATTCGCACTTGGTTAGTAGACAACACGTCTGTCCCGACCTTCACGTACCGATCACATTTTGTTAGGGTTCTCGCTTGGAGCTAACGCACTCACAAAATATGCGGGAGAAGAGGGCGATTCGTGCCCACTCAGCGCCATGATGAGCGTAGCGAACGTCTGGGACTTTACCAAAGGCAGCCATCACATCGAGCGTGGATCGGTCTTCAATCGTCTCGTGTACAACAACGTCCTTGGCGGCGCGTTGCGCTCACTCCTTTACACCCATCGCCACGCCTTCGAGAAAGACCCGTCCAGTCCCATTCGAGGTCCAAGGCTGGAGACCTTGTTTCGGAAAAATTTGGTCTCACTACGAGCGTATGATGAGTTGATTACCACGAAGTTATATGGGTTTCACAGCGCAGACGACTATTACGCCACCATCAGCTCCATTCGCTTCATATCTAAAATTCGAGTCCCGTTCCTTAGTCTCAACGCGATGGACGATCCCATTGTTGGCGCTAATACTTTACCTATCTGTGAGGCACTGACTAACCCTTGGACCGTCCTTGCACGAACGGGTAAAGGGGGGCATCTCGGATGGTATGAACGGGCGCCGGACGGATCACTTCGTCGTTGGTATGTCGCCCCCGTGTACGAGTTCTTGAGCGCGATGATCTCTGTACGTGTCCACTCCATCTAGATATACTAACCTCAATATTATCGAAATCGCTGATATCAGAGCTGTTCTTATTATTTCCCGCAGTGCAAGCTCTCTGCTCGCCCGCGCATACAACCAATCACCCAGACCTGCGAGGACAGACTTGAAGTATATCAAGATGGGCGACGCGAGATAGGTTTTATTCTCTGTAATCCAGACTCGTCGATATTGTCTCCAAAATCGGAGTACTAGTAGACATTTTCACGACGAGAATCTGATTAGAACATTACGAGTGCCTTCTCCGATTAGCCTTTCATACTGGAGTGTGTACCCCGTGCGGCGAGAAGCAAACTTGACCCACTTAAGTCCTTGGATTAGAGTTACCTGAAGTTGAAAGACCAGGTATAGACGTTCTGAGCGGTTGAGCTTCAGAACCGCGCCAATCTGTCGTGTGCTGACTGATGCGAGAGGCTCGGCATATGCCGGAAGTACTGGCACGCTTTGCAGATGTGTCAAAGTTCTTGATTCGAGATACGATTGTCTTATTCAGGCCCTTCCTCGTCACCAAGCTCTGGGCTCGGTTCAATGTCATAAGATCGCCTCATACTGATGGTGGAAATACTACGAGCAAGCAAGCGAGGAACACTACTTACTCAAGTAGATTAGTCTCTAACTCGAACCGAGCAAGTACCTGGCATTGTTCATGATTCTCAACGAAACGTCTTTGATGCTCATAATGTTGCACGGTTCTTTTCTAGTGAGTTTCGACCCACATCCTCAGTGAGGAGATAATGTACGTGTAGTCTATAATTGCGTTCTTTTTGTCGTAACAATGGCATCGGACATCATGTCCGACGTCGCAGGCGAGCAAAGTGTGATAGACCATGCCAGACACACTTGCAATCAGTTTCGTGGTCCTCTAGAGTCGTGCTCACGGCAATATTACCTGCCTGTACATCGTGACGTCGTGTCGATCGGGCTCAAAAAGCATATCGATGGCAGGAGGCTCGAATTTTTGAGGCTGGAAGCCTGGCAGGAAGGTCGATCCGAGCATGCACTGCCAACGTGCACTTTGGCGAGCTGACCCGGGAGTCGACGTGAAATTCGCCCATTTCTTCACTACTCGTTTACTTATCATTTTCATGGCTGCATGATCGATTTACAGGGTCTGAGAACCGTCTCAAGGAAAGGCAGAATTTCTGCTTTCGAGAGGTCGTATCGAAGAATAATCTATACATCTCCACCGCCTCAAAGCCTTTTCGAAGAAAACGCCGCTTTCAAGGCCTCTACAACATCTCTCAGCTTCTGAATACTTGCCTTGGCATTGGGAATGAGCTTGTCGGAAACGTGGAATGTCCCACGGTACGTCTATGTGAACCACATGTCAAATAATTACTCAGTATCGTTGCAATGCGCATAAAGCCTCACATGAATCTCTGTCGGCACTCCAGCTTGAAGCAATCGGGATCCAAAGATGATCAGGTCGTCGCGTAAGTCGTCCCATTCGGCGCATAATATCAGTGTACGAGGAGCGATGCCAGCCAAATTCTTGGCTCGTCCCGGAACGGCGTATTCTTGAGCCTTCGGAGTCAATGCGTCGGCAGGAAGGTAGAACTGCCACATATAGTTGGTCAAGTTTGCGTTCCAGATCCTGTTTATGGGGTTGAACGTGGAGGAGTATGTGCTCCGGATGTTTGTCACGGCGGCGTCGTCGAGAATGAGGAGTTTCAGGGCATCCGTGTTGCCCTCATCTCGCAAACGAAGACACATGCCAGCCGCCATCGTACCTCCTATGGACGACCCAGCCAGCGCTAGATTCCTCTGGTCTACTCCAAGTTCGCTACTCTCAGGCGACGTTGCAAGCCAGCGGAAGGTCTCGTACGCGTCTTCGAGCGCTATCCATACCTCGCTTTGTCAAAGGCGTTTGGGTACAAGAACAAGGGTTATTCACTCACGAGCGGGGAACTGGTATTGTGGAGTTTGACGAACAGCAGGACAAACGACGATTACGTGAGCCTCTATCGCAAGCCTCCCGCAGAAGTTGTCCAAGCGTCGAGGCCCCGCGGAGAAGAGGCCACCGTGATGCTTCGAGCCAAATCGCACGTTAATTGAATGGGCTGACTTGCGATTCAATGTTGCTCACCATCCAGAGTACACAGGGAAGTGGCTCTTTCTCGCCTCCGCTCTTTGGTTTCCATATCCTTACGGTGACCGGTGGTTGGTCGAGAGAAGCGTTTGGACTCGAAATCTGGAGGTCTAGTCGATCTAAGTTGGGATTGTCGTAGGGTCGAGGAGGGGGAATGCTACGCATTGCTTTCATTGCCGCCCGCGCACTTGTCGCAGTCTCTATTGTTTTCGGAAATGATGCGATAAAGTCTCGAAGGTCAGGACAAAGGATGCTGAGGTCATCTACGGTAGGAGTGGGGACGTAGGACATAGCTTGCATGGGCAGGCGAAAATTCAAGGTAAAGTGCGCTGTCAGAGATCTTGAACGCGGATGATATTGAAAACGGCCATAAGGTTGAGTGAGGATCTTTTCAACGGCTGTATTCTGTCAACGCGCATACTTGCAGAGGCGTCTTGTCTCATCTTGCACACAAATAACACGGTTTCGGGGTCTTTCGTGTGAAGCTTTACGGAAAGAGCAGCCTACAGGACTCACGGACATACGCACGTCAAACGCGTCCGAATTTCACACATTGACGAGGCGATCTTTGTGCGTGGGCGGCGTCTGTTTGTGCATATCGGGATAGACTTTTCTGACATTCGTTAGCGCTCCGTCAGAACCTCAGGCTTGGAGTTCTGCTCCAACAAATCTAATCTCATCGTTTGTCCAGACACGGTGTCTGCCTCATGGCTGTTAGCCTTTGTATCAGTTGGACTAAATCGATTCCTGCATGCTAACGTCTGCCGTACGTGCCCTGTGTATGCCGACATCCTTGATCCTATGTCGTCGGTTGACAAATGGAGGTAAAATACTCTTACACAGACGTCCATAGTCCTCATTTCTTGCGATCTATACTATCAGCGGCATATGATAAAGGCAAGAGAGCAGAACTCAGAACTGCGCATCTCCCTCCTCTTGCTCTTCAGCTCACCACTACTACTATGACCAGTACAACGACTGTTGAAATCTTCGATGATGTCGCCTCCACTGGTCCGTACCCTATCCAGTCGTGGGAAGACGAATTACCGGAATACACGCCAATGAACTGGTGAGTCTTAATGTCCTGGAGACGTTTCTTAGTTTAACTTGTTTCAAGGTCTATTTCCGAGGTTAAAGCAGCTATTCCCGACCGTCTTTTTGTCCGCAATACTTTGAGAAGTATGCTAGCCCTCCTCCGCGACGTGGCCATTGCTATTTCCGTGTGGCGCTTGGCCATGTTCATCGACCCGTTCTTTGATCTCCTGGCCTTCCGCGGTTTGGCCTCTCCGTTCGAAGTCAATTTGGCTCGCTGGATCACCTGGGCCGTGTAGTAAGCGTCCGAAAGTTATCACGATATGTACCTCAATGGGCTCTGACCTCGTATCAGTTGGTGGTTCCAGGGCTTGATCTTCACGGGGTTGTGGGTTATCGGTTCGTCTCCAATTTTTTTCGAAGTGCCTCCAATCCTGATGGCCGTTGGAACTCTTCTGCAGGCCATGAATGCGGTCATAATGCCTTTTCAGACAGTAAGATGCTATGTAACGTCGTAGGCTATGTGAGTGTTTTACTTATATTGAGCTGAACGGTCGTGAATTGACTACTCCACCATCAGATAGTGAGAAATATTAGATTATCTGTCTTGATGTTCTTTATAAGTGTCTGACGTTTGCGGCCAGCTGCACACCCTGTTATTTACGCCTTTTTTCAGCTGGAAGATTTCGCATCATCGACACCATATGAACCATGCCTCTATGGAAAAAGATGAAGTCTACGTCCCCAAGACTCGAAGCGATCTTGGCATCCCACGCGAAGATGATAAGAACCAGACTATTGATTACGAGGAATATTTTGGCGACACACCGCTCGTTCGTAACTAATATTCCACCTCTTTCACTATATTTTTGTTCAACCCCGGCTCTCACAGTATACTCTCTTCATGCTCGTCCGCCAACAGCTATTGGCATTCCCTGCATATCTTCGTACGTTTTTTCATTCAATAATTAGTTGCACTGTCTGATCGCGCAATGCTGGCCATCTAGTGTTCAACGTTTCTGGGCAAAAGCACTATCCCGCTGGGACCAACCATTTCGATCCCCAATCTATCCTCTTCAAAAAGGAACAGCGGCAGGCTGTCATTCTGTCTAATGCAGGAATCGCTAGCATGATCTTCCTGATCTATTTGGCTTGCGCTAAATTCAGTGCTGCCCAAGTCATCAAATTCTATGGAATCCCGTGGCTCTGCGTCACGCATTGGTTCATAATGATCACGTATCTACATCATACTGCACCAGACCTTCCTCACTACCGCGCCGCTGGTGAGCCTCGACAATCCTCTGAAGCTATCTTCTATGTAACTGACTCTTGTTATACAGAGTGGAGTTTCTCGCGCGGCGCGGCAGCTACTGTGGACCGACCTTTCCTTGGCTGGCAGGGCCGATTCTTCCTTCATGATGTTGCTCACTTCCACGTCATTCATCATTTCTTTCCCAAGATGCCGTGGTGTATGTGTTTCCTGCTGTCTTATTTTGTGATGAGGATCTGATGCTTACAACCCTTTGTTACAGACCACGGAGCCGAGGCCACGAAATACCTCGCCGAGTTCCTCGGCGAGCATTACGCTACCTGTGATACGCCCGTGTTCAAGGCACTATGGGATAATTACAATGCCTGTCAATTCGTCGAAGACGAAGGTTCGTTTGCAGTCTACCCGTTGTGCTTTACGATCCTGCTCACTGGTACCCAGGCGACATATTGTTCTATCGCAACAAGCAGGGTCGTGCTACTCGACGCCCTGCGAAGAAAGAAACCGGCCGTCGATTGGGAAGTCGCTAAAGCCCTGATCTCTCTCAGAGAAGCTGAACGCACGATTCCCTCTCTCTACTGTATCATACCTTTCATGCTGCACATCCTATTCTGAGTAGTAGTCGACAATTACAGTCTCTTCGGTTGCCTCGTCGCTGTGTCATTGTAAATTCTGTTCGATGTATATATTTTCCTGTTGCATACGAGAAATCTGATGAATTTCGTGCTGTAATTCTAGAGGCAAATAGGCCATGTTTGTTCGAATGTGAACCGTTGCATTCAATGCCAGATCCTCACCATATAGGCCTTTGAATGTAAAAGTCTACGTTGGATCAAACATGGCCTAATATGAGAGAAAAAAATGGGTTTGCTTTCCGTCGATATTACGCGTGCCACCCCGCAAGCGTGGCGTCCAATCAAAAACAGACGCACACGGCGATTTTGGAAGTCGGCGGAAGCAAAGCGTCTTAATCTTATCTAATCTGCTGCATGTACGCGTCGATAATTTACAAATTCCGTCCTGTTTGCTTTCTTCGCCTCAACGTTAACTTTTCGCTACCAGGCATGTCCACCGCGACATCAGACGCCTATCCAGCTGGGACTGCTCCAGTCAAGGCTGAGTATGTATTTACGCATATTTGTCCACGCTTGCATGGCCTCAGCCGGATTGATATATGTACCTTTAGATATCTCGTCTCACCAGATGCCGCACGGCTCGCACCCAAAGCTGACGACGATGCTGCCGAAGGCAGCACCAGGCACACCGTTCGTAGCGCTGATGGGCTCGATGGCAATGATGACGGCAATGAAGACGGCGAGCCTCCAGCCAAAAAGCAGAAGCTCACCAACTCGCAGAAGAGGAAGCTCTCAAAAGAGGAGAAGAAGGCGAATCGCGGCATGAATAAAGGCAGAAGATGGCAGAAGACGAAGGATGATGTGGACGTTTGTTGGAGAGTCGCAACTGGGGGAGACTGCGAATTCGGTGCAGAGTACGTCCTCCATCTGTCACTTTTCCGTACGTCTTGACGCGACATGTCTGACTTGTGCTTGTGTGTTTGCTAGATGTCGGTTTAGCCACGATATTCCGGCTTACCTTGCCGCAAAACCAAGAGATATTTACTTCAATATCACCGACCCTCTAACCGACACCCCTCCTTTTGTGAAGCTTACCGGGTCCGAAAATAACATGGAGGCCGCGGTGGACAGTGCTCAAGACTCCGTCGATTTTTCTACCCATTGCCCAAACTTTGAAGAAACAGGGGCCTGCCGACATGGTTTCAAATGCCGTTTTCTCGGCGGTCATGTTCGCAAAGAGGATGGAAAATTGTCGCTTATTCAAGATGACAGCAAAAGGTCGAACAGTCTACGATCGTCTACGGAAATAAATTATCTCGATGGACAAACTATGAAACTTTTACGAACAAAGAAGGTCGGTTTCGTTCAATCAGTTCTCCATCAAGGTCTTGTGGAAGACTGATATGCGATTGGTGTTCCATTCAGTATCCGCTTCCAATCACTGCTGCATACTTGAAGGAGCTCGAAGACGCTAAAGACGAAGAGAATGCTAGCAGTGCTAAAGCCAAAGCCGACGCCACCCCAAAGGACCCGCCAACACCGGCATCAAAGGAGGATACGGAATCTGCTATCATCTTCAAAGAACCTGAACAGGATATGGTGGAGGTTCCGCCGCCATCTCCATCACTCCTCCCAGCACCGGCAAAATACTCCGATGTCGAGGCTGCTGCTCAGGCTGATACGCCTGATGTTCGACCGCGCTTTGTCGAAAAGAAGCGACTGGTGTGGAGTAATAAAACATGTGGGATCGCTCAAATCCATCTCTACTCCTAGCGACTTCAGCTCTAATTACAACCCTTTCAGACCTGTGGGATTGTTCAACTACAGTTCGCTAAAAATAACTTGAACACTGATTACGATTCTAGCGCACCATTAACGACCGTCGGGAACTTGGTATGCTCTATACTTCATACAACGGACGTCGACACTCACCAATACCTTTTTGGTTCAGCCTTTCCGTCGGCTAGCCGTCTCCCTCGGCGCAGACATCACATGCGGCGAAAGTATGCCTCTCCTGTTCCAAATATCCTCCTTACGCATCCTTTTTGACGGAAAACAAATCAGTGGGCCTCGCCAACTCCTTCCTTTCTGCCTCCAAGGAAGAATGGTCCTTGATCCGACGCCACCCGGACGAGCAAATGTTCGGCATTCAGCTCGCAGGCAATAAACCATCACTACTCACACCCGCCGCAGAGGTCATTGCACGCGAGTGTGCTGGAGGGATCGATTTCGTGGACTTGAACTGCGGGTGTCCCATTGATTTGGTGTTCAAGACAGGAAGTGGATCGGCGCGTGCGTGTTCCGAGTTTTTGAATAACAACCTCCTGCACGGTTTTACCGGGGCACCCCATCCCCACGATGGTTATCCTCCGGGGTCCTTTTACTGTTGCTAACGGTTGGCCTCTCATGGTTCTGTGACGATAGTGCTCGATGCGCCGGGAAAATTGGGTAAAATCCTGACTGGGATGAATCGAGCGCTGGGCGAGATCCCCTTGACAGTAAAACTACGGACCGGCGTTCGCGAGGGTCGCAACACGTCTCATAAGCTCATGCCCAGGATTGCATCAGAGTGGAACGTAGCTGCTATGACCGTATGTCATTCTAGCGTGTTTACAAATACCTTCTCGTTCTCGTACTCGCCTCTCGTGACCGTGCTTTCCGAGTTTAACACGTTTGCTTTCTAGCTCCATGGAAGAACGCGTCAGCAAAGGTATGCGAAGCTCGCGGACTGGGCTTACATACGCGAGTGTGTCGATGCCGTCCGGGCGCGCGAAGCGGATGAAGACCGTAAGAGCATTCTCTCCCTCCAGTCTTTAATCCATATATGTCAAAGATGATTGAGATATGCGGTCTTTCTAGTTCCACGCATCCCCATCTTCGGTGGCGGCGATGCTTTCTCTGCTCAGGGCTACTGGTCCTGTGTTGAAGAGAGTGGTGTGGATGGAATAATGGTCGCGAGAGGTGCCCTGATCAAGCCCTGGATTTTCACCGAGATCAAGGAGAGGAGAGAATGGGACATTAGCGCTGTCGAACGATTGGATCTCATCCGTAAGGTAAGTATCGTAGTGCCTATTTTCATCCGAGCCTCCGACTGTGTATCTGACTGGCTGGCGTCTCATACTGACTCAAATCTCCAGTACGCTGAGTTCGGGTTAACGTGAGACACAATTTCTTCCAATTAGACGCTATGCCAATCCACAAATTGACCGGACATGCAATTCTTTCTTGCTTCTAACTTAGTCACTTCGGCTCGGATACCGCTGGCGTCAACACGACACGGAGGTATCTATGCGAAGCCCTGTCCTTCCAATATCGGTACATCCCCATAGGTACGCTGAGCCCTTGTTGCAGCACGACTGTTCAGTGCCCAGACGCCCCAGTCTAATTGATACCATGTTAGGTCTATTGGAAGCTTTGCCCCCTCGCATCAACGATCGCGCTCCAATGTTCCGTGGCAGGAGTGAGCTTGGTATGTGGTCTCTATCGTTTCCACTCCTCCAAGACACATTCGAAATACAGCGGCTGGCGTGAAGCAAGCCATTGTGCTTGAGGGAGGCGAGCCGCCCGATTGTGGCGTGGCGCCTCGCTCGTTTCCCTTATCGAGGCTTGTCTCCACATCAGGCCCTGTACATCGAGCTTTTTCGAATCGCCATACTAACAGATGTTGTACCTCTTTGATGTTTAGAAACACTACTCGCCAGCCCGGACAGTAGAGATTGGGTCAAGATCTCCGAGATGTTCTTGGGTCCTGCTCCTGAAAGCTGGACGTTTACCCCGAAGCACAAGAGTAATGCGGTCAACGACCAAGACCAGGGATAGATGAAACTAAATCACATCAGCGTGCATCCGGTCGATACGCAACTTGAAAGTTGTTACAGGGTAGTTTTACTCCGTTCGTATGGTCCATTTCGAAGCATCTTGTACTATTCCATCTGTACAAACACGAAACTGTACCGAAATAACATACACCACGAATCATGTAACTGCCGTCATTCACCTTTCGAAGTTCATCTGTGCGCTTGCAGCCTGCATGTGGCCAGGGTATGGTCAACGCCTGACCTTCCTCAAGCACTGATATCCATAGGGTCTTCCTTCGGACTGTAAGAAGGACTGACATGAGACGACGGAAATGGCGACGTCGGTGGTGATATCGCCAACGCATCCTTCGTTATTTCCGGAGGCATCTGCTGGAGGAGAAGGTAGCTGTCTCTCTTTGCGACATCCTGCAACATCGACGTTCCGTCTCGTCAAATGTGTTACCACACAAGATAGATGGAGAACGGACCTTGAGACCTTCAGGCCACGCCAGGGTTGCCTTTTCTTCGTGTTCCGATAGAGCACGATTATATATTAGGAAGTAAGGACCAGCACCCATGTGGAGGCCTGTTGCATCTGTTAAGACAATTTCCTCTGAGACCTATGTTGGTGGTGAATATGAGTCTTGAGCCCACAAAGTGAGTAGGGGAAGGCCATACCTCGGTGACAGTATAATCGACGGTCTTCCACCATCGCGAGCCATGAGAGATGTACGAATAGAGATGGGATCTTCCGGGTATGCCATCGTGGATGAATACAGCACGGAGATCGTACTGTACAGTGACCCGTCATTGTCAGTATCAGCGCTTCCGGTACTCAAAGCATGAGAAAAAAGTATTCTCACTCGTTGCTGTTGTAGAGCTGGGTCGTCGAAGAGTTTGACGGCCTGTTCTTGGAGATTGCTGACTTGAGTTTGAATAGCTGTTCTCCCAGGTCAGAGAGTGTATCGGAAGATAGGCAAAAGAAACATTCGTCGAGTCACTTACTCTCCAATTCGTTCTCTATCCGAGTCACGATCTTGCGCAACTTCATGGCGGCACGTTCGATAATCAGCTTACGTTCCGGGTCTTCCTTGTTTGCGACATTCTCGAAGTAATATAGTGTCGCGTACAAGTCTTTCAGGTTCTCTTTGCCCTATTAACAGCCTGATCAAGACATGCGAGCATCAACCAAGAGAATCGGAACCTACATTTGTGTGTGTCAGTGCGCTCTTCTTCGAGATCAGCCTTTGCACCTCCTCCTGAATGTCCTTCTGCTGTCTTTTCTTCTGCATCGCCAGCTCCGCATTCTCCTTCATAAACCTATCGAGGTACAAGTGTTTCGGGTATTCAAATCGTTGCCTCGGTGCAGAGTTTCCCGTATACAATGGAAGAGATTCGTGACGGACGAGCTGAAAAGCAACAACGTCAGACGACTCGAAGATGACTTGCTGGGCCATGCCGAGGCCAGTATGAGAAAGTTGATCGGAGAGACAAGAGATGAGGTCGTGACTAGGTTCGCCGTCGCGGATGTCGACTCTGACGACGGCTTTGTCGATGCGGCTGTCGAGCGGCAATGTATTGGGTTCCGAGTCTTTTGGGCCATATCTAAAGTGGAACAGTCTGAGGAACGACGTGGTTAGTGTATAGTAGGGAGAACGACGGGGTACTGTCGTTACCTGGGCCATTGGTGGGATTGGCTAGCGGCCTGGCTGAACACTATTTGCTCTATTTGAAGCGCCAGCTTACTGAAGAGTTCTGTCCTTCAGTTAGCTCCCCTCCAGTAAGGCTGTCGTCGTGTGGATTCACGATGGATATAAGACGAGCACTTACGGAAACAAACTTCTCCAGGACTTTCGGTGCCGTCTCTCGGGGTGCCGGCGGAGAAAGCCTCGATCAAGATGTCGGCAGTCATGTTGTTGGCGACACACACATCCATATAGACAAAGGATTCTACTAAAAGCATTATTGCGGCTTCTATAAACACGCGATTAGCACATGGCTTCAGGAAACATATCTAGAAAGTCAAGCAAACCAGGTGTTCCTTTCGGCGGGTCAGGAGTAATCGTGCTCCACTGGCACAGACATCGCCTGACTTGTGGCACGAAGAACAGACCCTGAAATAAGAGGCTCGCGTACGTGCACAGGGCATTCGTAGCGCGGAGCGCCACAGGACTTCATGGATAGGTAACAAGATGTGAGTAAACGTGAAGTCAGCTACAACAAAGGTGTGAACATTACCGGTCGTCTTTCCGAATCGATTCTTCTGGTGGCGGATTCACCAGCTCCTGCTCGACATAATCACGGTACGTTGTATTCAGGCTCTCTTGGATAGCGCGGTTCAGAGTCTGATCGTCTTGGGATATACCCGCCGGGACTTCTGCCTAATGGAACTTAGCAAGAATTTTGGATGACGAGGGTCACTGTCACATTTTACCCACGTTGGATGATACTACGGCCCAGTTTGGGTCTGGGGCTCGATTGCTTGGACCAAAAGTAGTGGTAGTTGCTGTCTCCAAAGAGGCCTCAAGAGCCCTCTTGAAATCTTTGTCCTCGTCAATCGTGAGATCTATCACAGACTGATTTTGTTCAGGTTTGGAAGCTACAATGACAAAAATGATTATTTCCCCAAGGATTTGAGCCAGTCTGAGTGGAAACCTACGAGGAGGAGTTCGTGGGCCACTAGTCGGATTCGATGTCTCATGCAGTGCGCCAAAGCCTGCGGGCCACGTCGCATCTTCTCCTCGTAGATCGTTATCGAGAATAGAGGCAGCCGCCTTTTCCGGATCACCTTGTACACTATAAGAAACCCTCTACCAGTACAAGAGTGAAATTCGGTTACCCTTGTGTCTTCGAAGAACGCGTCTTGCAACTTGAGGGTCGAGATCCCCCATCATCATGACAAGCATGTTGACATGCTCTTCTTCCTGCGGATCGACCATATCACAATCTGATATTTGTCTCGTATTCGGTGAGCTGCAAGAGGGAGAGTATGATAGCGGTCGATGAGAGTGACGCAACTCGAAACAACGATTTATTCCCAAGTGGCGTTGGGACAAAGCGCCAACCAATGGGACCGGGACTTGCCGCCATATTCCAAGTCCGCTGTTATAAACTCCCTCTTTTTGAACCAATTCTGAACGACTCGTTGTGCGGTTTGGAAGTTCGAGACTCGGTCGACAAAGGAAGTGAGTAGCGTATGACTGGGTCTCGGAGATCAGAGCAGATGTTTCCACCATTTGCAGACGCGCGTGACAGGATGTATATTACCAATTTATTGCACGGATCTGCTGGAGTACTCGACCTACAACTCGAAAGCTCTGATGAGTGTAACGTTGTCATCTCGTCCCTCGTCCTCGTTCTATAGCTATATCGTGCCCAAGTTTCCTCCTGGAACCTCTGCATACGGGCCGATCGTTATAAAATTCTTGAAAAACATCTGATTTTTTTCTGGAGACCAATGTCCTTCACCCTCGACGTCTTGCTCTACCGTACCTGAATCGAGTATAAGAAACCATTATATGTCTTCACAGATGAAGTTTACACGAATCAACAGTCTTTTTTTTTTTTAATAAGATAAGGTAGGTTCAATGTTCGCGAGTTGGGTAATGCTACTGAAGATTCGTTCCGAGCCATAAGCTGGCGTTGGACGTGGCACTAGGGGAGCATAAACGATAGTTGTATAAGTGTTTTTAGGCCGGGCTAAAGGAGGTTTTAGTAGCAGGAACCACGCTGAAACACGTCGACGTCGGAGGGAGTAGAGCACTGGCAGGTGCCGCTCTTTGTGTCGCCTTGCCGTCGGCAATCAAGAACGCGGAGGAGTGACCTGGAGGCGGAAGGGACTGACTATGGGAACTACTCGGCTATCTTCGACAAACATTCCTCATATATACCAGTCCTTATCGTTCCTCAATGAGTTTCTCGTCTTCGCTCTGTCCTTGGTCTGTAGACCGCTACATCTCTCTTACCGCCTAGCAGAAAAAATCTTGAACTCTAACCCGTCATGGCAGCGCCTTTTGAGATCCCGCTCATCGAGTACGCTTCGCGACATGTTGTGCTGCCCACTATTCAGCACTGATGTAATGCATCTTCAGCTTGCAGTCGTCAACACCCGCCGATCTGCTACATGCTATGAGCACTTGTGGTTTCATCCATCTCTCTCTGAATGGCACTCCTTTGACGATGGACGACGTTCGCCACACCTTTGCGCTCTCCAAGAAACTCTTCGACGAATTGCCCCTATCCGCTCGTGCATCGTGCCCGCAGGATGCCGACTATAATGGTCATGTCCCACTTGGAAAGTCGAAGCTTGCTGCTGAGCATGGTCAGAAACTGGCAGACCATAAGGAGGGCTTTGGCTTCGGACGGTTCGATCCACCGAGGACTCGTGCGTAGAAATCCTATGTCCAATTGCCGAAGACTTATGTTCATTATCCTCGCAACTCAGGCTCGGGACAACCCCTTCCCACTGGGTTTGAGGTCCATCGCGAGGACCTCGAGTCGTTCAAAGACAAATGCTACCAGACCATGCTTCTGCTTCTCGACGCCCTCTCCACCGCTTTCGACGTGAGTGTCTTCAGAAACCTCCCATGAGTTTGCCCTGTTAACATAGGACTCAAATATTGTCATATTTTTACTCCAGCTCCCCTCCAACTTCTTCCGTTCTTGCCACACCAACCCTGGAGCAAGCGGTCTCTCCCTCCTCAATTACCCACTTCCACCTGCCGGCCTAGCTTCTCTCTCAGAGGCCGACATCCGCGCAGGTGCTCACAAAGACTGGGGGAGTGTTACATTACTCTTTCAAGAAGAAGGCGGTCAGTCTGGTCTTGAGGTCTTCAAGCCTTCGTCGACCGTGAAGCAAGACGGTGTAGCGTTGATGTCCCAAGTGGATCTGGAAGCTGGTACGTCACGGCACTTGTATACTCGACCTCACCCCATCCGCTCGAGCACTGACACTTTCATCTAATGTAGGTACATGGCACCCAGCTCCCATCATCCCCAACACAGTCCTCATCAACCTAGGGCTTATGATGGAAGCCTGGACCGCAGGAAAATGCATCGCTACCCTCCACCGTGTTGTCTTCCCAAAATCCCTCGTCGCTCAACCGATAACTCGACCACGCAAATCCATAGCCTACTTCGGAACACCAGATCCAGCCACCATACTCAGACCCGTGCGTGCAGGTGGTCTGGTTGAAGAGAAGGAGGGAGCCCCGAGTGTGAAGGAGTTCTTCGACGAGAGGATGAGGTTGGGCTATCCAGAGCCTAAGCCCGTCAGTGCGGCCGCTTAGTGGCGATAAGATGTTACATGGGTCTGATGGGTCTACTATTTTGTTGTCTCTGTTTTGGGAATCGGCCTATTTCTGTCAAGCTGTCTTCGATAGTGATGCATCAATAGAATCAATGGTGTGGCACCGATATGGGGCCACACGAATCACTTCTCCTGGTCAACGACAAAGTGCAGAACCAATATACTCGCAAGAGAGATCTTTTCGAGGTTACACTAAGCTGGCGTGAGAGCAGACCTGCTCAACCCTTTTCTTGCAAGTGACTCGATGTCCACAAAGGGATCATGATTTACTTACGACAGCTGCCAGCAAGCGACCGCAGGCAACGGATCTTGACTGCATCCTCTTCCACCCATACACTCTGCTCCTGAGTCTTCAATTTTCAAGTTAGCCCTGATAAGTGCCTCAGCAGTGAGCATCGACTTATAAAGAGTAGAGGAAACCTCAAATTTAGTCATTACCGCGGCTAAAGCCAGTACCAGTTTAGCTGTAAGCATCCTGTTTACTCCGTCATCCATCACTTCAAGCGTCGACTCGTTAATCCCACCTATCCCCTTTATCATTGCAACACATCTCGCAATGCATCTCCGCAAACGAAACCTCACCGATATCATTCGCAGCTCTTCCCGTGACGACCCTTCTCCGTGAAGTGCTTCAAAGTACAAAACACGTCTGGGCCACATTAGACGCCCTCTGTGCTCTCTACCGTCTTTGTCCACACCTTTGCTTCTTTCTCTCCTCTACGCTTTCTTCTGGCATCTTTGTCCTCTTTCTCAGTCATCCGCCACCTTTCTATCTACCTTGACCTCCAACGAACACAGAAACTCTTGGAGAATACCTGAAAATCGCCGGGCACACGACCAACGATGTTCACGAACGTACATGTGTCGCCGGATGCGCCAGAGGAGGAGCAGCCTACCATAGGGCTGATTGGTATGGGTGCGATGGGAAAATTGTACGCGAAGTGTCTCTCGAAGGGTGGTTGGAAGAAGTGAGTTCACTTTGTTTTATGATATACTTCCCTGTGGTTTTGTTTCACCGTTAGTTGGATTTTATGGGCTGTCTGCTTCTCTTTTCCACCAATCACAATCATCTCTGTAGAACGGATGTAGAGGGTGAGGTCGAGACGAAATGACGGATACTAAATAGGGGCTTTCGTTGGAATTGTTCAGGATTCACGTCTGTGACCGACCGGACCTGTTCGAGGATCTCAAGAAGGAGTGGGAAGGTGTGTGTGTACCCTTCATACTTCTATATCGTCCATGTCTCTGTCAAAATATCGGTGCGGGGTCTCACTTGGGGCTGACATCACGCTTTGATTTTTTTTCGTCGGTAATCGGTTTTCAGGTACCACAGGAGTCAAAGTCCTTCGGGATGGTCATCACGTCTCAAGGACGTCGGATTTCATAGTGTACTCCGTCGAGGCCGAGTACATCGATAGAGTCGCTGCAGAGTACGGACCATGTCAGTATCATTCGCGCTTCCTTTCCGTTTTTCGTTCAAGTTCCCCTTGATTTCTTCCAAGCTGACATACTTCTCGATACGCACGCCCGTGCTCGTATTCGCGATGTGATGTGTAAAAATCAACTGGATGACAGCCACGAAAGTGGGCGCGATCGTGGCAGGGCAGACGAGCGTCAAGGCTCCCGAAAGAGCGGCGTTTGAGAAACATTTGCCAGAAGACGTGCATATCGTTTCTTGTCACTCCTTGCATGGACCGACAGTAAATCCGCGGGACCAGCCCTTGGTACGTATTCACCGCAGTTCGCCCTATACGTTTCCTTTGCTTGAGCCAAACTGACTTGACAGTTTTGCGGAATGGTGTGGTGGATCGAACTGGGCTGGGCTGGCCCATGCAGGTCTTGATCAAGCATCGCGGGACGGACGAAGCTCTTGCGTTGGTCGAGAGCATTCTGAAGCCTCTTCAATCAAGATATGTCTACATGTCGTATGAAGAGCACGATCTCGTCACAGCGAACACTCAAGCTGTCACTCATGCTGCATTCCTCAGGTAAACTGCCCACCCAATCCGCGCCCGTTCGAGTACACTAACGCTAACTCCCCCTCCTCTCAGCATGGGAACAGCCTGGGCAAGCGCACAATCCTACCCGTGGGAGCACGGGCTCTACGTCGGCGGGATCGAGACCGTAAAAGTAAACATCATGCTCCGCATCTTCTCCAATAAATGGCACGTCTACGCTGGTCTCGCCATCCTGAATCCGTCCGCGCGAATCCAGATCAAACAGTTCGCGCAGTCGACAACGGACATCTTCAAACTCATGCTCGCCGTGGACGAGAAGGGGCTTCGGGAGAGAATGTACGACGCACGGAGGAAAGTTTTCGGGAGCACGCATCTACTCGATGGAGCCGAAGGAGGAGAGACGAGGGCGCCGATTTTATTGAGTGAGGATATTTTGGACGAGTTCAGTCTAGGTAGGAAGAGACCGGATACGCCTCCGGACAGTGTGGCCACCAGTACGGCAGGAACGGGCGAAGTAACAGGAACAGGGAACATCTCACCCAACAAACCAGCAAGTAACTCGCATCTCTCCCTACTCGCCATGGTCGACTGCTGGGCCCGACTCTCCATCAACCCATTTCACCATCTCGACCTCGCCGCCACGCCCGTCTTCCGCATGTGGATCGGCGTCGCCGAGTATCTCTTCCGATCCGAAGCGCGCTTGGACGCTGCGATCCACGCTGCGTTGTACGATACGTCGCATAGGTACGATGATGTCGAGTTCGTGGTCGCTAGTAGGGGGTGGAGTCAGTGTGTCAGTTTCGGGAGCTTTGAGCTTTATAGGCAGAGGTTTGAGGAGACTGCGAAGTTTTTTGAGCCGAGGTTCGAGGAGGCGGGGAAGGTGGGTAGTGAGATGTTGAAGGTGATTACGGATAGGTCGTTGCAGTTGCAGACACCGAAGTGAAATCCTTATCATGTACAGCACGATCTTGATTTTGTTGTGCTGTTGCCGTATCCAATTGCCTATTATGTATTGCATGAGTGGTGTGAAGGAGTCTACGATCCTACAACAGTCTATCATAGCATGAACGACAGCGACCTGGAAATGAGAGCACAAGTGTACCGAAAGAGAAAAACCAAAGCAATGGTAATCCCAACTATGAGTACCTCTTCATGAACCCAATATGGAACTTCTCCAACTTCGCCACATACTCCTCCACGCCCGGACACAAACACGTCAACCTATAATGCGCCTCGCCATCCTTCTGCCCGAACCCACTCCCAGGAATCACACAAATCCCCGTCTCATCCAACAACTGCAGCGCATAAAACGCGTCCGGCTCCTTACCCGCCTCCTTCGCCGCCTTGATCGCCTTATCCGGCAAGTCCAACTTCGGGTACAGATACAGTGCGCCAGGCGAATCGACACAGGACGCGCCAGGAAGCTTGTTCAGCCTCTCCGCCATGATCTTCGTGCGCGACGCGAGCGCCGCGTGGGTCGAGTCCGTCTCTTCCTTCCACAGCGGATAACTCTCCTCACCCTTCTTGGGCGGGCGGACCATGCAGTCGACGCCGATCTGGCCGGCGACGGGCGGACAGAGCCCGACGGAGACCATCTTATACATCGTCGCGATGACCTCGTCGTCGATGTTCGTGCACTCGAAGTATCCGCCCCGACGACCGCATTCGCCCGTCACGCCCTTGGAGATGGAGTGGAACGAAACGAGGCCGATGGGCGATTGAAGGTCGCGGACGACTTTCTTGAAGGAGGTGAAAGGGTGCGTGGTGGGTTTGTGGAGATTGGTTTGGTAGACTTCATCCGCGAGAAGGACAAGACTGTGTTTCTCGCATAGATGGACGACTTTCTCCATCGTCGGGACATCGAGCAGGGAACCGGTGGGGTTTCCGGGGTTGATGATCACGAGGGCGCGAACGTCGACGTTGTCGGCGACGGCTTCTTCGACTGCGTGTTGGATCGAGTGCGGGTCCGTGGCCCAGTCGGCTGCTTCTTCGAGGTGGTAGGGGATGGGGAGACCGTCGAAGGCGGCGAGCGTGGCGGTGTAGAGAGGGTATTGGGGGATAGGGATGAGGATACCGGTCTTCGGGTGCGCGATGAGCATGGAGATCAGGAGGGAGACTCCGGCGGAGGCACCTGCGGTGAGGAAGATGTGGTTTGGATCGGAGGGGTAACCATCGCGTTCTGGAGAGGGGCGTTAGTGGCTGTATCTTATGACTGTGGAAGAGATAAGACGACATTGGGTAGAGTATATCCCGTTCATTCCGTGAAGACAGGAGACGAAAGAAAGGATGTGGCATGAACACCCTTTAGCTTTGTAGTTCGGTACAACGCAGGGCCACATTACAGATTGCGCCACACGAATATGAAAGACGAGACCGTCTACAGTTTCGCACATCGAAGTCTTGGTATGTAGCTTCCAGCACTCGTCTGGAACGCTCTGCGAGACTTTCATGGAGCAGCAGAGGTAAACTTCCCCAAGGATCCCTTCAGGACCCATACGTAACACCGAAACGCGGGGTAAGTCGGGTGTATGTAAACATGGCCAGCTCTCGACCCGCAGCGTGTTCAGAACGCGTCGAGTCATTTCATTACGGGGGGTTCATCACACCACAAGCAGACGGAACAAGAAGAAGAAAAAGTGAGCTCACCTTCGATGAACCTCGCAACACTCTGTCGGATGAACGGCACGCCCTGCGAATGCGAGTACGCGCCCACCGAGCCGATCTCATGCTGAAGCTCCTTCGCCCGCGCAATCACGTCCTTTGGGAACGCGTGGCCCGCGATGTTCGCCAGCTCCGGCCATTCCATCAATGCCGCGACCTATAAGGCGCAAATACAACCCCACGAACGCGTCGTCCATTCAGTAACGGACAAACCGAACGGGACATAACGGAGGGTGTGTGGGTAAGGGCAAGAGTCCAAGAACGCACCTGTCGGTTGAACGTGATGGGAGGCTGGTCCAGTCCCTTCTGCTGTGGGTTCCCGATATTCGAGGAGACGACGGTGTCGAATGGCAGACCATGGTCGTCCTCCTTCAATTTCTCCCTGTGCACCTCGGCCTTGATAGCGAGCTCGCCACGGACGGCATACTGCACGTTCTTGATCGAAGGGTTAAGCTGGTCAACGTGAAGTCTCCTCATGTTCGGCGTAGAGTGAAATCCGCGATGTCTCGAGGTGGAGGTGGAGGAAGGGAAGAGGGAGACGGCTGGACAAGACGGGGATTTTAAGGAAGCTCTGGCGGATGCACGAGCGAGGGAGCGTGTTCCGGAGATCATGAGATGAGATGGCTGGATCCGTTCTGCAAAGGGTCACCAGGTTGCGGTGTTCCGTCGATGTGTTATGGGGATGAGGGGGTCCGGATTTATGGGGCGGCTGGGTGTCGCTTTTTAGTAGAAGGATAGGGCAGGATAGGGCTGTCCAAGGGGTAGCGCCGTACGATAGTATGTACGTGAACAGAAAAGCCGACGCCGACCAATCCGATTTACCACCGATTTTTTGGGTCGTTTCAGACCTTTTCAGACGCTGAGGACGGAGAGAACAGGACGGACGGAAAAAGGACTCGAGTCACTCACCAGAACAGCACTTCCGGCCGACGTGCAATATTTGAATTCGGCTTTACTGACTGCAGCGGTCCTTCTCGCCGGGGCGGGCCACACTCGCTCCAATATCGCTGCTGGACGAAGGGCATAAGTACTTGGCGTCTCGAATAGCTGAGCTTAAGTATGATATAGGTATGATAGCAAAAGCAGAGCACTGGTAGAACTAGTGAGGCGACGATGTCCGAGGTTGCAGGCAAACAACGAGCGAGCCGTTCCGAGCTCCCCCCTCCTTGATCACTATCCATCTCCCTAATCTTGTCTCTTGTCCCAAACCAGCGACCAACACCACAGGCGCAACGCTAGACTTCTTGCTCGACACACCAACTTCCCCACTCTTCTCTGATCGTGCCCACTCCACACCATCGAAGGAGCCTTTAGGTGGCGTGATGAATTGTAGGGAGTTGATCACGCCAGGTGCCGGGACTGAACCAACTAGAGAGAACGAGCGAAGCTTCGTGTCTAGCTTCCACAGTCGTATCTCTCCGTCCCATGACCCTGTGGGCAGATACAAAATCGTCAGTTCATAATGAAGGAAAGAAAAAGCGATTTGTCCTGACCTGAGGCGAACAGGTCCGAGTATCTCAGCGAACCGAGCGCAGTGATCCACCGCGCCGTCTTGATCGTCCCTTCTGACTCAGATTCGGCCTCGTTGAATCCATGAGCCAATGCCTGCGTGAACACCGGCTTTTTCTTCAACGTCGTCCATAGACATATTGACCTATTCCAGTCAAAAGGATCAGTGAACGCCACACAGACAGATATCAAGGTATAGACTCACCCGCTATCGCCGCCCGTAAGGAACGTTGTCTCATCCACCATAGATATACACTCCAGGCTTCCCTCCACAAATCTCTTCTGTTCACCCTCCTTCTTCGGTTTCTTCACTACGACCCCATCGCCGTCCTCTTCTTCATCCATGCCCTCCAGAGCGCCACCCTCTAGCAACTCACGTACCGCACTCCGTCCTCCGCCACGGAAGACCAGCTGTGTCTCGTCCACGATCTTCCAAAACCTCGCCGTCTTGTCCCGTCCACCAACACTCGCAGCAGTTTCAGCCCGAAGCGCATCCACCGCCAATACCGAATCTTGGTGTCCAAACAGCGTCTCGACGTAGCCCAATACAGATAGGTCAAACAGCTTGACCGTCCGATCAAAAGACCCGGAGTATAGTTGTTGAGTCCCTTTCCGGAATGCGAGTGACTATCGCCGGCGAAATGAAATGAACATGAACATGAATACGAACTCCCGAAGGTTCAAATGAGTTGAGGGATTTACGCACCGAGATAGTATCCCTATGCCCACCAAATCCCTTCACCCACTCCGCCTTCTCCACGTCCCAAACACCCACCCTCCGATCCTTCCCCGCACTCGCCAAATATCTCCCGTCCCCACTCACCGCCAACGCCAACACCTCATCCGTATGTCCCTTCACGTCCCCACCGTCGTACTCTGCCCTCTGCTTGCCCTTCCCTTTCGCTTTATTGTTATTACGAGGGGTCTCCGGTCGTACTTTGGATAGTGTGGCGAGCCGAGCACCTGTGTGCAGATCCCATTTAATTATGGAGCCTTCTTTACCGGCGGTGAAAAGGTATCGCGAATCTTCGGTGGCGACGGCGGATGTTACGGTGAATCGGTGACCTCGAGTCCGTAGGGAGGGTGGCGGACGGGTGAAGTCGAACTGAGACGCCGCATGAGGGGCCACATACACATAATTGTAAGGAGCGCAGAGGGGATGGGACGTACCGAGTCCGCGATGAATAAATGGACTTTCCCCGCATGTTCCATCACATCTTGTTTTAGTCGTGCAGAGATGAGCTCCTTATCAATCTCCGCTGCGTCGAACTCGCCCTCCGCTATACCATGCACCACAACCATCAAACATCCTTTCAGTACACAGTACGCATCCAAACAAACCAGTTAAAAGTGAGAGAGCAAGAAATCAAAACGCACCCAAACCATCCTTAACAGACTCCAAATACAACTTCGCCAACCTCAGCCTCTTCTCCGCCGGCGTCTCCTCCTCGTCCTCCTCCCCACTCTCATTCGGATCCACCGCGTCCGCTCTCAGATCCATATCGTCAACTCCACCGCCCTCCGCACCGTCCGTGGCGTCGCTCTCGAGCTCTTCATCGCGCGGCCCTTTGGACTTTCCTTTGCTTTTTGTGTTTGTTTGGGGACGTCCGCCTTTGAATGAGGAGGAGGTTTTGGATGTGGATGTGGATGTGGATGTGCGTGCGGTTTTGCGGGGTCCGGCGGAGTCGGTGCGCTTGCGTTTGCGGTTTTTGGGGGCGGAGAAGAAAGCGTCGGGCATCGGGTTTGATTTTGTGGGCTACCTTCACGGTAAGATAGATCGTGATAGAAGCTTGGGAGGTGGAAAGGAGAATGAGGAAAAGGAAAAAAGGATGGGATTCGTAGGAACTCAGAACGGTACAAGAACGCGACTTTGGAAAAATTCTGGATGGTGTGGCGTGCGGGATTTGCCGTTCCAGGTTCGGAACGGAGGGTGGCGCTGGCACCCCTGTCGTTCGACCGCCACTCCCCCTGCTCTACAGTTGCCTCCAGAAACACTTTCATTGTCGAACCACCCTCAGCTGCCTTCCTATATACTTGCGGATCGTAAACTATTTTGAAGTCCACTGCCCAAAGGATGCTGCATCGTGCGAGGTCTTCCGACGCATACTACTATTCAATGATTGGCGCCATGAAGCTGCCCTCAAAGTTGTTTTTATGCGTTTGAAGTAGACCTCTAACAAGGAGACGTACCGAATCAAGAAGAAAGAGGGGTCCAAGATGGCAGTGAGTCCTAACAGGTTGTTTTCGATAGACGGTGCATCACCCCGAAAGACCCTTTGCCTTCCTTTCGAACCATACCGTGCCTCCCTCCAACGCGCCCTATCACCCTCATCATTCGTATCTTCGCGGGGCTCGAACAGATCCGTCTCTTGGCGGAATTCATCATTGCATCTTCAAGCTGAGATGGGCGTATCATTTGTGGGCACATAAATAGTAACGGGGGTAACAACGCGATTATGACTACACTGCCGTCGAAGAGTCCAAAGCTCTATTTGGGTGGATGGGTGAGCTATTTGGTGGGGGTAGAGCTGATGGGTCTTACATCATTTCTGCCCAATCGATAGATCACTTCCCAGATGCGATGATATCTGCACAAAGGCGACGGGGTCGACCACGACAAACCACATGTATGACCTATTATTCATACCGTCCTGGACTGTTTCGCTGTGCGTCAACACAGCCCATGTAGCGCGTCCGAAATGATATGAGCATTCTCTACGAGTCCCGGTCCTACTGTACTTTTCCGACCAAAGGTTCATCAAAATTTTACGGCACCCATCACTTTCATTCGGGTCACGTTCAAATCACGGTTCATTCACTGCGCGTTATGCGTGATGTCACGCAGCTTTTTGTTCTGTTCATCACCACGGAGTACGCGTGACGAACCTTTGGTCGGAAAAGTACAGTATTCCTACACAATGCAGTTCCAGCATATCGACATCACGCAGCTCAAGATGGGTGATACGAAATATATATCCTCTTTCCCTCTTTCCATGACCGACTCATCGATGCTCCAGTACGATTTTCTTGTTTACGGCGACTGATGTGAGTTTATAGTTGGACCGAGGCTATAAAGCCGGTTTTAGCCCATCATCGTGCAACGGCACTGTTCCTCTGCCACTCGATGTCCGTCCCTCAATGTTTCGATCCAGTGAAAGGTCTTCTTGATGATCCAGAAACTGTCGTTCAACAGACTATCGGGAGACTGGGATCATTGGTATCTTTTCGTCTAATATCTGTTGCTGTCGAGACTGGACTTTATGGTGAACCATCCTTCTTCTACTCACGCATCACTTCCCTACCCCTGACTGCATGTAGGATTATCAACCGCATTGTTCTTACTTTCCATGTGTCTGGTCATGTAAGTACCATATGCTTCTCATGCTGCCTGTATAGCTCATATTTTTCTTTTTGTTTTGATGAAGGCGTAACGGCCTGAAAACTACGGGCCACTGGCTACTCGTGCTAGTGACCGCCGCAATGTTTGGAGTAGTATCTTCCCATCTTGTGTTGAACTGGATCGAAACCATGTCATCTATTAAAGATAGGGTCACATCTGTCATCAGTGACGCAGTAAATAGTGTTTCCTGTCATAGTGTGGTTATAAACACTGGTCAGAAGAAGGCGACCTCCCAGATGGAAACGGTTGCTCAAGTTCTTCTGTCGATTTTCAACGTATGTGTCTTACACATCTCACATATATTGACATTGTAGAATTCAGGTATCAACCTTCAGTTTGCTCTGGGCGACCTGGTCGTCATATGGCGAGTTTGGGCTATATGGAAGCCTTCCATCATAATCCCAGCATTGCCTGGTACATTGCTCCTTGCAAGTTTCGGTATGTCCCAGCCTACCAGTGTAATATCACTCTCAATGATTATCATGCTTTCGTCTGTGCTCAGTCACCGCTATCGCAACCAGTTTCTCCGATGGCAAGCTATATTATGTCCCCGGCAACGAGGCGGGCCAACACAGCCAGTACGTAGCATTGGGTATGATGTTCGCCACAAACATTCTGTCGACGCTACTGATCGCTATAAAGACATGGTAAGTTCACATGTGCCTGTGGCCAGCATTAACATGCTTAATTTTTTTGGGTTATAATAGGTCACATCGCCTTACCATGAAGGCCTTTGTCGCAAGTCATGGAAAGAGTTCAAGAACCAAAGTCGAAGCAGTACTTGCGCTTCTGACTGAATCTGGCGTCATATACTGCATTATATGGGTATTTATTCTTTCTGAAGCTCGTGGATGTGATGTTCACAATCTGACAATTTCAACCACCATCCAGGTTGTGTATGCGTGTGCTATGAGCCAAGTGTATAGCGTCCAAGGTCCCTCCCTTTGGGCGAATATCATGGGGGCTTGCATGATTCAAATTACGGTCCGTTCACTTCGTTGCATGTCTCTGCAAACGGTACGTACTGACAGATATGAACATTCACCAGGCTATATATCCTACGACTATAGTCATTCTGATTGCACTACAGAAAACAGCATGGGATATGGGGATCAGCCACAGTTCAATCAATTTATCGACGTGATGATAATATATCATGCCCCTTCTGTTCCCCTTAGACAATTGTGGTTGGACTGCCAGTACCTAGGAGTGGATATAGACATAATATGGGATGAAGTTATGCGCCAATCTAAACTTTCAAGTAGAAACCTGATGAAGAGGAAGCGGAGAGTGCAGGGAATTCGCCTTCGCTCGACTAGACGGTGTTCACGAGGCCGGCACCGGCCGGCGGCAAAAAAGACGCCGAACCAGACGCGGGGCGCCACACTTCAACAGCTTGCTCTTTCGCATCAACTTGAATCAGTCTCACTTGGCTAAGTTTTGGACTGTTCCCTCAGAAATTACAGACAACTTGGAAGTCCTTCTGTTTTTCTGGAACCGATAATGTTCTTCTCGTTTCTGCCGGTCAGGCCTCCGGCTTGGTGATCTCGTGTCTCAGGCCTCCGTCTTTATGCACCCAACGTACATCTCGCCTGCCCGCCAGGCTGGGGAGGTCTCACCCATGTCTTTGGCCTTTATAATGTAGCTTCCTCCCTCTAGCTTTCAATATTCTATCCTCATACTCGGTCGTCTCTCACGTGAAGCTCCAAGCCCAAGCAAATATCCTCCTCAGTCCGATGGCTTACTACGTTCAATCTCCCTTCACTCCCTGGGCCCAATACAGCACTAGCAACTCGGCCCACCTTTCACCCTTCCATACCTCCTTCACCTCGTTCGACTCCCAGCCCCAGCCATCCACAGTCCTCGCAACATCCCCACTCTCCTCCTTCCCTACAAGTTCCTCGATATCCTCCCTCAACTCTCTTTCATCCACCGTAGGAAATTATGATCCCTCCCAAGAAGAACTTGATCACTTCGATTCTCCCAAGGACCCTCAAGGTCTCTCTGCCCCGACGGCTTTCCAATCCAGTTATCAGTCCAGCTTCACCATCACTGCCTTCCGCTCGCCCGAAAGTAGGCGGATCATCCAACGTCGTCCCGGTTTCTCCGTTTCCGCGGGCTCGAAAGAACTCGTCATCCTGGCTACTCGAAATGAGCGTCAGAAACGCATCAACGAGCTCACGAGGCAGGTGCTCTTCTCCTCCGCCAATCCTAGACAACAACATTCCGCGTACAAACAACAAACCCAATATACAACTCAACCTCCCATCCATTCCAATGCCAACACCAATCTCAGCCCTCCTCGTGGACGTCTTGTTCGTGGTGGTGCGCGGCCGGTGTCGTCGGAATCGCACAACCGGGTCACGATGTCTCCAATGTCGTATTCCCCCGCATCCACTCCAGGCCTGCGTCTCGTGAACCATGGCGTCAGACAGGAGCGTTCACGCCGAGTTGAAGAGTTTGAGCCTCAGGAGGAATTGGAGGAGCTGGACATAGTGGACATTGGAAGTGCCACGGACGTATCGACATCGGTGTCGTACGATATAAGGAGGTCGACTGGCGTAGGAGGGTTAGGTCTGGGCGTGGGATTGAGCCCTATCGGGCCAAGAGTAGAGGTCGACAGGAATAGCTGGCAGCCACATCGCCCGGCTTCGCTCGATGGATCAGACGACATCGATGAAGTCTTCACGCCGACTGTCATTTACTCAACGTCGCGCCAACGGCCCTCTTCGAAGGTTTACTCCAACGAAGACTACCCATCCTTTGCGCCCAACGTTCGCCGCAAGCACGCTAACGTGGACGAGGACAAAGAAAACGGTCTCGAGACGGCGTCTATGTCGTCTTCGTCTTCGTCCACGTCACTCTCCTCCCTTCGTCGTCTCGCGATCGGATCGACCCTCGTCAAGGGTGTCGTTCATCGCCTTAGCCAACAATTTTCGTCTCCCAAATCTCCTTCGAAGTCACCGTCGACCGCGGTCTTCACGCCTGCCCCTTCCCTCACCTCAAAGTTCTCATCCAGGGCGAACTCCAAGCCTACAAGCAGGAGTAAGGGCAGGGGCGGGCGTAAGTCCAAATCCATACCGAAATTTGAGGTCGACACTACTGCGACTAGTGCTCCCCGGCGAAGGTCATATACCTCAGAGCCCTTCGGACCCGGGTCTTTTGGAATTGGAAGTGATTGCGAGAATGTGATGGCTGGTCGCGGCGGTTACGTGGCGAAGAATCCGGAGATTGAGCATTGGCCGTCCGAGTCGGTGTCGAGGGCTTTCGGCAGGAGAATTTTGTGAAGGATATCGACTCTCTCATCTGGTCGTCTTGATGCTCTGCTCTCATGTGGTTTCAGTTCCTGGCTGAATATACCAATCTGGTTGCAGGCCATTGCCTATATTAAAGTCTCTTTTTTGGGAGATGCGTGAAAAGTCCCCGTCAGAGTCTGGCCCATCTGAAACTCTAGCTTCATGGTTCACTACATGCTCTGTCACTTAGCTCAATTCTCAGTCTCGCATATTTCTCGCACAATAGTCCACGCATTGTACGACCCGTGAGTTGCCTCCTGCTCTGTCTCGGTCGCTCAGTACTATTTTTGCACCACTGATCATTTGTCGTCGAATTACAGCATCTGTATCCGTGTGGCTTCACTTCCCAAGCGCCCGTATGCATCTCACGGATTTCTTAACCTCCCCTCTTTTGGCCACATTCACCGACCGTCTGACTTTTTCTTACTCCTTAGAAAGGCCCAGCATCAGCGCCATGACCATACCTTCCCAAACCGATTCTCGTCCAAGCTCTTGTCAGTCTTCTTCCCTTATCCCACCTGTTCGTCGTCAAGGCACTGGACGGGATCTCTCGTGAGCTGTGTAGACTGTATGATATGGTCTGGTACTCAGGGTTTCCATTCAAATTCAGTAGACTGTACTGAATAACCGTCGTTACGCCACATCACGGAAACTGATCATCTCCGGGCGCGTTCAAAAGAGATTGACGGCGGACGACCAATCACACACCGCATCTCGTACCGATCTCACAAGTCCCATCGAGCATACTCTCAGGTTGGTTCTTCTAGCTTGCGAACTCGCGCCCATATCATCATCATCGAAGGGGTGCCTATGGGAAAACAACTTATATACGTATCTCGAAGAGAGCCCGCATCTCGCATACCCACTTTGCTCCTTCTCAGGCTGGTTGGATCGCCCCGTTGACTGGTTGGATCGCCCCGTTGACGGTGGCCCTTCGTTCTTTTCTCAATCACTGTCTTTCGATATATCATCGCTGATTGTTGACCTGAGCATTGGACTCCAACGTCTCTTTCCCGATGCCTGTCCCCCGCCTTTTAAAAAAGCTGAGCTTTCACAAACTACGGAGTAAATCAGTCGACGACCTGCACGAAGACGACTGGGCTTTCTTTCCCGAATCGCCTCTTCCACCCGTACCCCAAATCCCCATCAATCCTCGCTCGCAGACCGAGCCTCGTCTCAACCTGCGCCAGGGATCCAGTAGCTCCAGCAACTCTGGGACGAATCTAACCGGGCCAAGCTCCAGAGCGTTTACCAACTCGCGGAGCTCTACGCTCGTCAGCTCTGGTTCCAGCGCGGGAACGCCATACACATACACCCGTTACTCTGAAAACCTTGATTTGCTCAAATATCATGCCGGTGATCATGGACATGCTGAAAACGGCGATCTCGAAGGTCCCATCGCACCCACGCCGGGCTTCAAAACTCAAAGAGCTGTTATATCTTCGTCTCCCGCGGCCATGGATTATTTCCCTAGCGCAGAATACGTCGCGGCCGGAACGACGGTTACAGCGTTAGCGGTGACGGAGTTTCGAGTCGAGGAGTCAGAGACGGAGGGCCAGGGCCACGATAGAGGTCTGACTTCTAGGAATCCCAGCCGGGAGATAGGTACAGGCCAGCTGTATCGTCAACATCATGAGGCGAAGTCGATCATAGACAACTCATGGAATATGGTAAAGGACGGGTCGAAGAAGATGGCAGGTGCGGAGGCGATGTTGAATACTATTGGTGCGTCTTGTCCTCAATTTATCATCTCTCGACATCAGTTTACAGTCAATATCGGTTTTACTGATACCTTTCCGACCCATGATGTGCATAGATGATACGGTCTCAAAACTTCAAGCGGGTAACTCAGCGCTGACGCCGCTGATCACTAGCGTCGAGACGGCGTTGAAAGACACGGGCGTGGTGGACATGGTTCAGAGCGGATTGGACCACTTTTTCGACGGGATGCCGGTCTTTATGAATGCGGTGGGACTTTCTCGGTAGTATCGCACCCTCGAGTATGTTTTCTGACGGTGTTTTCTAGTTGGACTCGGTAGCCAAGCTCCATCCCTTCATCGGAGGTATGTTTTATTATCTCAACTTGTAATGCGAGGTCGGAAATTCCTAATAGCTATGTATATCGTTCGATAGTCGCTGTGATGGCTTTCAAGGCCGTCTATACTCTGGAGCTCAAGCGTCGTGAGAACGAGAAGAAAATTATAGCTCTCTATGTCGAGATGAAGGACATGATGGGTGTTCTCCTCCAGTACGCCCTCTGCATTATTGCTATTGCCATATCCTAACAAAGCCGGTCTTCAATGCGCAGACTGCATGACGAACAATCAGTCGCGCCCGACGGACGTTCTATCGAAGACCGAATGTCTGCACTCGTGAACAAGACAGCCGACGACATCAAAACTTGCTCCAACGCCTGCGATACCTACTCAAAGAAGCGCCTACTCGCCAAAGTCTTCCAAGGCCCGATGTGGGACACCAAGCTCGTCGCATTCGCTGGATCGTTCACCAAGAGGAGGACCGAGTTTGAGTTCGCCTTATCAGTCCATACAGCCTTGGGCGTTGATCAGCTGAATTCAAAGGTATCATCTGTGATGGATACGACACAGATGATGAATCAAAAGTTCGTTGCAACATTTTACTTCACCTGTCATCCTTAATTTGGTTGTGAGGATATGCATTGGCTGATTGATGATGTGTTGCTCAGGATGGACCAGATGATGCAAATGTTCCAAACGCTAGTCAATCCGGAGATGAAGAAGCTCACTGCCGCCGTCGAGGAACACGGTGGGATCCAAGCTTGTATGGAGAACGAGTCCGTTCTTCGTGAGCTCAGCGGGTTTACCTCCAAACCTTCGAGCGCCAGCAAGGCTCGTCTTGATCCTGCCGCCACACGAGGTGGCAAGCGCGCTCGAGACGAGAATACGTCGGCGTTTGAGGAGCTGAAGGCGGATATCTATGATGACCCGGATGCTGCGATTGAGAAGAACATGGTCGTGTTTTCTCGCAAGTTCGAGATCCAGAAGCAGCAGATAGTGGCGGAGTTGACGTTGGTGGTTCAACACGAGGGTGACAGAGTCATTGAGGCGGTTACTTCTGGACCACACGATAGGATTCTCGACCCCGTAGGTTTTCTGCTTCCTTTGTTAAGCGGTCAAATTTAAACGGATTTTTTGTTTCCAGGATATGCATGTCATCTGGAAGGATATGGTTAGTCCAGACACTCTCATAATCTCCCAATACGCTAATTGCGTTATGTAGGGATGGCGAGGAAACGTCAAGGCACGGCACTTCGTTTTAGCTCTCCGAGACTTCTTCCAAGAGAAAGTGGCCGCTGTCTCGAAGGGTGTGGCCACTCCGAAAGCAGGCCTGAAGAGCACAGATAGCTGGGCGATCAAATATATAGACATCATTCGGTTGCAACCCATCATGGAGGCTTTCGATGACGATGCCTCTGGTTTCATCACCGTTCTGGAGATGAATAATTTCACAACAAGTCGGCCAAAAGGATGGAGGTTTGTCCAATTTTTTTCTTCGCGTACAGTCACCGAGCTGATGCAGATGTTTCGTCGTAGCCTCTCTCACTGGGTCGCATACTGGGCTATCGGACACAGAGCAGCAATGGTGCACTATAAGGTTCTGATCGAAGAGCTATTCGCCAAGATGGAAGGTATCATCCCAGAGCTCCGACTCGAGAACCGTGGCTCTGCCCACGATTATTTCGCGATGTCTTGGAAGGCGGTACACACTCTGACAGCTGGCCTCGACGATCATGCTCCCGACCCGAATCAGGAGCGGTTCACAACCTATGTTGAGTCGGAGGAAAAGCGCGTGAAAGCGAACCTGGAGGCGGTGGACTACATTATCGACGGCCTTGACACTCTTTCGCTGGTGACTGGCGCCGGTAGAATCGAGAAAGTGAGCTTTTATGACAGATGATAATGTGTTTATCGACTGACGATGAAGTGCCCAGTCACTGTTTGTTCTAGTGTATCTGCTGCTCAAGCATCACTTCGAGATCATGCGGATAGCCCGTACAAAGGTCATCGACGATGACGAGCTGTGGAATGCGGAGCAAACTATTCGATACATCATGCAGGCCGTCGGCTACCGCGTCAGCGACTTGACTCGTGCGTGCTTACTGCTTCGACTTCTAGCGCGTTAGAGCTGAGTTGTGATGGGGGTTTTCAGATAACTTCAGACAGCAGAGAGTGGACGTCCAGAAATCCTTTGCAAATTTCGCCTGTGGGATAGTGAGTGTAATTTTTTCAAATTTGGATCATCAACATTATATTGATCTCCCTGCCGTAGTACAAGTTCGTAGAGGACCCGGGAGAATTATGGTCCCCAGAAAAAGTCAGGGCTATGAACGAACCGGTGCAGGTGTATCGAGATGCCGACGAGGACCAGACTATCCAGCCATCAGACATTCTTAAACTCGAGTACCACGACAAGCTTTATCTTGACCAGTGGGTATACGGCGACAATCCATACCCGGCTATTCCTTGGACATCGGGCCCAGTCAGCTTGCTGTAACTCCCAATCGCCTCCTTTCATTCTTGTTCCGTTACTGACCCTCGCCTGGATTTCAACAGCCTCGGCCCATGGCACGGCTACCGCTACACCGACACAGGCGAATGGAACACCCAATACCCACTAAGCATGATGACCCTCAACATCCAACGCGCATCCGGCCACCAAAGGCTCAAAGCCACCGGCTGGAACAGCAACGGAGACTTCGACGTCCAAGGCTCATGGACGAAATCCGAACAAGGCATCCTCCGAATCACCCTCGAATTCCTCTTCTCCGCACAATACAGCAAGATCTACTTCCAAGGCAGGTACGACACCGAACAAGACCTCCTCTACGGCAACTGGGCAAAGTCCTCCGACCCGTCGAATATCCTCGGTCTAGTCACCTTCAAGCGTAACGCCCCAGAGCACCTGAGGTATTATCCCACGCCGAGTGAAGTCCACGGAGGAGATGGGAGGGCACGAGCATTGTGGCGGTTCGCGATCCTGGCTGTGAGAGATGAGGTTCGCAGGCGGGGGTGGTCGTGGTCGTATTTCCGGGAGAGGCGTGATCAGCGAAAGACGTTCATGCGGCTTTACCCAAGGTTGTTTTTCTTCGGGAGTCCCTTGAGCAAGAGCGAGACCATTGAACTTTGCGAGGTGACGCGAACACTAACATCGGCGGATGCGTGCTATTATGGGTCTGTGGTGCGCAAGATCAGAGACATGACCTGTCTTCACGAGTTCGTCCATCTTACCTCCCTCATATATATAACATTCAGTGGGCTGACTAGCGGGTTATTTTATAGTGAGATATGCGACGGCTGCGCCGGTCGAATCGGAGGCGCACGTCTCGTCTGCCTCGACTGCACACCGCAAAGCCAAGAAACCCTCGACACCATAGACCTCTGCGATCACCCCTCCTGCGTCTCCTGCACCGTCCCAATCACGCGTCGTGAAGACCTCGATGCACCACACATGCCAACGCACCACCTCATGAAACTATACACCGTTCTTCACATGCGTCAGTACGGACGAGTGGAGAGAGCGGCGAGGGAGGCGCTGAAGCGGGTCAACAGATGGATCGCAGCCGGACTTGGGGCGAGGAATGCAGCGCGCTGGCATGGTGCTTCTGCCCCAGGCGGCATGAGGACACCGATGAGGACGACGTTCCTGCCCATGATATCGGTGAACGAGTCTGGTGTGGATGGAATGAGCGTGTCGACGCCTTTGGTAGAGTCTAGGGAGATGTTTACTTGTGGGAAGTGCTATAGTCCAGTCACTCTCCCTTGCTGGTACTGCGTGGTCTGTCCAGGTACGTCGCGATTAAATTGACACAAAGTATACAACGATTTTCCTACTCACTGACTCGCACTACTAGACCACCTCTTCATCTGCGCCTCCTGCGACTCCGCCGGCGCGCTCAAAATCCCGCGCTCCTTCAATCTCACGCACGACGAAACACATCCTCTCATCCGGTGTCAAGAGCCCCCGAAAGTCGCCTCCGTCATGTCCACCGAGGAGCGGCTCATCGCTCTCGAAGAACGGCTTCAGGAGATGGAGGCGGGCCAGAGGGCGGTGCATGATCGGTTGGGAGATATCGAGGGGTTATTGAGGATGCTGCAGAGTACGCTTGCGCAGGCACGGACACCGTCGGCGAAGAGCCATTCGACGTGGTTGAATGTATAGGCCTGTTGTGACTCTTGTCTGGGTTTGTCTTGTTTGTCCAGTATGGAAACGTCTCGCTCATTATCACTTCACGTTTGTGTACTATATTATTCTGCCTTTCGTTTACTGCCTACCACAAGTCATACTTACTGCAACGAAATTATAAGTGCCGGTAATACTGTAGCGAACGCTTGCTCGAACTCGAACAGCTTGAACATACGTAGATGCATGTATGTAGTTATCCCGCACTTGAGGGAGTACGGGTTCAGTACCAACTACATACTTACTCAAAGTCACAGGACATCAGGCTTATGAGTTGTCCCCATTGACATGGTGCTGCACAAAACAAAAGACTCGGACGTATCATACAACCTACCACAAGTCCACAACCACAACCACAACCACAACACCATATACTCGTACACACAGTCAAAGAGCACTCACACCGTGTTTGGTATCAAATAACTACTAACTACTAACTACTACTATCACCGTATCAAAATACACTACTATCAAATATCAATTCTACCTCCCCCTCACTCACCCACCCACTCACTCGCCGCCAAACTACCTACAACGTCCGATCGAACCCATACTGATTAGCAACCTCCATACCCTGATCGCGATTCCGATCCTGTCCCCGTCCCTGTCCCCGTCCCTCCTCCCCTCCAAACCCACTCGCACCCGGAACAAACCCCCCATCTCCGTCTCCGTACCCGCCTCCCTCGCCATTGAACGAAAACTTGCCAGCCGCAAAAGCCATCAGCGCCTCCATCTCCTCGCTCAACTCTGCCGAAAATTCTTCGCGGATAGCAGACGTCGAAGCCGAAGCCGGAGCGCTAGATTGTATGTCCGTCGTCGACCTCGAAGACGACGCTCTCCCAATCCCAAACGCCGACGAAGTCGTAGGACTAAAGACATCCGAAGGAAGTAGCAAACTAGTCGTCGATGCCGCCTTCTGGTTCGCGAAGAACGGACGCTGATACGCGTGTTGTCCCCCTTCGTCCATGACCATATTATCGGACGTGGGTGGTGGGTGCAGAGGCATCCATTCCCTGGGGGACGGACTCGCGCCACTGAACGACACGGAACGTCTCGTGGCCGGACTGATTCCCAGCCCGTCCATACTCATCCCTCCATCGCTGCTACTCCCGGCGCCGATGGACATGGCTCGAACCTCATTGTTGTTGTTCGGCTGTTGCTGTTGTGCGGAGAGGGTGGGATCCTCATCGAAGACGTTCATGGCGTATGGATTGAAGGACCCCGAAGGGGGTAGGGAGTTATCGAGAGAGGAGACATAGGCGGGGTAGGACGACAGATCGGGAGTCGGCTGCTGCTGCTGCTGTTGCCCCTGATAGAACATAATAGGATCCGACAACGCGGAAGCCGAGGTATTCCGCATCCATTCATCGAACGAATCGAACTGCGAAGAGGGAGGATAGCCGACAGATGGCGTAGTCGGGGGTGTCGGCGTCGGGGCGGGCATGCTATTACTGTTGAGCGAGCAGATGAGGCATGCGTTGCACGTATTCGGATTAGCGCACGGTCCGTTGATCCAGGCGTCTGATCCACGATGCTGCACGCATCCTGGACAGGAGCATGAATCGCCACAACCGCAGAGGATCTGGAGGTCGGAGGGAGAGAAAGCCGTGTTCGAGTTCCCCCATGAGGCTTCGTTGTCCGCGTTGTCCCTCGGTTGAGCTATAGGGGGTATGAAGTAACCGTCTGAGGGGTCGGATGGCTGTGGCCGTTCTGAGAAGAAGTCTGGCTGTTGTTGGGATTGGGGAATATGGGAGGGAGAAATATCGTCTGGGTGCAAGGCGTGTTCTTCGTACGCGCGGCCGTACGGGTTGAAGAAGGCGGAACCGTGCTGGCCGCGGTGATTGTGCTGGAACGGGGCAGCGGAAGTTCCTGGGGCGGAGGGCTGAAGTCGCGGAAGTACGGGACGGAGGTCGCCTATGCGGCTGAGAGCGGGAGGATGTGAAGCACCGGAAGACGACGCGGAGGGCGGAATGGTGCTGCCAGTGCTGCCGGCGGGAGTGGCGCGCTTGTGGTGGGAGCGCTTGATATGAGCACAGTGACAGTTGCCGCCGTCTTTGCAGGTGCAGACGTCTACGGTACGACGATCAGTCTGCGGCTACAGAATGAAGTGAAAAAGGACTAACCAGGCTGGTCAGAGTCGGAGGAACCGTCTGAAGACGGCTGGGCTGCTGCCGCCTGCGCTCCCAGACTTGCAGGCAAGCCATCAGGGAACGCAGGGGTAGCTAGAACCTTCTGCAAATTTCCTGAGGAAGGAGGAGACGGCCTTACAGATCAGACGTGGTGTACGTGTAGGCTAGGATGCTGGTAACACACCTTTCTTCGGTTTAGGTCGGGGTGGATTGGAGGGGGTAGTGTTATCGTCGGATTTGGACTCGCATACACATTTGACGTGAACTTGTTTGGTTTTGCGCAGTTCGCGACAGTGTTCGCATTGGGTGACTGGGCGACCTTTCTTTTTGATTTCGAAGAGTGGACGGTCTGTGTGTTTGCAGGTGGAAGAACGGTGGCCTTTGATGCAGGCCTCGCTAGAGAGTGGTGGTAAACTCAGTCAAGACATTCGAGAGCAATTGGGACTGATAAGATGGACCCACCAGGCGTATTTCTTGTCTTCGATGAGAACCTAGAGAAAGGAACATGAGATATGAACTGGGTGATATGAAGGGGAAAGTGCGCACCATGATGGAGTGTGTAGAGAAAAGTGCGCCTCGAACGGCCGTCGGAGTTGACGACGCCGCCCACGACGCTCGGTGAGCGTGTGGTTAGGACGAAGGAGCCGCTATAAGATACGCTGTGGGCTTGTAGATGAACATGGCGTATATGGGGGGGTCGCCGGCAGTAGCGCACCGACTTGGATAATGCGAAAAAGGAGCGGAAGGGGATATATACCCTCTCCACAGCCACCGTATCAACAAGCGTAAACGGGCAAAGCGTCATCAGCCGCCTTGCCGGGCTCCTCCGTTTTCTCCGCTTTCGCTATGTTTTTCCGGGAACAAAAGTCCTGTCCTGGCTCAGTCCGCTGGGCTGGTTGCCCTATCCCGCCACTCTTTCGTTCTCCCGTCATCCTTCCCCCGCCACACTCTCTACTATCCCCCGCGCCACACCAAAAGTGATGCCACTCTACAATGCTCGTTCTCTTGTGCTCAGGTCTTCGGGATCTGTCGACTTGTTGTCTAGGCTAAAGCACACTCGCAGCCCATACGCACAGCCCGCGCTCTCTCGTCCTCTGGATCTCTGCCCGCCGTCCGTGCAGGACTGGGATAGGCACCCCCCAACCCAGCTCGTCACCCCGTTCCGCCCGCGGCGAACCTCGCCGACCCCACCTCGTGAACGACGCTTTCCCCTCTCCGAGGGCTCACGCACGCTTTCCAGACTAGCCGCCAGAAACCTCGAAAAGCGAAACAGGATGAGCCGTATCTTTGCCATCATGGCGCTCCCCCCATCCGACAGTCCGTACTCGAAACAGAAACAGCAGCTCGGCCAGATCACTAGTACTGTCACCCCCTCAGCTCCTCCACCGAGTGGCCTTCCTTCGGTAGGGATCGGTTCCCTAGCCAGCTTCGTTCGCCCCACCCTCTTCTTCCATCAGTCGCCGTCGAAGCCTGTTTTATCCCCTCCTTCCCATCTCCGTACGCCCCTATAACCATATCTTTAGTGCAACCATATTGACCACAACATCTTCTCTCGTAGGGAACAAAAGCCACGGTATTCATAAATATCTTCTTCCCAAAATCGTGAACACTGGGCTCGAATCCTTGTCCTCACGCCTCTGATCTCGGGCTCATGTACTATCCTCTCGCTTTGTCTCTTTCTCTGGACTTCTGGCAATTTCACTGCTCGCGATCACATGTGTCCCCCGTATTTGCGATGCAATGAGCTACGTCCCAGGTACACGGGCCACAGCTCCATCCACCGTAACTCGTGTACACCACGCTGCACAGCCTACAGAAGTCTTCCATGTTTTAAGAGAACGATAGCACGCCGCAAATCAACTGCCAATCTCATCCCCACAGCAGCCCGTGGCGACGGCGAACAAGCTCCATCCGCATCGCGCGATGAGTGAGAGCTTTTCGCTGCTATGTACGAGCGACGTCTGCGAATAGCGTATCGCGCGCGCCTCGATGCCGAACATCGGAGCCGGAAACGAAGTGCCCGAGTCCCTCAAGCTGCCTCAAGTCCGTCGAACGTGCTTTTGATGCAGACGGTTGTATACGAATTATTGTCAATTGATGTGGCACCACGTCTGGAAATTCCCCGTCCGAGCAATGAGCATGCCATGTGGCCTGCATTATCATATCACTTATTTACGGTCCTTGATTCAGACGGACTTCGCGACTTCTTCAAAGCGAGCGGTCCTCAAGGCCTCAAGGCAGGCTTCGATGCGTCCCTGCTGATTCGTACGTTCGTTCCGCGTTCACCGTGCCTTCTCCTCCCCCGGACCTTCTTGAGATTCTCGCAGGGCTTGTTAGCATGTCTGTATCTGTATCTGTGTTCTAAACCTGTCTGGCGTTGCTCTAAATGTGGAATCCCCATCTCGTCCCGAGGGCGAGTTACTCGTACATGAGGATTCGAGTTGGTGCTTTCACTTCGAAACTTCTATCTCTTGATCCTGGATTCATCCCACCTTGCATTGTATCGATATCTTTCTGTTTAGATATACCACCGCCGGCGTAAGTAACCACTCTCTGGCACCATGATCTGACGACGCGTCCCTCCATAAGCAAAACGACCTCAAGCCGACTTCCACCTTTCCTCGTTACCTTTTCTGCTCCACATCCTCGAGTCGAACATCGATATTCTACGCTTATCATCACGTACCACAAATACGGAACTTCATCGAGTCCTGAGTCCCACTCATGACACTCAAGACATATATCCCCGATGTTGCCGATCTTCGAATTTTCAGGATTCGCATCTTGCTTCTATCATGGTGGATTGCATCGACGTCACGGTCTCGTTTGCTGTCTAGACATCCGCTGCTCTAGCAAGGTCCGTTAATCCGTACGTTTCCTTTCATCTCACGATGTGGTCTGATCGTTGGTGCTGATGTTATTTGTGCTCTCGTATAGGACGTTTTCCACGACGATGCGCTGTATTCAACGAAGACATTGCTACGATTCAACGAGGACACCTCATCGAGTCCCAAGTGCCACTCATCGCGCTCGAACTGGAAAACGACACGTTCCCGACGCTGTCAGTCTTTGCTCGCTCTTCAGGATCCGCCCCTCACCTCCATGTGAAATTGCATCTATATCTCGTTTGCTGTCACGGTCTAGACACCCGCTGTTCTTTCAAGGTCTGTCAAGTCATACATTCCCTTTGTGGTCGGATCGTCGGGGCTGACGTTATTTATACTCTCACAAGAAGATTTACCATAACGATACACTCTCTTCTTTCTCCGTTACTTACAGTCCAACGAGGACACCGCTACAAACACAACCACTCTGAAGCGAAACTCAGATACCATATATATACACCGCTCTCTCGCCCCTGCTCCAATGGTCTCATGATACTTACATCGAAGACGACACGCACGCGGTACGCATACCATATCTTCCCTACCTTCTCTGCCTTCTCTTCGTCCGTACCTCGCGTCCCAAGCCCTCTCACTACATACAATCGTCAGCCTCCAATCTGCTGACCACCATGCTTAAAATTTCCGGCTCTGTCGTAGATATTCATTGCCCTCAGACGGACCGTCGACTCCCGTTGCTTGCTCGCTACCGTGCTTCAGCTGTCCATGTGTATCGTCATTCGACAAGTGGTTCTTGGAGTTCTGGCCGGAATGTATGCCTTTGGTGGGACGTTGAGCGGGCGGGATTACCGACGTCGCCGTTCTGGTCGAGCCTCTGCCTCTGCTGGGGTCGTATCGTATAAATACGTGTGATGATTCCTGCTCAGCGAGGGGTGCTTCCGTCGTGCTCTGCTCTCCTGGCCCGACTTCTTCTTCCTTAAGTACCTCGGCTGGTCACCATCTGAGCATCTGAGTGTCCTTCAAGCTCGGGATCCGACATGTTCTTCACGTCGCCCAGAACACTTGCGCCTCTCGCCGCGTTGGCTGCTCTCGTCGGCTTCACGTCGATAATCACAGAAGTGCGAGCAGTCGACTATTCCACAGACGCGGTCGTCGTTCCTCTCGATCTTTCGTCTTACTTGAACAATAAAGGAACAAGCGACGCACCCGGGCAGGCTGACCTCAACGGCGAAGGATGGAGTATTCCATATGCCGGGTTTCCGACTGGTAACTTGACGTACCGTGGTATACAGGTGCGCACATTTATCCGATGAATAACCACTACAACCGAAGTGGCAAGCGCTGAAAAGGATGCTGATACTTAATGCTGGATGATAATACTAATAGTTCTCGATCCCGGATGACTGGTCGAGCGTGCAGTTCGATAATGTGTTGTGTGAGGGCCAGGATGTGAATTTGCCGAGCGAGCAGGTGGGGAGATATCAGTCGCTTTATTTGTTGACTACGGCCGATAGCAGCTCGCCGTTCTCCAATAACATTTCCGGTGAGTTATGGAGTTACATATCGATCTTATCATCTGCGCGTGAGGAACTGAGGCTCGGGAACTTAGTCACCTATGCGGATGGGACGAGTGTTAGCGGGGCTACGCTGATCCCTCCGTGGCAGAGTGTGAGTCCATTCACCCTAGGTATCTCGCCGGTAAATATTCAAAACTTGATGATCGTTTTGGGCTGTCACAGTGGCCTTTTCCGTAAGACCACTAGGGACTAGAAGTAGTTTTTCCGCACTCATCCTAGTATCGTTTGCTTAGATCTCAGGGCGTGCTCAACAGTAACTTCACATATACGAATAACGGCAGTAAGTTCATCGTCTGTATTGCTTGCAGTTCAATCCATCTCACAACTAATTATGAACCTCACGTAGCGGATGGGAACACTACTTCTATCCATGTCTTCCAGCTTCCCCTCGACGCGTCCAAGACCCTGAACACCATAACCCTCCCGACCGCCAACAGCTCTACCCGTCTCCACATCTTCGCCGCTACACTCTGGTCCTCTTCTTCCCTCCTATCCTTGACGAACAACACCAACAACACGACGGCCCCATCGCCCGCCCTAGCTTTCGAATACATCCGTTCCCGAACGAACTGGTTCAACGACTCCGGCAGCACAACGTCCATAGTCCAAGTCTACGACATCGCCATCTCCAACCTTCCCCTCAACTTCACCCCATCCTCCTGGCTCATAGGGAACTACACAGTCGAAATCGAGAGCGATCAGGTGAGCACGGAGATCCTCGGAACATTGAAGCGATTGCGCCCAGGAGACCAGGCGCGGGTCAAGGTCGGGGTCGTCAATAAGGAGGGTGTGGGCCGGGGGACGATGGGCAGTGCGGTAGCGGTGGTGAGGGACGAGACGGGGAGTGAGGTGGCGAGGAGTGGGGGGTTTGAGGTCATGGCTGGGATACCGGTCTATACGGATGAGTGGTCGAGTTTGGCGTTGCATGAGGTGAGTGTGGGCGTTTTTTTCGTTGGATGGTTTTGTTTAGAGCTGAGTGTTTTTTCGTGCGATTAGGCTCCGAAGTGGATGGAGGATTATAAGTTTGGTATTTTTGTGCACTGGGTAAGATACATTTTTGTCATAGGTAAAGGTCTCCATTTCTGACAGGGCGGGGGCGAACAGGGTGTCTACTCTGTTCCAGCGTTTGCGCCATCCGGTCAGCAGGTACGAGATACATCTGCTTTCAAGTGAACTTCGTCATTCAACTACCGCATCTTGATACAGTATGCCGAGTGGTATTGGTGGGAGTGAGTACACTTCGCGTCTACTTCCGTCTGCGCCACACGAGTCTAACACTGCACTCCATTCTTTCCTCAGCCTTCACGTCGTACGTACAAGCAAACTTTTGAAGCAGTACTCACAATCACACATTATCACTACTCTCCACAGCCCAATAATTCAGATTCGGCCACCTGGGTTTACCACAAAAAGGTGCGTTACCCCACACTGCATACCTTGTTTGTGTGGCGTAATTGTGGCGTGGCAACTAACTTCCTTGCCTAGACTTACGGCGAAGAGTTCCTCTACGATGACTTCATCCCTCAGTTTAACCCGCAGAACTTCAGTGCAGATTCCCTCGTGGACCTCTTTGCGTCGGCTGGCGCCAAGTATTTCACGATAGGTTGGTTACACAGATAACATCACAGTCTATTGGGTCCCTGACGAGTATCGGACTTTAGTCACCAAGCACCATGACGGGTTCGCTATGTTCGATGCTGGTATGTCTACCATGAGCATACACCGTTCTTATTCTCTGATTTTATCCGGCAGGCGACACCACGAACAGGAGCTCCGTTATTGTGCGTGGGACTTCCTTCGCGATTCGCGAATACGGCTCACGGCCATGAGTATGTACAGCTTGGACCCAAACGTGACTTCTTGAAAGAAATATTTGATGCGGCAGAGGCCAATCATCCTGGCCTAGTTCCTGCAACATATTTCTCGACTCCAGAGTGGTATGAAGTGTTTTAGTTGTTTTTATCGGATTATGCACTCCATGGTGACGAATACTCTCTCGCAGGTATAATCCTGATTGGGCTCGTAAGTGCTCTTCCGTATCCTCTCTGCGCAGCTGACCACATCGCGAACAATACCTTATCTCTGTTAGCGTATGGTAAAGACAGCTGGGTAGGTGGATATAACTTCAGGATACAAGCGATGTAGATTAACTCACATCTCGCTCTCCCAGCCCGGTGGTTTGGCGCACAACGCGTTCGTCCTGGTATAAATCTGGCTCTTGAGAAAGTAGACTTATAGGGGGACATCGATGTAGATACAACTGGAGCGAGATAGAGCCCTACACTGGTTGGATCCCAGTCGACGACTACATCCAGGATCTCCAGACGCCACAGATCAAGACATTGTTCAACGATTATGGCACGAACGTTCTCTGGTAATATTCTCATCCATCCCTCTCGCCTTTCATTACTCACGTCGTCGTGTCTGGTCTCGATGTGGTGTGTACGGGTCAGGTGCGATATCGGCGAGGCCTCTAACATTAGCTTGTTGACCGCCGACTGGTATAATGGTACGCCTCTCAAACCCGGTTCAGGTTGGTCAGGCCCTTTCTGATGGGCAACCTCTTTTACCTCCACAGCAAAGTACAACGAAGGCAAAGGTGTAGCCATAGACGATCGATGCGCATTCCATCTCTGTGAGCATCTTTCCCGTGCTGAACTTACAGCTGGCTAAACATTTGAATGTAATGTCACAGGGGACTTCAGCGTAAGTCTCATCTGGACTACTCTACTCGGCTTGGCTTAAAGACGTAGAACATGTCTAGACTCCGTGAGCTAGCTTGTAGTAATCTCTCTTTACTGAACGGAAGCTCACCGTGAGTGATTTGGTATCAACTGCTGTCGTGAGATCAATACTGATCATTCCACTATACTGTACCATTTCGATCGGATGCCATGGTCACACGTCACAAAGGTGCCATGGCATGGCCTATTCCCGTTTTGTCACAGGTCACAGGCCCTTTGGGCCACTTTTAATCGATTTTTTCTTCCGGCTACGCCCAATTTGGCAATATAATTGCCTAAAAAGGCAGGTCAGTCACAATGTTCGGAGGCTTTTGGCCTATTTACACGTTTGGCCTAAGTACCAACCGTGTCACACGTCACACCCCCATGGCATCCGATCGAAATGGTACAGTAGTAGCAAATTTGTCAGCGAGTATACAACCTACGCCGTGACTGTGCAAACGAAATGGGAAACGTAAGTCCTGTATTTAATCGTACCTCTCATTTTCCAGCGTTTTTTTCCCTCTCGCTCATACCGCCCCCTCTCAGGAACTGTCAGTCCCAAGGCAATCAACTTCGTATTTTTAGTGCTCGAGGGCTAACCACTCCATCATCAATGCTCCCGTCTTCGAATATATATAGCCGGACTTGACCCTTTCAGGTGCGCTGCTGATCCGTGGTGCTGCTCACAACTCGACGATCGCACTGATACCTGCTTCCTTGGACGTTTGGTATTTAGTTACGGTTATAATGCCCAGACACCCGACGCAAATTACATGACGCCCGAGGTAGCAGTCCCCATGCTTGTCGACATCGTCAGCAAGAACGGGAACTGGCTACGTGCGTCTCTACAGTGCACCCCTTACTCACTATATATCTTACGCTCTTCACAGTGGACATAGGACCTAAGGGTACGCGTCTACCACCTCTCATTGTGGGCGAAGGCAGAAACAAACAACTAACTCGCTCTTTATCGTATCTTGCGCGTAGGCGACGGGACGGTAGTCGAGCCCGAAATCACCACACTCACCGCCATAGGCGACTGGCTCTCCCACTCCGGCGCTGCCATCTACGGGACATACTATTGGTATGCACCCTCCCTTCCCCACCTACGTTTCTCCCTGCATTGCCGCCATCCCCCTTGACGTTCGATTCACCAATCGCCACCTCCCCGCACAGGTTCCGCACCCCCCAAGAATCCACTTCCCTCCGCTTCACGACCACCGACTCCGCCTTCTACATAACCACGCTCGTCTCTCCCTCGCCTTCCTTCAAAGTCGTGTCTCCCGTGCCCGTCCTTCCTACGGATATTATCACGCTTCTGGGCGGGAGCGGCACGGCGTTGAATTTCACGATTGGGGGGCCGGAAGAAGGAGGGGAGGAGGAGGGGGTGTTGACGGTGCATGTGTCGGCGGAGGAGGCGGGGATGGTGAAGTACGCGTGGGCGTTTGAGGTGAAATATTGAGGTGATCAAAAGGGGAGGATGGGTGCGATGAAGAAAGAAAAGAGTCGGTCTGTTTGTATGGGTCCGGTTTATGGACAGTGTGTAAATTTAATTTCAATTGTATGGGCTCGGTTACATTGTTCCAAGATACAAGAGATTATGATCACAGGCATTGCTGACCCAGTGCGCTATGATTTATTTCACCTCGCGTGAGTGATGCTTGCGAGACTGACATTCTGGAGTGTAAACCATTTTCGGCCTCACTTAAGGAATGGGCCACTTTTACTCGTTTACATTCGGATCAACTACAGTCCAACGCGCAGTTAGAGATGTGGCTTTCAAGATAGGAGACCTCTAGGGAAGGAACTTACTGGTTCTTGCGGAGGTCCGTTCTTCCATAGCGTTTGGGGAAGAGCCTTACTCTTCACAGACGCCCTATACGTCTCGCACTCGCTATACACAATCCCATCATGCCTACATTACGCCCAAAACCACCAATCAGTACAAATCCAACCAGAAATAACCACCAAAGCGGAACCAAAAAGAGAACAAATGCAGGAAAAAGGAGGAAGACTGACATCGACGTCCCCGGCATCTGATGCTCCACATTCGCCGCCTTCAACACCTTCCTGATCTCCTTCTGCGCGCTCCTCACACCCTTCAACGCTCCCCAGATATGCAACAACAACAGCTCGTCCGTGAACATATACACCTCGCTCAACAGCGCCGACCTGATCAGACAGTACCGCATCTTCGCGACGGAGCCTTCATGGATGAAATCGGGCGGAACGGGGGCTTCGGGAAAGGCCAGCTGCCAGTTGATGTACTTCAAGGGACTGTTCTCGGGGAGCGCGCGCGTCGAGGCGCAAGCGGTGGTGACGGCAGCACGAGTCTGGGAAGGAGGGAGAGGGGAGAGGGGAAGGACCCAGGCGTGATGGTCGTCTATCCAGCGAGTGCCCGGAACGAAGGAAGGTTCGGACGCCGCGAGGTCTCTGGCTTCAGGAGTGGATAACTGTGCGGTCGCGGGGGTGGCGGGTGGATCTGTGGGGAGCTCGTAGATCATGGCCCAGCCTCGCTTGAAATATTTGTCGATTGCGCCGTCTTGGGGAGGGCCGTGGGAGGGACAGACGAGCGCGAGGCGGGAGTCGAAGGTTGCGCGCGGGTAGAGGGAGTATGCGGTATCGTGGGTGATGAAGTTCATCACGCAGGCTGCACGCGAGTAAGTTGGTTAGTGAACGAATTTTCAATGAAGGGAATGCAGAAGAAAGAAAGGGAAGATACGCACTACTGTGGAAATTGATGAGAATTTCAGCCACGGACGTGCGGGAGGCCATAATTTGGATCTTCAGCGGCGATTGCTCTTTCTGCTCCTCTCCATCCTTTCTCTCCACAGGTTTGAAGAAAGTGAAAACGCCCGCGACGCCCCTCATCGCATACCCCATATTCATATCCTCGAACTCCTCCACATCCTCCATCGTGCGCTCCATCTTCTTCGCCGCATCCTTAAACACCTCCGGCTGCGTCGTATTCGGTTCAAACACATATCCGTCTGCAATGACCCATCGCGCGAGAACCCTCAGTTGTTTCCACGGAACGTACACATCGAGGTCGGATTCGGGATAGAAAGAGCGGTCGAGGAATTGCAGCGCGTTCGAGCCAGAGATGATAGTTCCTGTCCGGGACTGCACGAGACGGAAGCCGAGGGGGTCGGAGAAGTAGCGGGAAAGGTGGCGGTTTATGTTAAAGGCTCGTTGGAGGTAGGAGAGGATGGCGAGGCGGGAAGAGGAGCAGGTGCGTGAGATACGAAAGATGGTGCCAGAGGTGCAGAACGAGAGGATGCAGTCAATGATGATCGGATTCGAGACGAGACGGTCGACAAAGACGCTTTCTTCCCTGCCAATTTCTTGCGGGGAAATCGTGAGCGAGTCGAGAGCGGGTTCGATGGTGGAGAGCGAGGCCATTTGCACCTTCACCGCCTCAATATTTACAGAATAAAAGATACTATAAATCACTGGAGGGAAGGCAGATGTGAGCGTAGTTGAGGGCACCCTTTGTGTGATGGTGGTGGTATGAGAGTAAGGGTCTCCTGTACATCCGGCCTTGGCCGGTTCCCTCGACATCTTGCCAAAGGGTCGCCCGACTCTTCATCAGCCATTGAGAGGGGACGACGAAGTCAAATATAAATCTATCCAAGAACGAGATTAACCTTCTTGGTGTCACATAAGCAATATCTCTCCCTGCGCACCGTTGCAAACGAACGTCGTCAAGTCGTGCCAATTCATACAATAATTAAACAACGCAGATGCCTCGTTAAAGGATCCATACAACTATAATACGAGAGAGTGAAAGTGAGAAAGAAACGAGAAAAATATACATTAGCTACGAGCGCGAACAGTGCGGGGAATCAGTCCAAGATCAGACACCTCGATACGTGAGCCTGCTTCCTGGCGTCGTGAAGTAGATGAAATAGGATGGTAACTCTGTTAGATAGCCTGTGCAGCGGGTCATGGGTCAGTAAAAAGCGGGAATCCAGAAGCAGAAGAAGAGACGCACAGGCATAGGATGGCCACGCTAAGGACGCACCCGCGACGAAAGAGTGGCCCTATAGCTAATTGCCCAACGCCATAAATATACGATCGTACATGAAGGATCGCGACCGCTTTCCGCCGCTTCCCAATACCTGGAAATATATGCACGCCTCGAGTCCAAGTCCACGATATCGATAGCCTGGCATGGCACACCCAAATGACTAAGCCTCTCCCGTCTCCCCCGCCGCCGCCTTCTCCTCCTCCTCCAACCAGCTCTCCTCAACCGTCGCCCTCACCCTCCGCACATACTCCTTCATATTCTCCCTATACAACTGCGCCGCCTCCGCGTTCGCGGGGCTGTTCGGATTCGGGTCGTGCAGGAGAGATTGGATGGAGGTGAGGATGGCGGCGACGTCATAGGTCGGTGACCATCGATTTTGGAGGATGTCGAGACAGAGCTCGCCGTTCGCGTAGACATTCGGATGGAACATCCGGGAGAGGAACTTTACGGTGGGGGGTTTGTTGGGATAGGATTCGTCAAAGGTGAGGAGGAGTTTGAAGGTGCCGTCTTCGAACGGTGTTTCCGCTGCGAGTAGCTTTTAGTCATCGAGATCTTGAATAATGTAGCGAGAAATTCGGAACGGACCTGGTCCAAAGATGACAGCATTCCATAGCATGATGTTATCTGGACATGGGCTGCCAGAAATGCCACCAGGCGGGTCGCTGGAAAGCCGTTTGAAGTCACGGATGAGACGCCTCCTGCAATTCGTGGACTTGATTGCAGATCATGATCAGTCTCGAAGACCAAATCATACACGCGAAATAAAACGCACCATTGTGAGCTGTTGGAATACTGTAGGGGGTGAAAGAGGTTGGGGGATCGCTGAGTAGATGGGTGAAAGGGTGAAGGCAAGGATGGTGGTTGTGAGCAGTCGGGGCGGAGGTCATTCTTAGTCACCACGTGCCACTGCTTCGCCAATTGGCTGGGTGGCGTACTTTACCAAGTGGCCCATCCGCACTGACCTTTGTTCAGCATTTCGCTCGAGAATAATATCTGCATTCCAGTCACAGGGGTTCTTTCCATCACCTTCTCTAGTACGACGGTAGGTATGCATAGACATATCTCTCCATGAGATGTGTTTCCCGAGAGGGTCCGAGTGAATGTTCCTGGTAAGTACACTCTGGAACCAAATGTCAAAATCGCCGGTAAGAAAACAACAAGAAAAGTTCCATTTGCACAACAAGAATGATGCAAGACAGAATATGACAGTGCGGCACGCATGCTTGGCCCTCTACACGACAATCGACCACCGCCCATGTACACAACGCCTCGTTATGAAGCAGCACCGTCATCATCCTGCCTCGCCGCCCGACGGGCCAACTTCGCAGCTTTTGCTGCAGCAGCCTTTGCCTTCTTAGCCTCAGCCTTCGCAACCTGCACAACGACAATAGCCATCAGCAAACGGGACCGGGACCAGAAAAATAAACAGGGATCGCACCTTGTCCTCCTCTTCCTTCTGCTTCGCCTCCTCTTCCGCCTTGCGCTTCTCCTCCTCAGCCTGGGCCTTGGCGTTCGTGGGGGTAGCGGTTCCACTCTTGCTCTTCTTCTTCGCCTCACGAGCCGCCTTCTCCTCATCCTTGATCCTCTTGATACGGGGATCGAGTGCCAACGCGCTGTCGACGATGCCCCGCAGACGAGCGGTATCTTCCTTCTTGCGGCGTGCACGCTCAGTCTTGTTCTTCTTCTCCGTGTAACGCTTGTCGTCACGGCTGTAAATCGGGGACAAACACGTGAGTGCCCTTTTCAAAGCGTAGAAACCGCAAAGCAAACAAACTAAAAAGGACTCACTTATCGCTTCCCTCATTCACCTCCTTATCCAGATACTCGAAACTCCTCCAGCTATCAAAGTTGTACCAGAAATCATAGAATCCCTCGACCGCCTCCTTCGTATCATCGTACGTCCCCAAAAGCGGCACCGGCTGCTTCTTGCTAAACCTCGCCTCCCTCTCGAACACGGGCCCAAACTCCTTGAAGAACGCCTTCTTCGGGTCCTTCGCGTTCTTGATATCCGACGCGGACGGCACGTCGTCCTTGAGCGACTCGAACTCAGGGTCGACGGAGTCGAACTGGCGCCGCTTTTCAGGGTTGGTGAGGATGTCCATGGCTTTTTGGATGCATTTGAAGAAGGCGTCGTCGTTCGTCGTGGTCGAGCCGGCGGTGCCGGCTTTTTTGTCGGGGTGGTGCTTGAGCACTTTCTTGCGGTCTGGGATGGGAGACCGGGTGGCGTCGCCAGATGGCTTGCTTTGAGGAAACTGCAAAATGGAATATGTGGAATGAGATGGACGTACGGGCAATTTTGATCTGGTCGTCATTCGCGCGATATCTGAGCTTGGAAATACCGAGGACTTTGTAGTGGTCTTGTTTCTACAGTACGATACGATATGCAAGTCAGTTACGATGCGTGAAGGTCTAGGGAAAGGACAGGACGTACCTTCCACTCTTTCGGATCGAGCGACATCAGTGCGAAGTCCTCTTCCTCATCACCCACCCCAAGATCATCCTCCCCGAAACCATCCCCATTCTGCTCCGCTAGCCGTTTGTTCTCCTCCTCGATCTCCTTATCCTGCTGCTCAAACGTCAAATTATGCACAGATCGCCGGACATGAGCGAGGTAGGCGGGTCCAGCAGGGATGAGTTTTCTCTCCACCAGCGCTGCAGACAGACAGACAGACCGTCATGCATGAAAAAAAGTTGAGCGCTGATCAGTACCCTGAAATCAATGAACAACGGAGTAGAATATCTTACGAGCGATGGGTTTATTTGAGGGAGCGTTTGCAGTCCATGATGACGGTAGCGGTGGGGGGACGACAGGGATCTGTACGACGTTGGCCATGGTGAGCTCTTTTGGATGTGGTTTGTGTTACAAGCCAACTGAATAAAGTTATAAACGCCGCGTTTTCGAAAAGATGCTGAGGTAAGCACACGCCGCGAGCACATGATCGGACGCGATGGCGTGCAAGCGCGTTCGCGGTTCGGTGTTGGGCGTCAATGCGCAAGGTTCTGTCTTGTTCCACTGCGACGTCTATCTAGTTTCTTGGTTTATTGGCTGGTTTTATATCTTTAAGGCTGTCTCTGAGATATGGATACGGAAACGCACGTCTTGGACAGTCCAGCACGCTCTCAGCCTTGGTACAACTTCTCGGAGGATACTCCTGTCCGACCTGCGAATCGCGCGAAGCCCATCCCAGGACCTTCGAGACTCATCGCCGCGTTGGATGCGGCGGACATCATCGAGATATCAAGCTCAGAGGAAGACGAGAACGTGATAGATCTGACAGGACTTGACGAGACTCCGTCGAAGAAGAAAGCTACTACGACGAAGTCAAAAGGAAAGGCAGTATCGTCCGTTTTTAGTGACAAACCGTGGGTTGCTTTGTCTAGGTTCAAGGCTTTCCATGATGGAGATTGATTTATACATAGAATTCATCCTATGTTCAACCCTTCCGGCAAAGACAAAAACACTTCGAAGGAGAATTTACCTCGGGCCAAAGCAACCTCCACGAACTCGAAGAACGCAATGTCACATCCACTCCCTATGCGAGACATGCAGCCTCCTCCCAAGACCAAAGCAGCTCGCAGCACAAAGGCAGCAAGTAACACACTTGTATCTAGTGAAGACGACTTGGACTTCGACGGAGCTCGGCCTGCCTCGCGAACAGATAAACAGCTCACTTCTACGTCGAAAACGACCGTGAAGAAACCTTACTCGAATCGTTCCGATAGCAGGACAACCTCTTCCGCATCTCGAACACCGGTTACAGACGACCCGCCTGTCGCTGGGTCCTCACATACCGCAGCGTCAAGCAAGTCTCAATCCAAGATGCCGAATTTCACCTACGGAGACTATTTCCCGAGGCCAATTGTACGATACGTCACTAATGCAGCTGAAGCGGACGAGTTGGTTCAAGCTTTGAACGGGTGCGTCTTATTTTGACAACATCGTCCGGTGTGCTGCCAGAGTAGTCGAGGTAGAAGTACTCATGGTCCCTCTTTGTAGTCCGGTCGGATTTGATATGGAGTGGGTGAAAAAGACGGCCTTGGTTCAGATATGCGATGCGAGCATGATTCTCCTTATTCAACTGAGCGCGATACATAGTAAGGAATCTTTCAGTTCCATACGTCCATGCCGTCGTCTCATTACCCCTCTTGTTCTGTTTCGTTAGGCGTTCCGCCGAAAGTAAAGGCAAGTATCAGCAGGGATCCAAAGACCTCACCGAACTTATATATCTAGCACAGGCTCTCATAGAATCCCCGTCAATACCTAAGATGGGCGTCAACATTCGCAGTGCGTCTATAGCTCTAACTTGTCATCGATAACTTCCACTCAACCAATATATGTTTTCTGATCGCGTAGACGACGGTGTCAAACTCCTTCGGGACTACGACGTCTGCGCTCGCAACCTCGTCGAACTCGGCGCTCTCGCATGCCAATCCGACTCCCGCTTCGAAGAGATATATCACCGACCCATCGTCTCGCTAGCCAAAGTCGTAGCCTTCTACCTTCGGCGGACGCTCAATAAAGGCCCCGTACGGACGAGTAACTGGGAGCGAAAACCGCTTTCGAAGGAACAGATGGAGTGTTCGTCTTTTTGTTATTGTTGTAACTGGCAATGTAGCACGTTAACTAACCTCGAGTTCTTTTTTTCCATTGAGGGAACAGATGCAGCGAACGATGCATATTGCGCTTTATTGGTGTACAAGAAATTACTTGCCATTGCGAAGGCCTCCAAACGGCCCCTCGACCCATTAGGGTTCACCTCTGACCTACTGGAAGAACAAAATGGCCCCAAACCTCCCGTTCCGCAACGTGTACGTCCTCGAACATCAACAACGTATGTTTCTGTGTCTCATCGTCGTTTTATGAGAGGAATTGTCTAACTCGTCGAGCACCTATGGCAGACCTGGCTGGGGACAAGTTGAACTTGGGCCATGGCGTGACCCTCCAGCGCCCCTACAACAACCTCGAGTCGGTCTTGAAGCACCACATCCACCAACGAAGTCTTCATCTTCCGGACAAGCTCAACATTTAACTGCGTACACACTCTGGAGACGTGGAGATGCCCTCGGCGACATTTGCACCAACCTGCGGACAAATCACAATCCGCTCAGCAAGGGAATAGTCATGTTTGTTCTGATACTCATGTCTCGTGTTCTTGGGGTAATACTAATGCAAGCTTCCGTTGATAGATCTTATATCATGGGCGCGCTCGAGGCGGACTCTAATTTAAAGTTTAGTAAACCGGGTGTAAGAAGGTTGCTGAGAGAGGAGGATGGTGGATGGAACTTATACAAGGCAAATATATTGAAGTGGGAAAAGGAAGGGAGAGGACATATATGAGAGGTGTGGTGCGATTCCGCTGGACGGGATTGGGCAGGACAACAGACTATCGGGACTGATTGCATGCTTTGACCATGTTCGCACCCAAAAGGCTACAAACACTGTATACTGTATGTATCCGTACGTGTGCCTGGTGTACTCGATCCTCCGTGTGCGCCGCAGATGTGGCGCACAACGCCACCCCGCCGAGCTGTTGGTTCCACGAACCAAACCACCTGCTTATTTAAAAAACGCACGTGACCTCAACACGTCCAAACACGCCACCGGTCGCCTGGCCGCCTCCTTCGTGTTCAGTCCCTCGAGATCACCACTTTGTCCTCTCATCTCGCCCGTTGGTTGGCCCGACTCGTGAATATTTCTTGAGCGGTATGGTCAATGTCACCGCCGCGCTTATCTTGAATGCCCAGGAAGAGAACAAGAGAAAGGTGGCGGCGGACAAGGCGAGGGTCGCTAATGTATGTTTGTTCGACTCTTTCGGGCGGGTAGAAACTTTCTGAAGCCCTGAGACCATGCATGCAATGTCCATACGCCTCTGATATTTTTGCGCTGCATACTATGTAGCTGTCCAAGCAGCTTCAAATGCGGCTGCAATACGCTCGATTGAAGGTCGAACACGGATGGGTATGTGGTCTCGTTTATTTCTGGTCTGCTCGAATAATTGGGTAGTGTAATTGAATTGTATTCGCACAGCAACGTCAAAGTCTTAACGAAGTAGAGAACCTCTACTTTCGTCACTCGACCGCTTCCAAAACAGTACCAAAGCCAAAATCGACGGTCCGGTTCACTCCTTCCTTTCAAAATATAACGTTCTCGCCACCGTCGAACTCTGCCGGTCCATCCCAGCAAGGAGCTGATACTTCTGCACCGACCCAAGTGACCAGCACAGATTATGTGATGAGTAACGTCCCGGCGGCTTCTCCAATACCTTCTGCGACCTCGGTGGCGGAGGGGTCCTCAACTAGCATCGACCCGCCGACGTCCCAGGTGCCACAAAGGACGCCGACTCTACCAGATATGCCGCCGCCTTCGGTTCCTTCTTCCACATCGATATCTTCATATAGCGATGCAAGCAGGGTGTCTTCCAGTCACCCGACTACTGCATATACCACACCTTCGCCTTCAACTTCCATGAATTCAAATGCCTTTGCCGCCACTTCATCTTCTCATGCACCTCAAGCTTCTTCGTCGACCAATTCAGCATCATCTTCAAATCAGAACGGATCTTCCCCTGGACTTACAGTCGGTGGAGGATACGGGTCTGCGCCACAAAAAACATACCCGTATCCCGCCACTTCTTCCAACTTTTCCTCAAATCACGCCAATCCGCCTCCGCTACAGCAATCCTCGTCTCAATCGCACTCACAATATCCACCACAGTATCATCAGCAACAAAATTCGCATCCGTCGCACTCCACTTCACTTACTCCCGCACAACTGCAGAATAGTCAAGCCCTCGCCGCCTACATAGCAGCCCAAACGCAAGCTAACTACCTTGCATCTCTGAGCTCTTCCGCATCCTCGTCCGCATCCGCATCTTTGTCCTCAACACCCCAACCATATCCCTACCCGCAAACCCAGAACCAGTCACTCTCGAATGCGAATACAAAGCCAGCCGGATCAGCCCAAACCCTCACTCACGCACACATGTCGAATCCCTACCTGTCTCCTCTAGTTCAGCAACACCCACAATATTATCCTATGCAGAACCAGCTTCATCCGCAAGTCTTACATCAGATACAACGATTACAGGCGGCACAGACACATTTACGGGCTCAAGCCGCTCAGTTGGGAAGCGTCCCTCAGCCTACACCTTCAACATCTCATTATCGCGATCCTTCTCAGGCTCCGGCGACTGGTTTTCATAATCATCTTGTACCCACAGGACAAACCGCTGCTGCTGCTGCTCCGAATGGCTTCGGAGGGGTCCATTCACATCCACATCAGCGTCAACATCAGCCCCAGCAATTACCTGCGCAAACCACATCGTCGGAAACACTACAACTCGGTGCCATACCTTTACCTCTAAAAACGTTCGACATCCCAACAGCACCATCGCCTGCTCCTCCACCTTCCACTACTCCTACGGGCACCGAGACGCCCACCACACAGGCAGGCCAGATGCAGATGGGACTCAATCCGATGCAGAGCAACGGGTCGCTGACGTATGATTCTTTCTGGAGCACACATACGATGGCTGCAGGGAATTGGAGGAAGGTGGTTGCGCAGGGGTCGGGTGGGAATTTGGGTGGTTTGGGCGATGCGATGGTAGGAGGGAGCGGATTTCCGGACGGGACTACTGACGCGTCTGGTATGGAAGCTTCTATGGGTGATGGGATGCAGGTTCAGTCGACGGGCGTGCCGATGAGTTCGACGGATGGATTGCATGGATGATGATGATATGGAAGTTCGAGGAATTTTTTGTAGGAAGCGATATGATATTGTATTCATGGTCCTTCGGAGATTAAATAATTGCATGTTCTCACGTACCTAGTCAATTGTCACTGAGCTTGAGCTTGCTCTGATGATAGATGGTTGGGCCACAAATTTAGACGAGTGCCACGGCGGATGGAGGGCCCACGTGGCCTTGTTGGGTCTGTGCAGGGCGTGTGCCGAAATGTCTGTCTGATTTCGCGTCCGCCGTCCTGGCCTTATCTGCTGTGTTCGTTCTCCATCCCGCCCTTTCTTGTCTTCCTTCCTTCCCTTTCTACGTCAAAACGAGAAAAACAAGAGAAACATAAATACGAAACGCTTTGACGGCTCTGACGACACAACATTCCTGATAAGCCCCTTGTCACAATGACCCTCCCCGCGAACGACGCCTTCACCCTTGCTCTCGCCCACTCCAACGACTCCTCCATGCCCTCCAGACGGCGTTCGCTCACCCGCTCGCCATCGCCCAAAATCCCATTCACCCCGACTAACGACAGTCCGAAACGGAGACCCGGGACGCGCCGACGGGTCTCAAAGGGCTCCGTGGCGTCCGGTGTCGATGGAGGGATGACAAGCGGCAGCACACTGCAGGAGATCGACGAGAAGGAGGACACGCTCGAGGTCGAGCGCAAGCTTCTTGGGCAGACAGTAGAAGAGCCGTCGCAAAAGAAGAAGAAAGTCGACTGGGAAATTCCTCGTAAAACATTGCATTCCTCCATCGGTACGCTCGTGTGACCCCCGACTAGCACTGTTCTCCGCCACCCTACAGCAACTGATGTCATTCTTCCATTCCATTCAAAGGCTTTTTCACCTTGTACCTCTATGCTTCCAAGGGATCGCCACAAACTGTCATCCGCTATCTCTCAGGGGCACTCGCCTTCATCGCCCCCTGTGACGTCTTGCGCCTCAACTGGCCAGCTTTCGAACGGGCGTACGAACACTGCGTCGGCTTCCTCATGCGCGAGAGCGAGAAAAAGTCGACGAACGGTGTCATCTGGTACCTTATTGGCGTGATCTTTGTTCTCGGGCTTTACCCCCTTGATGTCGCCCTCATCTCCATCATGATGTTCGTTCTTTGTCTCTCAGATCTTCTGCACATTATCTAATGAATGTTGTCTCTTCGCGATCGGACAGACTCTCATGGGCTGATACCGCTGCCTCGACTTTTGGCCGCCTGTGGGGTCGTTACACACCACCGCTCCCGTCTCACATCCTTGGGCTCCCCCTCGCCCCCCGAAAGTCTCTCGCAGGCTTCATCGCAGCAGCAGTCACCGGCGCCGCCATCGTCTTCTCGTTCTGGACCTGGATGGGTGAGGGCGTCGATGTCCCAAGTTGGAGCTGGGAGCAAGGCGTCATTGGTGCCGGTGTTGACGACAGCATCGTTGGCTCCACCATCAGGGGGTGGTTGAGAGAGCAAGGCTTTGCGGGGGTGAAGACGGGCGGCTGGGTAGGTTTGGCTGTGGTCAGCATTGCTTCTGGGCTCGCGACCGCGGTGGCTGAATCTATGGGTGCGTCTCTGATCACGTTTTTCGCTGAAATAACGCTCATCGATTTCTTGGTCTGTATTTACTCCAGATATTGGCTCGTTGGACGATAACTTGACGCTTCCTATCCTCTCTGGTGCGGCCGTCTGGGGCTTCATGAAGCTCTTGAGCTGGGTATCTATCTAAATAACTCTCGACAACTGACTGTTTCGCCTCCCTTCCGCCTCCGCTACGTGCCACAAGCTTTATTATTCGGTGTCTAAATAGAGTGAACATCTCGCGTTCGACGGACTGTTTCATCGTACGCTCTAGATTAATTTCTCGCTTGTTCGGCCCACTACTACCTCCTTCTTACTTTACGATCCCAACGATTATGTCTTCCTCATCTGTCCATATGCATAGTCCCTCTTACACCTTACTTACAACCATACACTCGACCGACTGATCCTCCGCCCGCCTCCCACTATCTTCAACCTTCACCCGGCTACCTTTCATCCTTCTGTCTCCACCACTTACACGCTTACAATCACCATTACAACTTTCCTCCCTCCCCCCAAATCGGATTATTATTTCCTTTTCCTTTTTTTTCTTACAAGAGGTGATACCATTCCCTTTCTGTTCTCGGTGCTGCATGGGGTTGTTGGGTTCTTTCTGCATGTTTTTGATTGTGGTCTTCTACTTCTATAAATATATCCGAGTTGAACTTCTTTGGGATTCTGCGCGTGCCTCTTCCGAGTCCTCTGCATGTGCTTCTTCGTTCGAGTTCAAGTTCAAGTTGGAGTTGTCAGTTGAAGTCGAGCGTCTCACGTTCCCCGTCGTATCCCGCTACTAACGGTCTAGGGACTGGATTTTCGGATGTGCTGTGCGTCATTAGCTGCGTCGTTGTGTGTGTCGCTGACATCGTTCTGTCGTCCTACATGCAGTCATTCGACGTCTACATAGGCTTTTGTCGTCATTGTAAAACCGTACCTTGCAGATTAGACCGGAATTGGTCTGGGAGGTCTGGGAGGTTCAGATACACGCGTTCTAACTTAGATGCGATTAGCCTCAAAAATCGTCCATAAAAATCTATGGGCCCTCGAGTGTGTGTCTGGTCTATGTATCACTATTGATTTGATGTACAAACAGGTTACAGGTCAAAACCTTCAGGCTTTCCTTCGTCTCCTTACCCATTCAATGCTCTCCTCCACGCCCTCTTCTCTCTCCCCCGCTGCACGAGTCTCCAAGCCCTCAAAGGCCTACACTGTCGCACGACGCAGACGTGGATGATGTAGTCTGTTTCGTTCGCGTCCGTTCGGACGGCTGACACGATCCAGGACACCTTGGCCGTCGTGACGATTGGCCGTCTGAATCGGAAGGAATGCTATCGGTGTCGGTGTCCGAGTTATTTTCATTGTCGGTGTCAGAGCTGGGGTCGATGCATTCCAAGAGATCGTCCAGTGCTTGGGATTGCACTGGACTGAGCTTGCGGTTGATTATGTGCTCGACCTCTCTGCGGGAGTGGAAGCCATTTTCAGAGAGGGGAAAGGAAAGGAAAGGAAAGGAATAGGGGATACGCACGCGTCTGACCAGTCACGACGATCCAGGAAGGAATATTCCCGAGGCTCGACGGCGTTGACACCGCTCTTCGACTGCTTGTCGAAGGTTTTTGGTTTCGTGTTATTGTATGGAGTGAAGTTCATCGTGGAAGAGGACATCATAGAGGCAGTGGCAGGGGCGAAAGAGAAGCTACTATGCTAGTGTGCGTTGGTGGGACGATCTGACGTGCGGAGGGATGGGAAGTGACGCAAAGGCCAAAGAACACAGGGGCTTTATATACCGCTAGACGGTGAGACTAGAGCTTTGGCCCCTGAGGACATGAGGCATGGCACGAAGGAGTCGAGAACAAAGGACTTTGAAGAAGGATGACAAAGGGTGTCCAAGCGGTGGCAACTGTGCCGCTGTAGGTTCAAAGTCAGGCAAAGGGAACAAGGCTGGCAAGCATACTTGGGGTGCCAGCACGAAGACAGCCCTTCATTGTCGTGGAACTGAGCTCTGAATTGTGCTGGGAGCGTTGTAAGGATAAATAGCGATGAAAAGGAACAACGCTCTAGTCTGCCGTGGAGTGCCATCTTGTGTGGCGTCTTGTTTTATCTTTCGGAATCGCAGGCGTAGGCATAAAGGGGCACGGCAACACAAGAAACAGATGTCATTCACAAACAAGTATAGGCGCTTACAGAACCAAACTGACTCAACAGTCTCCTTCGAGAGGCCTCGAACCTCAAGAACTTAAACGTCTAACAACGCTCAGTTCTTGATGAAAGACGTCATACCCTGTAAATTATTGCGGTCTAAGAAGATTTCATTTCGTCAGTACACTCTGACAATGACGGAATAGTATCAAGATGCATACCGACAGCGAGTCCAACCTGAGATGCCGGACCTGAGATGTCGACCGATTGAAGGTTTGTGGCCTGACCTGGGCCATTCAAAGCAAGGACGGAAATCATGGTCGCGTTGGGCTGCAGAACATACATGAAGCTGATGATTACCGTCAGTATCTGACAAGACTGAGAAATCATTGCATAAGAACGCCTACTCCTTTCCGTTGACGGTAGCGATGTCGTTGTCTATGGTAGCAGACCCATTCGTCTGGGGGTATTGCTAGAGCAGGTCCGTCGAACATGAGCCACTTCTTCCTCACAATTTCGAGGCATCGCACGCACCTTGACGATAGACCCGGTCAAGTTGCCGCTAACGTTCACTTCGGTGACCATCGATGTGATAATATCCGTTAAATAGAAGTTTCCAGTCTGTTGGCTAAAGCTGGACCAACAAGTAGCACCCTGACCCGTAATAGGAACGACGCTGCTCAAGTTACTAGAGGTGCCGTTCGTACTGTCCGTGGCATTCGAAGCTCCACCAGACATGTCGAAAATATCAAAACCAACACCAGCATCAGTAGCAAGAATGGCGTTAGCACCGGGGATGACCGTCATCGAGAAGGGGAGCAAGCCACCGGACGCAGGGGCTACGCTGACGAATTGGTCGGACAAGCTTCCGTCCTCGGCGACGTCCCATACGGCCAGGAATCCAGGAGTGGGAGGGACTCCTTTGACGGAAGCGATGAGGTTCGAGCCGTCCTCGCTGAAGATGATGTGGCTGGCACTTCCGGGAGGACCGGTCGCGGGAGTGGTCTGGTTCAGATTGAGTGAGCGTACGGTATTGGGCATCGCTACCAAACCAAGGGTCGAGTTGACGCTGTAGCAGCTACAATGGCCCGTCAGACTCGCCTCCTGCGATGGTTTCTTTGTTTGGGCGACATACCTAACGCCGTTGATGGCGCCGCCGTTCAGCGCACAAACTGTGTTTCCGGCCTTGTTGATAGCCAGCGACATCGGAAACTCTCCCTCGCTCGAAACCGGACTCCCAAGAGGGGTGATCGAGGCGGGATTGCTAGGGTCGATAGTGAATGCAGAGATGGTGTTCGATCCTGGCTGAGAGATCGCCCATTCCGTCAAGCTATTGGGTGAGCGACTAGGAGTGTGTTGAACCTACGTTTACAGCAGCGACGATATTGCCAGAAGCAGACGCTTTGACGGCCCCTTGGGAAAACAGACCATCCGGACCAACAGACTGACCGTGTTGACCCCGACCATTGGTGGTTATGGCCTGAACAAGGGTCTATATGGCAGCAAAGAACCAAGAAATGAGTCAAAGGAAAATAGATAGCATTAATTCTGAGTTTACCTACCAAGGTTCCATCCGAATTGATATCAGCTGAAACGACAAAGTTTCCCTCTGGCTGATTGGTGATGACTGCAAGGCACCAAGTCAGCTGCATGTGCGAAGTGCAACAACAGAAAACAAGTATACGTGCAATATAGCGCGCCCATCGAGGTGCCGTTAGACGCATTCATAACCATGGCGCCCGTACTGTTGGTAGCATCTCTGGCCTTGGCGGAGTGGGCAACAGGGCGTGCAGAGGTGATAGCACAGTATGCAGCCAAAGAGAATAGAGTGGTCGTCGTGAACTTCATGATACCTGAGTCAAAACTAATGATGGCTGTGTCGTCCGTAAACTTGGTTTACTAGTCTCTCTGAGCCGTATGAACGAGCGTATGAACGATAGACTGCTACCTGAAAAGAGCAAGGCATTCTGGATTACTTAAGAGGCCTTGAAGGAAGGGAAGAAATGTAGAAGTACTTACAATACAAGTAGCCCAGCTACAAGTCTGAGTTTAGTGAGCGAGCTTGAACGAGTGGAAGTCAGCACAGCTGAACTTGGCGTAGAGAGAGAGACAAGTTTAAGAAACCCTCGAGCACCAGGAGAGTACTGATCATACTTTATTCTTATGGCTGTCACGACACGATCAACAACCTGAAAGCAGTTCATCAAGGAATCACGCCGACCGAGTTGAAACTTCTGATGGAGAAACGACCGTGTCAAGCCCCACCGGCGAAGGCGCATACACACGGTGTGACTTTGTACCGAGCATACCAACGCAACAGTTGTCTGATGCTCTCTATGGTGATGAGACAAGACATTCTTACACATCTTGGATAGTCTGAGGCCAATCAGGAAGAAAGTTGTGACACAGCCTGTGCTCGATACACACAAGATGTCGGTCGGGCATCACTACTGGTATGCAACAGCGGGTGGCCTAGCAACGACGGATTCTGCGCAGCAACAGTTTGCAGTGTTAACACAGGAGCAGACAGGAGCACCGGACAAGAAATAAATTGGAATTGCTCACCAACCTCGTCAGTCCATATTTCGGAAGTTTGCCCGACAAGCTCGCTTTAAAAAGCCTACCGAAAGGGGCTATAGTGTGTGGCACCCAGACACACTGTAGAGAGTCAGTGCCACTGCAGCGATGAAAACAAGTCTGCTTGGATTCCTTTGTGTATATCTTGCACCATGCCGCTAGACGGGGCGAGTTAGACTACCAGTGACTTTGAGGAAGTAATGGGCCGAGGGCGGCACTGTCTAGAAGGGCGGGCAAAACAATCGCTCTGAGAGTGACTCCAAGTGCTCCGTCTGTCTTGGCCTCACAACGAGACTCATTATGAGGAGAAAAGGTGCCCGACCCCGAGCGGCATATGTTTTGGTGCAGTAAAGCGGTACATGGCATGCGAATCATAGCACATACAACCCCCTCCGTCTCGCGCTCCCCACCCGCTAAGCATCAACAATAAAAGGAAGCAAGAAAGACGTTTAGGTACGGCCAGCACCTGGAACGTTCCGTCGCTCCCTCCTGCCAGCACGCTCGGGGATGACAGTGACGGGCTCCTCAATGGTGACGGGGATGGAGTCGAAGTTGAGGTGGGCAAGGAGAGCCTATGGGTGATGAATTGCAGGTAGGGAGTAGACACGCAATTAACATTATAATCGAAAGCAGTAAATGTAGAAGTGACGCACCTTGGTCTCCTTGTCGACAGTAAGACCAGAAACGCTGGTGTCGAGGGCAGAAACCTCGGGAACGTACTGATCCTTCCGCTCACGCTCCTCCTCCTGGAGCTTGAACGAAATACCACGGACGGGACCGCGCTGGATACGCTTCATCAAATGGGTCGTGAAGCCGGAGATCTTGTTGCGGAGACGTTTCGAAGGGACAACGGCGACCTCATCGATGATACGCTTGTTGGTGTGGAAGTCGAGGGTGAGGCGGGGGTAGCTAAATCATACGCGAGCAATATATCAGTATCTCAACGACATCATAGCGGCCCCGGCAGCATTGCACGTCCTTTCTTATGGATTCTATCTGTCTCTCAGTTTCAAGTGATTGGAGACTCACTATTTCTCAATGAGAACGCGGGACGCCCTCTTGGTGGTCTTCGTACGAACACGGCCCTATTTCCACCCCAAGAATCAGCCTTCAAGCTCTCTCCTTCGCCCGAGCATAGTTCCACCCACCATGTTGGTTTGAAAGCTGAAAAGAAAGGTGAGAGGGCGAAAAAGCTAGCGCGGGGCCGTCCGAGGCGTCTTGAGGTCGATAGCTACGGTGGCGAGCACTTACTCGCGGCGACAGGCGAGCGCGGCAGTTCCCGCGGTGGCTGACGCGAACTGTACAGTTCTCAGCCACACCTTCCCGTTCCGGTGTTTCAGAGCCATTTCGCCTTCGTCGAATTTCAAGTCTTCCATTCGTTCTCGTCGTCGTCGTCGTCGTCACCGGTCTCGCCACCCTCAAGGTGAATATGGTCCCTCTTATCCGCATCGGCTGGGCGGCTTGCTGGCACGCTGGCATGCGCAACAACGGCACACCTTGGGTTACGACGATTCACATACCTCGATTGCTACAGTCGTACAGGATGGAGGAGTAGTCCAAGCTTGTGTCGGCGGCCATTAGCATGCATTCGCCAGCTCGTCTTGACTCGTGCTTTGCGCGACACTCAGACGAGCAATTTGTGCTTACTTTGGCTCTCTCGTCCTAGACTCTCCGGCCTTCATCCTTATCGCATCTTCAAAATGGTCCGCGTCTCCGTACTCGTGCGTGTCTCCCTCAGATATCTGGTCCCATTTATCGTACTGACCGTTTGAGTGCTGTTAGAACGATTGCTTGGTTAGTATCGCCTTCCGCATGGTCTGCGTGCATGTCATTTACCGTTTAACCCAACCCACAGAACAACATCGTCAATGCCGAGCGCCGTGGCAAGCGCCAGGTCCTCATCCGCCCTTCCTCGAAGGTTGTCGTGAAGTTCCTCAGTGTCATGCAGCGCCATGGTACGTCCTCATTTCTGTTTCTGCCGGCTTCATTTCGTATTACTTTCTTTCGCGTTCTCGTTACGTACATTCTATTATAAAACTCGGAGTGATAACTACGATCGACGAGGTTTTGCCTCCACCCGCCCCTCGTTTTAACGCTCCGAAAAATCAACATTGCCTCCAACAACACTGAAGCACACTTCCTCATACTCACTACGGATTTGGGTTCACTACGGAGATTACATTATTTTCTTATTAGATATCAAATCCCTTCACTTTTTGCTCTACTTCTTGCTTGTTTCGACCATCCAAGTTGACGATTTCCTTGATAGGCTACATCGGGGAGTTCGAGATCATTGACGACCACCGTTCCGGCAAGATCGTTGTCCAGCTTAACGGCCGTCTGAACAAGACTGGTGTTATCTCGCCCAGGTTCAACGTCCAGGTCACTCAGATTGAGTCCTGGGTCAACTTGTTGCTCCCCGCTCGTTCGTTCGGCTACATCATCCTCGTTCGTCCTTTATCTCGTCGCTCTCGCCGTATCTAATTTGAATGTTTGTTCCTATCATTCAGACGACTTCTTCCGGTATTCTCGATCACGAGGAGGCTCGTCGCAAGAACGTTGGAGGCAAGATTCTCGGCTACGTCTACTAGGTGTTCCCCAGAGGGTTGTGATGCCTGTAGGTAGTGGCTCCGAGTCGACACTCCATATCTCATGCCTGTATTTTTCTGGGTTTCCTACCATGCCAAAATGCCTCGCCTATGATCGGGCCTTGTTTATGCCATATTTATCGGAGTCCTTTTGCCGCCAGTCTCATCATCTAAGCTGTAACTTGGAGTCTTTTCATAGTTTCGTTGACGGCTGTCCCCAATGAAGTCCGGCTTTCAGGTGAATCATCTTGGGACCACAACCCCATAATTTGAATTCGGAAACTGCCATGACAGTGAATGAGGAATATGTTACATCCAACGCACTTCTACCAGTATGTGGTTTTCTCGGGCTGCCAGTGCAGGGTCCGCACTGACCGCTTGCGTTCATACTACTAAGCGCCATATCTCGAAGCCTGTTGTTCCTCACCCCGCTCTCGATTGCTGTTCACTGTCTTGTGTGCAATTGATCTCAGAATGAGTAGGACAGGCACACTGGAATCCAAACAGTGTAGTCCGAGAGCTTTCCTAGGCCGCGATGAGTGTCCACGCGTCGTTTGTAGGTCAAACGAATTGTGGATGTTGATAACCTGAGGCTGACAAGTTCTTCCGTATTCTGAGTCTCTAGCAAAACGTCAACGACGAGCCTCAATGAACTTCCTAGCCTGAGGCTTACTACCCGACTTTAAATGCCAAGCATATTGAGTGGATGTATCCACTTGGGCCGATCAACCAGGCATCTTGTACAACAGATACGCGTATACTCGGCCTGCCGGCTGCACACAGCTAGGTGCGCAGGCGACCACTCATTCGGGCTCATATATTTTGCCGCACGAAGAGCTATGTGGTGGGAGACTGGGTAAGTCAGAGCGGAAGCTTCGCTTCGTTGTAAGTATGTGAGAGGCCCGGTGGTTGAGGTACTGACCACGAAAAGCCCAGATGTAGCGGCACACAAAGACATTTTTCGGCGGAATCGTGACTATCGCGGCTGGACGGAGAACCATTCATAGAATGGACACTGAGAAGGTTTGAGAATGCGTGTCAATTTTCTACGGGTTCAAATTCCCTGGGGTCTGGCCTACGTGCGTTGGTTTTCGGAAGAAATCATAGATCGACTCTTTGTCCATGTGTTTGGCAGGACCTCCGACCTCACCACTATGTCAACTCTTTGAGGTGGATCAAACCTCTGGCATGATTGCCTGGGGTCCTCAGGGGATTGGGATATGGCCTGGGTGCCGTACTTAGTCATGAGAACAGGAATCCACACCATCCCGACCATGTTTATAAGGCAGCTTGTTCTGCTAACAGAGAGCACAGAATCTCACACTCCTCCGACACCTTCACACCCACCAAAACACCCTATCTGTCAGCTTGGTCATGTCTAAGCTCGAAGTCAACCGACGTGTTCCGTACGGTACGCCCATTCGCTTGATCCATTGTGACGCCTTGTGTTGATGTTTATCTCAATCCAGTGCGTCTGGGTAACTCTGGTCTGAAAGGTATGCAGTCAGCATCTTGTCTCTCGAAGAGGCGACTCTGCTGACAGGCCATCTTCATTTCAGTCTCCAAGCTCATCTTGGGATGCATGAGCTACGGGAATCCCTCTTGGGAAGCATGGGTTCTGAACGAGAAGGACTCGATTGAACAAATCAAGTTCGCGTACGTCTTCATCGTTAGATTTCTTCTGAAGCCCGCAAGTGAATATAAAGCTCTGAATCACAGCTACCAGAACGGTATCCAGACATTTGATACCGCCAACGTACGACATATTTCCTAGCGTCCCCATCCTGACATTTTTTCCTGATGCATATTGGTTTTCAGGTGTACTCAAACGGCGAAAGCGAGCGCATCCTTGGTAAGGCCATCAAGCAGCTCGGCTTGCCTCGTGAAGAGATTGTGGTCATGACCAAAGTGAACTAAATTAAACACCCTTGTCTATCTTCTATAAGACACTGATGATGCCATATTCTCAGGTCTACTTTGTCTCCGCCCGCACACCTACGGAACCGCTCATGCTTTCCATCCCCGAAGCTGAGAAGAACGGCTATGTCAATCAACGTGGTCTTAGCAGGAAGCATATCTTCGACAGCGTCAAAGCCAGCTTGAAGAGGCTCGATCTCGAATACATCGACGTACTCCAGTGCCACCGGTTCGACGTTGATACCCCAATCGAGGAGACTGTTCGTGTCTGCACCTCCCGTGTCTGGGTTTGTACTCACGGTTAAGTTAGATGCAAGCTTTGCACGATGTCGTCCAAGCTGGATATGTCCGCTACGTTGGGATGAGCTCGTGTCATGCGTGGCAATGTACGCCCTTCTTTCATAAAGTAATAATATTGTGTCCACGGCTCATCGTTCTTCTCTGCCGCAGTCCACGCTATGCAAAGTCAGGCATCTTCAGTTTTCCGCACTTATCACTGTTAGGCCAAATGCTAATCCACTTTATTTGGCTCATAGACTACGCGATCAACAATAAATTGACACCCTTCATCTCCATGCAGAATCACTATAACATGCTCTACCGCGAGGAAGAGCGCGAGATGATGCCCACTCTCAAGGTGATTGGGCTCTTCATGCTCCTTGTTTCCTTCTTCCACTAATGGCAGCGTTGTTTAGCACTTCGGAGTGGGGTCGATCCCCTGGAGCCCTCTTGCCAGAGGAGCTGTCTGTCGCCCCGTTTCTCAAATCAAGACCACGGAAAGGGCTAGTACGGACATGATGCCGGCCGGTGTGTATATTGGGGCGAGTGCGGCCGGTCCAGTCATCGTTGGCCGCATTGAAGAGCTCGCGAAGAAGCATGGTGCGAGCATGGCACAAATCGGTTTAGCTTGGGTAATGGCAAAGCCTGGTACGCCTCCAATTCCTAATCAACCACATGAACTCTCTGCTAAAGAGCCATGTATATTTTAGGGGTAACGGCGCCTATCATCGGTACCACGTCGATGGAGAAGCTCAAGGATAACCTGGGTACGTTGGCATATATCTTGGATTACTTGAAATTCGGCTCGAACTGACTTACTACGAAGGTGCACTCGATGTCAAGTTGAGCGAGGAGGACATAAAATATTTGGACGAACCTTACGTACCTCTTCCAGTCATTGGGCACTGATAGGCGGAATGCCCTGCTGGCCGTGACGAGACTCTGCTTCTTATACTATCGACATTGACCGGCCTTGTACATCTGTATCTTCGTTACGTCGGTTCACATATGGAGGATATCTTTTCAAGCGAGCATGCTCAGTCAAAACGTCACGCAGCACATGGCCATGACAATGATACTATTCTGAGTCCTGTCCAAGTCTGTTTTGTTACTGTAGCTGTGAGGTGACCTGACATGGGCATATATAATGACAGCGCTCGCAACCTGCAAGTGCCACGTTACTAACGTCGGACGTTGATATTCCGGAAATCGCCGGTATGTACAGCGGTTCTCACACCCGTGGAAGTCTATCAGAGGCTTCCTGTCGGTATCAAACTTTGACCACGACGACAACATCTTTGGCGACGAATCTGCGCACGGCTGTGATACTTATATGTTACCGTGTTCTCACATTACATTGTCTAGGGTCGAAAGCTAGCATTGCCACTCACGTCGATCTGTATGTTTTGCTCTAAGCGGCGGTCCTGGCGTCAACACAGAATTCCCGTTGTAAAAAGGATATTTACTCCACTATCTTCAATGATGTATTCTTTTGCTTTCCGTTCTCGATGTCGCCGTCACCTGCACTTATCCGTTCAGTATTCGGCTTCTATAAGGCGCGCAGCCACTACCATGCATAGCGTCCGAAAATCCTCGTGGAGCTTCCATCGTCCAACGCGCGACCCAATCTTCGACAAAGATTTCCCGGAGTTATGGCATTTCCTTCCCGCCGCATCATGTTATCATAGTCTTGAACGACCGTGTTGATAAAACGCCGCTCAACGAACAGTATGACCCGAGGGGATAGTCATCAGCATGGACTGCATCTGAACCGCTCAGTGCTCACAATTTCGGTGTCACAACTTTGATATACAGAAATGACATGCTAGCAATCGAGGGAAATTCACTGATGGAACTCGCCCACTGGTCTGCAAAGGTGAGGCCAGGGTCTTCACATGCCATAGCTAACTTTCTTTCTTTTTTTTTCCTCCGCCGCGGATGTTTCTGTCTCAGATGCGGATGTTTCGTTCTCACCCACACCCCACCCAATCAATGAGGGACTAGGCATCGCGGACTCAGATGACGGCTTGTCTCGCCTCTTTAACCGCTCTGGCACGCCAGATAGTGTGGAATTTTCGTATAGTCGAAAGGAAGCACGACCAGCCCTGTCATCTGCCGCTGTCCACATTCCCCCTTCGTCGTCGGTCCTCCGCTCTCTGACCGAGGTTGGATTTACGCCTCATCCCCAGTTAGTCTCCACAAGTCCTTGTCAACGCCCAGACAGCCCAGACAGTTTGACGCCGCAGGAATGATATTCTTTTCGTGCGTCTATCTCTCATACTTAATATCAGCGGTTTTGCGCCCACTTCCCCTCCCCTACAATCCCAGTTTCATTCTACAACGTCTTGCCATTCTCATAAGCTTTGCAGAACATATATGCCTCGTTTCCGGCGTGCCACTTCTATCTGCTGGGTCTACGTCCCCATTCTCGCTCTTGCTGGCCTTTGGATTGGGCTACACGTCTCCGGCACGGACATTACCGACATACAGAACATTAACCTCTTTCACAATCTTGGTGTCGACGCCTCCACGCCGAAGAACGTCTTTGCTTCGTGGGGGGAGCACTTGGGGATCGGTTCTGGCTGGAGACCAGAGGTGGAAGACCGTTATGCGTCGAGACCTCACCTTCCTTCGATTGTGCCACTAGAGAATGGGGATGAAGATCTGGCGTCAGATGAGTCGGCTGCTTCGGGTGTCAATACAGATGTCATGCTCGAGGAGACAAGGTTGAAACTCAGTGATACTGTATTTCCCGAGCTGGACAAGAGTGATTCGTGGAGTAACGAGAACAACAAGGCGATCAGGGATTTGTTCAGGTGCATAGAGTCGGGGAACTGTGTCGAGAACCAAGAAAAAGGTGTGCCTTGCTTCTCCTTTCTGTAAAGAATCATACCGACGGCCGCCCACAGTCGTGATCCTAGGCTCGTTTCACTTCCGCGGCGCACTCACCGGATGGGTTGGTGGTGAAGACATTTGGTAAGTCCTCATCTCAGGGACTGTTCGCTGTCTTGGTATTATATTGACTCCTGTATGTGTGATCATCGACAGGTCTCGATCTACGGCAAGAAAACAATGCCTCTCTGACTTCCTGTTTCGTCGAATAACTGATACTTGACGGATGTAGATTACGGCCCTCCACAGCCTGAACTATACGCTGTTATATTCGCTCAACAACGACCGTGCCGTCCAGCTGTACCAGATGTTCCCGGCATTGGTGGTGGCTGTTCTATTCGAATCATCCGACGTTGTGGTTTGCTATCGCGATAACGAAAACTGCCTCCAGTCCGAACGAAATCCACATGGGATACCAATTTATAAGCTCTTCAGCTGGGTACGCTATCCTCGTATAGTCCATATCTTGGTCATCCCAACTAACACCTAAACAGCATTTCTGGTCCCAACCTGCTCATCCCTTGGGTAGTCAATGGACGTGGCAACCCGAGCCTTATGCTATTGAGGGCTATTTCCCGGACGTCACCTATGTCGGTTACAGTGTTGAACCCTCCTGCTCTAAGCAGCCTTTCATTCCCCACGAAGGGCGTGCAATAGCCTTCCCGTCCTTGCCCGCTCTCGATCCCTCCCAGTTGTCTGGTTCAGGAGACGCCATCTCCCCTCCCATTCCTCCTCAGCGTACGGGGAAAGGCCAAGCCTATCTCTTGGCGAAGCATCTTTATTACTTCACCGATGAAATCGCGCACGGTTGGTCCTCCACAGTATGGAAGCGAGTAAAGGAGGAGACAGGAATTGAGCTCATCATCGGCTCGAGAGGGGACGACGACTACGAACAACCCGAAGGCCTGACAAACCTTGGATTTATGCCTCAAGAGCGTTTCCTAAATGAGGTGGCGAAGAGCCGAGTGCTTATCGGTGTAGGGCAACCGTACACAAGCCCAACGCCTTACGAAGCTCTGTGCCTTGGTACGTTACATTTTGTCGCTTTAAGCCCGTTGGGCCTTCTCTTCTCGGTCGAAGATGCTAGATTCTGACGGGCTCTACTTTGTTCTGATGTCTGGATGTTCAGGCGTGCCATTCATCAATCCTATTTTACAGTGGGATCCGGAAAACCCTCTAGATAAATCACGTTGGGACTCGCAGCACGTCATCCTTCGATATCTCGATCCTCCATACGTGTACAACGTTCAGAAGGACGACGAACAGGGACTTATTGACGCCATTAACGCCGCCTACGAAAATCCAATCGACAGGTTTGTTCCGCCTTTCTAGAAGCTGTATGCATATCGTTGACGCTATTGTTTAGTTTTGTCCTAGATAGGATGAGGATCCCCTCTATTGCCGAACGCCTGGAGGAGCTTTTGGGCAGAGACTGGGAAGAGTTGGCAAAGAACGTGCCCCTGAATCCGATGGACGGGTGGTAAGATTGATGGTTCTATGGCGTTTGATGATTCTACGGCGTGGAATTGCATTGGACATCATCATCCAGTGCTCGACATTCATGACTGTGACGAGTGATTCGGCGGACTACTGCATACATTATAGACCTATTGTTCATCGTTTTCTGCGTGGGATTCCCTGGTCGATCCCGCAACTTGGTTTGTGCGATGCATTGTATATTGTTCATCCAAAGGATTTAATTTATCACACATTAAGTCTATGGCATGACTCCAGTATGAGTATCGACACGCCTCTACTGCTAGAAAGTATTGCCTTGTACTCATCCATATAAGGACTCATTTCGCGCCACATTGTGTTACAATCGTGTGGCGGTGACGAATCATCATTGTACTGATCGCGATCGAACCTGCTTACCAATTCATCGGAATCCCTCCTCCTGGCATTCCCAATAAGGGATCCACTCCTTGTTCACTTAACACTCGACCAATCAGAATCACCACTCATAAACATCCACATGAGCCCAGTGTGGCTGGAGGTGGCACTCTCCTTCTTTCACCGACCGAGACCGTGTCTAGCGATGGTGAGGTGGGTCGCATCGGAGTCGGAGGTGTCGTCATAAGGATTGCCGGTTGGTTTGGAGAAACTTGCGGCTCGCGCAGACTCCTCTGTCCTTGCCCTCAACACCGTGTTTACTTCCTGTTTGACTTTAGGTGTCGGATAAGTACTCCGAAGCCATGTACGGTGGGTCACCCAGTAAACCACCTTCCGATGCCATTACTCATCGTTCCGGTTCGTACGGATGTTCGACTCGGTGAAATTTGCTTAGAAATCCCCACGATGGTCCCCTTATAAATTAGACGATAGCAATTTCCTGAAGGCCAGTTCCCACTGGTCTCCTAACTCGAGGATTCATTTGCAGTACTACACCCAATCTGAACACTTAAAGCATGGCCACTCGTCGCGTCCCCTACGGTAAGTTACGGCCGTTTTACTGTATTCTATAGCACCCAGTTGATAGAAACTTTTTGGCGGACATAGTTCGTGTGGGTAATTCTGGTCTGAAAGGTAAGTTGCGTCAGGCCACCTAAAAGTCACTGCCACTTTTGTCGCTCACCCTTATTCTCGCTTGAATACAGTGTCTCGACTCATCCTTGGGTGCTTGAGCTACGGCTCGCCCAAGTACCAGAATTGGATTCTGGAAGAGGAAGAGGCTATCAAGCAGATCAAGTTTGCGTATGTATCTTGACGCTATCTCCTTTGTCTACACTGTTGTGAAGGACACGTTACTTATACCGGATTCGTATAGATACGATGCTGGTATTCAGACGTTCGATACTTCCAACGTGAGTAGGGTCACGAACGTTGCACCGACGCTCACAGAGCTAAATGACTGGTTCTCAGGTCTATTCAAATGGACTCAGCGAGATCGTCTTGGGCAAGGCCATCAAGACACTTAGTCTCCCCCGCGAAGAAATCGTGATAATGACAAAGGTTAGACCATTATTTCCCATCTACCCATGTGTTCTCAATCCCCAATACTAAATGAGGTGGCACTCCTAGTTATTCTTCCCTGTTCACCGCGAGGTCGGCGGGCAGTTTCAGGGCAATTTGGTCCAAGCTGACCGCGAGGGCTACGTCAATCAATGGGGCCTGAGTAGAAAGAATATTTTCGCGAGCGTGAAGGCTAGCTTAGAACGTCTCGGTGTCGACTATATCGATATATACCAATGTTCGTTTGGCCTCTCTTTCCCATTTATGTTGCTTATCCACCGGCATACTAGGTCATCGCTTCGATCCCAACACACCCATAGAGGAGACGGTGAATGATTCTGTCCACAATCACAACGTCCTTGCCTCCTGACTGATTCTCTAGATGCAAGCCCTGCACGACGTCGTCAAAGCGGGCCATGTGCGCTACATCGGCATGAGCTCTTGTTATGCCTGGCAGTGTGAGCATTGATATCCTTATAATGCGTTACCATCTTGTAACCGTGGTCACGCTACAGTCCATATGATGCAGAGTAAGCACCTGTTTACTTTTGGTCGTCGACAGTTTTTATTCATGCTTGACATTAATCTCGCAGACTACGCCATAACCCACAACCTTACACCATTCATCTCCATGCAGAACCACTACAACATCCTTTACCGCGAAGAAGAACGTGAGATGATGCCAACACTCAAGGTACGTGCAACGCCACCCTCCGCACTACCCACCACCGCAGACGCCACCATCATCACCTCCTTTCCTCCCTTTCCGCAAATAGTCTGACTCACTTGCCATCAACGTGCGCCCACCAACACACCTCCATCTAGCACTTTGGCGTCGGTTCCCTTCCTTGGAGTCCCCTCGCTCGCGGTGCCGCCGCCCGTCCATACAAAGACCAACAACGTACTGCTCGTGCTGACGCCGACTTCTTCATGTCGCCTGATCTGTATCTGAGTGAATGGTCTGGCGGTAAGGCGATCGTGGACAGGGTCGAGGAAATAGCGAAGAAGAAAGGCGTGACAATGGCTCAGGTGTCGCTTGCATGGGTTCTTGCGCAAGACGGTGAGTTTCACCTCTCTGTATATGGACGTTGCTGATCAATGGTCGCTGTGCGTGTTGCCGGATGCAGCTGTGAGCGCGCCCATTGTTGGCGCCACATCTACGGAGAGGCTGCTGGATGTGATAGGTAAGCTGGCCTCTATCCCTTCTTGTGAAGGTTAACCTTGACCACTATTTCGCAGGTGCTCTCGACGTGAAGCTTTCCGATGAGGAAATACGTTATTTGAAGGAAGCATACCGTCCACTGCCAATAATCGGGCATGTCTAGGCTCCTATGTCCCAGTACAATGGAGGGCGCTTGTACCAAATTGTGCCCATGGAGGTCACACGGACAGCGAATAGACAGTTTTTGTGCCTGATATAAATGCAAGGAAAGATATCAATGTACATGTTCATATTATATGGCGCTAGTATGCGATGCTAGAGATTATACAATGAGAGAGGGGGATAGCATGGATTGGACGCAATGCAGGCTATGTGGCGAACATGTAGAATCACGAGTATTCAGAAAGGATGATGAATCAACTGCCCAATTTTCCCGACAGGCTTCCTCGGCAACCCCTGCGCATCCTTCTCTTTCTCCTTCTCATGTTCGATTTTAACTTTCTGTTTCTCTTTCTCCTTACTGCTCTCACCCCCATTCCCATGTTTCGCACTCTTCCCTCCAACACTCAAATTCGGACTCCCCTCCACACTCCCGTTTCCACCGCCAGTCGAAGAATTGACACTCTTTCCTTTACCGCCCGTCGCGCTCGCAAGACTGGCGATCGTCGCTGAACTCGACTTTCGCGAGCTGCGCGGCGGAGCGGGCGTGTACTCCGTGGCACGCATGCGCGTGGCTTGCGACATGCCGCGGACAAAGTCCCAGACGGCTCCGATGCAGAGATCGAGCACGGTGTGTGCGTCGACCTTGAGGCCTGTGAGGCGGTTGACCTTTTCAGGGAGGATGAGGAAGATGTCCGAGAAAGAGGGATGAGTAGCACCGGCTATTTTGTTATAGACCAAGCAGAAGATCGCGAGACAGATGAGTTGACGGTATATTGGAAGGGAATAGGAGAACTTACGAATCGTGAACACAGAAGACATCGGCTTGACGCTGTGCTCGATAGTATCTTTCATCTGCGAGTTCCAGATAGCATATTCCTTCCCGACACTGAATTCTTCGGAGTTCACGCAGAGAAGGGGATGAGGAAGGGTGCCTGTCCAGGGCTCACAACCTAAAGGCCGCATTAATTAGTCTATGAGCTCAGACCCGAGGCATCAGGAAGAGGACGGCGTACGTTGGACTGCAGGATCCATCGCAACAATGGCTTTAAAGGGGATCTCGTTCCGCGACGACATCTCCATCTGTTCAAATTCGAGAATCGTCAGCAAATGTGTTTGCGGCCCCGCTATTACACCAAGCACGACAGGAGCAATTCATTCACGCCCAACTCACCGCGACCGCACCACCCAATGAATGGCCCGCCATAACCGGCTCATCCGCATCCACATTTCCTTCCCAAAGTCTCCAGTCCATATTTTCCGGCGCCCTCAAACCCAATAACATCAAATTCGTCGTATCACAGACTGTCTGCTGTGCCGCTACCCTTGCAGCCATATCTGTCTGCGGATGTCCCTCCTTCGCTGATCCTGACGCGGGGTCCTTGGCTTCGGCCTCGATGGCTGCAGTGAGCTCTTCCTCGGAGAGTGGGGAATTAGACGACGTGAGTGATCGTATTGCTTTGATTGTTTCTTCAACTTCGGCGCAACGGAGCTTGATTTGTTCATGTCGCACCGTTGTATCGTCTGCTGGTTGTGGGTCCAAATCAGGCCACCTTATATGAGAACGCCACGCAAAGCCGTCAGCGACTGACACGGGCAGCCAAATCGAAGAGAATGGTGATACTTACTCCAAATCTGTCCATTCTAACCAATGCAACATCCGCTCCTCGCCGTCCTCGCTCGTAATCTTCGAACTGGGACTCGTTCCGTCTCTATGTTCCAGGGCAGCCACGATGTAACCTCTGCTGGCCATCTCGCCACAGAAGGCGGAGTACATTAAACGAGAGCAACCAACACCGTGGCTGAAGATCATGACGGGCCACTTGCCCAGTTTCTTCGGTGGCGTCAGTAAGGGGGCATTAGCTTGGGCGGGGAAGGTTGTTCCCCAGACGGTTGCGGCAGCCAAGGGGTCTGGAAGACGAGGAAAAGAAGAGTTAGTTTCCGTTCGACAGGTGGATGAAATAGGAAGACAAAGACGTTATATTTGACAGGTATTAAATTTCTATTTGGGTATGATTTGCGCCACATGCGACGAGCAATGTGTTCTGCAGTGTCTGAGCACGGGATGGGCTTCAACGATGGACCCCCTAAGTACCAGTGTAAAAATCAAGCTGATAGGCAGCTTTATGCACACAAAATGTGTGGAACTGCATTGAGGGTGTGACGAGATGGAGCACCCGGTCCACACTGCACGGTAGCGCGTTGGTGATACTAGGGTCTCAAGCACAGAGAACCCGCTTCACGATGAACTGAGGTAAATGAGCAATAACTTACAGGATATCATCCGGTACCAAATATTAGGTGTTCGATGGGCCATCTTAAGAAAGCCGTCTATGGTTTGCTTCAGACTGAGTCGAGAAGTAAGCGTCGAGAAGAACAACAAGGTAATCCAGAAGCGTGTGTTTTGGCATTCGTTACGAAGAAACAGCACAGAGCGACTGGATCGACATGTGCGATACCACGGAGACTCCTCACTCCGCAGGCGCGATCGAGGACGAAGGAGAGCAAATGGAAGACATACCTCGGAAACCAGACTACAGGATTCGGTTTCTTCGGCTGTTCAATGGGGTAAAATAGCGTAAACAACACGCTGTCCATGGCGAGGCCAGCAGCAGCGTCCGGCATGCTTTTATGTTTGAAGTTTCCAAATGTCTGACGGGCGGTGGGTACCTCGACATCGCAGACACCCACGGCGTACTCGCCAGAATATTGTGGTAGAGTTCGAGAAAGAAGGGAGCCAAATGGTGATTTTCTGGGTTTCGTCTGGATTAGAGGTACCTCTGGACCGTCGCTCTGTTCAATGGTATGTGTTGCGGTGTGTGGTGTGGTTTCTTCGCTGTCGGCGTATGGAGTGTTGGAAGAGTGCATAATCTTGTGGCCTGTTGGTGCTGGCGGTAGATGGGGAGAGTTGGGCATCGTGGATGACGGCGACGAAGGTGTTGACGGTTGTGGACAAGTACCGTGGGTGTTTGCAGCAGCGGAGGCATCTTCGACGCCCTGGTGTTATATTTGGCTGTGGAGGAGGAGGGCAGGTGACGTCATGTTTTGAGCTCAACTTGGCACTCGAACCACGCGCCAAACAATCGGCTCCGGCGGCTTGGTATTTTTGGTACGCCACCCTGCGCCACACAACACACCCTCTGCTTTCTGCTCGTTGGTCTTCTACGAATTCACCCAATCGATGTATGTACAACCCGACCATCCCAAGTGGACGTCTTCAAATTGGAAAGCGTAAAGGCGGAAACTCGAACCAACCTCGACTTGGACTCGACCATGAGAGCCGTTTCCCAACTTCAGTCCACAGATTCATGAGATGCTATTTCCAGCAGATGATTCACGAGCTCTCAGGAGCTGCGCAGTAAACAAATGAGCTAACAAACTTCTGGCGTACAAGCACTGTATGCTGAGTGCGGCGTTAATCGGCCACACTATGACGAAAGACCCAAACTGACGACGATGGTAAGACTCATTGCACTTCCTTCGTACAAGCGAAAAGAGTCTCCCTTCAGTGGCCAGTAACCGGCAATGCGCTATAGCCTTCTTCGAGATACTTCATTTCATCCACTCTGAGCTCAATTTCCAAGGCACCTGCAATTTGAACGTGGTTCAGTTAACCATCTAGGAGAAAAAAGCAGACACTTACCTATGTTATCCTCCAGTTTCTCAAGCGATGTGGTTCCGATGATGGGAGCAGATACCGCTGACCAGGTACATTCAGTACGTTATATATCACAGGTAATAGGATGAGTTATCGCGAGAGAACTGCTCACCATCTTTAGCTATGACCCACGCCAGAGCTATCTGCGCCATCGTCTTACCGCGCTTCCTGGCAAGCTCCTGAACACTACACATTCGATGTACATTCGGAGTGAGTATGATCACCGGCACAGCCCACACCTGAAGAACCACGGCATACTAAGTGAATAAACTTACCGATCGACGATTACCTTCCCACCAGAACCCTCCCCAAAGTAAGTTTTGAAATAAAGAGACGCAGACTCCATCTCTCCCCTCTTAGAACCCGTATCGTTGCCTTCACTCTTGCCTTCGGGTTGGTAAGGACGGGTCACTGCACCACGGGCGAGTGGGCTGTATGGGATGGAGCCTACGCCGAAATGCTGTCGACACACAGACGAGTAGAGGGTGTGTGTTTGCTCTCTGTCGGTGCATAGAAGTGGGTAGATTGCATGACTAACCTTGATGGTAGGCATCATCTCTCGCTCTTCTTCGCGATAGAGGAGGTTGTACTGGTTCTGCATCGAGATGAAGGGAGTGAAGTTATTTTCGATCGCGTAGTCTGTGACGTCGAGCACTGTATCAGCATTTACCACTTCATATAATGAAAGGCCATACTCTGCATTAACTGGACTACATATCCAAGTGATCAGCATCGCATGCAGGAAACGAAGTGAGTTGATAGAAGACGTACACTGCCAGGCATAGCACGCGCTCATGCCTATATACCGGACATAGCCAGCTTGCACAACATCGTGCAGAGCTTCCATCTGAAATAAACATATAATAAGTACCCCGCATCTGTCGAGCTGTGAAGCTTCAAGTTGATCTCACCGTCTCTGAGATGGGCGTCTCCGAGTCAAATCGATGACCTGTCAATACCGTCAGTCCATGGTACCCTCTACTAACGCCAATGGCTGAGCTATGACAGCAACTCACATTGCAACACGTCGATGTACTCCACCCCCAATCTCTCCAGACTCGCCTTCACGCTGTCGAATATATGTTTCCTGCTCAACCCGCGCTGATTGACGTATCCCTCTTTCTCCGCTTGAGCAGGGTTGAAAAGTACGCGCACCATCTCGGCTTGATCAGGCGTCCGGGCTACGGTGAGGCCAACCTATTGACACGACGAAATTCTGAGTTCCCCGGCTTGACGGTTTGGAAGAGAAAGTGGGGTGTTGAGCATAACGCTGACCTTGGTCATTATGACGATCTCTTCGCGGGGAAGGTCAAGCTGCTTGATGGCTTTTCCGAGGATGATCTCGCTCTCGCCAGCGGAATATACCTAGGTATGGGCACAAGGAGAATTCAGTCTACACTGATGGATAGAAGCATGAAACAAGACGCACGTTAGCGGTGTCGAACGTCTGGATACCCGCATCATAACTAAGGATTATGCGTAAGCTCTAGGTCGACGCAGTAAACTGAAGAAGGGGAGTAAGCATGGTCAAAGATGTTGGAGATACGTACGCATACTTGATATGCTTGACAGCTTCTTCTTCATCCAGAACCCAAGGCATCCATTTTGAAGATCCGTAGCTCATGCAGCCCAAAATGATCTTGGATACTACATAATGTTGATAGATTGATATGGGTTCCCGAAGGGTGGGTACGCACCTTTGAGCCCAGAGTTGCCTAGACGGACTAGGTAAATGGACGTTGAGTATGATTAGCATAGGACAGAGAGTCGACAAAGTTGCAAACACGAACCGTATGTCACGCGACGGGTCGGAGCGGTCATTGCGGAAGCTCGAGATGTCTCTGTCGCGACTATCTCGAGGAGTGGAGGAAAGTGAAGCACCGTGCTGAAAGGAACCAGAGGTGTTTTAACCGAATGTCCCAGCGCCCAGTGTTCATCGCTGAAGGTGGGTCCGGATATCTGAATCAGTTACACTGTGCCGTATAAGATCCACCTCAGCCTCCGTAGCGCTCTGAAAGCACTTGCTCACTGAACGCGGTTTCGAACTCGTGTGATTTGAGTTGACTACTGTGTCATTTTACATTGCATTCGGTAGCGCGACAGGGCAGAACCTAACGCCCGAAAAGCCCGGTCAGAAAATTTTGGAGACAGCGCTCGCAAGATCCCATCAGTCGACAGAGAGAGTAAGCCCTGAGCGAAGATTCTTGGGTGGGAGTTATCTAGGCAACATACGGATCGCCATGGAGTTTCACCATCGCCTGGCAGGTTCAAGCGAGATGGCCTGAGAAAGTGTAAGTTGAGAAGCAGGACAGCACTAGCGGTCCTACAATGAGATGAGCCTGCCATTTGCTGGAATCGAAAAGATAGACGCTATTGGGACAGAGCAGGAAACTCAGAGAGCGGAGGAGCGGGCAGAGTCGGATGAAAGCGCGCGAATCTCAGGTGGCACCCGTGTGGCGCAATTGCAACGACTGTCTTTCGATTCTGTCTTCTGTTTTGGTAGCGAGCCTGATGGAACACTGGGCGAACTTGGTTGATGAGACACCATATACATGTACAAGTGACGAATCACCAACTTCAGATAGCTTTTTTACATGATAAGAACACAGTTTTGGGCTCACAAGCACATCTTCATCGTACAGCTCGAAAAAAATACACCCACACAATCGTTCCGTCCATATCCCAGAACATTTGGATTTCGGCAACAAATTCTTCACATGTGACCCTTCAATAGTACAAAGCGACCTCGTTAGCGTACTGAAACATTCAAGTTATAGACGCGGAGTGAGCAAAGTAAGTATACCAACCTTGACGGCGACAGGAGCGTAGGGTTCATCTAAGTATTTGATATCCTCTGGGCTGAGCTTCACATCGAAAGCACCTGAATGGGGTTTGAGAAGAGTCAGGGAGGCATTGGAGATGACAATTGAGGACAGATACCGACCAATGTTGTCCTTCAGCTTTTCGAGGGAGGTAGTACCAATAATAGGTGCCGTCACCCCTACGTTGGCCAAAACAAGTAAGCTATCGATTTCGCCTGTAACAGTGAGAAAGACGTACCGTCCTTTGCCATCACCCAAGCTAAAGAGATCTGGGCCATGCTGGCACCGTGCTTCTTTGCAAGCTCTTCGATGCTGTGGCACGACACAGTTCTGTCAAGCACGCAACAAAATGCTTGTAAAAGCAGAACTTGATGCTTACCGGTCGACAATAGCCTCACTGCCTGGACCATCTGCGATGTATCCTTCAGGGTTCATCCTGTCGTTATCCGCACGGACGGTCTTCTCGGTGCCCTTACGAGGTCGAGTGACAGCCCCGCGAGCGAGGGGGCTCCATGGAATGGAGCCGACGCCGAAATGCTGACGGAAGGGGTGCATGATCAGTTAGGGTGCGGAGTGCAGAGAGTGCAAGTACGATTGAGCTTTACCTTTAACGAAGGCATCATCTCCCGTTCCTCCTCACGGTAAAGAATGTTGTAATGGTTCTGCATCGAGATAAAGGGCGTCAAGTTGTGGGTGATCGCATAGTTCTGCATCGCGTTGAACTGATACGCATAGCAAGAGCTCATTCCGATGTAGCGGACGTAGCCCGCTTTGACAACATCGTGCAAAGCTTGCATAGTTTCCTCGATTGGGGTCCAGTAATCGAAGCGATGACACTGGAGGACGTCGATATAGTCGAGATCGAGTCTCTTCAAACTAGCCTTGACGCTATCAAAGATATGCTTCCTACTGAGGCCGGCTTGGTTTCTACATAAGAAGCTGACGCTCAGTGGACCCATTCCAACCGGAGAAAAGTTGTGTAAGTACTAACACATAGCCCTTCGTTTCGGCTTCGGGAACAGTGTAGATAAAGCCTTCTCCTTGCGTGCGGGTTACAGTGAAATAGACCTGAAGTCATCAATAGATGTTTCAGCCCTGCAAGAAGGAAACACTCCTATAGGGAAAAATGGGGACATGGCTTACCTTTGTCATGACCACAATTTCCTCTCTCGGAAGCTCAAGCTGCTTGATCGCCTTGCCTAAGATAACTTCGCTTTCACCGTTTGAGTAGGCCTGGCAGTGATGTGTGAGGAATTCAATTTATGATTGAGCTTGACTCCACGAACGAGTCAGAACATACGTTGGCGGTGTCGAATGTCTGGATGCCATTTTCGTAGCTTCAGGCCACCAAATGAAAAGAGATCGTCAGTGCCCGCCCTCCAATACTAAACTGAATTGTGACCAGTAGCTGGTACTCACGCGAACTTGATGTGTTCAATAGACTCCTTCTCGTCCAAAACCCATTTCTGCCACTCAGGGGTTCCGTAGCTCATGCATCCCAAGATGATTTTCGAGACTATATAAACACAATGGAAACTTTCATCAAATTGATTTATCACTGATAGCGTTGATAGCGCGCACCTTTGAGGCCAGAATTACCCAGACGGACTAGGTTGCAATATGTGATCAATGCAAGGCCGCCGCCGAAGAACAAGTATGCGAGAAGTGTTGTACAAACCATATGGAACGCGACGGTTGACTTGAAGCTTGGACATTGTGGCAGGTATCGACAAAGTAGACTACAGTGTGAAGAAGGCGAGGGAAGCTTGGGTCGAGTCGCTTTTTATATGTTGCAGACGCGGGGTTCCGAGCTGTGGCTAGGGCTGGCTAGGGATATCGATGTGGATGACGGACCGCGCGTGGGTGCAAGTTGGGGGCATGACGCGTCTACTTGTATCGAACTCGGCATTGTAGACAGTACTCCCATAGGAATCTTCTTCACGGTTCTGCGGAGGAGATCTCTCAGCTAAAACGGCGAAAAAGGGGATACTGTAGTCAACGCACGAAGGTCCACTGTTCCACTATATGATGCTACCCCTTTCACATCGTTTGGCTCTAGTAACCCATCATAATATCTGCCTCACTCACGGGAAGGGTCTTCAACGCAGTCGTTAAGAGACGGCAACTATCCAACGGCTAGACCTGTGTTACAATGAAAGTGAACAGTCAAACAAGGGCTCGGTGGACGCGTCACGAACCGAGCGGTTAGCGGACAGGGGCTACTCAGGGCCACATCACTTCTACAAACAGACGCCACACAGAAACTCCCCACTTGCCTGAATTTGTTGACCGTTTGTTGATCGTTTGTTCTACGCGGCCCTATTGTCACCTACTACCGTATACGGTCACATCATTGACGACCCTATCTACTCAAACGTACACATTCATGAAGATCGCATGGCTGATAATGCAAATACATTGAATCGAGTCGCTTATCATGCAGAGCCACCATCCTTCCAACTAGACATGACCTATCAAGGGCGTCGGCTTATACGGCTCCTCCATATATTTGATGTCCTCTTCAGAAAGTTTGACGTTCACCGCACCTGATGGGCCAGAGAGGAAGCATGTCAACACACAATTTGTGTTTATCAAGGAAAGTAATACGTACCAAGCAGATCCTCCAATTTTTCAAGCGAAGTTGTACCGATGATGGGCGCAGAGACGGCTATGTACGCACCGATTAGCACTGTCCAGTAGACGGAGAGTTGGAATGTATACCGTCTTTCGCCATGGTCCAAGCCAGTGCCACCTGCGCCATTGTGGCGTCATGCTTCTTCGCCACTTCCTCAATCCTGCATGTCATAAACGTCAAACCCAAATTACCAGCTTTCGCAAGATTGGTCATACCTGCGAACAATATCTTTGCCGCCAGGGTTAGCGTTAAGGTAAGTATCAGGCTTCAAGAAGTCTCCAGTGGCCCTGGTTGTCTTTTCCGCATCCACCGGACGAGTGACAGCTCCTCTGGCGAGTGGACTCCACGGAATGGAACCGACTCCAAAATGCTAGGCGTTACAGAGAGGACTAGTAAGCCCGAAATCGAAGACTAGCTGAGATGAGGTAGGAAACGTACCTTGAGGGTAGGCATCATTTCACGTTCTTCCTCACGGTAGACGAGATTGTAATGGTTCTGCATCGCAATGAAGGGGGTGAGGTTGTGGCTGATGGCGTAGTCTGTAGCAGACTGGTTTCAGTATGCGGAAAGGGGTGGTCGTATTTCTCATATGATACGCACTCTGCATCGCATGGACTTCGGTCGAGGTTAGCGGTATTCTAGTATGTTTAGAGTAGTGGACTTACACTGATAGGCATAGCATGAGCTCATGCCGATATAACGGACATAGCCCGCTTTCACGACATCATGTAGGGCTTGCATCTAGTGTACGACACTCAGCTTATTTCATCAAACACAAGCCTGCGATCGACACACCGTTTCTTCGATAGGGGTGTTATAGTCAAAACGGTGACACCAGTACAGATCGATGTATTCCAGATCGAGACGTTTCAGACTCGCTTTGACGCTGTCGAAAATATGCTTCCTGCTGAGACCATACTGGTTGACGTAGCCTGCAGCATCTGCCTCTGCTGCTACTCGAGATACCTTTTCTGATGGCGTAGCTCCGACCGCCACGAAGAGCTAAACAACACGTGTAGTCAGTTCAGCGCGAGAGAATATGAAGATAACAGGTGATGCAGAAGTCAACAAGAGATCCACCTTCGTCATCACGACAATCTCCTCGCGAGGGAGCTTGAGCTTCTTGATCGCTTTGCCCAGAATAACCTCGCTCAGTCCGTTCGAGTAGACCTGCAGGACAGTAGACAAGCCCGTCTCAGCAGGGATGGCCTTCGACCAGTTAGATATGACGAATCAAAACCCACGTTGGCGGTATCGAAGGACTGTATCCCAGCATCGTATCTTTTGCAGAATATCAGCATCTAGTGGTACACCTTGTTGATTATTCCAAGAGGACATACGCCGCCTTGATGTGTTTGATTGCTTCCTCCTCTTCCAGGACCCAAGGGGACCACTCGGGCGAGCCATAGCTCATGCAACCTAAGACGATCTTGGACACTACGGTCGTGTGCCATTTCAGTGAGCGTGGCATCACTGAGTCCTGAGAAAGCCGGGCAGACCTTTCAGACCCGAGTTACCCACTCGGACTGCAAAAGGAAGCGACTGTAAGTGTTTATGAGTTCGAGGAGATAAGTCGCGCCGACGTACCATACGGAATACGACGGGTGGCCATCACTGTGCGGATGTGGTGGTGTAGTGAACTGGGGCGATCTGAAGTCGGAGGTAAGCAAGAGATGGTGAACACTTCTGTATGTTCAAGTCGACGTCAGAGTCGTCTTATATACGGCGCTGATCTTGACCGGCACAGTCCGCCGACAAGAACCGGGACAGACCCGTATGACATCGATCGGGTTTGAGTATCAGTGCGTACCCAAGGCGTTCGAGTGGACACGAGTGCAAGGTAGTGACCGCTATGTGAACGGATCCTCAGGTGGATCGAAAGTGGGTCGCTATCCACCATAAATAATTGCTTCCTCGCACTATGTGGATATCTGACGAGTTACTACTAGTATATTTTCTACTTGCACAGTTGTGTCAGTGTAGATATCTCGATGCCTGCCTCCGAACCGCTATTTCCCTGTGGTATCAAGAAAGGGTAGTATATTCTAGTATACCCATACAAGGGATCAAGTACAACTCAGACTCACATCAGACTCATACATAGCACTCGCGCTGCCGCTCGAACCCCGGAAATCATGCATTGGCACTCCAACCTCCTCCGACCATCGAAACTAGGAGCACAATACCAGTGACCTGCATAACTCTCCATATTTGACTCGAATTTTGCACCCGGTCCTGGTCCGTCTGCTCTGGTCGTCCTCTCGTGAAGTTCTGATGCATGCCCGTTGCTCTCCGTACATGGGGAGACGAGAAGGGGTCCCGTCCTTGTTGCTGGGCAGGGTGCGCCCAGGGGCTGTGGGACTGGTATTGATATGGGTGCTGTTGTGCTTGGTGGCGGGTTTGTTGTCGACGAGTGTTTTCCCAGGCGTGAGTAGCACCGCGGTGGCGGTTGGCGTAGGACCAATGGGGGTGGCCGTATGGGCTTTCAGCAGAATGTGCCGTTCCTGCTCTTCGACTGTGAGGGCTGGGAGATACAAGGGTACGGTCGTACGCTCGCCTGAATTGTAGTGAGCAAGAATGCAAGGGGCGTTATTTACAGGATAACAGATAATAAATGACATGTACGCATTGACTCGGGTATACGCACCGATTTCTATCATCTGACAGGACAGCGTACGCCTCACTACATTTGTGAAACCGCTCTCTTGCAGCCGGATCCTTGTTCACGTCAGGATGAAATTGCTTGCTGAGCTGTAGCATCCGCACAATTCACGACAGCCCAGTCCAACAAAGTTGTGGCAGATAAGGAAGAGAGATCGTCTGAACCGATTAATGCTCCGTACACAGCCGACAATTGAGAGGGCGCGTACCTTGTAGAAGTTCGACTATTCGATCAACCGATGATAAAGGTGTTCCATTCCCAGGTCCAAGTAATACGGGGTTAATGAGAGAATATATAAACCACAGATGGTGAGCGCTGCTATACGCATAGGAATGACTTGAAGAGCGAACCTTGATCTGGCTCTTGGTAGCACCCTGTGGGACGGAGAGTGTTTCGTAGTGTGTCGACCTCGTCAAGGTCATAGAAAACTCTCTGCGTCCTGAGAAAGAAAACGGGTATGTTCGAGCATTATGGTGTTGACTAGACGATGGGCGTCCTGCGCAAATTGAAGAGGAGAGCCGTGTGCGCATGTCTAAGCTGAACGGAGAGAGACACTAGATAGATTTATCGAGAACAGCGAGTGATATATCTCTGAATATGTCTGTGCACAGTCAAAAACGAAAGCTAGTACTGCGAATGGAGATGAGTGCCGTGGAGGATACGTTGTGGACTTCAGTAGCTATCCGAGCCGAGCCATGGCAGAGCTTGGGGAAGCCGTGGGAAGCCTCGTCATAGCATGGCTTATCTGATAAGATTGCCGCCGGTGGGTGCCGCTCTCAAGCCACACCCAAGTTCAATAGCATCCTTCAAGTTCTCCTCAAGGGAGAAATGATGCATATTTTTCATAGATCCGAAGTACTGCTATACTCTCTACCCAACTCTCACAGTCGCTTATGTGCAAAACTTGATACACCTTGCTCACTGCAGCCTTCACGATTTTTTTAAAATCTTTAAGTTTCGATGAGGACGACGAACTGACTGGTCTTGCTATGTGCCAGTCAACCCGACATGATCGCATGCTCGACTTAGGTATTATGCAGGTCCTTTGCTCCATGCTGAACGCAGCTAATGCGTAAGAACTCGAGCTGTATACAGGCGACTGCATCACCTCCATACAACGATCTCTCGTCTGATTCAAGATGTCCGGTGTACTTAATCTGATCCCTCCTGTCTCCAGTCGACCTATTTTTCTCATTTTGATTGACCGTAGACGTACTTAATACTAACTCCAGGCTTCGACCTCGTCGGCGGTGAAAATAGGTGAAAATGAGATCGAGCTCCTGTCCGAGTATATTGACTCATTCCTCGCCTTCAGAGAGCATGCGCAAGTGAAGGAGCTCGGACGGTATGATCCTCCTGTCTTTAGTGCCGGAGAGATTGTTGGCGACGATTGGAGTGTCCGTTGGATGAGTACACGATTCCGTCGTAATAAAGCACTAAATTGTCCACGTTCGAGATATAGAGGGTATTCCTCGTCATTCTGAGCTTGTGTTCCCGCTATGGATCGGAGATAATGCTGCAATCTTTGGAGTATCAACATATGAAGCATCGGGTCTTGTGGTAACCGACCGTTCCAAGATTCCGAAGAAGACTCGCACTCCTCAAGTGCCTTCTTCCATTACCGTTTTCCCGTTGCTAGTCGCAAAAGTCGGCCTTCCTTCTTGTTCTTATCCGAAAGCCGAGCATACATCATCAGCGTAGAACGGTCATCGGAGCAAAGTAGAAAGGTCGCGACAACGAAGACATGACGCGCATACATATGAATGAGGAATTTATAAACAGTTGGGTTGAGAGAACAGGCCCATTGACTTTGGTACTCATGCTCGCCACCGTGAGTATTACGCCGAAGCACATGAATGAAGAATTTACATACTGTTAAATTGACGAAATAGGGCCATTAAGTATTGGTACTCATGTTTGCCGCCGTGAGTATTACGCCGAAGCTGAAACATGGGAAGGTTCACGCCTTCTGAACAAGCAGGCAAAAAGGAGCCGGAAGGCTCGAGAGTCAACCGGAGTAGTGTAACCGTGAAATCGCAGGACCTGAACCGACTGTGAAAGTGAGATCGCCGTCAGTAGGCTGTTATGGTTTGTGACGTACTCGGAGAACCTTTCGTCCCGACAATACTACTCACAAGCATTGTCCCATTGGACACTACCAGGGGTGTATGCGCAAAAAGCTACTTCGCCGCACTTTGTGTATACTAATCCTAGCGATTCTTCGGTGGGAGTGTGTCGCTCGGTCTGGTCTATAAACGCGCAAAGTTTAAGCGGTTCGAGGGAAAGCTGACGCAGACACTAAGTCGAGGCGGTCGCGGCCGTGTCGCGATTCCTGCCAGCAGATACATATCTACAAGGAGATGACCGTAGACAGTTGGAAGGATCACTGAGGGTCGACTGAAGATGAAAGAACCCCGAGAATCGACCGATTACTTCCAGGCGCAAGGGATGAGCAATGAGCGCTGGCTCGAGGTAGTTCGAGGAGGATTCATGCGAGGTACTAAAGAATCATGAAGGACTCGACGGTTCCCCACGACGCTCGTTGAGTGGTCCCGATCACTGTTCGCGGATTGGCAAGAACTGAACGGGAGCTTCAGATATCAGGTGAGCCTCGCGCAAACAGAAGTTTAGGGTGTCGAATTCCGTGTCACGATTTACCGTGCAAAACGCAGAAAGGAAAGGTATATCGGTCCAAAGAGGAAGGCAGAATGGCGGACTCGGCACGGCAAATCCCGGATCGCGGAGATGCCTTTCAAACTTACGCAAACAGGTATGTCTAAGTACCTGACGATCCCCGTGGCCTAGTCAGGCAAGATAGGCTAATTGCAGACGTGAGTTTTTTTTTGTTCGACCCGGACCGTATCGTCTCTGATGCGCAGCTGTAATTCTTACACAAAAGACACGAAGAAGCACTGAAACACCCATGACTTTCGGGCCAGTGCACCTACGTTTGCCCGACTCTGGGCGAGTAAGTACCTTCTCGCTCGCATCGTGTTGCATAAACCCCGTTTACGATCGGGAATTGAAAGTTCAGCGATATTCATATGCCCCTTCGTCACCGGATACCGGAATATTGACTACGGAGGACTGACGTCTACACAATGTGTATCGCTATATAATCCACCAATACTTCCGTCAGATCCCTCACAACAGTCGATAACATGTCCTCCACTCTGAATGGCCTCGAGTTTCCTACCTCTTTCCCTGCTCCCCAAGGGAAAAACAGCCTCACCTTTCACCCTCCACCTGTCGATGGGACGCGTTCGGTCCCTGAACTCTTTCAGTACAATGCCGAGCACAGTCCCGAGCATCCTCTCTTTGTTTTTGCTGACGGGCCTGATGATACGAGGACGATTAAATACTCTGAAGCATGGCGTATGATACAGCGCGCATCGAAGATCGTCCATGGGAATGTGACGAATTACCAGGAGTGTCGTTCTCTCCCGGTCGGCGCAGATTCCAAGACTTCGCGCACTGTTGGCATTCTTGCTAACGCTGGTGAGTATTTTTATCGTTGAGCGTACGCGGCGCGTCAATTCAGAAACTGTGTTTTTCTTCCGTTTCCAGATTACATTAGCTATTTCTGCACGATTCTGGCAATAATGCGTCTTGGACTCACTCCCTTCCCACTCTCGATTCGCAACTCTCCTATCGCTATCGCCCACTTGATCAAGAAGACACAGATCCAGCAGCTCTTCGTCTCTCCTGACCCTGCTATGCAGAGGCTCTGCAAAGATTCCCTCGCGATTCTGAAGCAGGACGGCATCGATATTGAGGTCATGCCCATGATTCAGTTCGATGCTATCTCGGACGAGAGCGCGCAGGCAGCAGAGCTCGACAAGGTGGACCTACCGGTACCCAAGGTCGACATGAATACCTTAGCGATCATCTTACATAGCTCCGGTGAGTACCTTCAGCCCTGGTGTTTCACACTCACTCTGTCTCTCTTCACCATACAGTAGTACCCGAAAAAGCGCGAGTCATGGATATCTAACATCATTTGATAGGCACGACTTCTTTCCCCAAGCCGATCTCTGTCACCCATCCATCGTTTCTTCAATGGACTCTTCTGCCACGTAAGTCTGTTCCTTTCGTTGTACTATCAGCATAACGTTGACGAGAGTCTTTTCATACGATCCAGTTTATGGTGAGACCGACCTTTGCGGGTCTATAATGGCTGTACATACGTGTCCGATGTTTCGTACGTCTTTCCGGTTAATCTTTGTGACTATAGTTGTTTACTCTTTCTGTATGTAGACATGATGGGCGTGGCCACCATTACGCTCTGCGTAAGAACTTCACAACATCACAATTCACCTAGCTTCTGACCGTCTTACAATCTTTGTAGGTCGTGCCGGGCTTGGTTATGGGTTGCTTCAAGCCATCGTCCCCGCCCACTCTTCCGACTCCAGATGTCTACCTGTCCAACATTATTCAGACGAAGAGCGAAATTGTGTTCTGCGTTCCGTCCTTCATTGAGGTAAATAATTGTATGAATATTCCCCTAAGCCATACTCACACTTCGCACCCGCGAACTTTCAGGCTTGGGCTAAGGATCTCACTAAACTTTCCTCCATGAAGTCTCTCAAATCGATCGTGAGCATTGTTCTAAATTCCTACGCGAACCGATATTAAGCTTGGTCATCCTATTAAGGCTTTTGCTGGCGCACCCATAACAAAGTCTGTCGGGGACCAGATTGCAGGGATGGGCATCAAGCTGTACCCTTTCTATGGCCTGTGCGTTCATCTCCTGCTCACCCCTAGTGACATGTATTGACCCCTTTCCCTTCCTCCACGTCCTATAGTACGGAGTGCTGCAGCATTTGTCGACTTTTCCCGTCTTCCATACCCACTGTCGATACCTGGGAGTGGTTCGAGTTTTCGCCACATATAGAGTACGAGCTTATACCTCAAGAGGACAGGGACGATATCTTTGAGATTTGTGTGTTGGTATGTGTTTTCGTCATGCTCTTTGGTAATATCTCGCTCGGATTCTCAACCTTTGATGCCAATGCAGAGTACGCCTCGCAACGCAACATGCGCCGTCAATGCCACCTCAAAGGAGGGAAGACCGATGTACAGGACTTTCGACCTTCTGCAGAGGCATCCCAAGTACCCTAACAAATGGCGGGTTCACGGCCGGGCTGATGACCAGATCATGTTGGCGACTGGCGAGAAGACTAATCCAGGGCCATTGGGTATGTATATCTATCAATCCATGTAGGACGAGTTGGATTCAAATTCTAACGGATTCGTATTTGTTGTCTGCAGAGGCGATTTTGGTCCAGGACCCTCATGTCTCTCACGCAATCATGTTTGGGCGGGGGCAAATCCAGAACGGCGTCTTAGTGGATCCCAAGAAGGAGTTCGCGTTCGACCCGACCGACGAGGCTAAGCTCATCGACTTCCGTGATAAAATCTGGTGAGTCGGAGTGAGGTGGTCGTAAAAGTATATGCGAGCTCAACTCTAACATCCTCATTTCTCAGGCCGTCCGTCGAGAAGATGAACGAATTTGCCCCGGCGCATTCGAGGCTTTTCAAAGAGGTCAGCTTGGTATATCGGCAACTGACGTTATGCGATTGCTAAACATAAGTTTTGCTGTAGATGATCATCGTCTCATCGCCATCGAAACCATTCGAGCTGACCTCGAAGGGAACACCTCGAAGGCACGCCATCATCAACAATTACAACCCGGAAATCCAGGCTCTATATGCTGCTGTCAGAGACTTCTCTCAGGCCGATATTCCTGCGCCCCAGAAGTGGGACGAGTCTTCTGTACAGGACTTTATCAGGGAGGTCGTGCATAAAGTCATGGAAATCAACCTTTCAGACGACACCGACTTCTTCCAGCAAGGGTGCGATAGCTTACAGACAACTTACATTCGCAACGCTATCAATCATGCCATCCGCCAGGCTCCAGGCTCCGAACGCATTCGTCTCCCCAACAACTTCGTCTATGCCAATCCCACCATCTCTTCCCTCGCCTCCTTCATTCTCTCCCTGTTCTCCTCTGACGGCCAAGGCAGTGGAGACAAGAGCGAGCGCGATGCCAAGGCTATGGAGGCTATGGTCAAGAAGTACAGCGTCGCTTTTTCTGTGCATACGGCCCGTGGCGCTGCCGGTGCGGAGAGTCTGGAAGAGGTCGTTTTTGTCTCTGGGACGTCAGGCCGTTTGGGTGCGCATTTGTTGGCACAACTGCTCGCGAGGTCGAGCGTGAAGAGGGTGTATGCGGCCAATAGACCGGCGAATGAGGACATCAGAGAGAGACAGAGGAAGACGTTTGAGAGTTGGGGTTTGGACACGGGCTTGTTGGGGAGTGGAAGAGTCGTCTTAGTCGAGGCTGATTTTGCGAAGGCTGACCTTGGGATTGGGGACGCCTTGTACAACGAGGTTTGTCTTCGTCACGCTTTCTTTCCGTTGTTGCTTCGCAGTCTAATAACATCAATATTTTGATAGATCCGTGATTCCGTGACGAGCATCATTCACAATGGTAAGTCTCTGGTTGTCCTCCACCGCTGCCTCGCGTTCTGAAATCGCATCGTAGCTTGGCGTGTCGACTTCAATGTGGCCGTGTCCTCTTTTGAGCCCTTGGTGGCAGGCATGCGCAACTTGATCGACCTATCGCTCGCGTCTCCTCGTCCCTCGCCCCCTCCCATCCTCTTCACCAGCTCCATCTCGGTCATTTCGAGTACGTTTTTTCGTCCTTTTCCCACTTTACGAGTCACTCATTTTGAGCTTTCTCAGGGTATCCAACATACCCGATCCCCGAGGAGCCCATCACCGAGACCAAGATTGCTACCATGTCAGGCTACAGTGAGAGCAAATGGGTTAGCGAAACTCTGCTTCTGCGTGCGCGTCAGCAGAGGGGCTTGTGCACCAACGTCGTCCGTGTCGGGCAGCTATGTGGCGATCTGAAGACCGGAGGATGGAACAAGCAGGAATGGGTCCCTGTGATGCTCCGTGGTTCTCAGGTCCTTGGAGCTGTCCCCCAGCGTGTCGAGGTATGTTTATATCTCTCAAACTCATCCACTTGTATTTCGACCACCAATTGATCACCTCCGTGGCCTTCAATAGAGCGTCTCGTTCATCGCCGTTGACACCGCAGCGTCCACCATACTCGACATGCTCGGCTCCTCCGAACCTGTCCTCCATCTCGTCCACCCTTACCCCGTCCCCTGGACCGTCATCTCCGAAACTGCTTCCAAGGTTCTTAACGTTCCCATCATCCCCTACAACGAATGGCTCTCTCGCCTCCAAGACGCTGCACGAAGCGCCCTGAACGACTCAGACGCACCAAAGCACAACCCTGCGCTAAAGCTGCTCGATTTCTACGAGAAGGATCTGCCGGAAGAGAGCCCGTTCGATGTTGGGACGGCCAAGGCTGTGAAGGTGTCGAGAAGCTTAAGAGAGGCAAAGCAGATGAATGGCGGGGATGTGGAGAGGTGGATCGCTTACTGGAGGAAGGTCGGGTTGTTGCAATGAGGGCTCGATCGGGTTCACCCCGGTTTCGTCCTCTAAATATCTTACGGAACGAGTCTCAATTACGATTGGCCACTTATACCCAACGCCGGTTTCTGCTCTGTTTTCTCTCACAATAATTCATTGTACTTACGCGACATGTATCGTCGCTGGATAATTTGATAAGAATGTTACACTGCTTCCCTTCACAGAATGCCCGAGTCTGTAGATCGCAAGTGCTGCGACGCGCTCGAACTGTTCGAACTGTTTTCCTCACCGGGTTTTCTACGCGTTACAACTCTACCGCGGTCCCCAAGGTATCATCTACCTGTTTCTCCCTCTCTCTCGCCATTCTTCCCTTACCCCGCGCCATCTCAACCTCCGCCCACGACCTCCTAGCCTCCTCAAACACCGTCATGCTACTATCATAGACCTCCGAAAACCTCTCTACTTCCCTGGAAAACCTATCTGAAACCGACACGGCTCCTGATACTGAATCTGGCACCCCGACATTCTGCGACAAAAACGTACGAATGGAAGCGAAGAAAGCGTCCAGAATGGATAGGTTATGCGACGCCAAAAGCGCGTGCGCGGACATCTCGTGTGTGTGCAATAAATGGTGGACGTATGCGCGCGTAAACGGAGGAGAAACAGGATTCGGATTCGGAGGTGGAGATGTCAAGTCCAATTTGCTATGTTGGATAGACGTGGTGGGTGTCGACGGGGAACAAGCGATGCAAGGACAGACGAGCCGGTCATCATCGGTAGATAACGATGTGGAGTTTGAAGAAGCCGGACGGAACGAGTCTGCGAACGCGGTGAAGTCGTATGCATAACGTGAGTCGTATAGATTGTGGCCCAATCCCTGCTGTGCCCTTGTGCCCTCAGTGGCCTCGTCTGTGTTTGCTGACGGCGGGGGGAAAACAAAGTCCAGCGCGATGCCCCAATCTGCAGCCCTCTGAGCCCAATGTCCATCAAAGAGATCGATACCGACGCCCTTGATTAATTGCAAAATTTCGTGCGGTCCACTTATCGAATTCGCGACGCGAGGTTTATTCCGTGGCAACGGCTGCAGCGAAGTTTGCATGAGTGGAATGAGTTTCTCGGTTGTCACAGGTAGGGAAAGAGAAGGATTGGTGTGTGGCGTGAGGACGGCCATTGCCTTCTTGACCTTAGCGGGCGAGGTGGTCGAAGGGATGACAGTGGTTGAAGGTGTCGATAAAGATCGGTGAAGAGGTACGAGGTCAAATGTGTAGCCCGCGACGCCTTCGTCGAGACATTTCAACGGTTTGACTGCTTCGGCTTCTTTCTCGTATAAAGGCTCGAGGAGAGAACGGGCGAATGTATTTCGGGCGGCAGGCTCGACGCCACCAGCCATGTGAACGAATACATTAAGGTGTGGCGAAACAGACGAATCGCTCTTCGTTTCCGATGGAGGGTCTTCATTTGCAGGTATAGGCCGGAGGATTTCGACGAGCCATGCAGAGGACCGCTCAATCGACTTTGTCATTCGTTTTTGAGAATGTGGTCCAGGTGTGAATGGAATATCAGAGAGGGCGACCACGATGTCTGGTTCGCAAGCCTGAACATATGATCGCCACTCTGGGGCTGTTACCTGTAGTTCTGATGATCAACACTCGACAAGAGAAGCCGGTGACGACAAAAAGTACGCTTACTTTGCGAACGCCGCGCAGACAGTAAGCATTGACGAATTCGTGACCATTTGCAGGCATCTCGCGTCCGTCAAAAGGGTCCCGAAGGGAAGTAGAGATGATATGTTGAGATGGTAGGAAACCTAAGTATTTGTGGAGAGGATGTGGGCCCTGTTGCAATGTAGGTACTGGCGGGATACGATCCAAGCTTGTTAAATAGGCGTAAGCGATCCAAAGTCGAGAGCACAATAGGATAGTCTCTGACCAAACTTCATATCACTCACAAAGATTCGAATGGAATATGTACCCATGCAATGGCCTTTGTGGCCCTAGTTGTGTCCCTCGCGAGATGCGGAACGATACCGCGTGACGTAGAAGTGATGAGACCAGGTGTTTTAATCTCGAGCGAGGTGCCATCTTGTCGTCGTATAGAGACTCTGCCTACACGGGGACCCCAGCCAGATGGCGATGAGGAAGATGTGGCGTTGGGTGAGGGGATCTCCGGGCACAGATGCAGGTCGAAGTTCATGACGCTATGGTGTTTTTGGTGTGACATATCGTGAGCAGGTCTTCTAGACAGTGATTTTGATAGGCAATGTACAGGATGTCGACAGAATCTATATGCGACGGCCAGTTTGAGTGTTTTGCGCAGATGCCAAGGTGAGAACAGTACGTCAAGCACGCAGATTGGAGTGGACAACCTCTTAAAGCTTTTTTTGAGAGAAACCCAAACCTAGTAGAGCATAGATGCACAAGATGATCGAGTTTTAGGAATCCGAGAATTGACAGACGATAGCTAATAGGCCAAGTGGCGAAGGAAGAGGGTCAAGAGTAATGTTCAAACTCCGAAAGCGAAGATGCAAAGAGTGACTACGATTTCGTCGCGTTGACTTCCTTACAGCGCTTGCGCTCACCGTCGACCTCACCCTCACTTACATTCACAATGCAGGACGGAAGGGCTCCAAGGTGCGTGTCTCGTCTCGTTAAAATGATTTATCCCATCTTAATGTGACCTTGTAGGATCAAAAACCGGGCACCCGCTGCCATCCAAGTGCGTCCAGCTTGCCACAGTATCACTCGAACCTTCGCTGACCGTCGGGCCTTAGATCACCGCCGAGCAACTTCTTCGTGAGGCTCAAGAACGACAGGAGACCCAGTTCCGCGCACCGAAGCAACGAGTTGAGGATTTCGAGGAACTCCATGAGTATCGTGGAAGGAAGAGAAAGGAGTTCGAGGAGCGCATTCGGCGGACACGAGGAAGCATGTGAGTCTCGCAACAAACTGCTGTCCAACCATCGGCTATGTTGACGCGTCAATCTCAGAAAGGAGTGGCTACAGTATGCGAACTGGGAGGTACGTGTCCTTGTGCTCAGAGATTCAACCACCTCGATCCTGACGCGAATATCAGGCTTCCCAAAATGAATTCGCACGAGCTCGTTCCGTCTTCGAGCGTGCACTCGATGTCGACCCCCGAAGCATACAACTATGGCTCAATTACACAGACTCCGAACTCAAGGCCCGTAACGTTCAACACGCTCGCAACCTCTTCGATCGCGCCGTCACTCTTTTACCCCGTATCGACCAACTCTGGTATAAGTACGTTTACCTCGAGGAGCTCCTCCAGAATGTCGCTGGTGCGCGACAGGTGTTCGAACGGTGGATGGCATGGGAGCCGGATGACAAGGCGTGGCAGGCGTACATCAAGATGGAGCTGCGGTACGAGGAGTTTGATCGTGCGAGTGCAGTTTACGAGCGGTGGGTTGCGGTCAGGCCGGAGCCGAGGGTATGGGTGAAGTGGGGTAAATTTGAGGAGGAGAGAGGGAAGGTCGACAAGGCAAGAGAGGTATTTCAGACGGCATTGGAGTTCTTCGGAGATGACGAGGAGCAGGTGGACAAGGCACAGGCGGTGTTTAGCGCTTTTGCGAAGATGGAGACACGGTTGAAGGAGTATGAACGTGCTAGGGTCATCTACAAGGCAAGCTATCTGTGCGTCACTCTATCTTGCGGTTCGGGCCTGACTATGACACTCCGTCCAGTTCGCACTCTCGCGTCTGCCACGATCAAAATCCGCGAATCTTTACTCCCTGTATACGAGGTTTGAGAAGCAACATGGAACACGGACGACGCTCGAAACTACTGTGCTTGGGAAGCGGAGGATACAGTACGAGGAGGAGCTGTCGCATGATGGGAGGAATTATGATGTGTGGTTCGATTATGCACGACTCGAGGAGGGTGCGTATCGGGACTTGAAGGAGGAAGGTGCCACGGAAGAAGAAGAGGAACAGTCTGTGGGGCGAGTACGGGAGGTCTACGAGCGTGCAGTCGCTCAGGTCCCTCCAGGCGACCAAAAACGACATTGGCGACGATACATCTTCCTATGGCTCAACTATGCTCTTTTTGAGGAAATAGAGACCAAGGTGAGTATCTTTTACAGTATCTTACTAGATCACGCTGATCAGAAACCATGTAGGACTATGCTCGAGCTCGCCAAATCTATCAAACCGCTGTACAACTAGTGCCACATCGAGTATTCACTTTCGCTAAATTGTGGATTATGTTCGCCAAATTCGAAGTTCGCAGACTCGCTCTTGACACTGCACGCAAAATCCTCGGTACCGCTATCGGTATGTGTCCTAAGGAGGCCCTCTTCAAGGGTTACATCCAGCTTGAATTCGATGTACGTTTCCCCTCAGCTTACATGTGTTCCCGATACTGATTCGTGGCACTACAGCTCCGAGAGTTTGACCGTGCACGAAAGCTGTATGAGAAGTACCTCGAGGTATGTAGATATCCCTATTTGCCAATTATTTCTTCTCGCTGACATTGTCCACATTGTCCAGTTTGACCCCACAAACTCAGCCGCATGGATCAAATATGCCGAACTCGAAACACAACTTGCAGACTACTCTCGTGCTCGTGCCATCTTCGAACTCGGCGTCACTCAATCACCGCTCTCCATGCCGGAGCTCCTCTGGAAAGCCTACATTGACTTTGAGGTCGAGGAAGGCGAGCGAGAGAAGGCGAGGTCGTTGTACGAGAGGTTGGTTGATGTTAGTGGCCACTGGAAGGTCTGGGTGGCGTTCGCGCTGTTTGAGGCACAGGCGATGCAGGTGCCGAGGGATGAGAGGGACGAGGAGGAAGAGGAGGAGGGAGATGATGAAGAGGAGAAGGAGGTTAAGATGGTGGAGGGGAGCTTGGAGAAGGCAAGGGAGGTTTTCCAGAGGGGATACAAGAGCTTGAAGAACAAGGGGCTCAAGAACGAGGTACGGAGGCTTCCTTCTCTGCGTATTCCCCATTCCCCGCTAATTCGTCGTGTCCTGCATACAGCGTGTCGCTCTCCTTCAAGTCTGGAAGAACTTCGAGGAACAACGTGGCACAGAAGAGGATGTCGAACGTGTGCAAGGCATGATGCCTGTACAAGGCAAGCGCCGTTACGTTGACGAAGAGACCGGCCAACTCGTCGAAGGTATGTCGTCCACTTCCCTGGTCACTATTGCCTTGTATTCAGATACTTACGCTTCTCTTGAATATCAGACTACGACTATATCTTCGCCGACGACGAACGCGAGTCCAACCCTACGTCCTTCAAGTTCCTCCAAATGGCACACGCATGGAAGGCAAGCGGTGGAGGCGGGCTTCTCTCTGGTTTCACCGCATCGGCTGCCAATGCCAAAGACGACGAGAGTGAAGAGGAGAGCGACGAGGACGACGAGAAGTCGTCGAAGGCTGGGGACGATGAGCCTATGGATCAGGACCAGGAGAGTGTGGCAAGTTCAAAAGGAGACGATTAGTTAGCCTTTTCGTTGTTCCCGTTTTCTGGTTCGTGCTGTTGTTGTACTCTTTCTGCCATGAATCTAGGCGGCATTCTTGGCGTATTTAACGCAGCTCTAGTCAGTCTTGACCAACGACTGTTCCGAGAAGAGGGAAACGGAAAAAGGGATATTGATAAAATACATCCACGAAGATTGGAAACTAAAGATACAAATCTAGAGGGTATTATAATATGTATATGTGTACAAAGGATGGATATAACTCGGTTGAGATAGCATGTTTCGGCGATCTAATGGCTGAGACAAATATGATACGTACGGTCGGAAGCGGGTATGTGTGGTGCTTAGACTCAAGCAGTGGTCGAATGGAAGAGAGATCGAGGTGTCTCTGGAGTTTCTCCCATCAGCTGAGCGAGCATGGTATACCTGGGAAGCACAATTAGAACAGTTGAAGGTGGTACTAGAGACTCCGTATCACTCACGAAGCAGCAGCTTGTAAGAGTTCGGGAGAAGCAACGCCGTTGTGGCGAGGGCGTGGCTAAAGAGGACAACCGATCAATACACTGAGAAATACAGAGTGAATAAAACGTACGGCAGTTTGAGGAATACTGAAAGGATCTGAATCCCTCTCATCGTCTTTTCCTCTGGACAACCTCGAAGGTTGCACATCCGAAGACGGTGGTGTAGGCAAGAATCCCCTACCCATTCCCTTCCCACTATCGTTACCGACATTGCCTGCCCTTTCTGGTGTCTCACACGTTGGTTCAAGCTGGTTGAGAATATACCTGTCGGCCCTGGCTACCCTCATCCGGATGTCCCTCATGAATTCCCTCACGGGCTCCATGTCTCTCACTTTCTCCTCTTCGACCCGCCTTCTTTCCTGGTCGACATGCCTCGCGAACAACGCCAAAGAGATACCCGTGGCGCGGATGGTTTCAGAGTTCTCCGTTTGAAGACTAGCCAGGTTGGATAAAGTATCCTGGAGCAGAGAGCCGACAGAGGCGTGCGAAGAAGCGAGGGACACATTTTTAGCGGTGAGGTCTGTAAGTGTTGCACGCGAGCCTTGAAGATCGTCTATGGTCTTGCTGAGTCGATGCGTAGACTCCTCGTGCGCCACACGCAATGTCTCCCTCGCCGCCCTCATTTCCGCCAAATCCGCCGTCTGCCTCCTCAACTGTTCCTCCAACTCTTTCACCTGTCCCCTTACATGCGTCAACTCCCCACCTAAGACCGCATTATTGCCAGACGCGAGCCTCAAGGCACCCTCCATCGATTGTCTTTTTTTCACTTCCTCGTTCAAATCCTTCTGCATCTCCTCAGCTTTCTTCGCATTATCTTTTAATTGTTCCCCTGCCGATGTCGCGTACTTCCGTAAGCCGTTAAGGATCCCGGTCATCCTTTCCGATTCTATCCTCCGTTCCGTCTCCATCTTGTTTCTCATCTCGATCATGCCCTGCGCGGCTTTCTGACGAGCCTGAAGCGACGCCGAATGTTGGATGTGCAAGGCCATGAGTTTACGGGAAAGTGTGGTTTGAGTCGCTGCAGCAGCCGATGCCTGGGCGGTGAGCGACATGACCTGGGATTTGAGGATGGTATTAGCGAAGAGGAGGTTCTGATGTTTCGACTTCAGTGCGGCGAGATCTTCTCGCAGGTGGATCACAGCCAAAGTCTTGTCCGCTAGCTTCCGGCCCAGCATGCGCGCAAGCTTATATGTTAACCCAAGGGCATATATCCCCAGGCCCAAGATCTGTCCCCGGGTCATCATCATCTTCCCTCCACGCGCGAGATTGCCTGAGCCGTTGTCATTTGAATCGGTATATAAGAAGGAGTGACGACGGAGGTATTGTTTCAGCTCCCTCGTTGCGAGCGCGGACTTGTGTTGTTCCTGAGCGAGAAGAGACTCGAGGCGCTTTGAATGCGACTGATGAGATTGAGAGGTGTCGAGTGCATTAGAGAGGGATTCTTGGAGGAGGTAGACTTCGTAGGATGTACTGAGGAGCTCGTCAAAGGTGGCCTCGAGCGGGTGGATAGAGTTCGTGTCCTGTGCATGGACGCCATAATGAGGATTGTAGTGGTAATATGTCATCAGGCCACGCTCGAAGGCAGAAAAGAGTGAGAACAGTGAACATACCTCGTTTAACTTCAATCCTAGTTTTATTTGTTTGACTACGCCTGAGTCGGCTCTCGAGCGTAACGAGCGAGCCAAACAAGCGACAGGGGGACACGAAAGAGCACGCGAGGCACAGAAGACGGCTATAAGGGGTAGAGAGGCCACTGCAAGCAATGAGAGTCGTTCCAGCACCAGCCGAGGTATAATTATCGAGTACGAGTCGATACCCAGACCAGTGACATCAGAGTACAAAGCCACAGCGCGATGTACACCGTGCAAGAGAACCTGGTGGTGCAATGTCGAACATCAGCTACTGGTTCGTGCACTCAATGCCTCGAGAAAGGATAGCGCACCCTGGGAGAAAGTTCCATGATTCTAGAGCATTCAGCAGACAGATAGAACACAAGAACCAGGCCAGTCGTAGAGAAGACCAGATCAAGACATCCCCGGCCTGAGAAGACTGAGGAGTTAGGATGTGAAGGTGGCGCCAGAGTCCTAGACAAGGGAATGCCCATAGTGGGAGGAATTGCAGATCAAAGAGAGTGCAGCGATAATAGACAGAAAAAAGAGAATGTGAGGGCAGCGAGAGGAAGACAATGTCGCAGACGAAGTCGAAGAGAAGCTTGTGGCGGGCAACTCGAACTGAGTGCTTGTTGAAAGAGGCCCACGTGATCGCGTTCCGTCGATCTAAAAGTCGATCGCACGGAAAGCGATATCGTCGGAAACAGTCGACTGACTGAATTATTGCGACCCGCACGTTCCGCACTGTTGAATGGCTGGTTGTAAGCCAGGAAGAGCAAATATTAGTGTGTTCATCTTCCTAGGCTATAACATAACTCCCATGTATCCGTCCACGATATGTACCAGTCCATCCGCGATCCACTAGTCAAGGAAATTCATGACTTCCTGCACGGTAGACCTCTATCAATCACTTCGCCCAGCCAGTTAACCTACCCCACAATCCCTTCCTCTCCCCTTCATCTTTCTTCCCCAACAACGCCGTCCTCTCATCCTGGCCACTAGACACATCAGTCCTCTCGCTTCCATTTCCTTCCTGGCGGCCGAACATAGCCCCTTCCTCATCTACAATACTTCCCTCGACTGCCTCCTCGACTGCATCTCCCACGGTCTCCCCATCTTCGACCCCACTACCTCTCCTCATTCCGACTCTCACAGGAACCTCAGAGCCTCCAGGCCCGTTGTCGTGGCTGTGGATGGAAGGGATTGGAACGCCGAAGTCGTCGATGCCGAGACGATGTTGGCGGCGTTTCCAAGCAAGACAGAGGACAAGAAGGATGCCTTGCATGATGGCGGCGACAAGGTACATTATCCAACCTGAGAAGTTGTCGTCTCATCAGAACAAGAATAGGTGTATAAAAAGAGATGGGCAAGACGCACTCGTCCAGTTCGTTCCAGGCCTGTCCGAGCATTGAAAAGTACATCCGTCAGCATTTTCACTGTTTCAACTCACAACAGAGTATCGAACGTACCGGAGGGCAATAGAAAGCACCATGACCAGTCCACCCGGTGTCTGGATTACCATCATCGGTATACTAAGCGCGCCCACTAGCTTCGTCCTGTACGTCCTAAGCAGTTGGGGATAGTATTGTAAAACGGCAACACCGCCGGAAAATAGGCCTAGGAAGGTAGCCCATATATCGAGTTGTGTGGAGTGGGCTTCGGTTTGGGTGAATGAGAGGAGAAGGAAAGTTACGAAGGTGATGAGGATTCTGTTGCGCGAAGGAATAGGGTTGAAATTTGGAGTGTTAGTTTAATACTAACAAATGTCATGTATGGCAGTTGTCAGGACTCACAGGTGAATGAGAACAACCCATGCTAAGATGACAGAAGTCCGCCATTCATCTGTCTTCACGTTTGTCCTCAGGCGTTGCGGTGAATCCGGTCGGATCGATCGTGAATCATGCGAGTCGATAGTGACAGTGAGGTATTTGAGGTGAGGTGGGTAGTATATCATGTAAAGCACGAGGCTATGATGATATTGTAGGTGAGACAAATGCTAGGAAAAGTGCTGGATAATCAGAGAGGCATGAACTCACATGATGTCGAAGAGGAGCCATAGCAGGGCGACCTGTATGACACCAGCAGCAGCTTCTAGGCAAGTCCCAAAGCTCTATGGTATGCTATCAGTCAAGGAGGTTGCGAAAACCGGAGGCAAGAAAAAGTGAACCGCCACGGAAATACATGAGAACTTCGGGTGGTACCTGCATGTTCTAAGCTGTTTCTAAAAATACACCACTGATAAAGATCACCGCATGGCTTCGCACTCTAGCATTCCCAGTATGACATGCGTATCCCGCGACCCTCGTTCGGGTTCTCAGACTCCTCAGGAGGAGAGCACTCACCCAGACGCGACAGCAACTAATCACGCCCCATTGCTTGACGACACTTCGCCCCACAAGAACGCAAACAGCAAGTCAGGATACGTGAATTGAGTAATACGTCGGAGTCGGACGTACATGTTCAGCATGCCGGAGGCAGACGACGTGCTCCCCAGGAGAAGGAACCATGGACTGAAACCTTCTGAGGAGCCTTTGTTGATTATCCGTAGGTGCTACCGATAGAAGCGAAGATAATAAGCGGTGAGTAAGTGGTAATTGTCCATTGCAACTGTCCGCCGGGGCCAACCTGAGGAGCATAGGAGATGATGAGGCCCACGATGAGACCTGCGGAAAGAACGTCCGCGAAGACATCGTGAACCTAGGTGACGCGTCAATAAGGATATTAGGTCAAGGTGAAATCGTAAGAGACGAACCACTTGACAGGACGTCGACTCAAACAGGTCGCCCTTCATCCTGAAGATACAGAACTTAACTGACTGGTAAAATGAGACGAAGAGAGCACGAAGCTCGGTCGGACAGAACTCGACGCGTAAGGAGCACCGCGATATTGTACACCACGTGACCATTACTGTGGCCCATCAGTGGCGAAATACCCATGAATGCCTGTTGGAGGTCTAGGCTTTAGGATGCCTAAGCAGCTCTTTCCTCCCCCGAAAAGCGGCCATACCTCTCGAATAACGGGATATATCTATAGCGGGACTCCGAAGTCGATACAAGAACGAACAAAACCGTAGCGATGCTCTTTAGGTGATCCACAATTCGTTCCCTGAAAGTCCGCTTTGTGGCGTCGGCAGTTTCCGGACCAAAGAAGAACGTCGGCGGTAAGTCAACCGCCCTGCGGAGGCAAGAACAGCCTATCATCAACCACCATCGCCATTGCCTTGCGGGGTCTGGGGATGGATTGTCATCAGTCCGGCACTTCGTGGGGTAGAGAGGGAAAACTGTTGACTCGCCGTCTCCCCGCTTCGGCAAAAGTTTCAGTTTCTGAACGTATATATGTAGCGACCGTCGGACTTTTCAAAACTGTTGCGCGATTGCTTCATACCCCACCCCCTCTTGGAGCTCTCCCTTCCTACGATCTTCTCCTGAGCTCATCGATATAGACACTCCCAGTCGACATGTCCGCCAATGCCACACTGACAAACATGTCGGACCAAAGACCTACGCCAAAGGACCTCGAAAAGGGGTCCATCGAACATGAACGACACAGTCCGCACGAAGCTGGCACCCCTCTGATAGTTCACTTTGAGTCTGGAGATAACTTGGATCCTCACCAATGGCCAGCATGGAAACGATATGGGACTGTTGCTTTTGCTTCGTGGCTGAATGTCCTTGTGTGTATCGGAGCGTCTGGATACTCTACGGGCTCGACAGAGATCGCAGAGGACTTCGGTGTTTCGGATGAGATCGTTACGCTAGGGGTGAGTAGATTTTGTCGTTCATCAGTTTATGGGAAAGGTCCTAAATATTCTCTCCTTATCTCCAGCTATCCCTCTATGTTGTGAGTTTTGCGGCATAAAATCTCCGCCTTAGTATTTAATTGACCGTGATTGGACGGCTCAGCTCGGATTTGCCTTCGGCCCTATGTTGCTCGCTCCTTTCAGTGAATTCTATGGGCGGAAACCTATAGTAGGGTTCCTTAATGATTCTACAACTGTCAACACAACTAACCCGCGGTCCCACTCTTAGTATCTCGTCTCATGGTTCATCTTCACTGTCTTTCAAATACCACTCGCTGTTGCTCCCAACATAGGTATGGTTTCCTCATTCCTCACCCTTCCTCGCCAGACCGATTCTAACTTCCCTTCCTCATCAATCATACAGCTACCGTCCTCGTCTGCAGATTCATACAAGGTTTCATGGGCTCCACACCATTGGCAAACAGTAAGCCCTCCCATGCACGATAGATGACCTCACTCCCGCAGCCGCTGACCATTTTCCAGCCGGTGGTGTCGTCCATGACATCTTCAGGCGCGACGAATCCGGGTTCGCCACCTCAATATGTTAGTTCCTGGTTTATCCCCATTAGTAACCCGAAAGCTAATTATAGACACCAAAGACGCACTTTCGAGCACGATGTAAGTGTCGTCATGTCACTATCTAATTCGACAGCCTATCCATTGCTCAATAACACCGATATCACTTATAGAGGTCCACCATTCGGCAACGGTGTCACAGGCTACATCGCTCAAAACCTAGGATGGCGGTGGTTGTTCTGTAGGTATCACAACGTTTCACTGTTCGACGTATCACTAAAGACATTGCACAACATAGGGTTCAACCTGATCATTTTCGGCGCACATTTCCTCATCCTAGTGAGTCTCCATCGTTTTACCTCACTATAATCTCCTTCTGACAGTCAAACGACAAATTCCAGCTGGTGTTCTTCCCAGAAACCCGCGACACCATCATCCTCATGAAAAAGGCCAGGCAAGTCCGTGAAAAGACTGGCAACGACGACTACGTCGCGCCCCATGAGAACGATCGCAAACAGCCAGGTCGGTTGTGGAAGGTATCGCTCGTGCGTCCTTTCAAATTCTTGTTCACGGAGCCTATCACTATTTTCTCGGCGCTTTAGTGAGTATTTCCCCGTTTTCTTGATATGTTGCGGCCGTTCTAATACATTTTTTTGCTGTAGCAACGGGTTCCTGTTCGGCTTGATCTGTGAGTTTTTCCGGCTCCGATCTTAAGTAAATGTCTACAATCCTGACGTCGGCGATCCTTACCTCTAGTCTTGTTCAACGAATCGGTTGGTTTGACTTCGGGTTGTCTTCTCCAATCGTCTGTCTCACACCTTTTCTTTCAGTTCCCCTTGATGTTCGGCACTGGAAATGGTGGCCACGGATGGACGCGTATGTATCTTTATTTGCCACTCGATTGGCGACTTTTCCTCATACCATCCCTACGTAGACTCGGGCACCGTCAACCTCACGTTTCTGTCCCTCGTCGTGGGCTCCGTCCTGTTAGTTTCATTTAAACTTGCATACCCTCCTTTTGCTGAGTACTGACGAACTCAACTCTCAGCGCTTGGCTCTTCTCTACACCATTCCAAGAACGTTTCTACCAAGCTGCACTCACAAGGAATGGCGGAAAGAGTGTACCCGAAGCGCGTGTGGCTTGTGCGCTTATTGGGACGTTCCTGTTACCTATCGGTCTTGTGCGTCAGAATCCACTTTCTGTGCTGGCAGTCACGTTATACTAACTTATCGTACGTTTGGACATAGTTCATTGCCGCTTGGACAAGTTATCAAGATATCACGTTCATCGCTCCCCTGATCGGCGCAGCAGTCTTCGGTTTTGGTTTCTAGTGAGTTAAATCCTCTCTGTGAATTCTCTGTCCCGACAGACTCCTGATCGGTTTCGTCTTCGCAGTCAAGTTCTATACTCTATCCTGAACTACGTCGTAGATGGTTACGGCCACTACAGCGCCAGCGCATTGTACGTCTCTCATTTAATTCCCTGATAGAACGTACTCTTAAACTGTGTCTATCAAACCTTTAGGGCGGGCGTGGTCCTAGTCCGAAACCTCTTCGGTGCTGGCTTCCCTCTCTGTAAGTTCTTGTTCGATCTATCTTCGCGTCTTTACCCTATACTGATCGCACATGGGACACTGCAGTTGCACGCCAGATGTATGTCAACCTTGGAAATCAATGGGCGACATGTCTGCTCGCCTTCCTGTCTATTCTCCTCGTACGTCTTGTGTCTTATGTGTAGATAGACCATCTGGATATCGCTGACGGATGTGTTGGATGGCTACCGCAGATCCCGATACCCTTCTATCTCTTCTACTACGGACGGACGGTTCGATATGCAAGCCCTTGTGAGTACCTCTCCTCTACTTGTATTCCACTTAGTGTCTGGCACTGAACTTGAACTGATCACGGGTTTCTTTTGTTGTTGTATAGACTGTAGAGAACATTTCGACGAAGAGTAAGTCCTCCTGGCCACGACTTCCACCACATTACATCCAAACTGACGGCTTGGTGGTGCGTTGTATAGGGACTGATACATGACCACGCACGCACGATTCATCACCATGAATGAGGAATTACTAGTAGAGCAGCCACGAATCGAATCGAATCGAATTGCTGATGTATCAAGTATCTATTCTACATACATTACGGATGTAATGACCACTGTATAAATTGTTTTTCTTTCTTCGCTTCTGTCAGATGTCGGTGTGTTTCTCTGTCAGGACGTCGTGCTTGTCCATAAGTCATGTTTCGTTTTCGCAATATCGCAGGCTCGCAGTGAAGCCAATTGTTGTGGTAGCGCCACACGCCACCTGAGCGAGGGTTATTTATAGATAATTAGCGCCCACTCAGAGTCGGAGACCTGCCGGCCGAGAGTCTGCCGGCGTCTTGCTCAGCTCCGGCATCCTGTCTCCTTACGCCACAACTCAGACTGGAATCTACAGTCCACCACCATCTACATCTTGAACCTCTATAAGTTTAGCTCGTCAGGCCACCCATACCCTCTAGCTTCAAAGCCGTCTTCCCTGCCTTGAACATATATCGGTTATTTTAACTAATTAACCGACAAACACCCAAACGCCCAATCAATCATGGCAGCCGTCCCATCCTCGAAATCCCTATTACATCTATACATGTCCACACTGCGCACCGCGCGCTCGTTCAGCTCGTACAACTTTCGAGAATACTTTGTGAAGCGGACGCAGAGCACGTTTCGGGAGATTCAGGTGCGTTTTTGGTCATGTTCATTGTTCTTCCATATCCCACTCTATACCATTCCATCCCAGCCTGCTCTATCCTGTCCTACCCTATACCCTGTTTCTCCTTCGTTCAGTTTTAAAGCTAGCACACTTATTGACGGGATTGGGATTAACACTCAAACAGAACGAAAAAGACCCAGCCAAAATCTCCGCGTTCTATAATGACGCAGTCAAGGAGCTTGCGGTGTTGCGGAGGAGTGCGATCGTGAACCAGCTTTATGGGGGGTGGAAGTTGGTCGTGGAGAAGCAGAAGCCGGCAATGGAGAGGGGGGATACGTAGATCGTTGTTGCGGGGTCGAGGTTGAGTATGATTTTGGTGGTGGTGTGGTTTGTGTTGTGGGCTACGGCTTATGGGCGGGAGGGGGAGGAGAAGTCCCTGTACATTATTGCTTTTGAGATGCTATCTCTTTCTGCCCTTCGTAGATGGACAGTTAGTCTGTCCTTCCGACATCTAAGTCGGTTTATCGCGTAGAAAAAAACAAGTATACTGCGAACTGGAGAAAAACGACTCAGTACCCTGCGCCACAAGAGGAGTTATGATTACGCGCTGGTGGCGTTCGCTCCTGCGGTTCGCGACTCTTGTGCAATACATCATCGTTCTTCTCCACGACTATAACAGCCAACTCAAACATCCACCTCGACTCCGTTTTCAGTTGGCTATCAGCTCGCTGCTTGCTCCTAATACTCTCCAATAGAGACCTTGCAGTCTACATAACTGGCATTCAAGTAGTACTGAGCAGTGAGGGTTGATCTGCTGTACTCTTCTGGAATCACACCAGCGGCTACATTCTTTAGTATTCTCTTTCATAAGCCAAACCACCGACCATGAGCCATCCCGTAGCTGTCACTGTCGGTGCCGAGGGCGAGACGTTTACTCAAAAAGCATCGCGGAAGTTGAAGGAGGAGCCTCTGATTCCCGTCGGTGAGCCTGCTCTCTCACTCCCTTCAACTGCGACTTTCAAACCTGTGTTTCACCGTACTTGTTTCTCTCATTCAACATCGCTGATGCATCTTATCTCGTCTAACTATATACAAAATATCACATCAATCTAGGTCTATTGGCAACATGCGCCGCCCTCACCATGGCCTCCATAAAACTCCGCCAAGGCAAATCCATGGACATGAACAAATGGCTCCGCGTCCGCGTCGGTGCCCAAGCCTTCACCGTCGTCGCCATCTGCGGATACGCCTACCGCCAGGGCGCGCTCCGCGCACAGCTCGCACCGGACGATCGCGAAGAGGCGAAGAAGGCGAAGAAGGCGAGCGAGGAGTTTAAGGAGCGGTTGAAGGGCGCGGAGGAGGCGTTTAAGGCGGAGAATGCAATTACGGAGATAGGGGAGGCGTTGCAGGAGGGGAAGGGAAATATATGGGGGGAGGTGGAGAGGGTGAGGGAGGAGGGCAGGCGGGCGAGCGAGAATTTGGAGAGGGTGGAGAAGGATGGGAGTGTGGCGGGGAGTGAGGGCGTTGAGGCGTCTCCATCGTCAAAGTCGTCTTGGAAGAGCTGGTTTGGACTTGGAGGCGGCTCGGGGTCGGGAGGCAAGCCGTCATGAAGGACGGGAGGTATTTATATTCATGACATGTCCTCCATACGCTGTATCATATATTTCGCGCCACTCTCTGCAACTTCTGCTATGACCACTGCTCCTTCTCTTTCTATGGACCACGGGTGCGCCAAGCCGTAAGAAGGCATATGTACTCACGAAAAGCCCTATCCTCCGTGCAACGTCGAGATAAAGACGACCTCGTCCCCGTCCTTCAACTGATAATCCCCCTCGCCCTCCAACTCCCAGTCCGTATCGTTCACGAGTACCAAGATCCCCGGCCGTCTATCATTTATTGTAACATCAACATCAACCATCAATTATTTGTGTAATTGCGACGAGTGCACCATCCTGGAGGATGGGAAAGAAAGGAGGGGAGGAAACCACTCACACTGTTCCGTTCTCAATAAATAGCTCCGCCCTCTCTTGTAACAAGTTATCCTTCAACCACGAGATCAGATACGTTATATCTGACGGTCTGGTCGATGGTGTAGTCTCCGCATCTGTAGAGTCTGATGCTGCTGCTGTTGGTTGTGTCGAAGAGCTCGGAGCGGGAACATGAGAGGGTATAGACACCCGATGTGAACGCTGATTAGAGAAAAGCAACTCGAGACCGCCTCCGAATTCGATTTTGACGTTGATGGTGGACATAGACGTTTTGTTGTGGTTAGGACACGTTTGTGGTGGTTGGAAGGAGTGCGTAGTGTATACGCTTTGAAGTAAAGTCCTTGAGTGTGGCGGTAAGCAAGCGATCCCAAGGAGATCTGAAGATCCCTATGAGCTTAATTTAAACGCACAAGATCTTATCTTATCAGCCCATGTTCGGTTCCGACCATCAATAGATTCACGCTTTGTGGCCCAACGTTGCAAGTCTATCCACATCGTCGTGGATTCAGCGAACAAGGGCGCCGGGGATAGTCGACAATGTGACGGAGAATAATTGATACACCATGTAAGTAAGTAGAAGTAGAGTGGAGAAGGCAATAAGAGTTGTGGTCAACGGTAAGTTCTAAGGGAGGTGGAGTGGGCAACGGTGTGTGAGACGGATCCTCGCATATCAAATCCTGCAGACAACCAATGTCGAGTAATACGAGAGAAACCTCGAGTAAGTATTGCGAAAAATAAAGTAAGAGGGGTATGTATAAATGGCGCGATGTGGCATTAAGCTAAGTACGAAGACCCCGCAATCGCGAAACGATTAGGGTATACGAATGCTGTCCAGAGCAACTCTAGACCCCTATACAATCAGTATTAGAATTAGAAGAACGAAGCGTGAAAGGATTTATGGGGGCAAACATCCACACTACTTGGACAAGACGAGAAATAGATGCAAGAGGAATGGAAGAGGGAAAATTTAGAGCTTCCCTCCCGCTGCGCCATTCTGGCTCCCCTCGACGATCGTCCGTACGATAGGTGCCGTGACCTTCCTCGTCGCATCCGCATTACCCTGCTTATATATCCTTACCCTCTCCCCCACCTTCTCCGCCCCGTCCTTGCGTCCCGTACCCATCGCACTAGCACAAACACTTCCTCCCACTCCCGCTCCCGTACCGGTGCCGGTGCCCGTATACTTCTTCACCTCCTTAACCTTGACCTTCAAGTCCTTACTCTCTTCTAACCCCTTCCACAACCTATCCTTCAACTCGCTCTCCCCGTCCTTCACGAGCCACAACATCTCCCGCTTATGTTTCCCTTTTCCTCCCTTGCCCCTGAACGTCGTTAGGATACCTAGCGCGCTCAGATTCCGCTCGTCGAGATAACTCTGGCTCGCGGACCAGAACTCGGAATCATTAGGCAGCCAGTCTTTCAGCCCCCGCGGGACGGTGGCCAGACCGATCTGCACGGCTGGAGTGGTAGTGGAAGTATTGGAAGTATTGGATGAATTGGCGGGATGAAGGGATGAAGATGACGAAGGCGAGGCGACGTCCGAGGTCGATGTCTTCGAGGAGGAAGATGTAGCAGAGGCGGGAGGAGACCAAGAAGGTTTCCATGTATACTCTTTGTAATCCCGTCTTAGCAGATCCCGCGTCGAGAGATGCGCCACTGAGTTCTTCTTCGCCATCAACACGTTCGTGAGTTCCTGGATGCTCGACATCTCCTGGACTGGCGAATCGGAATGATCGCTCGAGATAGGGCTCGAACATTTAGAGCTGCTGCTCGTGGGACTGGGGAACGAGAACCCCGACTGTTTAGGAGACTGCAGCGAAGATTGTTGAATGGGCGCATGTGGGAGGAGAAACGAGACGGCCTCTCGATCGTGCGGTTCGGCTTTTCCGCCCGCTTTGAGACCGTTCGTGTCGATGAGGATTGCGGAGAGCAGGAGCGTGGCGAGTTCGGGGGGGATGGAGTCCGGTGTGTGTTGTGTGAGAAGGGAGGTGACGAGGGACGAACAACTCCCGGTGGGAACGGTGATGATACGCGGATCGGCGGTGTCCTTGTACAGCCCTTCGTCCTCGTGGTGGTCGATGACGGCTACGACGCGAGCTTCAGGCGAAGAGGCCGAGAATTGGCTGCCGAGGCGGTTGTGGTCGACGAGTGCGAATTTGTCGGTCGGGAAGGAGGGTAGGTCGTCGAGGCAGAGAAGATCTTTCGTGGGATCGATGCCGGCCTGGGAGAGTGCGTAGAGATTCTCTGCGCGGAGGACGAGGTCGGCGCGGTAGGCTTGGATTAGGGGGATTGTGAGTGTGCGGCGAGCCTTGGTGGCGTACCACGCGTAGGCGATGGAACTGGCTAGCGAGTCAAGATCTGTGTCACGCATTGACGGTGATTAACGTTGGTTTGATTGGACGTGAAATTTTACAAAGACGCACCTCCGGCCTCATTGCCCATAACGACCGTCCATTGCCTCGCCTGCTCCTGCTCTGCTGCCTTGAGGTAGTTCACTTTCTGCAGCATGAGAAAGTTGGAGAGGTCTGAGGGCGTCCTCGACGACTCTGAGGAGCCAGAAGTCCTGTCCAGATTGGACTTGCGCGAGAATACTGAAAGACGACGCATGGGAAGAGTGGTCGAAAGCGGTGTAATAAGCCTGTGTAGCTGAATGGTCGTCCGCGCGAAGACGAACGATGTCGACAAAGACAAGATAATGTCGCGCGTATTAGTGATAGTTAGTGTTCGCAGCGCCCGATACAGAGAGCGCGGATAGTATGAACAGTTCAGCGTCTGGCTGAGTGGGGATATAGAACGGTCGCAGGGCGGTTGGGGAGATGATGGTCAGACAGTGGCCAGAAGCGTCATAAAAGTAAAGAACTCCGGCTTTCAAACTCCGCTCTATGGATTTCATTTTATACCGCCGTCCTGATCGACCGTTCCCATGAATTTGCAAATCACGATTAAACTTGGCGAGGCATGCGCATGCGTCATCGTTCTTTGCCCCTTCTGGTCTCCATTTGGCCTGTAATTTAGACGATGATGGCGATGCGAAGATGTCGACTGAGCCGTGAGTTTCGCGCCATCGGGTACTTTGTCCTGCGCACGTACCATTATCCCGGAGTTTATCGTCTATATATGTGCTAGAAAGAGGGAGAAAGGTACGTATGGGGGAACGATGACGCTGCCCGACCCACCCGGGATCGGTTGCATTTATCGGGATCCGATACCTTACATGGTGGTACGGATTTCGGCGTGATATAAGCAGAGGCGGTTTCGAGGGAGATCGATGGGATTTTAGTCGAGTAGACGTCTTTAGAGATACCGTTGTGGAAGCTCCCTAAATCTGAGAGAACAAGAAGAGTGCACTGGTCCGAACCACAAGCCTAGGGACGGCCTCCGGTCCTTGATAGCTTCCAGGAAAGTGGTACTACTAGTAGGACATACTGTGCTTGAACATCGCGTTCGAGCGATTGCAGCGCTTGACACTGGCTGTGTGGAGAATCTGAGATGCGGTCAGCGAGGAGCGCACCCTCCACAAAGGATTCATGGGGGCCATGGGCCATATCCTATCGGCCCTACTGTGTCCTCTCACCCAGGCCGTCGGAAGCCGAGCATTGGCACAGGTGCAAAAGGTCGGCATTGTGCTGTGGGCCGACACATAGCTTGCACAAGACATCCAGAGATGGTACATGGTCACCAAGACCCGACTAACGCTCAGGCTGATAAACTTCGCCGGTAGTGACATATTGATATCAAACCACACGCTGTAACTGACCCTTTCTGCGAGACGATCGAAACGGTGAATCCTCAGGCCTCAGTTCTGTATGTGCGACTCAGTAATCCTATGGTACATACCGAGAAGTGCAACAGGTAGATGCGTCTTTGCCTACTAGGCCGTGCAAGAGAATTGACCTGGAAACAGGAGGAAAAATGGCCCACGAATGGTTGACCGCAGCCTGGGCCACACCGTGCCTTTGATACATACGAAAGGCAACGCCACAGAGAAGCACTGACACGTCGTTTGGCATGATCTGATTATTCTTCAGCCATCTCAAGGCTGCAAACGCCACGATAAGTATGCGACGAGTACATGCGGATGCGAGCTCGAGTTAGACAAAGTCCTAATCGCTTGGGTGTATGTTGCATTATGTAGGACATGTCTGTAGCACCTAGTAGAGCTCGGAGTCTGTGAGGTACGGTGTGACCGTTGAGGTGCAGAGGTATTGAATTTTCGAGGGAACGCTGAGACGAGGCCGGTAGAATTATATGTCCTGCGGTTGAGTATACACTGAGTGCCTACGGCCGCTACGCAAGTGAACTGCAGGCCTATCTCTTTGCCAAAACTGGCCAAAAGACAAAGCCGCACCGCCACCGCCGCATGGCATCGTACCACGCAGGTGACACAACTCGTGCTCTGCCAATAGCTACGACTGTAAATGGGACGATGCGAATAATCATCGGTGGTTGGTTACGCCCCAACATGAATGGAATCTGCTGAGCTCAGAGGATGCAACGATGCAACGGAGTGACGTAAAAGGAGATTGGGTTACCCCACGCTCCCACGGTTCCGTTGCGCATATAACAGCTCGCTCCGTTCACACACCTCTTCCTATCTCACTCCCACCACCCACGGCCAGCGCATAACCCAATCACTCACATAACCGCCCATATATCAACCCATTTACCCAGGAATCCAAAAATTCAATCAAACAACGCCATGTATTCCCTTCGCGCTGCTACCAAACATTCCCGTACTCTCTCCGCCCAGCTTCGCGTCGCGCCGTCGCACACGCGTACATTCTTCTCTCCATTCCCTGCCTCAAACAAGTCACCCTTGACGACCCCTCCGTCCGCCTCACCTACGAGCACCGACAAACCCTCGACCGTCTACGTCGTCTCAGAGCCCGACGCCTCCGATCGCCCCTATTCCGTCCCATCCGGCGCCTTCCCCACCTCCGCCCCCTTCATCGACTTCCCCCAATCGACCACAGCGCCCAACCCCGGAGAGAACAATGTGAGTTCGACGAGCCCTAACAGAGCACACCCGAATCTCACGAAGCGAGTGCCGCACAATGAAGCAGGAGTAGGCGATAGTGCGGCCGTGAGGAATCACGAAGCGCCCGGTGAGCTGGCGGACAAGGGAGGCGGGTATGGAGGGTTGGGGTTGATGGATGCGAAGACGACGAGGGCGCCGGAGAGTGGAGAGTTGGCGGAGAGGAATCCGCCGCCGATTGGGGAGGTTGGAGAGGAGATTTCGAGGAGGGGGTTGAAGGAGGCTTGGAAGGACCGGAAATAGACGAATATAGACGCGGTCGGATAGGGGCTTGGGGTTATGAAATTCGGTTTGAATAATACTTTTCTTGTTCGCTGTAACACCATTTCTTGCAACTCGGGGTTGTGTACGATACCTTTTATGTGTGGCGCCTTCGTCGTTCTCCTACGTTATACTTCATTTGCCGTGGTGTCTCCGCTGATACTGTCCATTTCTTGAGGATAACCGTCAAAAGTGTGTTCCATGTCCCTTCGGAGTTCGACCCAAGTGCCATATATCCTACGTCTGTCCAAAATTAATGGTTCATAACATGCACAACTGGATATGCAAACTGCTGGGAGACATATCGATTCTATTGAAATAAAGATAGACAAATATGCTGACTCGGAATGTTGCACGGACGGCGAATGTGCATAAAACACGACCACTTTCAAGTTATGCCTTGGGTGCCCGACGGGCCTCGACGCCTTGCAACAGCTGATTCTGAAGGACGAGCAACATCCCATAAAGCATCTCGATACGCTGCGCCCACAAAACCATCCGTGAGCAGTCACCCCACATAAACAGACTCAAAAAAGCACAGAAAAAACCCATCAACTCACAGGAATATCCACCCCCCTCTCCCTCCCCATCCTAACCACCTCCCCCACAATAACCTCCACCTCAATCGGCCTCCCCATCTGCACATCCAACAACATACTCGGCACATGCTTACTCTCCGGCTTCTCATGCAGCTTCTTCGTGTTCTCGATCGTGCTCTCTACGAGGCTGGGAGGGAGGTCGGTGTGCGAGAAGCCGAGGGCGTGGCCGATGGAGAGGAGTTCGGTGAGGATGGAGTGGAAGAGGGGGTGTGTGTATTGCGGGATTAGGGAGGCTTGGAGGACGGAGGGTGGGAGGTTGTCGTGGGCGTGTACCGTTTGGGTTGAATCGGGGTCAGGGGAGGAAGAAGGAGAGGGAGGGGAGGGGAGGCGGAAGATGGCTTGGGCGGGGTAACGCGTGAGTGTGCAGACGGAGGAGAAACAGACGTTCCAGAAGTTCTTTGCGAATTTTATGCGTTGGACTTCGGGCACGATGGTCATCACGCTGCCGCCCTCTGTCAGGAGAGAAGCAAAGTCGTCGAGGAGGGCTTGTTCGGATTCGCTGTTCGAGGTTGCGGTGAAGTCGTTTGGACGGTAGACGCCCATGGTCAGACGTTCCTAACACCCAAAAAAAATGGGCGGTGAGTGTTATAGAGTTGGATTTCGGAGGTGAGTGAGATGTATACATGATGAGAATGCTCGACGACGTTATCGTTGAACATGTTCGTGCCTATCCAAAGCGCCGTACTGATAATCTTCGGAATACCACCCTTCTCCACGATCGCGTTATACATATCCTTCTCGACGTTCAGCCCGTTTTGGAGGAAGAGGTAGGTCGGTTGTGGGTTCGATTTGAAGTAGGAGTCGGAAAGGAAGGGCGCGAGCAGGGTCGGTGCGCGCATCATTTCGGGGACGGATTTGGTGGTGATCACGACGTAGTCGTAGGGTCTGTCGAGGGCTTGGGAGACGGAGGAACATACTTCGACGGACGAGAGACCTCATGTCAGGATTTCTTGTTTGTGAGTAGACATAGTGGCGGAATGCATGCACCTCTGTCTGGCCGCCAGCCGTCTATGTCTCCATATCGCAAACTGCGAATGTTCGTGCCTTGTTCTACACTCCGATAAACGTCGTGGTCTTTTGTATGTATCAGGTGAGCAGAAAGATAGACGCACTGCTGATCACATCGAAGTTACTTCTCGCCACGGCAGTGACACGGGCTCTTCCACTCTTCTGCAATATAAAAGCGTATATCGCTCCTACAGCACCATACCTATTTCCGAACGAAGTTTAAACAATGTCAATTGGAGAGAGAGCGTGATTTGTGCGTACATACCCGACTAGAAGCACATCCTTCATAGGTGAGGCAGACATTGCGGCAGATGAAGATGAGAAGTAGCGGGAGAAGGAGGGTAAGAAACGAGGACGATTGAGTGCAGATAAGGACGTCGGTTTAGACAGTAGTAAGTTCGGAATGGATGAAGTGACTCGGAACCTGCGGAACATCGCCGCTCTGAGCAAACCAAGACAAACAATTGGGACGTCGCACGTATGTCGTTCAGAGCAATAAAATTTCTACGGTCATGATACGCGCAACGCTACGGTTACTTTTTGTGCGCTATAAAGAGTACATGGAAAGAGCAGAGGTTCGTCGTCAAGCGAGCGAGGAAGAGGCCTGTGAGCGAACGGCGATCGAGGATCCAGGCACGGCCCGAGCGAAGCTGTCAATTTGCGGTTTGGCTTTGCAGGGTAAAGGGCAGATCTGAGATCCACAGCAGCTCCAGCGCCTTTTGTCCTGGATCCTCACCTCGTCCTGCACCTCCCGGCGTGTCCAAATCCATTCTCGCCACACGAACAGGAACATATCCAAACGCGCGTCCGTTCTCATCAGAGTCATCGCCCCCTTTCGGCTGCCAATCCGCGACATATCAGGCCCTCATCAGTTGGTTTGTGCTCACCGATCTCGCCCGATAAGGACTCGCTGACTCGTTTTGGTCCTCCATTCCATAGCCATCTTCGTCGACCCCTTTCATTCCTTGTTATGGTGGGTTATCCCCATAAAAGTCGCGATCGACCGGGCCTTGTCTCACTGGGGCGACAATAACCCGCCATTGGTGTGCTAAAGAAGCGCCAGCGCTCGGCTACTTGCTTGTCGCACTCTCGGCCACCTATAAACACTCCCTCGTGTCCGACCTAGCACCTAGTCGACTGTTGCTTCCGTACCCCCATCAACTACCCCCATCAACTACCCCCAACATCAACCAGTCAACAACTCGAACCAACGAACAACACATAGCGACTTACTATGCAAAGAGGTGGAGACCGCGGCAGAGGCGGTGACCGTGGCAGAGGAGGCGACCGTGGCGGACGCGGTGGTGGTGGATTCGACAGAGGTAGAGGGGCCGGCAGAGGTGCCCCTCGCGGTTCGTCTCCTGGTGGCGGTCGTGGGTCGTCGCCGGGCAGTGGAGACGGCGGAGGAGGAGGATACAGAGGTCGAGGTGGCGACCGTGGTGGCGATCGCGGGGGATTCAGAGGAGGTGATCGCGGGGGATTTCGAGGAGGCAGGGGCGGAGGGCGAGGAGGAGAGCCAGGAGGGTGAGTGTGATGAATTCTTGCGTCCCGCTCCAGCGCTTCAGCGTTCATCCGTGACTCACATAACATAACGCCACAGTATCTTCAATCCAGGCCAGCCAGCCAATATCGATGCGCGGCTTGATAATACTCAGGACCAGCTCGTCAATGCGTTCCGGTCGCTGTCCGTGCGCGGTGATGATATCCCACTCCGTCCTGACTTTGGTACGAAGGGGACGCAGATCAAGCTACGCACCAATTTCTTCCCCGTGCGGGTCCCGAAGGGGCCGATATACGAGTATGAGGTGTCGATCTCGCCCGTGCAGGGTACCGCCGTCAGGAGGATGAAGAGGAGAATCTTTCATCTCGCGGAGCAGACCCAGGACTGGCAAGAGCATGGTCTGAAGGGTCGTGTCGCACATGACCACAGCTCGAAGCTGGTCTCTGCGCATAAGCTTCCAGAGCCGTGCACAGTCCGCGTTCCCTTCTACGATGAAGAGGACGATGGGCCCAAGGAGGGCGGAAAGGAGTACACTTTGACCATCAAGTTCATCCAAGAGATCGAGACGCAAGGTCTCCTGAAGTAAGTACCTCTTCGTAATTGTGTGGCGCAGGAAAGTATTCTTACCCACTTATTCTCACTCACACCTATCCCAGCTATCTTTCAGGAAATGCCCAGTACAGGAACTTCGATATCGGCCCAGTTGTCGCCGCGCTCAATCTCGTCCTCGCAGCCCACCCGGACCGAACGACGACGGGGGGAGGTGTGATGGTCGGCCGCAACCGCTATTTCTTCCGCTCCGCTATGCCCCCTGTGCCACTCGGTGGCGGCCTCGAAGCCTGGCGTGGATTCTACTCCTCCGTTCGCCCTTCGTTCAAACAGCTCATGGTGAACGTCAATGTTTGCACCACTGCTTTCTATCAAGAAGGCAACCTCGCCGAAGCGATGGTCGCGTTTCAGCAAGCTAGCTTCGGAGCGAATATGGCGACGTTCGTGAGGGGCGTGAGAGTTAGTGCGGATCATTTGGGGTATAGGAAGACGGTAAAGAAGCTTGCGAAGGTCACGCCCCGGCAGCACAAATTCAACTGTGAGGAATTAGGTGGGCAGGTCACGGTCGAGCAGTACTTCCAACGCAGTACGTCTCGTCTCTATATTGACATACACTCTCACGCATAAATGGTTCAATGCTAATACTGTGAGTTGTTTAGAGTACCAAATTCGCCTGCGCTACCCCGACCTCCCTCTCATAGATGTCGGCGGCCAAAAACAAAACTTCCTCCCTCCCGAAGTCTGCACTATCCTCCCGAACCAAGCCTTCAAGGGGAAACTCCTCGACGAACAAACCGCCTCGATGATCATCGTCGCCGCCAAACCTCCCAACGTGAACGCCCAAGCCATCACCACCGCCGGCCTCACCGAGCTCGGGTTCCGCGACGGCGCATCTACTGTGATCCAAGCCTTCGGTGGTCTCATCGGCCAAGAAATGGCCGTCGTGCCAGGTCGGATCTTGTCCGCTCCTAGGATCGAGTATGGGAAGGGTCAGCCGAGGGTGGACGAGCGTGCGAGTTGGAATTTGAGGGACGTGAAGTTCGCGGTGGGCGGGTCCCTCGAGCAGTGGGCCGTGCTGTCCATCCAAGACGGCGGGAGGGACGAGTTCCAAGGCGCGAATGATCCAGGGCTCATCGACCTCGTGAAGGGATTCATGAAGATGTGCCAGACGAGCGGGATGAAGGTCTCCCAGACCCCACCGAGTCTCATCTCCGCGCAGCTGCCTCGCAAGAACGCGGCGATCGACCCGATCCGGTCGCAGGCGATCGCTGTCGTCCGGACTGCTATCATGGGCCTGCCGATGAAGCCAAAGGTGATACTCGTCATTCTCTCCAGCAGCGATAAACACATCTATTCCGGGATCAAGCATCTTTGCGACGTTTATCTGGACGTTCCGACGGTGTGTTGTCAGGCGCAGAAGATCAGGAAGGAGAAGGGCCAGATCCAGTATTTCGCGAATGTGGCGCTGAAGATGAATATGAAGATGGGAGGCGTGAACCATGGGTTGGATCAGAACAGTATTGGGAAGTTGAAGCAGCCTCCGACGATGTTGGTCGGGATGGATGTGACGCATCCGGGACCGTCGACTGTGAAAGGGACGCCGTCGATTGCGGCTGTGGTGGCGAGTAGCGACCTCCACTTTGCTCAGTACCCTGCTAGCATGAGGATCCAGGAGTCGAAGAAGGAGGTAAGCATGTCTCTATGATGTGTGTCAGCCCCACAGATCGGCTAACGTGTGTGTATGTTCGTAGATGATCACGGACTTGAAGGACATGATGATCGAGAGGCTCGAGTGTTTCCAGGCAAAGAGCAAGACCCTCCCCGCTCGTATCCTCGTCTACCGCGACGGTGTTTCTGAGGTATGCTCTCCTCGTCATCCATATTCTCATACTCCTTATTAACAATCTTTCCTACCTCTCTAGGGTCAATTCATGACCGTCGTGCGCGAAGAAATCCCCAAAATCCGCGAATCCTTCAAGCGCTTCAACACCGCCGCCAAAGCCTACCAACCCGAAATCACCGTCGTCATCTGCGGCAAACGTCACCACACCCGGTTCTACCCCACCGAAGCCAAAGACGGGGACAACAACGGGAACCCACGGCCGGGGACCGTCGTCGACCGAGGCGTGACCGCGATCTACGAGTTCGATTTCTTCCTCCAGGCGCACGGCGGGCTCGTCGGGTCCACGAAGCCGACGCATTACTACGTCGTGTGCAACGAGATGGGCCTCAGGGCGGACGATCTGCAGGGGCTGACGAATAATATCAGCTATACGTTCGCGAGGGCGACGAAGGCGGTGAGTTTGGTCAGTCCGGCGTATTATGCGGATTTGGCGTGTGAGAGGGGTAGGTGTTATTTGCATAAGCTGTTGCAGGGGATTTCGGACTCGGGGACGACGAGTGCGAGTGGGCAGACGGCGGACGATGAGGTGTGGAGGGAGGCGGAGAGGTTGTGGCATGGGGGCGTGAAGGGAAGGTTGAAGGACATCATGTTCTATATCTAGGTGGCTGGTTTCCACGAAGCTCGGTTGAAGGGTTAGATTGCTAGGTCGTCGTTGGCTTTCCTTTTCTGCTGGCTCGGTTATCGTGTAGCTTACTCGGATATCTTCATATGCGTCGGAAGGATGGAATGTAAGTATATGTAGTAAGCATCTAGTGCTGTCTGTGTTGTTTTCTGTTGAAATGTTATGCCTGTGCTTGTTTCTGTAATTGATGGAGAGCCAACGGGTGACGATGAGAGCTTGACTTCTTCCCGAATAAGTAAACCAACGCGAGTGTTTTGGCGCCATGTCGAGGGGGAGCATCCATCTGTTGCCGTTTGCTTCGTTGTTGCTTCACACCACCCTGTCATCGAACATCATCATCATGGAGCTGCAAAATTGACTACTCGTAACTCGTAAAATCGTGAAGCAAATCCATGTGCGTGAGGGTATATGTACAATATCAATATCAAACAATATATATAAAATAATACATACGATCCCATCACACCAGATCGAACCCGGCCCCAACATCTCAACCGCAAGCAAACATGGACCCAAACCTACTCTACGCCAACGTCGGGATGCCAGCCCTCGTCTTCGCCTTCGCCTTCCCATCAGTCACTTGTCCGCGCTGCGTCTTCGACTGCCAAGCCTGCCACTTCACCCGGGGATGGTTCGGATGCAGCACGTACGTCTCCTCGGTCTCGTCCTTGTCTTTCGATGTCGAAAGTTTTGGCTCTACGGACGAAGAATTGGACGGCGATAGTGATGGCGAGGAAGAGGAAGAAGGAAACGTCCTTGAGGTATTTATAAAATCGGGGCCAGTAGCGCTCGAAGAATAGCCAGAATCGGACGTTGAGAGACTCAAGGCGAAGGCAGAAGATGAGGTAGTAGCAGGGGTATAATGGTTGATGGATTTCCATTTGGTGTGCTTCGACATATTCGGGCGGCCATGCGGGGCTTCATCGCTGGACATTGAACTAGACGCAGAGTTTGTTGTGGGTTTGTTGATCATATATTTCCGATTATTTGATCTAACCGCAGTTGAGTTTACATCGGGTGCGGACACGCATGAGGTGGTCGATGATCGCGAATTACTGGCATAAGACGAACGATCCTTGGTAGCAGATGTAACGGGAGGCACGATAGGGTCGAGGGAATCGGTGGAATTATTCTGAAGTAGAGGATCGTCCAACCGAGTGTTGAGTTTGATATTGATACTAGGAGGCGTATTCGAATCGGTAGATGATCGAGGTTTGACGCGAGGACGAGGAGAATTGGGAGGTTCAGGTGAAGCCTTCTTCTCGTGCTCTAAACTGATGCCGATACCTTTAAGTTGTCCTGCAAGAGCCTCGATGACATCTTCATCATCGTCATCGGACTCCGGAGAGGATGTCGATTGCGTACTTCCAAGAGATAAACGGCCAATCGAGTCCACAAGATCATCAGCTCCGACAACCTTGGAGGTGGCGGAAGAGGAAAGGCGAGGTCGGGAGCCGGGAAGCTCCAGTATAATGTCGTGGGCTCGGATCACTAGCGGTCGAAGCCATTCCGTAGCCCACACTCCAGCGACGTCGTTGTTAGATCGAAAACGGAGTCCTACTAGAGCTTTGAACGCGGTCGCCAGGATGTTTGGGGACAGGGCTCTCTTGATAGCGGTCGGTCGCGTCTCAGAGCGAGTTGTAATGCAATCGGGCAGGGATATGATACGGGCTAGATATGATAATGAAAGATCGGACATGATCATGTCGGTGATGCACTGTGCCAGGTGAGCGTTGTATAGACAATCACAATGAAAGACACGGGAACAACATACTGTGGCGAGATGAGGAGCCCTGACAGTCGCGTGGTGATATTGGGGCCAGATCTTCCAAGTCATATCGCAGATCCAGAAATTAAGCAGTTGGATGGCAGTCTCGATCTCTTCGCAATGCGGCTCTTCCAACTCTCCTTTGACGCTGAAGACGAGCCGAGTATCAGACGCTAAAGCTTCCATCGCAGGCGAACACTTTTCGACTAAGAAATCGCGCTTGTACTCTAGAAAGTCTAGAAACTTGTCTTGTAGACGAGGAGTCATGGGGTTGTCGCCGAAGAAACGGTCGCCGCACATGTAGTTCGGTAAATTGTGATACCAATAGTCGTGGGTAGCGACCTTGATGATCGGCTCGAAAACGAGAGACAACCAATGCATAACCCTCTTCCAACCATGTTGCATGTACACGGCACCAGCGTATGCTTCAAAGAGATCGGCCAAAGCTTTAGGGGCTCTTTTACTCGATTGAGGGTTCCAGGCGTCGACTTCAAGGGCATCTTCATCGTCAAATTTTGCGTGGCGTTCGAAGTGAAGACAGAATGCCAGCCTGCCGAATGTATCGTTATTGCATACAACTCTGCGCACGGCCTTGAGCGTGGTTAGACTATTTTAGGTTGAGAGTACAGATGACATGGCCTACGAGATGGTGTTTCCAGCTAACCCGTACTTTGTCGACGAGCAAGGCTGCGACAAGGTTCACGCATCTGTCTCCGACGAATTCGAGTAGTTCGTTGTTCTCAGGTGAGTTTCGTTTGGAATTGCGAGTTTTCGAGAGAAGAGGCTCCGAAATATATGGGACATCCTTAGGGTGAGGCCTGTTGCTGACGAGACCGAAGTAATGTTGCAAGGCGGTGAGAGACTTTTGGTGACGCTCACGGCGTGTTGATACCAAGTCGAGTGTGGGAGACATATCAGCCCTTGAAGCCTTAAGGACCACAGTGCCAGTAGAGTGTATGTGATAGAGAGTGTGAGGATAGAATGTGGTGGCCTACAGGCTCGAGTTTAATGTCGTCCACCCGAGAAAGATGGTGATGGAAGTTCTGAATCTAAAGAAGGAAAGTGTGGACGATGATCGTGTCGAACGCCGTCGGCTTATGCCGCAGCTAGTTTCGTGGTTATGACGTGCTCTCGCCCTTTGAGGTCGACGTCGACACCGTCTAGCGCGTGCTGCACGCCTCGTCGGCAGCTCGACAAACAATCGGTAGGTCTAATACAGACCGCAGGCTTGGAACGACTTGTCTTGTTTCTTAACCTGATCTCGGAGATCCCGACGGTGCAAGTACTTTGCTGAGCCTCGGAGTTGAAACCCCTGTCCTCGCCTTTGCATCGTGGCTTGCATCTGCAAAATTTCGCAGTCGTTTTCCATCTTACATCCTCTTACCTGCCGCTTCGTGCGTGGCGTAACGATGATGGCTCCGTCTATGCCCCCATCCATGACTATGAACAGGCGGATCATAAACAGAGCCCTCGTCAGTAACTCTTCATCGCTTCATTCTCACTTTCGAACCATCACCTCTCCAACCACCTTCTCATCTTACGTTGATATCTTTCAAATCCATACAATAGCACCGTGCTAACGATTCCCTCGCCATGTCACGAAGACAAGCGCGTCCAGTACCCGATGGTTCCGCTATACCCAATCCGCAATCACATCGACACTCGCATCAAATGGCGCGTTCGGAATCAGCGTTATCCATGCACTGGCTTTTTCGTAGTAATCTTCCTCGCAGGAGGGGAACACCACCTGCTCCTGTTGACGTCCGGAAACGAAACTTCTTCGGAATCGGAGAGATTCTGCAGGTCGTGGCTAACGTATGTCCCCGGCTTTCTACATATCTTGTCATGTATATAACATAAATTTCCCAGCCCGCAGAAACTCTTCGTTCGTTGACAGAGTCTCGTCGTCTGCTTGAGGAGGCACGCCAGGAGATGCTCGACAATCGCGAACGCGCTCAACTTCGCCCGTCTCACACATTCACTGCCTTACCCGGATTCCACGCTCGCCAGTCCGAACTTCACGCCATAGAGCGCGCGTTGGAAGAAGAACCTTGCTTTACTGTCTTATTTGGTGGGAGCTCCGTGGGCAAGGTGTGTTCTTTCGATAGGTTGCATTGAATGATTCTCGTGATAACAGTTGTGTAGACTGCGCTCCTACGTCAAGTATTGACATCAGACAGATATCATGTCCTGCACTTCGACCTGAGGATCGCTGGTTTCGCCGATATTGACTCGCTCTATATGTCTCTGAGCCAGCAAATGGAACAGTACTTCACTGAGATCTCAAAGTCGAAGGGATATGACGTCTTCGAGAAGGAGGCGTGGGGCTTCAAGGTTAGATAGCCCCTTGACATGTATATGTACAGCCTCATGAGCTAATACCTCACCCATAGCATGATCGCATGAATGTGGACCGCAGGATGGCCGATCGAGGTGGAGTGCTGGGTCAGATCAAGACGAGTGATATCGCGAGACTCATGGAGCTTTTCCAGGTCCGTTCATCGGAGTATTTCAGTCTCCCAGCGTTTGTTTTCTTGTGCTGATTTCTCATCGTGCAGAGCTCTCTGCTGAGGTACAGGCAGTTCGACCCAATCCAGGAGCACAACAAGAATAAGCAGTCTCAATCCACACCTAGCCCTCCAAACGACGCTCCAATCTCGGCGCAGAATCGTCCTCATAACGCTGCTCGATGGCGCAAGATATGGCGTTCGCAAGGGCAGCCCTCACAATTTTCCGACGCCGAGTACGAGAAGATCGCAGAAGAGGGCCGATTCCCGCCAAAGAAGATGCCCGTGCTCTTCTTTGATGAAGCACACAAACTGTGAGTATATACATTTCTAACTAATTTCACTTCTTATCGTTCACTTTGCTCACATCTGGACTATCAGTCCAGGTCTGATCCAGTCCATAGATGCGATGAAGTGTCTTCTTGATTCCATGCTAGTCCTCACGAAGCAAGATCGTCTCTGTCACGTAATACACTCGACCAGCGATCCCTTTTATCAGACATGGTTAAGACAGCTCAACGTCATGCGTGCGTGTTCATCTTGTGCTATCTCATCTGATCCATACTCATGACCTCATACAATCGCAGAACATTGCAAGGTTCGAACAGAACTCTCCGTCCATAGCTGACAATACTAATCCTTGTCGTTGCTCTGCAGATCATCACTATTGGCGACTGTTCCAAGGCTGAGGCACGGAAATATTTCGAAGAGGTCCTGTTGAATGATGTGCCAGAAGGGTTACGGAGGACACTGGAATTTGATAGGCTGTATGAAGCCTTCGGAGGCCGTTTAGTCCATTGGCAGGACTATATCGACGACTTTGGTGTGCACTGTCTCTACCTCCTCTTGTTCTCCGCCTGTTTACTGATGGATGGCGTGGTCACGCAGTCAACTCGCGTGGGCAACTAGAAGGTACTTGATGATTTCTCCCATCGATGAAATAATCTGTTATTAATACTGAGACCACACACACTCCAGTTCATCAAAGTTCCCACTTTATTCAAGCTCACGCCCTCCTCAATCTTCACATCATCCACTCGTCTGACACTCCTCAGTTCAACGATCCCAACAAACCGAACCTAACCGATGATGATGCTCGTAGTAGCCCCACCGCGCACCCCGGCCGTGACCCCTCCGCTGCCACCCACGGCGGCCTCGGTGCCGGCTTCAACATCTATACTCCTCTTCAGGGCGCTCCTCGCAATCCTCACGCGAGCGGTAGTATGGAGGCTCCAGGGCAGCAACAATCCGACTTCACGGCGATCCAGCTATTGAGGGTGATGAGCCGGTTGACGCACCCTGGAGTGAGGAGTCTGCCTTATTTCACGCTTTGCAGGGAGTTTGGGGTCAAGGCGATCGATGGGATGGTCAAAGGGCGGATATTGGATCTGAGGTGGACGGAGCCGGTGACGAGGGAGGGGCATGTGGAACAGGTTCTTGGTGGGGCGAGTGCAAGGGCGTCTCGGGTCGTGTCGCCGCCTTTGACTTCGGAGGGAGGGGCCGCGCCGACGGTGAGAGCTGGGAATGGGAATGGAAACGGGAATGGGACGGCGAATATGAATCCTATTGGGGTGCACGTGGGTGGGTCGAGCAGTGGGACAGTGATTATGAGTGAGTCGGGAGAAGGGGGATTCGTACCGATTTCGGAGAGAGAGGCGATGGGCTTGGCAGTGGGAGTGGGTACGGGAGGTACGGGAGGTACAGGCGGTACAGGAGGCCTCGCTGCTCCTGGTCCTAGGATGAGCACCGCTTCTAGACCTGGGTTCGTGGTGTATCCGAGTGGCCAAGAGGAGGAGGAAGAGGTTATTGGACCGAAGGTGATGCCGGCATCGCCGATTTTGAGGTATGCGATGAGGGAAGTTGTCGCGGAGTATGAGGACACAAGGTCAGTTTCGGACTATGCTTCCCTGGTAGATGTGGATGAGTATTAGGTTTCCTTTCTGTGTTTCTTCGTCGGCTTCGTGGTCGCTTTCGAATAGCTATCGATTCTTTCTTGGGTCATCTATATTATTTGGTGTGGTCGAGTTGTACTGGACCTGCCTGTTTCCATATATTTATCTATATAGCATATCTACGACGTTTCTTAGTTAAGGACTATAGGGACTACAGGACAATACCGATTCTGCACTACGTTCTATGTACATCTTGTCTTATTGTGATTATTGTACATACTTATGTTACCGGCGTCAGCTTGCCTCACGAAGCCTCCATTGGCCGGGATATTTAGTCTGCTGCGGTTATGTTGGTGAAGTTTGTGTCACTTGTTGCCTCATCAAAATATTTGTAAAAATCATGTTCTCGAAACACTATTTCTTCGCTGCATACAGTGATAATGCAGAGCCCTACAGAATTTCTGGAGAACGCGAACAGGAGGTCAATATTTTCTGGAATTTACGACCTTCGGCTGAAACGCTACATCTTATCGTGTGGTATTGCACATCTTATCTTCCATGTTTGCATGTATTTGTTCGCTTGATGATACCACACGTGGGTGGAACGAGGGGGAAGCTGGGGGAGGACCTTCAAACAAAAAACCTGCGCAAACGACCCCAGGAAGGAAGGAAGGAAGGATTATTCTGTGCACGATCACGTACTCTGCCATTCTCCAAGGTACAAATCTACGCTTTCGTATGTCTGTTTTCTTTATCCAATGACTGAAGATCAAACTTCAAGAACCTCATCCTTGCCATGTTTAGACCGACCTCGAGCATGACTGGCTCGCCAAACCTGCATCAACGTGTCACACGATAGTACGCAGGTCCTTGAAGCCCGGTCGAACCCTGAAGCTTGCCGTCCCAATTGTCTCTTTCTTCACTGGGGCACGATTTGCTGATGTGGCTTGAGTGAGCCATAAGTACTTACGAGCCTCTTGCGAGTCTCATTGACAGTGCCTCTGCAGACACAGTACCGATCAGAGCCATAGCTGCTGGGCAGGGACAACGGCTTGTAGTTCTATAAATCGTCTCAGTATTCTTCAAGTTCCTCACCCACTAGCACATCCTCACTTTCACTATGCTACTGTTTCTGCGTGGCGCGCTGCTCCTCGCTCTGTTCGCAACGTCCTCTGCCGATTCAACCCCTTCCGCCGGCTCCATTGTTCTCCAGAACACCCTTCGAATGCAAGGGTCCTCTACTAGCAGACCCTCTTGCGATGCTCTTCGTTCCACCCTCCGACTAGAGAACACTACTATCCTCGAAGTCGCCTATATCCAGGCAAACTCCTCCATTACGACCCCCGGATCCTGCCAATCATCAGCAACAGTGTCCTCGCCCCTCTGCCGTATATATGCTCAAGTGAACACAACGGAGTCTTCTTCCTTAAAGTTCGAGGCTTGGTTGCCTGACTTATGGTACGGTCGTCTTATCACCATCGGAAGCGGGGGGCTGAGTGCATGTAAGCATGTTCCTCGCTGTGCCGTTTGTCGGGCAAGTCTGATCTAAGTTTACAGGTATTGACTACAATGATCTCGACTATACGACCTCGTCTTTCCACTTCGCCGCCATCGCATCTGACAGTGGTCATGACGGTGACACGGCAGCCCCTCTTATGAACGAACCCGAGGTCATCAATGACTTCTCTTTCCAAGCCGTTCATGCCTCTGCCGAGCTTGGAAAACAGGTTGTTCAACAATACTACAGCCGTAGCGCAGCGAAATCGTATTACACCGCCTGTTCAAACGGCGGAAGGCAGGGCATGCAGGCAGCACTCCTGTATCCACAAGATTTCGATGGTATCCTGGCCGGGTCACCAGCCGTAGACTTCAACCATCTTCTAGGCTGGCTTGCTATCCTGGGAAGAGACGTGGGCGCACCGAATGGCAATTCGAGCTCGAGCTTCATACCCGACGCCCTTTGGCCAGTCGTATCTGCCGCCATTATGGAGCAGTGCGATCTTTTAGACGGTGTCGCCGACCAAATGCTCACTGAACCGGACGACTGCTTCTTTGACCCGAGCGTTTTGTTATGTCCGCCCTCTGTAGCCAACGCGGACAGCGACGCTTGCTTGACTGCGGACCAGATTGTATCGTTGGAGAAGATCTACTCCCCTCTGATCAACGACAAAGGTGTAGAGCTATGGCCGAGGTATGACCCTCTGGCGGAGAACACAACGTTAAGACAGTTGACATTCAGCGGCTCGATATTCTCTTACCCCACAGTGAGTAAATTTTTACTCAACCATTGTGTTGAGGGGCACCTTCTAACGTCTCTCGTTACTTCCTCAAGAGCTGGTGGCAGAACACAATCTACAATGACACGAATTACAGCTTCGATAAATTCGGAATCCAGGATATCGAGTTCGCCGACACAATCAATCCTGGTGGCATAGCTGCTTTCAGCGGAAACTTCTCGGCATTCCGTCAACGAGGTGGGAAAATTGTAACCTTCCATGGACGCGAAGATGGGGTATGTCCCATATTCATCATGTCACCATCGTGTTCACCACTCATCAGACGTTCAAACTTGAGGTACTCATCCATTCGCTTTTTTCTTTTGCTCGAAGCTTATTGCGTCAGGCAATTCGAAGCGTTTCTACGACCTCGCAACCAGCACATTGTCCCTCCCAAACCTCGATGACTTCTATCGTTTGTTTCTTGTTCCTGGCTTGGCCCACTGCTTCTACGGTCCAGGGGCGTGGAAGATCGGTCAGAGCCAGTTGGGAAGCGGAGTAGTCGTGAACGATTCAGCGCATAACTTGTTGCTTGCGCTTGTAGATTGGGTCGAAGGAGATACGGCACCGGGGAGCATTATTGGTACTGGAGATGATGGGTCTACGAGGGAGCACTGTCGATACCCTCGATTCAAGAGCCAGTGGAACGGAACGGCATGGAACTGCGTGGAGATCTGATATATGACTTTTTGAACCACCATCCGTGTATGTTCGCAGACATGGGCTCGCAGTCGCAGCTTGCATCTCCTTCATGGTGGCAGCATCGCGTCAGGACCTTTCCGACACCTGCTGTGGGTCGAGCTAAGATTTCTTTTGATTGTACATGTTTAGGATATCGAACCGCTATCGTTTCATTGTGGGCATTGTCTTTATAATATACATCCCTCTCAGAGCCAGGTCGAGAACGATCCGTGTCATGGCGGAACAGAGTGGCCTTGGTAATTGGTCTGTTCCCTCGTTTTGCTTGAAGCTACAGGCGCCTCCTCGACCCTTCAGCTGGCAACGACACTATTTCTTGTAGTACCTGTGCAGCCGTCACATACCCTGCTTCAGAAAGTAGTTACTAGCAGTCTGTGCCCACTTGGCCTTCCGAGTCAGTCCGAGTCTGTAACGTGGCCTGAGCGCTACATTTCAAATTGCTCCTTTGGGCCAACTACCATTGTTGACTCAAAAACGTGGCGTACTGGGCCCCCGACAAAGAACACGAAACCCGTCCTGACGTATTCTACAGCTTTGATGCTCGGAGGGTTTCTTGTTCTGCTGCGACATGAGGCTTCAAGCGGCACCTGATGAACTGGCGAGTGGCAACGGGCCTCACCCAAACTCGTGCTATGAGCGCTTTGTGGTACCTCTTAGATCTGGCAGTTATGAAACAAAGCTATGGGTTCGCTCAGGAATATAAATACGCCCCCCTTCGTCTCCAGTAGCCTCTCATTATCACTTGTCTTTCGGTCCCCACATTCACAAAACTCTTGCTTCTTGCGCGACCACTGCTACCACCCGATAACGCATCCGAGATGACTCGCAGTAACCAAGACCCTCAGCAAAAACAATACTGGAACGATGCCTTCGGGCCAATGCGGTGGACAGACGCGTAAGCACTTTTTCATCTGCTCTAAACGTAACTCACACATTCTCGTTATCGTGTTCGTAATATCCAGGGAGATGGACCGAGTCATCGCCAACGAATTGAGCCCAGAGGCCCTCGCTAGTCTTGACAACGTTATACGCGAGTTCCACCTGAATCACCAGACAGAGTTGGACCAGATCATGCGCGATTGGAACCTCGTCGATGACAACTCACACAAATCGGATCGCTGTCTGTCCCATCGCAAAATGCCATTCCAGGACTCCTCTGAACGTCTTCGCTCCCTACTTCACTTCCTATATGAATCCGCTACTTATCGTGATTTAACGTCCACCTCCACCACTGGCGACGGTCATAACCTAGGTGCCCTAGAGATGACGTGGCGCTACAAACGGATGCTGGAGCAGGTTGGGTCGAAAGCAATGCAAGATTTGGAGGGCGATCGTATACGGTTTGACTCGTTGTCACGCGATGAGAGGACTGAATTGTTGGTATTTCATCCTCTATACGATTCCGTCGATATTTGGGAGCATCCGATCGTCGCCGCTCTCAACGTAGCAAAGAGTCCTTCGAACAAGTTGGTTCTGAGATATCGTCGTGTCTGGGCGGCTTCGAAGATGCTTTCGGTGTTCAACAAAGCTGTTCGAGCTAGAGCCTGAGCAGAAGGCTTGTTGTAGAATCTCTTGCTCAACTAGGCTCTTGAGGTGTTTGGAGGCGTGTTTGCTGGTCCACCTTTCGTATTTCCATGAATAATATACATAGTGTACTTAATACGACAGCTGTGATTGAACTACTGTAGCGTAGAGTTTGCACAGGGTCCCAGGTCGTCGAACCTCCCAGTCTTCCTATACATTACTGATGCACAAATATATATAGGACATAGTAGTAGACGTTGCGAAGAAGATCCAATTTGAAATTTGGGCCACGGCAAGGGTCGCAGGTGGCACTTTCAGGTTGCCACAAGCTTCATGTCACCAGGCGGGATGCATATTGGTACGGAGGTTCGATCCTAAATGTAGCATTTGGGCGAAATTTGTCACAAAAGTTGGCGCCTCATATGTACGCATTCGGATCGGGTCTCCCTGCTTTTCAAAGACTTTCGTACGCACAACGGATCGAACCATCGTTTGCGAAGAGGGCCCTGCATGCAATGTAGGCATCGCTATTATTCGCGGTGTAAAAGTGTACTTGGGACCCGATAGCGAGTAAAAACACTGTTTTTCAGTGCAACTTCATTGACGAGGACAGCGCGCTCGAGATTGCCTTTGCGCAAATGTGTGTCGCGGACAAAAAATGTCGAGATTCGCCCACTGTGAAGCTGGGGAAGAATGACTTTCACTCGCTTTTGTGCGTACGTGGATCGAACCTAAGATACAAAGATTAGCTTGTGTCAGCATTTGGGATCGGACCACTGCTGAAAAAAGGCCCAGTCTTTGTACTTTTGCGATCGGACATGGAGGGCTTTTCGCCCAAAATTTGTACGCATTGGGATCGAACCTCCTAACCAGTATGCATCCCGCCTATGTCACCCCCCAGTCAGCATTAATATAGCCATCCCATTGCCTACCTTTGTTTCGCGGGATCTGAAAGTACTCGAACTTTCACCATATTGTAGCACAGATGCAAAGGACGACTCGGAGGGGCCGCGTCGAGGGCATAAGCAAGACAAAGGACGCATCGGTGTCTTACTTATTCACAAACACTTTCGAACATTCTATTGTTCTTCTGTTCTTCTGCGCCTCGGATCGTCGCTAGGCTGGCGCCGTGCTTTGTCGGATTATGCATGGCAACCCAACTTGAAATGGACGCCTCCCCGACGCTTATGCCACACGGTGTCTGGTATTGCATGCCGAGTCCTTCCGAACTTGTACCGGCCTTTGTTCTTTCTCCGACGCGGCTGTTCGCGAACGTGTGGCTTTGTTTGGTTTAAAGGCAACTGCGTTCCTCTCCGAGACCCCCACCATCACGTAGCTCCGGCCTTCCACCCACGCATTTGACATACTCCACTTACCACGCTATCGAGCGATGAGCTACAACCAACTGCAAGATCCACATCACACACAACTCTGGAAGACGGCCGTTGTCCCAATGCGGTGGACAGACGCGTACGATTCACTTCCAACTTTTGTTTGTCTGCCTCATCTGATTTCGTTCTTGTCATCTTCCCGATAGCGAGATGGATTACATTATTGCTAACGAGCTGAGCCTTGAAGCACTTGCTAGCATTAACAAAGTCATCCACGAGTTCAAACTAGGTCACAACATGGACTTCAATCAGCTCAAACGTGATTGGGGACTCAGCACTGACACCGACACCGTGACCAAAACCGACTCGACGGCTCCTTTTTCCTTGCCTGATATCATCCTTCAAGAGTCGGACGCTTTCGAATGTCTCCGCTCCCTCCTCCACTTCGTATCCGAGTCGGCTGCATACCGTGACTTGACCTCCTCTTCCAAGCGGATCAACCTTGTCCCCCTCGTGACCATGGAGTACTACGTGTTCTTATTCGATCGTGTCTTGCTGAAAGTAGCCAAAGCCGCCAAAGAAGAAAGGGCTATGCCGAACGATCCAGAGAAAGCGACATTGAAGAACTTTGACGCTATAGCAGACAGTTCCCTTTGGGAGCCTCCAAGCGTACGGGAGGCCAGAGCGAAATACAAGGCGGAGGGTACGACTTGGAAGAAGCAACAGCTTCAGATGTACCGGATCAAGGCAGCTCTAGCGATGCGCTTAGTGTTTGTTAATGCTGTTGAAGCTAGGAAGAAGGGATACGCCACGTAGGTTTTGAATTTGAGGAGACGTCTATTGTTTAATGTTTGTGTCAATGTATTTCTCGAGGCCTTAAAGCCTTGATGTATGATTCCCGAGGTTTGAAATATCTGATATCTCAATATAGATGATTTGTCGCCTTTCTATCAATCGCTGCCAGTTGGATGTGTCTCTCACTTCATCTTGCGGCACTGGCTTGCAGCGCTCATGATACTCCAGGGCTCAGATCCGAAGGACGGTGAAGTAGTCCACGCGAGGGCCTACCAGTGTCTTCCACTTATTCACTTCGCTTCCATTTTTCATTTTACGGACTCGATGTTATCGGTGACACGCTGCACAGGGATCGATGACATCATCCCAAACGGGCCAGTCATCAATCACTCGTCCTAATCGGGAGGATATTGCCGAGACCCCTTGTCCAATTCCGTGTCGGTGTCTGTGGCTTAGAATTAATTGAACGGGCACGAAATTATGTATTCCAAGGTCTATTGATGCTTACGCTTTCCAATATACACAGCGCGGGACACTGGTGGGTTGAACATAGCGAAACTTAGAGAATCTGACTTCTGTTCTTCGCTTCAGCTGCGTCTCGTGGTTGGTATTTCGGTCTCTGATGTACATCTATGAGACCACAAAGTAAACGAATATCTGTACGACGATACATCGACACAAACAACAAGTCATGACTCCACACACACATACAAACTGTGCTATACGACCTGAGACGTCGTTTCATATATAAGAACAATAACTTCAATTCAAGACACGTCTATATCATTGCCAAGAGAGAGGAAGAGAGTGCGAGATAAGGAAGAAGAGAGAAAGAGAGAGGAGGAAAAACAGAAGAGGAAAAAATAAAACGCCTATCTTGACTCTAGGCCCTCCTCATATGCGGATCGACCTTCATTCCCAATAACGACGAGGGCGTCTGCACCCTCTGAATCTGCTGAACCTCCTTCATCGAAGCAGAATCCTTATCACTCGTTTTGCCCCTCCTGATATGCAACAACAACGAAGCTGCACTCTCATCCTCCGGAGTCCATGGTAAAGGCGGAGTGCGCGATGAAGCTTGTCCGTGACCCGCAGCACCACCGCTCCTGTTTGAGCCGGCACTCACTGGAGGTGAGGCGGCATTGACAGTAGAAGTCACCGATGAGTGCGACATGACGAAAGATTGTGCGCGCGAGGAGGCAGGAGGTAGATCAAGCGACAAAGTCGGTGGAATCTGCTGTGCCATTGTGGGCGGGAGTTCCGTCGATTGGGGAGGGGTGAGGAGCTGAGGGATAGAAGCGGAAGCTGTAGTGGTGGGAAGGGCACTAGGATCAAGGTGATGAGGCATAGAGAGCCAGGTATTGATGGAAGGTAAGCGCGTGAGGTTGGCGTCGCGGTGGGCGAGAAGGTAAGGAGAGGACCCGATACTTTGGCTCGCTGTAGAGTGGCGGCGGGTCGAACTTGCTGGAGAAAGAGGAAATTGAGTGGGGGGCGACGGACAAGCAACGCGATCGCCCTCTTGGTAGTCCACGGGGAATGTAGGCTCTTGCTCGGGTGGACATTCCTCCTCTTCTCCCGCTTCCTCCGCCTCCTCTTCCTCCAAGTCAGGCTCATCCCGTTTCCTCTTCTGCCCTGAGCGGCTTGGCATGGGGCCCGAGTTGAAAATCTTAGTCGCACACTCTGAACACTTCGTCCTCTCTAACTCTGCGACCCTACCCTGCAACTCTTGCACATAGATCACCGTCCTCTCCAGTACCTCCAACTTGAACTCCTTCTCCTTCCCCGCCTTACTCCCTTTATTGTTAGCCCTTCCCTTGCTCTCCTTCGCATTCCCTACATAGTCATCCTCCTCATCCTCCTCTTCGTCGTCTTCCCCAATATCTCCATGGGAAATCTCGACAGTAGCAGGGACGAGTTCCCGCAGTGCAGCAAGCGCATCGTTGATCTTCGTCCGACGTGCTTTCTCAATCCTCGAATGGTTCTGGCGACGAGCCGATTCGCGTGCCGCACGCGATAGTGTGCTCGGTTTACGACCACGGCGCTTAGCTTGGTTGGCAGCGGAGGTAGATGTGGCGGCGTTATTCGAGGCGGCTAGAGCACTGGTAGAAGTGGGTTGCTCCAGGTCGGGATCATATTCTGAGGAGTTGGTGGCGACGGACATGCTGCGAGCAGGGGCGATGTGCGCAAGGGAAGGTTGTGTGTCGTGAGCTGGGCGGATAGAGGGGATGGAAGTGGTAGCGGTGAAGGAAATAGTGGGGCCAAGAGTGGACGCGGTGCGGGGACGTTTCGCGCGTCTCGGAGGGTTGCAGCTCGCTGCGTAACGTATCGCGACTTCGTCAGGCTTATAAACACTCATGAGTGCCTGTGTCAACAAGAGCTAGAAGATCAAAGCGCAACAAGCCTGAGGGGTAAAGGGAAGGGGGTAGACAGAGGAAAGAGGAAAGACGGCGAACGAGGAGTGAAGAACACTTTGGAGGTTCACAAGACTAAGTATCGAGCGGGACATGCTCGTGTGCCCCGTTAAACGTGCGAGAGCGTGCTGCTATTACCTTGCAGACGACCACAATCGGCCATCCTCATTGGCTACAGTGCACGCACGTGCGGGAGCGCGGTGGGTCGGTGGAAGGAACGCCTGCCAACGCGAATGCCCCGCCAGCGCGATCCTGTTCCCGTAATTGTGCTAGCCCCGCGTCGGCGAATGCGTGGACGAATTGGCAGCTCCATTACCGCAGTTCGCTCCAGCAACAAGCATAAGTATTGATCGTGTTGAGAGACAGACGCGGTAGTCCTAATGAATATATATAATTAGCAAGGCTTATCAGTAAGAAGCAACGACGGTCGAACTCCAGCAGGCTCCTGCCCCTCTCAACGTTGTGGCCGTGAGTGCGGTAAATTGGCAGTGGGTAGAAGAGAAGCGGCTTGTGTGAGCGAGCTTGATGGAGCAGAGACTTCGGAGAGTCAGGAGTAAGCTTTGTTTTCATCGCGACGAACGTGTTTCGTCTCGAGTGCGGTCCCGGTCGCGCGTTCCGACTCCATTCAAGCTCAATCATTCCGCTTTACTACGGGCTTTTGATGTCGGGCAGAATATCTATACCGGCCATCGAATCTGGAGGGATAGTGGTAGCCTTAGGTTGGGTTTTGACAAGTCCTGTGTGGCCCGTGCAAGTGGAAGGTATGAACCGGAAAAGCGAGAGCCAAAAATCACAATACCAGCAATACGATAAGCCAAGGATAAACATGGACATGCAATGAGTTTCCTCGCGTTTGTATGGTATGCGATCATCATAACAGCCACAATAGAACGTCGCATATGAGGGGCTGTCCCGAGGCGAATGTAGGGAGACTTGAAGAATCGGGCTCACTGTCGTTCTTCGTCCGGGTCGCCCAGGCGCGGTGGTATAACACGACGTCTTGATTGGCTTGAGAGTTAAGAAGCAAGAGTAAAGAGCCTACATTTTAGTCAAGTAAGTCGAATTTCGAGATGGCCCATGCAGAAGTGATGGTGGAGAGACGATGGAGGCTCGAGCAGACGGGAAGCGTAGGTTTGTGATTGACGTCGCTGAGATGGCCCAATCGGAGACAATCTATTTATTGTTGGATTCGTAGCTCATTGAGGTAGAGGTAGCTGGTGCATAAAGAGGCCGTGTAACATCCTATAGCAGCAGTCCCTCGGGGAAATTCAAAGGAAAATTGTTTGGAGCCGCAAGGTTGAAGAGAAAAAAGTGATCGCCTCTTGCTCCGGACTGTCATGTCGTGGCAAAATTCCCACGGCCCTCCGAATCGTTTCCCCCCTTCCCCTAGACCTCCCAACATACCACGACAGGCGAATCAACGACAGACACCCCAGTACCGTGCATTCCAGCGAGCCCCCACCCCCGAGGTGGAGGATTCAGAGGAAATGGCCGTCGACGATGAGAGCAAAATCGCTCTCGACTTTCAACAACTACGCAAGTTTTTCGAGGCTATGCAAGGCTGGTTCGCGAAACCGGACTTTGCCGACCTCGCCACATGCCCCTCGCCGGAGGATATTGGCCAATCCATGGCCGCTATCCAGGCGTTCCTCCTCAAGTGGTCCCAAATGACCGGGACCCCGCTCAGCGCTCTGGTGCCCAGGCTTTGCCCACCACCAACGACCGTCACTGAGGTTAG